GCTTAGGGTAAGGCAGAATGACCTTTTCCAGACTTGGCAGAGGAGTAGGTAAGGGAATAGGACAGGATCAAGAGTCAAGGAAAGCTTAGGAGTTTTATTCAAGATATCAGGTAAGGAACTAAACTAGGTGGGGAATGTGTCTCTATTTATATGTTATTCATGGGCTATGCTTAGCAGTGAGTCATGGGCTATGCTTATCGATGGGCTATGCTTATCGATGGGCTATGCTTATCGATGGGCTATGCTTATCAATGAGCCATTGGGCTATGCTTTCACATGTCATGACTCAGACCTGAACCGAGCCGATGCGAGTCGAGCCGCGGTGGCGTTAGCACGTGGCTTACTTGGCCCTGGACCACGTGACGAGCTTCTGTCTTGGAGGCCGGTATACGACACACGTATCCTTCCTGGATTCTAGCATAAGGTATATCGTGATACGCCGATATAAATACACTATCATGCAAAACTGATTCAATAATTCATTCCCATGTGCATTTCTTTTTTTCATTCCTAGAAACCGTATATGCATACACCACTCATACTTTGGTTTAATAAAGCTCCCGTCTTCTTCTACGTCATAGTGATGCGTTGTGACATTAGCTTGTCTCATTTGAATAGCTAATGACTTTTTTGTTCATTCAGGTCATTGAATCAGTTTCACATGTGGTCTAAAATGTTGCCCATGACAACTTTTGGACGTCATTTAATGCCAGTAAAAAAAGGACTTTTCTCTCTTTCCTTTATGAACACTTGCTTAACTCCCTCTAACTATACCTTCACAGAATATGAGACCCACTCCACAAAGGAAAGTCAACGAAGCCAGGAGGTTAATGATGGGAGGCATGTCTACTAGAGAAACTGCTGCTAGCGTTGGTATATCAATAGCGACGGCCACCAGGATCTATGCACATAATAAGGAGTACATGCCAGTCAATAAAGGCGGTCGACCAAGGAAAGTACCTAGAGGTATCATGCAGTATCTTAAGGTGAACATGAAACGAGGTACACTCAAGTCTGCAGTTGAGGCCACCGTCAGAGCCAACCAGCTCATACCAGCGGCTGTTTCTGAGACCACCGTTAGACGACGGCTCAAGGAGTTAGGATTGACAGCAAAGAGGCGTGTACATAAGCCAGCTTTACGTCGACGGCATATTAAAGCTCGTTTGCATTTTATCAATTAGTATAAGGAATGGACTCTGGAAGATTGGAAAAAGGTTATTTGGTCAGATGAATCGAAAATAAACCGAATCTGCTCTGATGGCGTGCAGTGGATCTGGGACGACAATCCGGGACGCCTCACTCGCAGGTCGGTGCAAGGCACTGTCAAGTTTGGGGGTGGTAATGTTAAAGTGTGGTCATGCTTCTCATGGTACGGACCTGGATACATTGCAAAGATTGACAATAATATGGACGCACAACTTTACATCAAACTACTGCAGGAGGATCCACAGATGTCGCTTGATGACTGGGGCCTAACTAAAAGCGATATCGTCTTTCAGCACGACAATGACTCGAAGCACACGGCGAAGATTGTTAGGAAGTATTTGGAGTCAGTACATCTGACAGAAGAGGAAGGTACACTTCTAGAGTGGCCAGCACAATCCCCTGACCTCAACCCTATTGAACACATGTGGGCAGAATTGGATAGGCGGCTCTCTAGGTATCCGGAGCGAGCTAAGAGCTGTGATGAACTATGGGAGCGAATATCGGTTGAATGGTACAGGATCCCAGTGGACTTCTGCCGCAAACTCATCATAGGTATCCATAAGAGACTCCAAGCTGTCAGTGATGCCCATGGTTGGAATACTATCTATTGATGTAAGGTTATGCCTCACAAAAGAATAAAGATCTTTGGCCACCGAATGGGCACATGTGAAACGGATTCAATGACCTGCATGAACAAAAAAGTCATTAGCTATTCAAATGAGACAAGCTAATGTCACAACGCATCACTATGACGTAGAAGAAGACGGGAGCTTTATTAAACCAAAGTATGAGTGGTGTATGCATATACGGTTTCTAGGAATGAAAAAAAGAAATGCACATGGGAATGAATTATTGAATCAGTTTTGCATGATAGTGTATATTCAATGCCGTGAGATGTACCTTCATTGTGGAAGTAAATAACAAAGCGTTTAAAGAAGGCAGGCAAGACGATAAGAGTACATGAATAAAAACTACAAATGAAGGAGCGATGGCAGCCGAACTTTTGTTGAAACTCAAGTATATTTTCTATGTCCTTCACTCCTAGCAAAGTTACCCCATATGAAAAGAAAAGAAAAGAAAAGGGAACGAAGGAGAGTAAGAACGAGGTTATTTCTAGTTCCTTTGCTGGGAGTCCTTATATTCGATTGTAGGCGCTTTCTTTTTTCGCAGTCCATTCCGTCTGGAAGCAGAGTGCATGGTGAAGAGGAGTTAGAGTGAGATGCATATATAGTAGAAATGAATGTTTCTTGGCTTAGAGAAGGGTTATTAGCATAGTGGAGGATGCTTTACTTTCAGAAGAGGCTTCTGCATCACGTCACATCAAAAAGAAAGGTAATAGTGGAACTACGGACTATTAGTGCTGAGGATGGAATCGAATGCTAGTGTGGTTCTAACAGTTAAAAAAAAAAAGTCAGACTGGAGGATGGTAATATGGTGGCAGATGGAGGATGCAAGGGAGAGCGCAGCGTAGGTAATTTGGTTTATCAGAGCTGTGCTTTATAGATGAGGAGCTTATTGACAGTATTTTCAAAGTGTAGAACTAGAGTACATCCCATGAGTATCATACGCCTAGTGATCGAGGGGACGCAAAAAGAGTTTACCTCATGTCTTTAATGGCGTGGAAGAAGTGGATGGGGTTATTACATTCATCTCTGAGATAACAGCAGCGAGGCTCATAAACTATGAGCCGAAGCCTAATTGCTGTAAGCGCTGTGGGCTCAGATGGCTAACGCCATATGAAACATGGATGTTGTACACAATGAAATATGCTGTAAAGGGATGTAAGGGATGTAAGAGAGGATGGAGCGATGTTGAATATGCTTTAGGGCCACGTCCTTTGCCAAGGGCTACCAATAGCACGGGGAAAGACCATGAAAGCTACACCGGTACGAGACAGCTTACGCACTTTAAAATAGAGCTCACACTTAATAAAAGATCGTCTTTTATCGCAGCCCCTGTGGCAGAAAGCCAAGCAGTTAAGCAGTTATCAAGCTCATTTTTGATAGTGATGGAAACAAAGGAATGACAGCGAAGGTGGCTAGGGCAAGAGCTAAAGTATTAAGAAGAGAAAGAAGCGCTGGGGCAGGATGGTATGATCAGTAGGAAGATGCATTGAGACAGGACGATGTAATCAAAAAGAAAGAAGAGCTTGGGCAAGGGGATGCGGATATATGAAATAGACTTTCTTTAGAGATTGATCAGGACAAAGGAATGATGATTGGATCAGGAGAAGCTGGAAGGTCCGGTGGTGGACGGAGCACAGTTCACTTCTGGGTATGTTATAGAATGAGGCTAAATCTGCTCCGCAAAATGAGTGAAGCAAAGGTTACCTTTGTTAGAGCTTTGCTTAAGCTTCTTTTAGATGTCTATTGCTGTACCATGAATGATAAGCTTGTTCCCTCCCTGCATTCATGTCCACAGTCTTCAGTGCCTGCCAGCGCAGGACCAGGATCAGTATTGGGACTATAAGCTTAGCTCGAGTCTTCTCATCCTACCATTCCAATCAAGTGGTAAGACTGAAGGTCATACTTTACTGCCCATTAGGGCCAAGGCAAAGAGCATAGAGGGAACCTTAGATCGCCTGTTTACTTGTTTTGATTGATCAGTCGAACAGGGATACTGCAAGCTGGTGCTATCAAGGACTTTGGCTTTGAGCAAGATAAAGTATAGGAAAGTCAGAGCAGAGAAAACTGTTTTTATTCATTATATCTGGATCCGTCTTAATCTATCAAGGTGATGCAGACGCTTCGAGACCAAATTCGAAGAGGTCTGTTGTAATAGGTTGGTACAAAGGACAAAGGGGCTCGCTCGCAGGAGTCAATGTTTGGAGAGGAACCCTGTCTAAGGAGATTCATCCATGCTCTATTTGGAGTGAGACTTCAGGATGGCAGCAGCCTTTGTTCTGGATGAGCTTGTTTTGAGTTGAGTTGGGCCTAGGAAGCCTTGAGGTAGGTCACATTAGGCTGCAGGAAGACAGGGTTGTCTGTCGAAAGTACAGCAAGGCAAACAGGGAAATGAGTCCTGTGTGGTTTGCAACAGGAGTTTAACTTGTTGTAAAAGTCTGGGCCAGCGAAGAGACGGACGAGCTGTCAGAGTTGATTAGAAGTATTGACAATGGGAGGATGGGATAATAGGATAGGATAATGGGCTAATGAAGATTGTTGGTTCATCGTGGACAATGACGACTGTATGCTTCTAGCGACAGACGATGCGCGCCGCTAGATGAAGAAGCAAGGGTCTCGTGATAAGGGAAAGACTGAACTAAGGAACGAAGCACTCTCTTCTTTTTATCGCTGTCTAGCAGTGCTCAGCGAGTTTATTCCATTCAGCTCCAGAAATTGTTTTAAATTGTTTGTCATCACAATGTTTGTGAAGTCAGATGATAAAGCAGGGATCAATCACCTAGAATATCACTTTTGTTTTTTTCTTCTGTATATATCACACACGTCGCTCAAGTTCCTCAGTTCCTCAGTTCCTCAGTCCTCAATCCTTCGGTACAGCAGCATGCCACACAAAGCCAGCACTATCCAGGCAGGACAATGTGGCAGCCTCATGAACCAATGCATGCTCTTGGCAAGAGAGAGAAATGGATCCTCAGAAGAATCTGAAAAGCTAGTAGTTGTAAAGGTTTTTTTTTTTTTTTTTTTTTTTTTTTGGCTCCATCTGCTCGAGCTAGGAGTGATTATCCAACGGGTTGTAACATGGATCAGTTCAGAAGGGATTGTACCAATGTGCCAAAAAAATATGCATGGGAAATGGATATTTTTTTTTTTTTTTTTTTTTTTTTAATTTTTGTCCAACAAGATCTTGTCTTCTACTTTTTCGACTTTTTCGCTGGTCTCTGATCCTCTTCATCATCGTCATCAGATCCGCCAGAACCCGAGCCAGAGTCGCTAACATTTTCGTCAAATTCTTCCGCAACATCACTCTCACTGTCATCAGCAACAAAGTCCTCGTCAGCTATAAATGACCAAAAATAATGTACTAGATGTTAGCCAACAAAATCTTTTTTTTTTTTTTTTTTTTTTCTTTTTGCTTTTGTCTGTTTTTGAAACTTACGACTGGACTCGCCCTCATCATCATCGCCGCCATAATCCTGAATAGTCGATTTCCTCTTGCGTTTGCCCGTATCTTCGTCTGAATCACTCTCACCCACCATCTCTACATAGCGTCCTGTGGATTCATCCTCCATTGATTTGGTCTTGATCTTCTTGTTCTGCAGAAATTCGTTCAGGTTGGCATATTCCTCCCTATTGATACTGGAGAAGGAATAATCCACTCCACTCTTCATGTTGAACTTTAGATCAAATGTCCTGGATGCAGAAGCAGCTCCTCCACCCACACGTGAAAATGTGACGGACCCAATCTCTGAATGTGGAATAAAAGTGGGTGGTTTAGGAATAAACAAAAAGGATTTGTCAAGAGGATAGAGGACTCCTTCGTTGGCTTTCATGGAGCACTTGATGGCCGATTGGTTATGATAACTCTTGAAGAATTCGGATGGGATGGTGACACGACGACCTGTGAGGGCCTTGAAAAGGGTGCTCACAATCTCATAGGTCCTGCTTTCGTATCGCTTCTCCAATTTGCCATCGTATTTGGTCCTGATCGTCTCATCATCCAAATTCAAGTTCACGTCAATTTCTTCCTCCCGCACAAATTGGAAGACCAAAAAGGGATATCGAGTCTGGCCCTGACGCAAGGGTGGATCCAATCCAATGACGAACAACACATGAAGATCATCCGGTTTAGGCAATAAAAACAATTTGATAATGCTAGTGTATGCAATCTTGTAATCCGTTGCCTTTCCACGCAGACGCAAGAAGGTAGGGAACATGTCGATATCGTAACGTCCACGAGGAGTCAAGCACAAAATGTCAGAGAATAATACAATGCCTTCGCCTGGTCCTGCGTCCCCAATATCTGCCTCGTTCTTGATCAAGTTGTAGAAAACCTATGTGTAATGTCAAAAGTAATGGCAATAAAAAAAAAAAGAATTGTCAGTTTCTATTTTGTATTACTTTGTAAACAAAAATATGTAAATGAGAAACGAAGAGCAAATGATAATGAACAATAAAAGTTAAAAGTATGTTCGTATCCTCTTTTTTTTTTTTTTTTTTTTTTTCTTTTTTTTTCTTACATTGGCATTGCTCTCTTCCTCGCCTTCACCATCCTGAGCCTTTGAACCAGGAACATAAAAACGCATTTCGACTAGTTGATCGCCTTTTCTGTTTTTCTCTTTGCCCTCACTATCAGCCGTTCCAAGTTCAATCATGACTTCATGTTTGGCAGTGAGTGATGTGTTGATGACTTCGTTTAGTGGTATCTCAAACATATCCTTGTTCTGTACACTGAATACCAAATTCCCATCTAAAAGAAATTAAAATGTAAAATGATCAGTGGGAAAGGTATAGAGGGAAAAAAACGTAATATGAAAAAAAAATATAATAATAATAATAATAATAATAATAATAGCATAAAAACAAAAAGTCCATACTTGAGAAATCAGTCTCTCCCCAGTTCCAGCCCTTGACACTCATTTCCTTAGTCTCCAATTGTAGTCCATAATTAGCCTTGATAATGTCCCGAAGTTTTTCAAAGTCCTAATTAATCCCAGGTAATAAAAGAATAAAAAAAAAATAAAAAAAAAATGTTAGAGAAATATAGAGTGAATTAAACATGCCTGTGTGTCCCTTCGTCCAATATAATATAATGGTGATAGTCATAATAAACGTCGTTGTAGTAGTAGTAATTGTAATGATTACTCACATCGCGTTGAAAACCATCAAACTTTACGATTCGACCGTCGCGAAGTTGGATACGGAGTTGAAAGTTGCGTGCAGCACGTAACCAAGTGGTTCTCTTGAGATCAGCATCACGTACGGTGAAGAGACCATCGCCCTTTCGAGCTTTCCATCCCAATCCACTCTGGGCTAGACGCAAGAGTCCCAACTCTGGAGCAAGTCCGAGGTAAATGTCGTCAAATTGATTTACTTTTTCGTTCATGATGCTTTTTTATGTGTGATAAAGTATAGTGATCTTTTGATATCCTTGCTTGTGCTACTTTTGAGGATTAAAATCGATCCGTTGAGTGTTGTGTCTGTGCCTTTGAAGCGAGTATATCAATGTTATATGTCGCCTCTCTTCCAGAAAAGACAACAAAAGGCTTCAAAGTGAATGAATGAATGAGTTTAATTAATTCTTTTTTTTTATTTTGTAGAGCAAAGGGCTAAAAAATGGGCTAGTCACCGAGCTGTGTGGCTTATACACATTGCGCTTGCCTTGTATACACACCTTTCATTTTTCTTTTCCAATCCAATTCTGCAAGGAAAAAAAAAAAAAAAAAAAAAAAAAAGAAAGACTAGTTTGACCAGGAGTACTCGGGAAGAGCACTGTCGTTGGTGAAGGAATCTGTATTAATAGCACATGGTGGTACTTGAATAGCAACGGTTGCAACCGTCGCTCGCAAGGAGGTCAAAGACTTCTTCTTCTTCAACAACCACTGTCATCACCATTACCTCAAGAGCCACAAGAGCCAACAGCAACAGCAACAGCAACAGCAACAGCAACAGCAACAGCAACCACATCACCATCAATACCAACATCATCGTTGTCAAGGGCTAAAAGTGGTAGTGCTGTAATAAAGATGAACTGAATCCCACGCCGGAAGTAAAGATTGCAAGGCAGAAAAAGAAAAACCGACTGCACCAAAACATGTTAGAGCCACTCCTTGCGCGTCTATCACGTTGCCTCGACCTACATTGGGTCTTTTGACAACATCAAAATGTGGACAGTCCTTTCGGTGGCAACTAGAGGGAGAGGTATCCCTTCCTATTTATTTATGTGTCCTAAACTGTCGGCTATGGTGTCTTCAGGGACCGAGAGCAGATTCTGATCTTATTAACTACTCACGACAATTTGAGTCCTTTCCAAGGTCAGGAGCACCATGATGTTTTTATGCAGATCAGATTCTTATTTTGATGGATCTATATGTTCAACCACTCGGCAAAAGATCATTCAAAAGGCTTTTTTTTTTTTTTTTTTTTTGATAACAAGGGACGTCAGGGTCTGATAGAAGTTTATTGATTGGGAATCAAACCCGACATAAATTAATTATGGACTCTGTGACTATTGTATATTTATTCAAATAAGGATAAATCGGCCTTAGAGCAGAGGGCTAATAAATAAATTCAATGTTCATCCACTATGTAAGCCACCGTTTCTCGTGACATGATCTTTCCTTTCGGGATGCCGTCTATTTAACTTTTTTTTTGCATCTCTTTTCATCAACATATAATAAAGACATCAAGAAAATGTCAAGCACTCTCATCCGCTCCTTCACTCGTGCACCTCTCCGTAGTGTGGCTCAGCTCCGTCGTGGAGGTGGTCATGAGGGCTACAACCTGCCTACTGGTTACCTCTTTAACGAGAAGGTACTTGACAGGGGAAAAAAAAAAAAAGAAACACAAATCAAGTGGTTTTACGGTTCTCCAATGGCTTCGTTTCTTTTCTTTTCTTTTTTTTTTTTTCTTTTTTTTTCTCTGTCACCTTTTATTCTTACAAGGAACCCCAACAAGAACAGGAATTAAATAATAATAATAACAACAACACTGACTTTCACAAGAAACATTGGAGAACAGGTTACGGATTATATCATACTACCAACATTACCAACAAACACCTTCTTAAAAAAGAGCTATATTTGTTAAAGAAGGCAGCAGGAACAAAGACCAACGCATGGAAACCCCATGCAATACCGGAACAATTGTCTTGGAACGGAAAGGAACACGGATAAAAACTCTTTTTTTTCTTGTTTTTTTTTTTTTTTCTTCCGGAAATGCATTTTATTTTCATTTCATTTCATTTCTTACGCATGGAATTCAGGAAACCGGCCTTTTTCTTTGTCCAGTTAAACCATCTCCAATATCAGATCAATTGCTCTTTATCGTTTATCCCATTGTAAAAAAAAAAAAAGATCATTTGAGGCAGCCTCAGCGGATAATCATCACCACATAATTTTTTTTATTCCCCTTTTACTATACACGATATCTCTTGACATGATAGTTCTCATCTTTTAACGATATTTTTTTTTCTTCTTTCTTCCTTTCTTTCTTTCTTTGATATTTTTATGTGGAAACCATTGATAGCCTCTTCCTCTTGGTACCAAGCGTGTCAAGGAAGACTGGGAGAACTTGTACTTTTACGGATTCATGGGCTCCATGGTCCTCGGCACTGTCCTCGTCTATTACAAACCGGATACAAAGCTCCAGACTTGGGCCATGAAGGAAGCAAAGGACAGATTGCAGGCTCGTGGAGAGGACGTCACTTACAAGAAGCAGGAATAGAAAATAGAAAGAAAGAAATAAAATAAAATAAAATAAAAAAACAAACAAACACACCTTCACATTTCTTTCTTTTTTTTTTCAGCGCTGTTTTTTTTTTTTATTATTATTATTATTATTATTCGCCAAAGATATCATTGACTCCGTCGCCTAGAATTCGTAAACCTCCACTTCGAACCCGTCGTGCAGGTGAAGGACTTTGACTCCTGCCTCGTCTCTTGAAACTTCCGCTGCTCAACAGCTGTGGACTAGCATCTCCGCCATCGTTCCCGTTCCCGTTGCTATAACCCTTGAGGTGACGCGTCGGGGATAGTTGACGTGTATGAAGCCATGCTAATGCAGATGAGGATTGACTAGTACTATTCATGCCATTACCGGCCATTATCCTTTCAGGTGTTGTGTTTCTTGAATCATAATACGGAGAAGTGGAAGAAGGTGGCAAATTCGTGGTTCCGTCACTGCATCGATAGAATCTTGACATCAATCGACGGAAAGCCTCATGGACTGCCTTGACCTTTGAGGGATCTCTAGAATAGACACGGATAATGTTTTCTTGGAACTCACTGGGGATCAGACTTGAGACCTTCTCCTTTGGAATATGGTAGGAAACTGAATGGTTGTTTTTGGAAAAGAATTTGATGTTATCGACAGGATTCCGATCCTTCATTGCATAGTTGTTCTTAAGGAACTCTACAATCACGTCGTCCACCTCCAGATGATCATTCGGTCCTTGGCATGACACGATCTCTAGTGAGTTGACATTATGCTGTTTTTAAATAAATAGATAAATAAAAAGAAAAAGAATATATACATAAGTCAATTGCCACTTTTTTCCCAGCCATATGTTTAAGACAAGTTCAAGTAAATGTACCTTTGTAAGGCGTCCTAGTTTTTCCTTGGGGATCAATAGTTCATCAACAAACTTGTAGAGGTTGCGTGTCCGGATACGTTTTATAATGGCCTTTGATTCTTCCAAGCCCTAAAGAGATGTCGACCAAGAAACAATGTCAATGTCAATGTCAATGTCACTTTGAATAGTATTATGAAGGGGAAGGAGAAAAGAAAGGAAGGATATTTACCGGCTCTCTGGATCGTTCGATCTGACGCACAATGTCGTCAGTAAGGTGAAGATAATCCTCAGGGACATTGATCATGGATGAGATACCGAGGACATTGTTTGCGGTCATCAATGCATCCACCAACATGTACTCGATCGCTTTCCCGACTCGATGCGTATAGACCTTTTTGAACAGACTGAAGCGTGTGTGATAGAGCTCATAGAGGTTGTAGACTTCCTTATGATGCCAACAGATCTGATCATCAATCACCCTGGACATCCTCATTAGGCGAGAGCAATCTATTGAGGACTTTATGCCGACGTTGTAACAATCACGTTGAAGATAATCATACTTGTCCACGTCCAGTGAGTTGCGTTTGTTGGATACGATATCAAATAGGAATGCATGCCGTCTTTGTAAAATATCCGAGAGGGGAGAAGACAAAAGTAAAATAAATGAAATGTTAGTTACCAAGCGATCATTGTTCTTGTTAAACATATTTGGGATTAATGTGTAAATGTTTAAAACAATATCGATTATGAGGTAATGAATGAAATGCCTTACTGACTGTTGCCTCGTCTCTCGCCCATGATCAAATCCTTTATGAAATTGAGTTCCTCGCGATCAATGTCCACGCCATTATCATCCACTAAATACTCAAGCATCATTTCCGAGCCCTGTTCATGTGTCCAGGTTGATCCGGGAAGTGCCCGAGGAATGAACTCGTTATCAAAAACATGACTGAATGGGCCATGGCCTAGTTGTGATAGCCAGAAAAGAAAAAGAAAAAAAAAAAAAAAAAAAAAAGATATGCATGTGTAAATATGATTGAGAACTGATTCGTCTTTTTTAAAAAACCACTTTATCTGATTATATCTGCGAAAAAAAAAGAAAAAAAAAAAAAAAAACTCACCGAGATCATGACAGAGACCGGCGAGTTTAACACATTTGATATCACTCTCACTGATCTCCAGCTCTGGTTGTGTATCTCTGAATCTCTCTACAACTTCTCCTGCAAGATGGGATGTTCCTATTGAATGCTGTAAAAAAAATAATAATAAATTAGTTATATATTCGTTAATGTACCTTATCCCGAATTCCATTCATCAGCATGAAGTGAGGTGTTATTTGTTGGCAGAGTCACGGTTGACTAGTGGTTCTTATCCTACCTCAAAACGATTATGTGTTGCTCCAGGAAAGACAAAATAAGCAGATCCCAGTTCTATTTTCATTTTCATTATCGCATAATGTAAAAAAAATAAAAAGTAAAATGATGCATTATTAATTTAGCAGTGTGTATGTCATGCATCTGCATCCTGATCAATGGTATCTAAAATTAAACTCTGGATTGTTCTATTTACGCTTTAAATCTCGAAGTCTCTGGAACTGGGGCGTGTCAATACACTGCAGACAATCATTGTCCAGCAACACATGTCCCTATCGCATTAAAAAAGAAAGAAAGAAGAAATGAAGACAAAGAGAAAGAGAAAGAGGAAAGAAAAAGGAGTTAGAGTAATAATCTTTCTTTTTTTTTTTTCCTTTTTCTACAGAGTTCTATGGGGAGGACAAAACCATTGGTGCATATTTATTTTCCCCAAACGTCTTTCATGCATTGTCAAATCATGTCATGTTGTGTTCATGTTCATGTTCAAATTTATATCCTTAACTTACATGGATTGGATCATTGATGTATTTCTCGCCCAATCCCTCATACACACCCGAATCATCACGACCGAACAAGGGTGTGAATGAATCTCGACGATAGTGGCGATGGCTCTTTGGAGTGCTGAGGATACCATTGTCATTAAATTGGTTTCTATAGGGACTGGTATCAAAGTCTGTTGAGGTAGCATCTGGGGTAGAAGAGGCTTGATGCAGATGCATGTTCGAGTTGTTTCTTGTTGACTTTGGTTGCACAATAAAGGGTGAATTGGTTTCCATTTTTATATCTTTTTTTTTATTGGAATGAGTTCGATATGAGGGTTTATGTCTTTATTAGAATGGGACAAAAAGAGAGAGAGAGAGAGAGAGAGAGCGCAAAGGTAAAGGAAGGAGTAAAGTATATATAAATGTAGGATTAGGAATGACAAAAAGAGTAAAAGTACATGAGAAAGAAAGAAAAGAAGTGAGAAATGTAATGGAATGGAATGAATGAAATGGAATGAGCAGATTTAAATAAAGTGTGTTGTGACTAGCAAAGATATTTCGCCCAAAGGGACAAGAGGGACAAGGAGAGGATTAATAAAAAAAAACAAAAATGGGAATGGGAATGGGAATGGGGAAAGGTATTAAGCACACGACTGCATATGAGCTATACAATACTCTCAAACAGTCGTCTGGAAGATCGTAATGGGCTTGAATCCAAGCACACCCGTCGTCTTCTTTGTCCCTGGAGGCGCAAGAGATCCTGACGCCGGTGTAGTCATCGTCTTATTAAACTGGAATTGTAACCACGAATGCACAGGTAAATGTGACAGACTCTGTCCACGACGCTTCACCATCGGGAGCTTCGTCGGTGCCACAACCGGGGGCAGGATCTTGGGTAGCGGTGTCAAGTTCTCTACCTGAGGACGTCGAGGTACATTCGCTTTGAAAAGACTGTTACTACTGTTACTGCTACTGTTACTATTACTGCTACCAGAGGTATGAAGACCAAATCCTGATGTCGACAACAACGTTCCTTGGCCCGTACTCCGAGATCTCGTCCGTTGAAATGGAGAAAACGGCGTTCGCGTCTGACCAGTCTCAAAAGCAGTCGTGAGTCTTGAAAAATCTCTCCAAACCTCTGCCGGTGGTTCAATAAATGGTTTTTTCTCCTCAGACGTTTGATTGGACGCCTTGTCGGTGGCAGGGGATATTTCAGGGGGTTTAGGTGGCATGATTGGATCTAGAAGCCATGATATAGGGATATGTCTAACAGATGGTTGCGGTTGCAGCGGTGGCTTCGGCTGTCGCTGTGGTTGTGGCTGTGGCTGCGCTAATGGTGTTTGCCTTGGTAAAGCTGGTCCATTCGGCTGATACGCTACATTCGAGATCTCTCTCAGTCTCGGAGGTGCCATGAGTCTGATGTTGCGTTCTGTCGCCTTAGAGATTGCTGGCATGGCATAACGTCTGTTCTGCTGGATAATCATTTTGATAAAGGACATACATTCCTGCTCTGAGAGCACCAACTCTGACACATATTCCGAAGTATTGTCCACCCGCTTTTCAAGCCAATCGATCCGAACTTCCCAGTTTGTCACCGTTTCAATTGCCTAAACACCATCAATCATAACAAGAGATAGTAGAATAAATAGAATGAATGAGGAGAGAGAAAGTGAAAGAGGAGTTGATGAGGATTGAATCGTTAAGAAAGATTCACTTTTTTTTTTTTTTTTTTTTTTTTTTTTCAGATTATACAACTGTACCTCATTGCAGTCGCGTCCCACAGCCTGAATACGCTTCTGGCTCTCTTGACGGTCCTTTTCGATCGTCCGAGCAAGACACTCTAACCGCCAGAAATTCTCTTCAATGGCTGACCTGGCAGAAGCATTGGATGCCTTGCTCTCATCTATCAATGGTGACAGGAGTGAAGGATAACATCAGCATTATGTAAAATAAAATAAAATGGTAATAAAAAAAAAAGGGAGAATGTGTAAACAACGTCAATATTAGCTTTCATTTTTACCAATGCTCTGCTGCATGACTTGAAGCTCATGCTCCATATTTCTCATGGCCCGACTAGCTCGACTCATTTGCGCTCGCGCCTTCTCCAGCTCCTCATTCATATCCGAAAGACTCAAACCAATGCCATGTCGAAGTGAATCGTATGGTTCTTCAGTTGGCTGTCCAAGCTCGTGTCTATAGTGTCCCTCATCCTCCCCTCCATAGGAGGAGCGACGTCGTACTATCGAATGATGGCCCTCAAATTGTTTGTAATAGGGAGTCTTGGCGGTCATGCTGTTCCCCTCGTGATCATTATCAGATTCGTCCTGCGAGTCCCTGTCGTCCTGATCCTCATGAAAATCTTCGTATCGATCCCAATTAAAGGACACAGCACGCGGGGAAAGCCCGGTGGATCCCAGAGTGGACCCTGATCCTGATCCTAAAGAGACCGGAGAGGACATTGACCCCTTTGTGGGCGAGACAACGGAATCTGTTTTGAATGAACGCCAGTCATTTGGAGAGGACAAGTAAGAGTGTTGTGAAGAGGGTGATGCGAATCGACCTTCGATGGTTGAATTCGAATGGAATCCAAAGCTGCTTTCTGTTGGTGACATGGGGGGTGTCATCAGAGATGCATCGAGAGCTGGGTCTACATTTCCAACCTCACGAGATGCTTGCTGTCCTAAAGTAGACTGCGGTTGTGGGGGTATAAAGTATGGTATCATGCCTACAGAAAGGCGAGCAGAGATGGAGGTTGGGTTCAATTCCTCGTTACTACAACTGTTATTGTTGTTGCTGCTGCTGTTAAGGCTAGTGATATCGGAGCCGTCGATGCCTGTTGACTGTAGTTTGGAAAAGGAATAGGAAAAGGGAGATGAAACTGGTGAGAAAGAAAGAAAGAGGTGTGGGTTATATAAGCTAAAAGTCAAAGCGCATTCGAACCTTGGAACGAGAACCTCGCATGTCGGGAGACAATAACTGACAAGATCTTCAAACTCTAGTATTATTTTTTTTTTGAACGAAGAAAAGAGAGAGAAAAAAAAAAGAGAAAGAGAAGGGTAGGTGGGATATGTGGGGTATGTGGGCACAAATGGACTAGAATTGTCAACAGGGACAGCGGTCCCCACAAGGAGCATCCCACACAAGGGCAGAGTAGGATTGCTAAGTCAAAGCAATGTGGTTTGAATAGGAATTGAAGTGTTGGTTAAGCAGGAGAAGAGAATTAGGGTAGAAGAAGAAGAAGAAGAAGCAAAGAACGGCGCAGCTACAAGACAGATGGATGTACTGTATATATATTTTTTTAAAAGGAGTAGAGTGAAGAGCAGACAAGATGGCTCAGCTTCTACAGCTTAGTCTTTTTTTATTTATTTTGTCTGAGGAAGATAATAGAAAGAAAGAAAAAGGGGTTAACAGCTTGTGTTCAATGAGTGAGAATGCAACACCAAAAAGGAGGCACAACATTCTCCCATGCGCTACTGAGCTACTGAATAAGCACAAAAAAATATTCGTTCAACTGCCAAGGGGGGTTAGACAAGTCAGAAACAAGTCATCAGTTTTGGGGATGAACTTGAATGGGATGGAATGATGGAATGAAATAATCCAATGGGATTGAAAGGAAAGATCTGGATCCGAATAAACGAAAACAAAGCCTTTTTTAGCGGAGTGTACGAAGGAAGTTGTCCATGCTGTACAGTTATAGACATGTTACATGTTATGCTTGGACTGCAGATGCACAGAAGAGTATATCGAACGTGTGAATGTTTGGATCTTTTGGTTCTCCTCGTGCGTGCACAAAAGACAAACAACAGTGCTCATGCATGGTGATGCCGAGTGTATGAATTTATCCTCCGGCGCACTCCGCACCAAAAAACATTGGCCATGTACATGTACATGACCATGGCCACATTCACCCCCAGAATCAATAACCAGAAACTTTAATAACCGAGCAATCATCGGTACGTTTCAGGGCAATTGGACTTTCTAGCAAATAGAGCCCGTACTTGATGCTTTCCTGCCGAGATCAATGCAGGTCATGAGGATAGCAAGTAGCAAGTAGCAAGTAGCACGTAGCAAGTTGAAGGTCCTCTCTAGCATAGCCTTGACGGTGTAGATCAACATCAGAATGAAAGAAAGCGGTGTGTCCAAGATTTGTGTACTCAATTGCTCTTTGAATTCGCATCAAATGACTGTGTCAGCAATGCGAGGTCGAAAATGTGACATGCAAAGGAACGAAAACATTGATTGTAGTAACTGTACGACTCTACTTTGCTATCGGCATCAAGCATACAAGTGACGGAAAGGATTATGTGCATCCGGTTTTTTTTTTTTTTTTTTTTTTTTTTTTTTTTTTTTTTTCAAGCTATTCTATACAGCGATGCCATGTATGTTATTAACGAACTGCTATTTAATAGATTTGTTTCATTACCAACCTAGTGGTTGTAAAGTGAGGAATAACCCTATCATCTAAACAAATGAGAAAAAAAAGTTGATGAAGATGTTAAGGAGGATATGCTTAACTCTTGGCGTAGACAGGTTCAAATGTAATATATTTTGTTTTATTCTTTTATTATTGTCATTATTAACAAAGGATATTACTTCAAAGTAGAAATGCTTGATGGTGTCAGCTTTGTAACATGAACATTGTGCAAGTGCAAAGATAATGCATGAGATAGGAGGAATCCTCCTTTGCATTCGAGAAATATATTCTTGTTGCAGGTTGTAATCATTCCTCTTCTCAATAGCACTATTCCAATATAGGTATTCTGTCCTGTTCTTTTCTCCTGAGCAGCTTAGATAGTGCCAGTTTTTCTTCCTTTCCAAATGAGTTGTACCTCAAGTCCAAAGTGATCAAGGTCGTGTTTGTCTTGAGTGCCTCTGACAGTGCCAGAGCTCCTTCCTTCCCAATTGAGTTGTAACTCAAGTCCAAAGTGATCAAGGTCATATTTGTCTTGAGTGCCTCTGACAGTGCTAGAGCTCCTTCATTCCCAATTGAGGTGCTCGTCAAGTTCAAATTGGCCAGACTGGTGTTTGTCTTGAGTGCCTCTGACAGTGCCAGAGCCCCTTCATTCCCAATTGTGTTGTATCCCAAGTCCAAATTGGTCAAGGTCGTGTTTGTCTTGAGTGCCTCTGACAGTGCCAGAGCTCCTTCTTTCTCAATTGAGTCCCAATTCAAGTTCAAATTGGTCAGACTGGTATTAGTCTTGAGTGCCTCTGACAGTGCCAGAGCTCCTTCTTTCCCAATTGTGTTGTATCCCAAGTCCAGATTGGCCAAGGTCATATTTGTCTTGAGCGCCTCTGACAGTGCCAGAGCTCCTTCTTTCCAAATTGAGTTTCTCTCCAAGTTCAGATTGGCCAAGGTCATATTTGTCTTGAGTGCCTCTGACAGTGCTAGAGCTGCTTCATTCCCAATCGAGTTGTTCTGCAAGATCAAACTAGTCAATGTCGCGTTTGTCTTGAGTGTTTCTGCTAGTACCAGAATTATTTCATTCCCAATCGAACTGTAACTCAGAGTGGCGGACGTCGCGTTGCCTTTGAGTACCTCCGACAGTTCTTCCTCAATTAAAGTGCTCTGCAGGCCCAAGGTAGTCAATGTTGGACTTGTTCTGAGCGCGCCTAAAAGCGCCAGGACTCCTTCCTTCTCAATCGGATTGTCTCTCAAGTCTAAAGTAGCCAAATACCTATTAACCTTGAGTGCCTCTGAGAGTGCTAGAGCCCCTTTATCTTCAATGGAGTTGCTCTTCAAATCCAAGCTGGCCAAAGTCATGTTGGTCCCGAGTGAATTTACAAGCACTCGAAAATCACCTGGTCTGATATCTCGCGGTCTCATCTCAAAGGTTAACTCATGATGATGTCGCAACTTTTGGTTTGATAAGCTGGAAAGCTTGGTGAAATCTGGAGACAGTACAATACGGACCACTTTCATAGTGTTGAGCTCTATAATACGAACAAGTTTTTCATATCTCGCAGTTGTTGAACGTAATTTCCTGGTATTGTCTTCCTGAGTACTACCAAGGTCAAGCCGAAGCATCGATATACTCGATGCTCTTAACGCATTCTCAAGTGTTTCAAGATCAGCCTTGGTCCAGTCCCAACCTCTATTGAACGTAATATCCAGCTCGTAAACACGTTTTGCTTTGGTCATGGCATCAAAGAACCCTCTGGCTGCGGCTCTGGACCTCAACTCAATGACTACTTTACCAAGCTGTGAGTCATACTCGCCACCGTTCATCTCCACAACATCTTCAAAGGCTTTCTGCTCTTTCTCTTTATATGTTGAACTGAAGTGGCCGATACAAACCCATTTGACATGGCCTGCTTCTGTCGTAATCCTGTACAAGTTGCCAAGCTTGCCATCTTCATCGTTGATTTGAAGGAATTTGCTCAGTCCTCGGAGATCTGCTCCTTCAAGTGCTTCATAGTCCTCGATTGTGTTGATGCTTTTCAAGGCCGGGTACTCAACAGAAAGTGTTCTCATATAGTCGAGTGAATAATCAATACCGGCTTTGAGATCTGGGACTGACCCAAGCGAGGCAGCCAAAGGCATCCCTACGCTGAGGCACTGTAAAAGGATGGCCATGTATTTCCCATATTTTTGAAAGAACTCTGTGCTGTTTCGGACTATATATCCTTCATGTTTGGCAAAATGGATTTGATTTTGACTGCTCTTGCCTGTCTCTACAGTGTGATCCCCGCACTCACATAGGAAATGAAGGCGGAACTTCTTTCTCAAGATATTCATTGGGTCCCACTTGGTACGATCGATAGGCAAAATGATAAACAGCCGAGGGATTGGGTACTCGTGTAGCTCAAAGGACTGGATAAGGATAGCTTCAGCTTTCTGCTGAAGGATGGCAAGTCTGTCGAGTGCTTGCTGTTGTAAATTAAGAGTCTCCTTGTGCATTTCAAGCATTCTGTCGTCCTTCTTCTTTGCCTCCAATTGCAGTTTAATAACCTCATCGTTCTTCTCCTTTAGCTCCAATTGCATTTTATGTACTTTCAGTTGCATTTCTTGCATGCCGACTTGGAGTGTATGCATCTTGCCTTACAGTGTAAACATCTTCTCGTCCTTCTCTCTGGCCTTCACTAACAACTCCTTGATCTCTTCAAAGTGAGAGTTGAAGTTCTCATTATTATGAACAGTAAGAGACAAGTTGACAGTTTGAACCAAGGTCGATGTTGGCAAAAGAGAATCTTGAACAACCAAACTTTTCAACTCTCTCGATGCAGCCAAAGGGACGACAGCATTACTGCTACTGCTGATGCTGCTGAAGTTGCTGGGTTGTGGTGCGTCTGTTATGACGTCCAGGATCTTGTCGGGGTAGAATGCAATACGCAGAGGTTCGATCCTAATAGAACATAGACAAAAATGATGTGTCAGATCGGGTTCTCCTTTTCTTCTAGGAGCATTTAAAAGAGCACCATGGTAAAGCAATATACCTATTGTCATTGGCGTCTAAAAGGAATGGAATGGGATGTCCATTCAACTTGAAGCGTAGTGCATCTGGAAACACATCTCGAATGTCCTGCAAACTCACATAGCAGGATGAGTTGCCAATGCTTGCACTGATGGAAGCAGTTCTGACACAAACTTCCTCAATGATGCCGTTTTTTGGAATTGTTGGTATTGAAGTTCTGTCATTTCGATGATGATTCAAGAGATGAAGACAAGCTGGCAAACATTTCTCTTGTAAGATGCTGATTGATCCATTATTTTTTAACTTTGCACGCAGGGGCGTAAAAATCAGATATTGCATGAATCTACCAGCTGTATCTGCATCCCATTCCACCGAGATGAAGTATCCTTTATTGAGGATAGAAATTCACCCAAAAGATGGCCTTGCCTGCAACGGTTGAAGATATGACTGAGGTGGTTAAGTCCGCCTCCTTGAGCTATTGACATGAACAGCAGTGTTGATTAGTACCCGCTCCCTGGACTTCTTCAAACAGACATCCCCAACCTGAAATGTTTTTCCAGCAGATCAAAATTATTCACAATTACATAGCATGGAAGGAGTCCACCACACAGTCCACTATCTTTTGGCATCACTGAGCACCATTCAAGATCGCCCAGGAGGACAGAATCAGGTTCTAGGGGTAGGGGAGAAACTGGTGATTCGCGTAGCGGTCTATCCAACCAAGAATGTGCTGATCTCTCAGACTATAGACAACAGCTTCTCATCCATGTAAGTAACCATACAATTGCCTGAAAGGACTACATTTTTTTTTTCCTTCTATTTTCTTCAATAACACGATGCATGTTGCTCACAAACTAGTATTTATTTTATTTGCTTTATTACTAATGTGGTACTTATAAAGTCAGGAGTGACACTCTCTCTCCTAAGAAAGAAGTTGGTTATGATGTTAAAGAAAAAAAAAAAAAAAAAAAAAAAAAAGAGTCGACACATTTTTTTTAAGATAGTATTCATTGCTCTTCAGTATTCTTTTCCCAGCTAGTGTAAGCAGGTTTAACCGTAATATTTATATTTTTTTTATATCTTATCTTACACTGGTAAAATATCTATGGATGCCACCTAGCAGTTTGGCTTGATGCTATGGCTGTTAGAGACAAAGACTTGAACATGCAATCAATCAATTTTTTAAAGTCTCGAATGACAACCATCTATAGATCAGTATGGAGATTCGGTAACCTACCTCTAGCGAAAAAGGAGCCACAAAGGCGTTTTGTTTTCCATTAGGCTGGAGGAAGAAGGAGTGGAAAATAGTGATTGTTGCTAGATGCGCTAAAAGAGTAGAAGCAAGTAAATGGTGAACAGAGTGCATCATGATGATATGGCTTGATATATAGTTTTTGCTGATTGATTTTTCACTGATTGATTTTACTTCCTTGGTATGCATGCAATAAACGGTTATTTTCTGCTAGGAGAAGACACAGAGAACTGGGTCTAATCTGTCCATGAGTTGATGGAAGTTAAAGGGGCAAATTTGCCCGGTTTACGGTCCGAGGGATAAACTAAATGATTAGGGCCAAAGAAGTACATGTTTCTTTCTTTCTTTCTTTCTTTCTTTCTTTTTTTCTTCGTGTAATGCCTCGCGCCGTGGCAGCACACAGCCGCGGGTCCTTAGGACCTTAGTAAATAGACAATCCGTAAGACTGTGGCTTCACCACGGTCGGCTCTTGTAAATGATATAGCTATATGGGCCTAGCATTCTGTACAGGACCACTTACGGCGTTATTAAGGTAACTGAAGTTGAAAGCTTGAGTTCAGCAAGCATTAATCACTACAGTGCCAAAAAAGAGCTTCCTATAATTGTTAAACGCCGAATTTACTCCCTTTTCATTGCTCTAGTTCTCAACTCCAATACCAATGTTAGTATTCTATATCGGTCCTGAAATACACTCTTATTCAGGATTCCGTACTAAAGTACTATGCACGACTCTTATTTTATGTTTCATTGCTAATGCAGTGATTAAAAAATGAGGAGTGGTCCTGTCATCTAAAAAAAAAAAAAAAAAAAAGCTGATCAGCATGTCAAAGAGAAAAAAAAGCCGGCACATTTTTTTAAGGTAGCATTCATATATATATTTGTATTGTTATTTTAGAATGTAAAAAGAAAGAGTGAAGAGGAGATTGCTCCAGAGTAAAAACGCTTATTGTTGCCAGATTTGTAGTATGCACATTTTAAAAGCGCAAAAACATGACGCATAAGATAGGAGGAGCCTCCATTAGCATTCGAGGGTTACATTAATCTAGCGGGTTGCTATACTGAAAAACGCTCCTTGAAATTCTCGGGTGAGGCGGTCTATAGTCTATCAGATCCATTGAGCAAATTGAGTTGTTGCCCAAGTCCAACCGAGCCAAAGTCGTATTTGTCTCGAATGCCTGTGCGAATGCCCGAGCCCCTCCTTCCTCAATTAAGTTGCACCTCAAATCCAAATGTGTCAAAGTAGTGTTTGTCTTGAGTGCCTCTGAGATTGCCAGAGCTCCTTTATCCTTAATGTTGTTCATCGTCAAGGCCAACTTGGTCAAAGCCATGGTAGTCTTGAGTACCTCTGAGAGTACCAGAGCTCCTTCATCCCCAAAGCGGCTTCTCTCCAAACCCAACTTGGTCAAAACCATATTTTTCTTGAGTGCCTCTAAGATTGTCAGAGCTCCTTCCTTCCCGAATTTGTTGTAACCCAAATCCAAATATGTCAAAGTCGTATTTGTCTCGAGTGCCTGTGCGAATGCCCGAGCTCCTCCTTCCTCAATTAAGTTGCTACGCAAATCCAAATGCGTCAAAGTCGTGTTTGTCTTGAGTGCTTCTGAGAGTGCCAGAGCTCCTTCATTCCCAATTGAATTCCATTCCAAGCTCAAGTTGGTCAAAGTCGTGTTGGCTTTGAGGGCCTTTGATAGTACCGAAGATCCTTCATCCCCAATTAAGTTGTCCCCCAATTCTAAATTGGTCAAGGTCATGTTTATCTTGAGTGTCTCTGAGAGCGCAAGAACCACTTCATCTCTGATTGTGCTGTCATGCAAATGCAAAGTGGACGAGGTCATGATGCCTTTGAGTGTCTTTGACAGTTCCCCCATAACTAGGCTGTCCTGCAAGCCTAAAGTGGTCAAAGTTGGGTTAGCCTTGTGCGCATCTAAAAGTGCCAAGACTCCTTCCCTCTTAATTGGGTTATCCCTCAAGTCCAAAGTAGCCAGAGCCGTATTAGACTTTAGCGCCTCTGACAGCGCAATGGCCCCTTCATTTTCAATCAAGTTGCTCCTCAAGTCCAACCTGACCAAAGCCTTGTTTAGCTTGAGCGCCTCTGAGAGTGCCAGGGTCCCTTCCTTCTCAATCCTGTTGTATCTCAAGTCTAGGCTATCCAAAGTCGTATTTGTCTTGAGGGCCTCTGATAGTGCCAGAGCCCCTTCAGCCCCAATTTTGTCGTGCAAGCTCAAATTGGTCAAAGTTGATTTGGCTTTGAGCGCCTCCACCAGTATAGCGGCCTCCTCTTTCTCAACTAAGCTGCCCCACAAGCCCAAAGCTGACAAAGTCGCGCAAGTCCTGCGTGTATCTAAGAGCGCCAGAGCTCCCTCCTTCCCAATCAAGTTGTTCCTCAAGTCCAAAGTAGTCAAAGCCGTGTTGAACTTGAGTGCCTCGGACAATGCAAGAGCTCCTTCATTCTCAATTAGGTTACACACCAAATTTAGATTGGACAAAGTAAGATTGGACTTGAGCGCTTCTGACAGCGCCAGAGCTCCTTCATTCCTAATTTTGTTGTTCTCCAAATCCAATAAGGTCAAAGCCGTGTTGGTCTTTAGAGCCTTTGACAACGCCTGAGCTCCATCATCCCCAACTTCGTTGATACTCAAGTCCAAAGTGGCCAAAGTCGTGTTGGTCTTGAGTGCTTTTGAGAGTGCCAGAGCTCCTTCATCACCAATTGAATTATAACAAAAGCGCAGAGTGATCAAAGTTTTATTGGTTTTGAGTGCCTCTGAGAACGCAAGAGCCCCATAATCCCCAATTGAATTGCTCCACAAGTTCAAGGCGGCCAAAGTCTTGTTAGATTCGAGTGCCTTTGCGAGCGCAGTAGCTCCTTCATCCCCGATTGAGTTTGCCTCCAAGTCCAAATATGTCAAAGTCGTGTTAGTCTTGAGCGCCGCGGCCAGTACTAGAGCTCCTTCATCCCCAATTGAGTTGTCGTACAAGTCCAAATACGTCAAATTCGTGGCAGACTTGAGCGAGTTTACAAGGACTCGAAGATCGCTAGTTCCAATCCACCGAGGCCTTATCGCAAAGGATAACTCATGAAGGTGTGATGACGCCTCAGTTTGTAATTTGGGGACCTTTATGACATCCGGTGATAGAATGATATGAATTGTTCTCATATTACCAAGCTCCATGATGCGAAGAAGCATTTCATATCGCGTGGATGCTGCAAGCAGTTGCCTCGTAATGCTTTCACGAGACCATCCAAGGTCAAGTCGAAGAATTGATATATTCGACACTCTCAGGACATTCTCAAGTGCTTTAAGATCTGCCTTGGTCCAATCCCACTTGAGTGTGATATCTAACTCGCAAATATATTTGGCACTAGTTAAGGCTCCAAAGAATTTACCAGCTCTGGTTCTGGATTCCAATTCGATAACGACTTTACCAAGGCGTGGTTCGTATTTCCCACCATTCATCTCCACTGCATTTTTAAGCCTTGTCTGATCTCTCTCCTTATACGTCGGATGAAAGTGGTCGGCACAGACCCATTTGACATGGCCTACTTCTGTCGTGGTCCTGTACAAATCGCCAAGCTTCATATCTTTACCGTTGGCGTAAAGGAATGTCCCCAGTTGCTGGAGATCGGCCCCTTCAAGCACCTCATTATCATCGATTGTTCTGATGTTTTCCAAGGCCGGATACTTGACAGAGAGTGCTCGCATATAATCGAGTGAATATTTGATACCAGCAGCAAGTGGGTTTGGGCCCGATGGTGGAGAAAGAGTCGAGGACAATCTCATTCCTACTTCGACCCACCGTAAAAGGACGAAAATGTGTTTCCCATATTTTCGAAAGAATTCTGTACTGTTTTGAAAATCATACCCTTTGTGTTTGGTAAAATCGAGTGCGTCCTTACTGCATTTGCTTGTCTCTGCAGAGTGAATGCCATATTCACATAGGAAGTGAAGGCGGAACTTGTTCCTTAAGATATTTATTGGATCCCACTTGGTTAGATCGATAGGTAAGATAATAAAGAGTCGAGGGATTGGGCACTCGTGCAGCTCAAGCTTCTGCATGAGAGTAGCTTGGGCATGCTTTTGGAGGATTTCAAGTTTGTTGAGGAGCTGAGCACGTTTTTGGAGGAAGGTAAGTTTGTCAAGGGCTTGATGTTGTGAACTAGTGACCGTTTCATCGTTCTCTTTAGCTTTTAATTGCAACTCAACCAGCTTGTCATTCTTTTCTTTGATTGCTTGGGACTTGTTCATCTTTTTAAGGTTAGAGTTGACATCCACAGTCTGCGTGCTATTACTAGCAGTAGGAGCGGAGTTGGATGGTCGAGCAGCTTTTCGTAATCGCATAAGAGAGTTCAGAATATCCGACGCCCCCAAAGCTGGTAAATGAACATAAGTACTTCTGTAGTTGTTGTGCGACGATTCCATAGTGACTTCCAAGGCCTTGCCAGGATAGGTTGCAATGCGTAAAGGTAGGATTCTAAAATGGAAGAGGGATTAGAAAATAATAAAAAAATAAAAAAAAAATATGAATGTCATTGAGTTCTCTCATTTCCTTTCCAGAGCAATCGAATAATCGCAAAGCAGAATACCTGCTGCCATAAGTGCCACTAAGGAAATTAACAGGACACCAACCCTCCTTGAATAGCACTGCGTCTGGAAACACGACTCGAATATCCCGCAAACACACAAATGACAATTTGTCGTTTCTTGCAAATAACAATTTCTCGTTTCTTTCAGAGCCGTTTATAGTTCTGACACGAACTTTTTCAATTCTGGTGTTGTATCGGAAATGTTGGTATTGAGGTTCAGTCATCTTGGTGTTAATTCGAGGAGGAATGGTGACAAGATGGAAGGATTCCTCATTTCACCTTTTTTTTTTTTTTTTTTTTTTTTTTTTCTTTTTTCTTTTTTTCAGCTTCGCCATTTGTGTAACAAGGAATGGACAGTGCATCGATTTAATGAACTGTCCCAATTCGATGATGTGCCTGAATATGAATTGGGTTTCTTGCTACAGATGCTTCTACCAACCATATATCTCTTTGAGTATTTCTTGCTCTCTGTCTTTGTACTGGACTGGACTCCTGTCTAATGGGCTAATGCGTTTTAAGCTGGGACCACTCTACGGCATCCTCACTCCATTAGCTATGCTGACATAGACAGGTTCAACTGTAATATCTTTTTTTTATTTTTGCTTAAAAAAAAAATCCTTCCTAGTAAAATACCCATTTCCAGTTTTCTACACAAATAAATATCCTGAAAGGACAAGCATACTGCATGAGAGGAGCTGGTTGAGATCATTCTTTACTAATAGCGTCCATAGATCTTCTTCACCTCGAGTACCTTGGACAGTCCAAGAGCTCCCTCATCCTCAATTGGGTTACTATGCAATCCCAACCTGATCAAAGTCGAATTGACCTTGAACGCCTCTGACAGTGCAATGGCTCCTTTAATTCTAATTTTGTTGGCATTCAGTTCCAAATATTTCAAACTCATGTTGGCCTTTAGCGCCTTTGACAGCGCCAGAGCACCTCCGTCTCTAATACAATTGCCATTTAAGCTGAAATAGGTCAACGTTGCGTTGACCTTTAGTGCCTCTGACAGTACAAGGGCCCCCCCATCCCCAATCTTGTTGCTATTCAAGTATTTTAAAGTTGTATTGGTCTTGAGTAGCTCAGACAGTGCAAGGGTCCCTTTCTTCTCAACTGTGTTACCCTCCAAGTGCAAAGATCGTAGAGCCGCGTTGACCTTGAGTGCCCTTGACAATGCTTGAGCCCCTTCCTTCCCAATCGAGTTTTTTGTCAAGTACAAGCAGGCCAACGTCGTGTTGGCCTTGAGCATCTCTGACAACACTAGAGCTCTGTTCTTAACACAGATGCTATGCAAGCCCAAATCTCTCAACATCGTGTTTGTCTTTAGTACCTCTGACAGTGCAAGAGCTCCTTCATATCCAATTGGGTTGCAACTCAGGTTCAAACTACTCAAGGTGGTATTTGTCTTGAGTGCCTTTGAGTGCCAGAGCTCCTTCATTCCCAATTGAGTTGTAAATCAAGTCTAAAGTGACCAGATATGTGTCGTTCTTTAATACCTCTGATAGCACAAGGGCTCCCTGATCCCCAATCCTGTCGTCGTACAAGCTCAAGTAAGGATTCGCATAGCCCTCGAGTACCCCTATCAGTGTAAAAGTTTTATTCTTTCCAAAAAAGCCACCCCACAAACCCAAAGTAGCCAAAGTCGGGCTTGTCTCGAGCGCATATAACAGCGCCAGAGCTCCTTCTTTCAAAATGAGTTGCTCCTCAGGTCTAAAGCGGTCAAAGTCGTGTTAACCCTAAGGGCCTCGGACAATGCAAGAGCTCCTTTATCTCCAATCGAGTTGCAATTTAAATTTAAATTGATTAGTGTCGTGTTACTCTTGAGTACCACTGAGAATGCCAGAGCTCCCTCATCTCCAACCGCGTTGAGGCTCAATTCCAAGTGTGTCAAAGTCGTATTAGATTTGAGTGCCGCTGAGAGTGCCAGAGTCCGTTCATCCCCAATTGAGTTCGAACCCCATCTCAACCATAAATCGGTCAAAGTTGTATTGGTCTTGAGTGCTTCTAAGAGTACCAGAAATTCTTCATTCCTAATTGATTTATCAACCAATTCCAAGCGCGTTAAAGTCGTATTGGTTTTGAGTGAATTAAAAAGTATCCGCAGATCATCATTTCCAATCTCTCGAGGCCGCATCTCAAAAGACAACTCATGAAGGTGTGGTGGCTTTCTGTTTGGTAGCTTGGAAAGCTTGATGAGATCTGGAGGTAGTACAATTCGGATCGTTTTCATTTTGCGAATTTCTATTATATGACCAAGGATTTCATATACTTCATATGTTGAACGTAGTTTCCTGGCAACGATCCCTTGAGCCCATCCAAGTTCGAGTCGAAGAATCATTACACTCGACATTCTTAGAACATTCACTAATGCTTCAAGATCAGCCTTGGACCAAACCCGATGGAATTTGATATCCAACTCGTAGACATGTTTTGCATTGGTCAAGGCACCAAAGAATTCTCTAGCTCTCTTTCTGGAATAGAATGCGATAGCCACTTTGCCAAGTTGCGAGTCATATTTAGCACCTGTCATCTTCATTACATTTTCAAACACACTCTGTTCCTCCGCTCCATATGTAGAACGGTAGTGTTCGACACAGACCCATTTGACACGTTCTGTTTCCGTCATGGTCCTATACAAATTTCCAAGGTTCCTCTCCCGTAATCGGATTTAAGGAACGTACTCAGCTGTTGGAGATCCGTCCCATTAAGTGCCGCGTAGTCCTCGATTGAAGTGATGCTGTTTAAGGCCGGATACTCCTTTGAGAGCTCTTTCATATAGTCAATTGAGCAATCAATATCAATGTCGAGTAAATTTTGGGAATGATGACACAGAAGCAGATGAGGGCGTTCCCATCCTCAACTTGAACCACTGTAAAAGGATGAGCATACACTTTCCGTACTTTTGAAAGAACTTTGTGCTGTTTCGGATATCATATCCTCCATGTTTGACAATATGGCTTTGGTTTTGACTACCCTTGCTTGTCTTTTCTGTGTGATATCCGCATTCACAAAGGAAATGAAGGCGGAGCTGGTTCTTCAAGATATCCTTTGGGTCCCATTTGGAGCTGTCGACAGGTAAAACGATAAATAATCGAGGGATTGGACATTCGTGTATTCCTACGTTCTGGTTGAGGATAGCTTCAGCTTTCATTTGAATGATGGCAAATCTATTGAGGGTTTAGTGTTGTGAGTTGATTTTGTCATCCTTCTCCTTAGCCTCCAGCTGTAGTTTATGCACCTCCGATTACAGTTCAAGCATCTTGTTTTGCACTTCTAATATCTTGTCGTTCCTCTCTCTGGCCCCCGGAAGCAACTCTTTAGTCTCTTCATACTGAGGGCTGATATTTTCGATTTGGACGCTATTGTGAACAGTATGAGAATAGTTGGAGGGTTGAGCCAAGTTCGATAATGGTAAAAGGGAGTCTCCCAATATCGGCAAATGGATAATGGAGCTGCTGTTACTGTTGCTGTTGCCGTTGTCACTGCTGGACTGTGGTACTTCTGTAATGATATCCAGAATCTGGTAAGGATAGAATGCAATACGTGGAGGTTCGATTCTAATGGAACAGGTAAAGACATGTTTAAATGGTCCTCTCCTCTCCTTTCCAGAGCAATTGATAAGGGCACCATGAAAAAAAAAAAAAAAAAAAAAAAAAAAAAAACACACCTGTCGCCATCAGGCCCTAAAAGGAATGGAATGGGATGTCCTTCCATGTTGAACTGTAATGCATCTGGAAACACCTCTTGAATGTCTTGCAAAAGCACAAAGCATGATGAGCTGCCATTGTTTGCATTGGTGAAAGAGTTTTTAACACAAATTTCTTCAATGATGTCGCTGTTGGCCTTTCGGACCTGTTGATGCAGTCGAGAGGAAATGCTTTCCCATTTCTCTTTTTAAACAGGTAATGCAACCGACCGGCTTTGCCATTTCGTGGTGAAAAAGAAAGAATTTGTAATACTTTTCCGGGAGTGTTGTCCATCAGTATGTCAAGTATCGCGTTTTGAACAATTAACATGTGAAGCGCAGTCATATCAGCGCCGTGTCCTTTTCCTCTTTGAGGATATCTCCAGAGTACAAGAAAGTACGGTTACTGTATATATCCCTGGCAAAGAACAGATGGACAAAGATGCTATGCAGTTGTTCAATCTGTTTCTGTAGAAAGTTTTTCGATGATCCCAAATCCAACAAAAAGCGCTCCTGAGCATGAATGATGCTTTCTTTTTGCGACAACTGTTTTCTTGGAGGCATTCCTTGGTCTCTGTCTTCATGCTGGGCTCACATTTGGTTTGTTCGTCTCAAGTTGGCAGTTGGCATTGGTTGACCCAATGTGGAAGTTAACAATTGGATGTCCTGTCTCCATCTCTTCGTCTTCTCTTCTCTCTTATTCGGTTAGGACGAGTGATCTGAAGCATTCAAGCGTTAAGGGAAATCAATGGAAAACAAAGATACCCTAACATGCACCCCAAATTTCGTAAAGCAAGGCGACATTGTACATGCAGTCCTTTTATATGTAGCGCTTTCGAAGAAAGAACAGTGTTGATGGTCAGTTTGTATTTGACAGTGCTTAAAAAGGCATCTGCATGCTAAGCTTAGACGTTTGATAATAGGAGCTGGGGCTACTCTTTCTTCGATTGAAAATGGATTCTTTTAGGACTAATTCAAAGAGCGGGCAGTTATCGTCTCGTCGCAGAACATTCACTCGTAAATTTGCATCCAACATTGGTTTCGAATCCTTCCTGCTTTAAGGTGCTTCCATAGAGCATGAATCTATTATACGGAAACTTTGACCAGGTATAGTGCTGCCTTGCAAGTCATCGCTTAGTTAATCGGGATACCAACGAAGGCAACCTTGATTTTGTGCTAGATCTTAACAATGACAAAACGAAGACAAACATTTGTCTCCATTTCCAACAGCTTTCCCTTCTAAAAAGCAGTTCAGTGGCATTTCTAACAATTTTACAAGCAAAAGATATCTCCTCATGGGATCTCATCGGAATGAAAGTTTAAGAGCAAAGGGTGATTGAAGGAGCATAGTTATTGGAAAGATAATAAACAAGAACAGAGAGCTTGGAATTAGCTGGGCTTTGTATAATTCAGCTTGTGGTTGTTTACGGTCCCTCGACGACTGTTTGTAATTTTTTTTTTTTTTTTTTTTTTTTTTTTCGACACAAGGATCCCCACTCCTGCTGGATATAGTATCATTAGGAAACGTCGCCCTATTTTAGTTCCTACTCTATCCAATTTTTAGCCGGTCCTCAATGAAATGGCACTTCGCAGTGGATTTGCTCCTTCGTTAAGGCCCTGCTTTGGCTGCTACACACACTTCTGCAAGTTCTCGATGCTGATATCCTCTTTTGTGATCAAAGTAGAGGTATGCATTCATTCCGTTGGCTCCAGGAGCCTTTGGTTCTGTTGCAGGGCCGCAAATTCCTCTGGGGAAAACTGTCAGGCAAGGTGTACTCTAGTTATCTTACAAGCTATGATAAGGTGGTTCATATTTGATAAAGGGATAGTTACCCAACATCGCCTGTGGACTCTTTGGGCTGCTTTGATAGAAACTTCAAAATGACTTGGACACATACTTTGACGGTTTCTCAACTCAAAGGATAGAATGGTTACAAAAAAGTACTATATTGCTCAGTTTAATGACTACATATAACTTTTCTTTGTAGAAAGACGCTCATTGAAATTAAATAGAATGGACTCTTGACACCATTTGACGTGTTGGGCTTTTCCTGCAAGGAGAAACGAAAGAGCCGACATTGAAAGATCATAAAAGCAACATCATTATAAATACTTGCGTGCAACAAGTTAGATTTAATTTAAGCCATCTTCCTAGACTACATAACTATCCCAACACCATTTCAATGGCTGAACCAGCCAAGAGGATTAGACAATAAATCAAAATCGAACAGATGATATTGAGCGGCCTTAACACCTAACAGTGCCAGGGGTCCTTTACTGCCGATTGAAATGTCACTCCAAACGAAGGGTCAAAGCTGTGTTTGCCATAAGGGCCTCTGACAGTGCTAGGGAGCCTTCTTCCCCAATTACATTGTAAACCCCCATTGAGCCGCCACTCAGGTTCAAGGTGGTCAGAGCCGTGTTAACCTTGAGTGCCTCCGCCAGTGCAAGGGCTCCTTCCTTCCCGATTGAGTTGTTCCCCAAATCCAAAGTGGCCAATGTCATGTTAGTCTTGAGTGCCTCTGAGACGGCAAGAGCCTCTCCATCCCCAAATGAGGTGCGCCACAAGTTCAAAGTGGTCAAAGCGGAGTTCGTTTTGAGCATTTCTGCTAATGCAAGGCCCCCTTTAATCCCAATTAGATTACCCCCCAGGGTCAAAGCAGTCAAAGTCGTGTTAGCCTTGAGTGCCTCTAATAGCACCAGGATTCCTTCCTCTTTAATTAAGTTGGACATTAAGTTTAGGTTGGCCAGAGTGGTGTTAGCCTTGAGCATCTCTGAGAGTGCAAGAGCCCCTCCGTCCCCAATATAATTGTAAGTCAAATTCAAAGCAGTCAAAGATGTATTCGTCTTGAGTGTTTCTGGTGATGCAATGACTGCTTCCTCCCCAATCGAGGTGCCAATTAAGGTCAAAGTGGTCAATGCCTTGTTGGCCTTGAGTGCTTCTGACAGTGCCCGAGCCCCATCCTCCCTAATCGCATTGCCTTTCAAGTCCAAAACGGTCAAAGTCGTATTAATCCTTAACATCTCTGAAAGCTTCAGAGCTCCTCTAGCCCCAATTGCGTTGTGCCCTAAGCGCAGGGCGGTCAAGGTCGTGTTGGTCTTGAGTGCCTCTGATAATGCAAGAGCTCCTTCCCCCCGAATTAAATTGCCCTGTAAGTCCAGGTTGGTTAAACTCGTGTTAGTTTTGAGCGCCTCCGAGAGCGCCATAGCTCCTTCCTTCCAGATAGAGTTGCATCTCAAGCTCAAAGTGGTCAGAGCTGTGTTAACCTTGAGCGCTTTCGATAGCGTAAGAACCCCTCGGCTCATAATCTTGTTGTAACTCAAGTCCAGATTGGCCAGAGTCACGTTAGTCTTGAGTACTTGTGAAAGTATTAACACTTCTCCTTCTCCAATTGAGCTGTTTGTTAAATTCAAAGTGGTTAAATTTGTGTTGGTCTTGAGTGCCTCTGATAGCACAAAGAGTCCTCCGCTACTAAATGTGTTGTAGCTCAAATTCAAGATGGTTATATTCGTGTTGGCCTTGAGCGCTTTTGACAGTACAAGGGCCTCTTCATTTAAAATTGTATGGCCTTTCAAACGCAAGGTAGTCAAAGCCGTACTAGACTTGAGCGCTTCTGGAAGCGTCTTTGAGATCCTAAGAGCCCCAATATCCTCAATTGAGCCGCTTCCCGGGCGTAAAGCAGCCAAAGTCCTGTTAGCTCTGCGTACCTCTGACAGCGCCAGCGTTCCTTCCTCTCCAATTAAGTTGCATTCCAGGTCTAAGGTGGTCAAAGTCGTGTTGACCTTGAGTGCCTCTGAGAGCGCCAAAGCTCCTTCATCCCCAATATAGCACTGATTCAAGTCCAATGTGGTCAAAGCTGTGTTAGCTTTAAGCGCATCCGATAGGTCACGAGCCCCTATGTCCCAAATTGAGTTGTTCCTCAGTCGTAAAGCGGTCAAAGTCATGTTAACCTTGAGCATTATAGACAGCGCTAGTGCTCCTTCTTCCCCAATTCTGTTGTGCTCCAAATTTAAAGTGGTTAAAGATGTATTGCTCTTGAGTGCCTCTGAGAGCGCAAGGGCTCCTTCGTTGCCAATTTGGTTGCCACTCAAGGTTAAATGTTTCAATGTCGTTTCGCTTTTGAGCGCCTCTGACAGCGCTAAGGCTCCTATCTCCTTAACTGCATTGGACCTTAGGTCTAGATATGTCAAAGTCGTGTTGTTCTTGAGTGATTTCACAAATATTTGAAAATCATTGGGATAAATCTTTATAGGGGTTATCTCAAAGGATAGCTTATGAAGATGTGATGGTCTCCTGGTCGGCAAATCGGAAAGCTGTATGAGATATCGAGGGAGTACAATGTGAATCGTTTTCATACTACCAAGTCTTATGATGCGTGCAAGTACTTCATATCGCGTGGATGTTGAAAGAGGTTTGCCCTTGTTGCTTTCTTGAGATAGTCCAAGATCAAGTTGAAGAGCCGATACATTCGATACTCTTAGAGCCCCCTCTAATTCTCGGAGGAAATTATTACTCAACTCAGAGTCATATGTGATATTCACCTCGTAAACATGCTTTGCTTTGGCCAAGGCATCGAAGAATTCTTTAGCTCCGACTCTGGATCCCAACTTAATGACCACTTTACCAAGCTGTGAATCATATTTGCCACCATTTATCACCACAATATCTTCAAACGCTTTCTGTTCCTCCTCTGTGTATGTTGAACGATAGTGCTTGCCGCAAACCCACTTGACATGACCTCTTTCAGTTGTGGTTCTGTACAGGTCACCAAGTTGCCTGTCTCCAACGCTAATTTGAAGGAATGTGCCCAGCTGTTGGGGATCGGCCTCTACAAGTGCCTCATTGTCATCGATTGCGTTGAAGTTGTTCAAGGCCGGATACTCGGCAGAGAGTGCTTTCATATAGGCGAGCGAATAATCGATACCAGCATCCAGTAGATTTAAGACTGGTGCCATAGAAGCAGATAAGGACGTTCCCATCCCCAACTTGAACCACCGTAAGAGGATGGCCATGTATTTCCCATACTTCTTAAAGAACTCTGTAATGTTTCGGATCTCATATCCACCGTGTTCAGTTGTATGGATTCCGTTCTGACTGCACTTGCTTGCCTCTACGGAGTGGTCCTCACATTCACATGGAAAATAAAGGCGGAGCTCGTTCTTCAAGACATTCGTTGGGTCCCACTTGGCGCTGTTGACAGGCAAAACTAAGAATAAGCGAGGAGTGGAGTACTCATGCAGTTCAAGGTTATGTATGAGGATAGCTTGAGCATGCTTTTGGAGGATGGCAAGTTTGTCGAGGGCTTGATGTTGCGAGCTACTGATCATTTCATCTTCCTCTGTAGCTTCCAATTGCGACTCAATCAACTTTTCGTCCTTTTCTTTGGTTGCTTGGGACTTCATCTCTTTCAGGTTAGAGTTGACATCATCCGCAGTCTGTATGTTATTACCTGCAGTAAGAGCTGAGTTGAAAGGTCGAACAACACTTGATAATGGCAAAAGAGGGTCCTGAAGGGCCAGGTTTTCCGACTCTGTCGATGCCAGTAAATGGGCGATGACATCACTGTCGCTGCTGCTGCAACTACTGCTGGGCTGTGGTACCTCTGTAACGACGTCCAAGGTCTTGCCAAGGTAGAATGCAATGCGCAAAGGTTCGATTCTAATATGGTAGAGGAACAAAAAAAAGAAAAAGAAAAAAAAAAAAAAAAGATATGAATCTCACTGGGTTCTTCCATTTCCCGTCTAGAGCAATTGATAAGGCGCCATGATAAAACAAAAATATACCTGTTGTGATTAGAGTCTACAAGAAATGGAATAGGACATCCATCCAGATTGAATCGCAATGCATCTGGAAACACGTCTTGAATGTCTTGCAAACCTACATAGCATGACGATTTCCCATTACTTGTGGAAACAGTTGTGACACTAACTTTTTCAATGATGTTGCCATTTCGGAATTGTTGGTATCGAAGTCGTGTCATTTTGGTGATGATTCAAGGGATGATGAGTATGGGGTTTTTTTTTTTTTTTTTTTTTTTTTCTTCTACTTCGCCACGGAGTACAAGAATCTTGCCATCTCTTCGTTTCAAGGGGAGGAGCGAAGGCGTTGCTCTCAATCTGTGCCGTGAAGTCAAAAGTCCTTTTCATCCAGAAGCACTCCCGGTTCAACAATCCTTCGAAGTAGAAAAGATAGTTCCTTTCTTGTGGCAAGGTCAAAAGCACTCGTTGTTCAATCAAAGATGAGAACTCTCATCATTTGCAACCTTGATCCTTGGCCTGCTTTTCTTCATCGATCTTTTTGTCTTTACCTCTCCTCTCTCTTGACTAGTTAGGGCGGATAGGGGGGATTTGTCAATAGAGCTACAAGTAATTCTACAGTTCACTTCATCAGAAGGAGAAGCTTTCAGCTGCCACTTGAACTATCGCGCTTACATGGTGGGCTAGGAAATATTTATGGCATACTCGAAAACGGAATAAAAAGAAATTCATTCTGAAGCGGAAGCTTTTAGAAGAGAGATATTAGTAACTTGGGTTGAAAGGTCAATATGATAATGTGCTCCGGCAACGCATAACATTGTAGAGTTGTATCAGAATGTGAAAGAGGAGCAGGGTTTTGGCCCCATATCCTTGTCATGAATATAAAAAAAAAAATAATCTTGAGGAAAATGAATGATTTCGCTCTCAATGGCAGTTAGACAAAGGCATTGATGATTTTTTTTTTTTTTTTTTTTTTTTTTTTCACTTGTAGTACATACATTTCACTCCTGCCATCTCTGACTTCTGAATGAAAATTCAGCTCACTCACCACCAAAGTTTTCCTCACGAAGCAGTTGTAACTTGAGCTGTTGCCAAAAGACCAAACAACTTCAGCATCATTTCTTTTTTTGTTTGATGAGCTAATGGGTTGCTGTGGCTTCCTCAAACTAAGTGGCATTTCCCGCCCTTACAGACGCCTCGCTTTCGCCAGATATCCACCGGCCATAATTGATTGTCCTTAGCCATTCTTACATAATGGTAGCTCTTCTCGAGGATATCAAGTTTCAGTTTGGCCCTCGTTGGTATAAAGAGTCAGGTCACCCTTTTATCCCTTTCCATCTATCCTTCGGATTCTGCTAATTACAACAACCCCACTCCATGTTCATCAAGAATACCTTCTTAGTTACTGTCGATCACACTGGTCCCAGAGCTCTACATAACGACGAGCCGCTCCTTCACAGATTCTCCCCCCTATCTCGAATGGAGGCAAGGGGCTTCCATTGACGTGCTTTGGAAGAATTTCTGATGTAACGCTGTGTTCTTGTTTTACACATTTCCATGACCGTAAATTATGGGGGGTATATATCCTGAATCGCATTAACCCTATGTTGACTCTGTAGAGACCGAGATGAGGCTGGTGACCTCCTTATTGTGAGGGATGTGCTTTCGGTGCTTGGTGGTGGGCTAACTCAACTCTGCTTTCTGCTCTACATTCGCTGGACTAATATAATAAACATCTCAAAATACCTTGAGAGCTTACTTTGACAACTTGCGACCCTACAGAGAGACACGATAAACTAGTGCCTTATTGCCTTGATATTGCCCTATTTGATGATCATACACGGCCTATTTTCTACAGCATAAGGCTATGCACAGTCCTTAGTTAAAAAATATTAAATAAAATGGACCTTCAACATTAGCATATTTGAAACTCTTCTAAAGGAAGTAGGAAGAGTCAACATCGAAAGATCAAAAAAGCAACATCGCTTAGAAAGCTTGACTCCTGCCAGCAAGTTGTTTACTAAGACTGAGCTATCTTCCTTAACTGCCTCAAGACTATTTAGATTTCAAAATTGGTTATCAACCAATGCATCCATCATCTATTTAAAGCCACAATCTTGTTGACCTTGAGTGCCTTTGACAGCGCAAAAACTCCCGACCCTCCTATTGCGTTGTGCTTCAAGTCCAAATATTTCAAAGTCCTGTTGACCTTGAGTGCCTCTGCCAGTGCCACAGCTCCTTTATGCCCAACCATATTGAACTGTAAGTCCAAAGTGAGCAAAGTCTTATTGACCTTGAGCGCCTCTGAGAGTGCACAAGCTCCAGCGTTATCAATGCCGTTGGATCGTAATATTAAATCCACTAATGTCGTGTTGGACTTGAATGTCTCTGAGAGTATAAGAACTCCATAATCCCCGATAGCGCAATATCTCAAGTCCAAAATGTTCAAATCCTTGAGTGAGCCTAAAAGTACTGGAAGCTCACTAACATCAAGCCCTCGAGGCCTCATATCAAAGGATAGGTTATGAAGGTGTGGCGGCTTCCTGCTTTGTAAAGTGCAAAGGTCTGTGAGCTCGGGGGATAGTATAATATGGATTGTTTTCATAGTTCTAAGCCCTATGATCCGAAGGAGTAAGTCATATCGCATATATGGTGGAAGTTTTTTTCCTGGAAATGCTTTCTTGGTCCCATCCGAGATCAAGCCGAAGAATAGATATACTCGACCCTCTCAGAACATTCTCTAGCTCACCAAGGTCAGCCTTGGACCAGTCCCAGGCGAATGTGATATCCAACTCGTAAACATGTGCTGAACTGGCCAGGGAACTGAAGAATTCTCCGGCCCTAATGCTGGATCCTAATGTGACAACTACTTTGCCAAGGCGCTCGTCATATTTGCCACCATTCATCTCTACTGTTTTCACAAACACTTCCCGCTCTTTCTCTTTACACACTAGACGGTAATGGTCGACACAAAGCCACCTAGTATGGCCTCTTTCAGTTGTAGTTCTGTACAAACCGCCAAGTTGTTTTTCCTTATCGTTGGTTTGAAGGAATGTACTCAAATTTCGGAGATCTGCTCCCTCAAGGGGCTCATAGACATCGACTTTGTTAATACTGTTCAAGCCTGGGACCTCCTTAGAGAGCATATTCATATATTTGATTGAATAATTGGTGCCAGCATCGAGCAGCTTTGGGACTGATATCAGAGAAGCAGTCGAGGGCGTTTCAATCCCCAGCTTGAGCCACAGTAAATGGATAAATATGTGTTTCCCATACTTGCGGAAGAACTCCGTGCTATTTCGAACTTCATATCCTTCATGCTTGCCAATATGAATTTGGCTTCGTCTGTTCTTGGTTGCCTCTGCAGTATGATCTTCACATTCACAAAGGAAATGAAGACGGAACTTGTTCTTCAGTACATTCGTTTTGTCCCATTGATGCTGTCGGCAGGCAGTATTATAAATAGCCGAGGGATTGGGTACTCGAGTAGCTCAAAATTCTGCGCAATGATAGCTTCAACTTTCCTCTGAATGATGGCAAGTCCTTGAGATGCCTGATGCCGCAGACTTGCAATCGTTTCGTCCTTCTCTTTAGCTTCCAATTGCAGCTTAAGCATTTTGGCGCCCATTTCTTTACCATCTGACTGCAGTTTAAGCACCCTGTTGTCCTTCTCTTTAGCTTCCAATTGCAGTTTAAGCGCTTTGTTGTCCTTCTCCTTAGCGTCCAATTGCAGTTTAAGTATCTCGCCATCTTTATCTTTAGCCTCCGATCGCAGTTTAAGTATCTCCTTGTCTTTCTCTTTAGAACCTGATTGCAGCTTAAGTGCCTTATCTTCCTTCTCTTTGGCGTCCAATTGCAGTTTAAGTACCTTGCCGTCCTTGTCTTTAGCTTCAGATTGAAGTTTAAGTACCTTGCCATCTTTATCTTTAGCTTCTAACCGCAGTTTAAGTATCTCGTCGTCCTTCTCTTTAGCTTCTGATTGCAGCTTAAGCACCTTGTCGTCCTTCTCTTTAGCTTCTGGATGCAGTTCGAGCGCCTTGTTATCCTTGCGTTCGGTTTCCGACTGCAGTTTAAGTATCTTGTTGTCCTTGTCTTTAATTTCCGATTGTAATTTAAGTATTTCATCATTCTTCTCTTTAGCGTCCGATTGCCATTTAAGTATCTCGTCGTCCTTCTCTTCAGCTTTCGAATGGAGTTCAAGTACCTCATCTCCCCTCTCTCTTGCTTCCAACTGCAGTTTAAATATCTCTTCATCCTTCCCTTTAGCCTCCGACCGCAGTTTAATGATCTCGTCGCCCCTCTCTTTAGCTTCCAACTGCAGTCTAAGTATCTTGTCGTCCTTGCCTTCAGCCTCCGATTGCAGTTGAAGGATTTTGTCGTCCTTGCCTTTAGATTCCGATTGCAACTTAAGCATCTCATCTTTCTTCTCTTTTGCTTCCGATCGTAGTTTAAGTATCTCGTTGTCCTTCTCTTTAAATTCCGGATGCAGCTCAAGTGCCTTGTCATCCTTGTCTCTAGCTTCTGACCGCAATTTAAGTATTTCATCGTCCTTATCTTTAGCTTCGGATTGCAACCTGAGCACCTCGCGATCCTTTTCTTCAGCTTCTGATTGCAGTTTAAGGATTTTGTCATCCTTGTCTTTAGATTCTGCTTGTAACTTTAATATCTCGCCTTCCTTCTCTTTCGCTTCCGCTTGTAACTTGGGTATCTTGTCATTCTTGTCTTGGGCTTGCTGTAGCAATTCTGCAACTTTTTTAAGGCTAGAGTTGATAATTTCGATTTGTGCGTCGTTGTGGGTAGCAAGATATGAGTTGAAAGCTTGAACTAAGTTTGATAACGGCGAAAGAGAGTTCTGAGGGTCGATATCTGCCGACTTGCTAATGTTGGCGAAACCGTTACTCTTATTGCTGTTGCTGTTGCTGGTGCTGGTACTAGTGTTGGTGTTGGTGTTGGCGTTGGTATGATTAGTGTTGTTGGACTGCGGTGCTTCTGTAATGACGTCCAGGACCTTGCTAGGATAAAAGGCGACGCGTGGAGGTTGAATTCTATTTAAAAAAAAAAAAAAAAAAAAAAAATCGGAGTTGATAAAGCTGTCTCACTCTTTCGCCTTGAACTGTCATTAAATAACACACCTGTTGCCATCAGGGTCCAAAAGGAATGGAATAGGACGCCCATCCAATTTGAATCGCAATGCATCTGGAAAAACGTCTCGAATGTCTTGCAAACTCACAAAGTATGATGGGCCGCCATTACTTGCATAGGTGGAAGCGGTTTTAACACAAACTTCTTCAATGAGGCCGCTGTTGACGTTCCGGAATTGTTGGTATTGAAGTTCTGTCATCTCGGAGGCAATTCGAGGGATGATGACATGAAATGGCTCCTCATTTCCCTTTTCCTCTTCTCCATTTTTCAAGCAAGAGATGCACCCGATCATTTTTTTTTATTTCTTTTTTTCAACTTTTCCAGGTCTTCGTGGAGCCTCTTACTGGTCGACTCTTCAACAGCTGCTTTTTGCCTGGCGTGGACAGATCACTTGGCTTGATAAACTTGTTTATACTTGGCTTACTGGTATCGCTTGAACCACTGGCAATATGTACATTCGTATCCATTTAACAGAAGGCCAAGAGGCTTGGCGGATAGGCCAAGGTCGTACACAAAAAGTCTTGCGCCTTGGCCCCCTCCCACAGGGCACGACTTCAACGCACGTTGTCCCTTTTCAGTGATAGAATCAATAGATTTTATCTATAGCCATTGAAGTGATTGCTGTAATTATATTAGAACAATTCAGAAAAACTATATGAATTGCTACCGATTGAACAAATGATGATAGGAAGGAGTTGTATAAAGATAAAATTCTTGTCTTTGAAGAGAACGCCAATTAGGGCTATCATGGATGGTTCTTACTCTTGTCCCGACGATCTCTTCAGCCATACTTTTCGTCTCGGGCAATGCATGGTTTTTCTTTTTAGACAGAGACAAATGGGAGTACATATTATATTTATATGTCTTTGATGAGCAACCAGAGTTTTATTCCATAGACAAGCAACATCTTCACGCGTGAAATAAAGTTTTTTGGATTACGAGACGAGGCAAATGCTTCAACAAGAGGGACAGAGAGAGCCACTAAAGAGATAAAAAAGATCAATTGGAGTCAGGAATCTGCCCAGGTTGGTTCGAAATTATTTTAGCTCATTTTAGCAAGAAAACTTTAAATCTGTGTAGATCCGCATGCACATCTCATTTCATTTCAAAGCTACATTGACATTGCTTTTTTTTTTTTTTTTTTTTTTCTTTTTTTTTTTCTTCTTATCCTCTTGTGACATTCAGGTTGGTTTTCACCTTTACTCTTCACTCTTCTTATCTGCTCACTTTATCTGTTTGAAGCAAAAAAAAAAAAAAAAAAAAAAAAAAAAAACATCCTCCTCACTAATACCATTAAAGAGAACGAGGAACAAAAAAAAACACACACACACAATGCGCACTTGTCTTATCCTCTCGAGTGCCATTGCCCTTGTGGCCATGGCATCGACAATCTCTGCTGCAGAGGCAAGTGGGTCCTACAGCTATCTTAATGATGAAAACGATGTTGCTGGATTCTTTACACTTGTCCGAAAAGAGACAATGCCCAATGGTATCCGCACCTGCACCATCCTCGACAGAGGTGAGACTCAAGCCTTCAGAGGCCTTTACCCGATCAACAAACGCGGTAACAGGGCCCAGGTTATCAACCGCAAGACTCATGACGAGAGTGATCACCATCATGGTCCATCCTTCTTAACCCAGGAGAGTACAAGATCTGAATTAAACATTGACTTATTGGAATTGAATACGAATATGAAGGAGGGGCTGGCTGAGATCGAAAAGCAGTATTTGAAAATTGAATGCGATGATGTGGTGGATGCGTATCAATATCAAGCTGATTTCCCATCAACCCTGATGCAAACGCAAAACCAACGGGCCTTGGCCCCAAACGGTTTGCAATCTAGCGACGAAGTGGTAACGTTTTCTTTTTTTTTTCCCTTGACTCCTGGGAAAACTTTGATTAGTGTAACATTGATTTCTACACCCTGAATGAGAAAAAATACTTACCGTATTTGGTGTGCTTTTCTTTTTTTTTTTTTTTTTTTTCCTCTTTTTTTTTTTTATGAACTAGCGCAAACTTGTCGATAGTGGCCCAGACAAGAACCGCGTCTCGATTGTCTTCATGGGTGATGGGTACACCCTTGATGAACGCGAAAAGTTCTTTTCTGATATCCAACGCCTTGTCAATGGTAATTCATGCGGTGATCTTCAGAGCTGCATAAGATTGCATAAAGGAGTGAGATGATTGGAGACAACCTTAAAATTTCTTTTTACCACAACATGTTCTTGTATAAACTTCTCATCAATCACGCGTTTTCTTATCTTTGGATGCATGCATTCCTTAGACATGTTTGTAGGTGACACATTCCAGTCGTACTTGCCCTTGTTCAACATCTATGCTCTGTTCAGGCCCTCGAAGGAGAGCGGCATTGGTGTCAACGGCAAGTGGAAAGACACTAGCTTCCGTCTGTACAGAGATGGCACAGAGCTCCGTGGCATCTACACTGCAGATCCTGAAGCTGCTCGAGGGGCATGCCGTGCCATCGGAAAATACGCTTGCGATTTCCCAAGCTTGATTGGCAATGACCCTTACTGTAAGATTCTTTAAAAAAAAAAAAAAAAAAAAAAAAAAAAAAAAAAAAATTTTATGGCTATTTCTATGGTCTCATGACGAACCGGAAGCTGATGCTTCAAACCACCCATTCATTATATATATATATATATATATATATATTTATTTTTATCCATCCCTTCGACTGAAACTACTTCATTTACTTAGATGGAGGCTTAGGAGGTGAGTTTGTCATCTCGACAAGCTCCAACAAGTCAGGAACAGTGGTCTTACGTCATGAACTCGGCCACAGTCTCATCAATGTCGGTGAAGAGTACGATGGAGGTTGGGTGTACTCTGGAGTTAACGCCGAGCGCTGGAGCATCAATAACATCAAGTGGAAACACTGGCTTACGGATGCTGTCCCTCGTGAGGAAAAGAATGTTCTTCGCGTTCAAGACTATGCCTGGTATGATCTCAAGGAAGGCCCATATAAGATCAAGTTCAACTCTGATGGCAATTTTAAGCGCTGGTCTCTCAAGATTTCACACTCTGGTGTTGATACTGATGATTCATTTGAGGCTTACCTGGATGGCAAGCGACTCAACTGGACCTCTCCCGGTGGCTATGATCGTGATTTCTCAGAATGGGCTGGGAACGAAGGCTTATCTTCTGGTGCTCATGAGCTTGAGTTCCGTCAAGGAGCCAAGTATGGCAACGAAACAGATCCCTCGAGACCCATCCGTCAGCTCTGCTCCGTGACCTTGCATGAGTTCATGGGCGAGGACCAGTACCGTTTTGATAATAACATTATTTCTGCTTACCCGACCTTTGACATTCAAGGCCGCAAGACCTGGCGAAGCAACCATGAATACTGCCTGATGCGTAATATGGGCTCAACTCATTTCTGCTCCGTCTGCAGGGAGGGTCTCTGGCTCCGTCTTGTAGAAAAAGCCAGCTTGTTGGATGAGGTCACTGTGACCTGCCAGAAAAATGGCGCCGACGCAAATGATGTTTCCGCCTTTGGAATTTCAGCCAAAGTAATTCCACTCGGTCAGTTCCGTGCGGATCAGTCTAAGCGCTCCTCAGACGAGGCTTACATCAGCAGCTGGTATAAGGATGGTAAGCATCAGCCTCAGTTTGATAACCAATTCGAGATTCAAGTGCCTAGTTCTGAGGAAGGCACCTGGGAATTCAAGGCTGAGTTCAAAACCCCTGATGTTCGCAAGGATCCAGGCGGACTTTTGAAAGCTAGCAAAGTCTTCTCGGTAGCTAAGAATCTCTGCAACAAGTGAAAAATAGCTTTTTGGCCATACTACAAATATATTTAAAAAGAATAAAAACTCTCGGTTTAAGGAAAGCGTAAAAATATAAAGCCCGTATAGCATCCGAACCTTTTGCTCTTGTGCCATATCATTCTACTGTCCTCGACTTTCAAGCACTCTTTGCTCTTTAATGTCCAGCCGGTTGTCATCGTATGATGAGTTGTTGAAAACACTGCCCGACTGGTTTTTGGGAGGGAGAGAGTCGTTAGAAAAGAGGCCAGAAATGCTCAAAAGCTCCGCTAGGTTAGTGTCAAAATCTCATCAAACCAGAGGCTGCTTTGTTGGTATCCAAACCAACAAAGTGATATATTAAAAGGCGGTTCAAAAACTGGAAAGATCACTGCTGCTCTTTCTTTAGATGCGCCATAATTAGATTTGTATCTACAATCTACAATGCTGCTGTCCTTGCGGTACCTAGAATCCATTTTAATGCAGATTCTTATGTTCACTTCAGTTCCCTGAACTCTTGGAAGTTCTAGTCCCATTATTCATCTCTCACTTTATTACCTCTTATGATCGCCTGCAAACAGCATCGATCCAAATTTGGAAAGTCTCACGCGTGAATCGACATTCAAGCACGATGGCTCAAATGAGTTTTGAAAACTATTGTCTCTTACGAGAAGTATTTATTATAAATCATGTAGTCCTATCGCCAAGTCTCTCCCACTCGTCTTATCTGAACGACAAAAGGGTGGAAGAGATCAAGATCATAAAATAACTGGGCTGCCGCGTTTGCCTGAACAAATGCTGCTATTCACTATATTACAAGGAGTTTATATCAGTCCGACTTCATAAGAATAGCGAGTAGAGGTGATCCTAGATGCAAAGGGCTTTAGGCCTACGTTTCAGGTTGAAAATAGAGACAACATCATTGGTTTAACAAGGCGTCCACGAAATAACTGCTGAACAATTGCTTTCACTCCTCCCCGAATCAATCTCCTTCATACTAGTAGAAGGGATGGAGCAAGGAGGATGAAACAAGTTCCGTTATCGGTTGCCACAACAGTTTCTCAAAAGCTCTACGGCCCGATATGAGACCCTGAGGAAGATGTAGGTGTAGTGGAAAATCATGCGAAAGGCATGATTTGAAATAGGACCTGTTTGGTTACAACTCAAATGGATAACATAAGCATCCCGTCATACTGCTCTTTTTACTCCTGTGCAGCTTATGTGATCAGCCAGAACATGCTAGTCCAGATACATCTCTCTCAGTTGAGTTAGAGAGCAAGCTGGCGGAATGGTGATATTGACGGACAGCGCTATGCATATTTCATATTTATCGTAGCATACCAATTCTGGTAAACCCTCTTCAGACCGTTTATTGATACATTGATATTGATGGATTATTTGAAGTCCTTGAACAGAGCAGAGCATAGCTCGATCAAGATTTGACTTCAAGCTATCTTCTGTAAAGCAGTCGTTGCAAAAAGCATTCGTATTCAGGAGCGTCTTGGTCAACTTTGAGTTTATCGAGAAGCCCTCGACAACTCCTCCTTTTGATTAAGTTTGAGCTATTCTGAAGGATTTACCTCCGTCAAAGTCAAAAGTAGTCTGTATTCGCTTGTTGTCTGCTATGGTTGAAGGCGACCAAGATAATAAATACAGGAGTTGGCGATTCCTTGGCCTGCAGACATTGATCATTCAAGCGATCAAGTGTGCTGATATGACTCTGCTGTTCATTTCTATAACTCAAGGCGCGCTTTTTTATGCTTCGAGTTCTATACTTCTCAATTGTATCCAGACTTCAATTGGTACGGGACAAGGCATTAATCGCTGGCCATAACCAATGCACCATCATTCAAGAACATTTCCGTTCCCAATCCACTTCCTCTTTCAGTTTGTGTGGATATGGACACAAAGTTTCAGCACTCTGGGATGGAAATCCAGCCAGTGAAATCATGCAAGATCGGCGAAAACTGCATCTATTACATAAAATAGAGAAATGAAGGGGAGATTCTTCATCTTGTCAGCATCTCCATCATTCTTCGAATCGTCACCGAGATGACAGAACTTCAATTCCAAAAATTCCGAAAAACCGAAGAAGTTTGTGTTAAAACTGCTTCCACCGGTGCAAGCAATGACAGTTCGTTGTGCTATGTGAGCTTGCAAGACATTCGAGACGTGTTTCCAGATGCACAGCGATTCAAATTGGATGGAGATCTCATTCCATTTCTTTTAGACGCTGATGGCAACAAGTAAATTTATTATTTTATCGTGGCGTTTTGTCAATTGTCCAGGCAAGAAAAAAAAAAAAAAAACACGATTTGATATATCTTTGTTTATGCTCTTATTAGGATCGAACCACCACGTATTGCATTCTATCCTGACAAGGTCTTGGATGTCATTACAGAGGTACCACAGTCCAGCAACAGTAACAAATCTCTTACTGTCCATAATAATAAGGATTTCAGCTCTTACTCTGACGAGATTAAGGAGTGGATGGTCAAGATCGAGAATAAGGGCGACATGATCCTTACACTACAAGGCAAGATGGACAAGGTACAAGTAGAGATGCATATAATGCAACTGGAGATGCGTAAAATGCAACTGGAGCTAAAAGAGAAGACCGATGAGGTGATCAAATTGCAATTGGAAGCTAAGAAGAAGGACGACAAGTTACTTGAAATGCAACAACAAGCACTCGACAGACTTGTCATTCTTCAACAGAAAGCTGAAGCTATCCTTGCCCAGACCTTTGAGTTACACGAGTATCCGATTCCTCGGCTGTTTATCGTTTTGCCTATCGACCGCACCAAGTGGGACCCAATGAATGTCTTGAGGAACAAGGTCCGCCTTCATTTCCTATGCGAATGTGGAGATCACGACGCCGTAAAAGCAATTAAGAACCGTCAGAACCAAGTCCATCTTGCCAGGCATGAAGGATATGAGATCCGAGACAGCACGGAGTTCTTTCGCAAGTATGGGAATTACATGGTCATCCTTTTACAGTGCCTCAAGATAGGAATGCCCTTGGCCACCTCTCTAGGGCCAGCCCCTAGCCTCAAAGCGAGCATCGATTACTCACTCGACTATATGAAAGCGCTCTCGGTTGAGTATCCAGTCTTGAGCAACATCAATACAATCGAGGACTGTGAAGCACTTGAGGGAGCAGATCTCCGAGGGCTGAACAAATTCCTCCAAATCAATGATGAGGATGGCAAGCTTGGCAACTTGTACAGGATCAGAACAGAAGCAGGCCATATCAAATGGGTTTGCCTTGACCACCATCGTTCACCTTTTAAAGAGAAAGAGCAGGAAGCGTTTGTAAAAACAGTAGAGATGAATGGTGGCAAATATGATTCGCACCTTGGCAAAGTAGTTATCAAATTGCATTCCATAACCGCGGCGGATGAGTTTTTCAGTGCTCTAACCAATGCAAAACATATTTACGAGTTGGACATCACATTCGAGTGGGATTGGTCCAAGACTTATCTTGAAGCACTCGAGAATGCTTTAAGAATTTCAAGTGTATCGATTCTTCGGCTTGATCTTGGAAGTTCTCAAGAAAGCATTACCAGGAAATTACTCTTAACAAATACGAAATATGAAAAAATTATTCGTATCATAGAACTTAAAAACATAAAAGCAATCCATATTATACTACCTCCGGATCTCGTCAAGCTTTCCAGCTTACCAAACAAAAAATCGCGACACCACCATGAGTTATTCTTTGAGATGAGACCTCGAGAGATTGGAGCAAGTGACTTTCGTTTGCTTGTAAATTCACTCAAAAGCAACGCGACCTTGACTACTTTAGACTTGAGGGACAACTCGATCGGGAATGAAGGAGCTCTGGTACTCTCAGAGGCACTCAAGGCAAATGCCACTTTGACAAGTTTGGGCTTGAGGTGTAACTTAATTGGGGATGAAGGGGCCTATGCATTATCAGAGGCACTAAAGGCCAATACGACTTTAGCCATTATGGACTTGCGGGGCAACGCAATTACGAAGGAAGGAGCCCTAGTATTGTTAGATGCACTCAAGACTAGCTCGACTTTGAAAACTTTGGGCTTGCGGGAAAGCTTAATTACGGGAGAACTATCAGAGGCACTCAAGGGTAACACAGTCTCAACCACTTTGGATGTGAGATGTAGATCAATTGGGAATGAAATGGCCCTTGCACTCTCAGAGGCTCTCAAGATAAACAGGACTTTGACAGCTTTGGACTTGGGGAGGAACTCAATTGGGAACGAAGGGACTTTAGCTATATCAGAGGCACTCAAGGTAAACGCAACTTTGGCTATTTTGGGCTTGAGTTACAACTCAATTGGGAAGGAAGGAGCCCTGACACTCTCAGAAGTACTCAAGGTAAACACGACCCTGACTACTTTGGACTTGGAGAGAAACTCAATTAGGAATGAGGGGGCTCTGGCACTCTCAGAGGCACTTAAGACAAACACAACTCTGAGTAATTTGAACTTGAGTTGGAATTCAATTGGGGATGAAGGCGAACTGGAGCTGTCTGAAACGCTCAGATCAAGAACTGGACAGGACAGCACACGTGCATTTACTTTGCTTTATTAGGACCACCCGCAACAGTAATGTAAATCTCGAATATAATGAAAATATATATTACAATTGAATATGTCTAAACCAACAGAGTGAGAGGACAATGAATCCTATCTTAAGATGTATCGGTTCTTTTTAACCTTTAACAGCCTGGCCAGCTTTTTTTTTTTTTTTTTTTTTTTTATTGAGATGATATGGTGGGGTCTTACTTAACAATCACCAGCGGTGCATATACCAAGAAGGCGATCATGATGGACCGGGGAGTTGTTTAAATGACACTGGCTTAATCACTTGGCTTATATTACTACGGTAATTCTACCAAGACAAGCATTGGTTCACTCAACGAGATTAACGAGCCTCATGAGGCAAAACAGAAGTACATTCTATAGTACAATTGGACATCTGGTGTTCTGATAGCGAAGTATGAAAATAAGGCGAGGAGTAAAACAAATAAAAATGGATACATGATAACAAGTGAAAGATTGAAAAACATCGCTTTTGTAAACTAACAATCCTCCATGTCTGTTGCTGTGATCATGTGTATCAGAGGAATACATTATGCATTTTGTGACACCCAGATGGCGAAGCTGAAAAAAAAAAAAAAAAAAAAAAAAGTGGTCGACTTCACCTCCTCAAAAAGAGGAATAAAGTCTTTCATCTTGTCATCAGTCCCCGAATAATCGCCCAAATGACAGAAAATCAACACCAACAATTCCAAAAGACCAACAATGACATCGTCCAAGTCTGTGTCAGAACTGCTTCCACCTCTGCAAGCAATGACATCTCACTATGCAATGTGTGTTTGCAAGACAGTCGAGGCATGTTTCCAGATGCACAGCGATTCAAGCTGAATGAGGATCCTACCCCATTACTTCTGGACACCGATGGCAACAAGTACATTGTTTTATCATGGTGCCTTCTCAATTGCCCTGAATATGTATATAAACTCAATATGATATTCTGATTTTTCTTATTTCAAATAGAATCGAACCTCTGCGCATCGCATTAAATCATGACAAGTTCTCTGGCGTTGTTTTAGGAGTACCGCAGTTCTGTAACTGCAGCAACAACCCTGCCATGCATTCTGTTACATGGAGAAATCCGGCAAAGCTTGTCTCCCAAGACCTTCATTTACCATCATCAGCCTTGACTCCATTTTTCAACTCATCTCTTTCTACCCACAATAACACACAAAACGAGAACATCAACTCTAATGTCGAAAAGATTATGGAGATGTTGCTAGAGGCCAAAGAGAAGGATGACAAAATCCTTAAAATGCAATCAGCGATGATTAACCTGCAATTGGAAGCTAAGGAGAAGGACGAACAGATAATTAAACTGCAATTAGAGGCTAAGGAGAAAGGCGATAAAATACTTAAAATGCAAATGGAGGCTATTAATCTGCAACAACAGGCACTCGACAGACTCGTCATCCTTCAACAGAAAGCCGATGCTATCCTTGTCCAGACCTTTGAGCTACATGAATATCCAATCCCTCGACTCTTTATCATTCTGCCTGTTGACAGCACCAAATGGGACCCAATGAATGTCTTGAGGAACAAGGTTCGCCTTCATTTCCTATGTGAATGTGAGGATCGCTCTGAAAAGGCAAGCAAGGACAGCCAGAAGAACAAAACCCATCTTGCCAGACATGAAGGATATGAGATCCGGAACAGCACAGAGTTCTTCCAAAAGTATGGCAAATACATGATCATCTTGTTACAAGGACTCAAGTTGGGGATGGGAACAACTCCAGGCTCATCTCTGACACCAGCCCCAAATCTGGTCGATGCCGGCATAAAATATTCGATCGACTATTTGAACGAACTCGAAAAGGAAAACCTAGGCTTGAGTGGCTTTAACACAATGGATGACTATGAAGGACTTGAAGGAGCAGATCTCCGACGACTGAGCACATTCCTTCAAACCAATGATGAAAACAGGCAGCTTGGCAACTTGTACAGGATCACGACAGAAGCAGGCCATGTCAAATGGGTTTGTGTCGATCACTATCGCTCAACGTATAAAGAGAAAGAACAGAAAGCGTTTGAAGATGTTGTGGAGATGAATGGAGGCAAATATGACTCACAGCTCGGTAAAGTGGTCATTGAGTTGGTATCCAGGATCAGAGCTAGAGAGTTCTTCGAAGCCTTGACCAGAGCTAAACATGTTTACGAGTTGGATATCACATTCAGCGACTACTGGGATTGGACCAAGACTGATCTGGAAGCACTGAGGAATGCACTGAGAGTATCGAGTGTATCGATCCTTCGACTTGATCTTGGACGATCCCAAGAAAGCATAACCTGGAAACTATTTTCAGCATCCACACGATATGAAAAGCTTGTAGGCATCATAGAACTTAACAACATGAAAGTGATTCATGTTGTACTTCCTCCGGAAGTCAAATATCTTTCCAATCTACAAAGCGTAAAATCGCTACACCTTCACAAGTTATCCTTTGAGATGAGACCTCGAAAGATGATAACTAGTGATTTCCGACTGCTTATGAATTCGCTCGAGGCTTTGGTCATTTTGGATTTAGCATCCAACTCGATTGGAGATAAAGAGGCTCTGGCACTGTCAGAGGCACTCAAGGTCAACACCAGTCTGACCTATTTGGACTTAAGTCACAACTCAATTGGGAATGAAGGAGCTCTGGCACTGTCAGAGGCACTCAAGACCAACGCCAGTTTAGCCAATTTGAACTTGGGGGACAATTCAATTGGGAATGAAGGAGCTCTGGCACTGTCAGAGGCACTCAAGGTCAACACCAGTCTGACCAATTTGGACTTGAGTTACAACTCAATTGGGAAAGAAGGAGTTCAGGCACTGTCAGAAGCACTCAAGACAAACACCAGTCTGACCAATTTGGACTTGTGGGCCAACTCAATTGGGGATGAAGGAGCTCTGGCACTGTCAGAGGCACTCAAGACTAATGTCAGTTTAATCAATTTAAACTTGGCGAACAACTCAATTGGGGAAGAAGGAGCTCAGGGACTGTCAGAAGCACTCAAGACAAACACCAGTCTGACCAAATTGAACTTGATGGTCAACTCAATTGGGAAAGAAGGAGCTCTGGCGCTGTCAGAGGCACTCCTGACCAACACCAGTCTGATCAATTTGGACTTGTGGGCCAACTCAATTGGGGATGAAGGAGCTCTGGCACTGTCAGAGGCACTCAAGACAAACACCAGTCTGACCAAATTGAACTTATACAATAACTCAATTGGAGATGAAGGAGCTCTGGCACTGTCAAAGGCACTCAAGTCAAACACCAGTCTGGCCGATTTGAACTTGAAGGCCAACTCAATTGGGAAAGAAGGAGCCCTAGCGCTATCAGAGGCACTCATGATAAACACCAGTCTGACCAACTTGTACTTGAAGTACAACTCAATTGGAAAAGAAGGAGCTCTGGCGCTGTCAGAGGCGACCAAGAATAACATGACCTTGAGGGTTTTTTTATGAGAAACGCCTTAATCGATAAGCAAAATTGGCTGACTGACATTAAATCATTGTCTGGTTTAGTTGACTGGTTTGATTATTGGGGGTGTTTAGGTTAGATGGTTATGGATATTAGTTTGATTTAAATCAAATAACTGAATTGTCTCAGCTAAGCATCCGTAGCGGTGTTGCTTTTTTTTTTTTTTTTTTTCTTTTTTGATCGATTCTTCCTCCCCTCCTTTGTTGAATGGTTCTAGCACGCGAGGATTGTTGAAAGCTGATCCTTTTTGTAACAACTCTCTATAGAGGCGAGCCAAGAATGGCCATCAAACTGCGCCATGAGGGCAGAGAAACATATTTGTTTGTAATCTCTCTCTAGAACCGTGTGAGCGTCATGAGGAAGTGTCCAAGGGAATATCGGTTTTCTATTTATCAGCCTTAAGAGGAGCTGAGAGAATAAGGTGGGGAAATTCTCTATCATCAAAGGATGGGAAGCAGGAGCATCCCATATTCCTCAATATAACCTTAAGAGACCTACAAACTACACAACAAGATCGGATGCTTGTTGAATCAGGTGCAAGAAATTTTGAGGAGGATACAAGAGCCGGAGGCATCTGGAAGTGGGTGTATCAGCCAAAGCGAGGACTTAACAAAGGGGCAGGCCGGTATGATATGTCGCTTCGGTAAGGACCGGCTAAAGTTAGGCAGGGGACCCGAGGGCGAAGGAGTTCTAGCACTGTCAGAGGTGCTTAAGACTAATACAACTTTGGCCATTTTGTACTTGTGGGACAATTTAATTGGAAAAAAAAAAAAAAAAAAAAAAAAAAAAGAGCTCTGTAACTATCGGAAGCGCTTAAAGCTAACACGGCTTTAACGGGTTAGTACTTGGGGAACAGCTTTATAGAGAAACAAGAAACTCTGGCGCTCTCGGAGGTGCTCAAGACTAATACGAGGTCGACTAGGTTAAGCTTGCGAGGCAATGCAATTGGGAATGAAGGAGCTTTAGCGCTGCCAGAAGCGCTCAGGTTCAACAGAATTCTGACTACTTTAGCCCTGAGGAGCAACGCAATTGAGGAAGCCCTTGCACTATCAAACGCATTTAAGGCCAACATGGCTTTGGCTACTTTAGACTTAGGGTGCGAATTAATTGGGGATGAAGAAGTCCTTGAATTGTCAGTGGCACTCACGAGCAATACGATGCTGAACAAATGTAGCCAGTGGAGCCTCAACTGATAACTCGGTCACTCTGGCTTCGTCAGAGATCAATATTGTCAGGAACATTGTATATTTGGTTGTTTTGATTGATTTGGCCGTCGATGTAGTGTTGTTTATTAAAAAAGAAAGTATATACATATTTAGTTTAAATAAATAATCGACTTGTGGCGTACTGGGGGTTTTTTTTAGGCTTCTTTCGCCACCAACAATAGGGATGTAAACGTACAAAGAATAAAGTACTTGATACGGTGCTGCTCATTCTTTGGTCATTTGTATTTTACCTTGAACTGAACCGTGATGTGATCAGTCAAGCTCCTGACTTTGGACTGCTTTCAGAAACGAACACATAAAAAAGCGTTATTTCTTGACATCATTCTCTTTCCCTTTTCTCTTTTCTTCTTCACTATTCTCTTCACTTTTCTCAGCAAACGCAAAAGACAAAGTAGCGTTCATTCCTACTGGAATCTTCAGCTCTCTTATTCCTGTTTACCAACAGTGTTGTTTTTCCTGCTCTGATGGCCACCCTTTATATCGCTTTATTTTTATTTCTTTTTTTTTATCTTTTAAGCAACATAAAGCGCCACCAAACCTTCTATTTCCACATTGTAAAAAATAAATCATGCCCCACATTCGCGCTTTCTATACCAATCGAGCTAGTGAGGCTCCAAGCGAGCTTCCTTGGAAGCGTAAATACGGAGCTATTACTGCCATAGCCATAGCCTCTGGTGCGGGCGCTGTAAGCGCCACATTCACCGCAACCGCCTCCACCAACGCTTATGCTGCAGCTGCAGCTGCAGCACCTGGTGCGACTGACACTACGTACATGTACTCAAAGACGACCGTGGAGGATGGGAGTTCGTTGCCCAGTGCGCAGCCCTCCAACGAGAGGTTCAAGGGGGCTAGCAGTGAAGACAATGAGCCACCTGCTACAAGCTCCTTCAAGGTAGCCCCCGTGTCGAGCCGAGTACAGGAAAAGATCAGAGTTGGTTCCTTTGAAGGAGCGTAAATGGAGGGATGGACCCACAAGGGTTCTGCAGAGAGCTAGAGCCGGGTGAGGTAAAGTGAAGGGCGGGGAAGAGGCATGGAAGAGGCGGAGGAGGAGGAAGATGCGGAGGAGGGGGAGGAGGAGAGTAAGGAAAAGAAAATCACCTACACAATATCGGAGCATCCTGCGGTAGAAGTAGAGGTGGTTTTGAAAAAAGAGGTGAGCTCAACTCGCATTGAAGGGGAGCTACAAGGCAACGCCAGCCGTAGTGGCTACACTAGAAGTACAGAGATAGGATCTGACTCTGAAGCAACGTTGCCTCAATAACAACAGAGACTGTGAAAGATGACCAAGTCAAGAGTGCTATTAAGGATTAATAAAATAGAGATGAGATCTAGATATCGAAGCAAAAAGCTGTAGTTGTTCTTAATAAAATAAGTTTGACTGAAAGGCTTTACATCGTAGTTAAGAGCTTTCTTGTGTATATTGCATTTGAAGAAAAGAGTGTTCAAAGAAACGAGTTATCTTTTTTTTTTTTTTGGTTGTTCGGTGGCTTGTTCACAATAACGCGTCCAGTTAATTTAAATCGCGTGTTGTTGTTCCTGAACAAACAAACAAACAAACGCGACTCTCTTTTTTGGGAAGAAAGAAAGTAGTTGTTAGTTGTTACTGTTCTGGGCCTTGGACCTTTCTCATTCCATTCACGTTTCTTTTTTCATTACATACACATACACACATTAAAGAAAAACAAAAAACAGCACAAAAAAAAAAAAAAGATATTCATTCTTTTTAGTCACACACTTTTTTTACACACCCAATAATCTCAAACAATATTAACCAATTAGCAATGTCTTCCGGTTCTACACCTCGCTCTATGACAGCGGGTGCCCGCAACATTCTGCGCTCTAATGATTCGGCCTCACTATGGAACTATACTGTTGCTCCAGGTATTGCAACTACAATAACAATAACAACAACAACAACAACAACAACAGCAACAGCCCATGTCATTACAACATAAAAGCAAGACTCTATATAAAAAAAAAAAAAATGAAAAAGTGTTTTTGTCTGACTTTTATTTTATTTCTATTTTTAATTTCATTACATTAAAAAAATCAGGATGGAGCATGAAGGAAGCCGAGATTCTACGCAAAGCACTCATGAAATTCGGGATTGGCAATTGGTCCAAGATCATTGAATCCAATTGTCTAGTGGGTAAAACGAATGCTCAAATGAATCTACAGACTCAACGAATGTTGGGTCAACAGAGTACGGCCGAGTTTGCAGGGTTACATATCGATCCACGTGTGATTGGACAGAAGAATTCGTTGATTCAAGGAGATCATATCCGACGCAAGAATGGTTGTATTGTCAACACAGGCGCTAAACTTTCAAGAGAAGAGATCCGTCGCAGAGTTGCAGAGAACAAAGAGCAGTAAGGACAGGAGGAGAGGGGAAAAAAAAAAAAAAAAAAAAAAAAAAAAAAAAAATGAGAAAAAGAAAAGGGAAAGACGAAACTAATATTAAGGAACTGACAAAAAAAAAAAAAAAAAATCACTTTTTTTTGATAATTTAGATATGAATTACCAGAGGAAGAATGGAGTAGTATTGAGCTCCCATTGCCTGACGATGTAAGCCATGTCTTTATTTTTTTTTATTTTTTTTTTAGAGAATCTAATAACAGATCTCACTAATCGACAAACATTTTTTTCAATTCTATATCGTTCAATTTAGCCCCATCTATGTAAGTCCCAGCTGGATATCATAATGTGCAGGACAGGAAGTATCGCCATTTATTGCCAGCAATTATATTTCTAAATCGCTGCTCTATATCATCTTTTACAAAAAAAAAAAAAAAAAAAAAAAAAAAAAAATTTTTTTTTAGTGCTCGAAGCAAAGAAATCAGAAAAAGTTCGATTGGAATTGGAATTGAAAAATGTACAACGACAGATTGCAATGCTTCGGAAAGTTGGACGGAAATTCGAGGTATTTTCTTTATATTAATATTATTGTTATTGCTATTGTTATTGTTATTACTGTTATATTATACATGTAAAGTATCATAGGGATTAATCTCTTTATTGATTGATCTATTTTTTATTAGACTGGATCCGAATCACCAAAGACAGAACTGGATGATGATGAACGAGATGAGTTTATTGAAGATCAGCCTTTAGGAAAGAGAGCAAGGATCGAGGCATGACCAACAGAATGAATAAAGAAAAGGAAAAAAAAAAAAAAAAAAAAAAAAAAAAAGTGGATCAAACCAACATTTTCAACATCTGCATATTCAACATTACGTTTCTTTTTTTTTATTTTTTCCTATAGTAATTGATTTTATTAATTTGATCCGCATGTGTTATTTGTAGTGTATGTATTTTTTTATCAGATCTATTTACTTTTCCATTGATGAAGCAGTTTAAATAAAGAAAGAAAGAAAGAAAGAAAGAAAGTAATAATATTGAAAGCAGTTTCCACCATCTCAGTTGTTTTCATTATTATTTATTTGCTATTATTACTATTATTATTACTATTATTATTACTATTATTATTACTATTATTATTATTACTATTACTATTTTATTTTATATTATTACTATTACTATTTTATTTTCTTTTTAAATTTTCTAAGCGACATGTACTAAATATCCCTGGGTGATCAATCGCTCCACATCTCCACGTTTGACAAAATGTTCAGAATTCTTCTTCAGGCTCAAGGTCGCCCCACTTTCTGTCACGATATCTCCACAATCCTTCAGGACCCTGACGGTAATAAAGACCTCCTTTGGTGGAGAAATCATCCCTAATCCCAAATCCAATTCGTTAAACTCCATTTGACTCGTATACTTGTTCCGACATTGTTTCTCATACTCTGAAAAGAACAAGATCTCATCCGGTGACAATAACCGACGGGAACTCTCCGGTAACGTATTGTAGGCCCATGCTAATTCCTTGATCTTCTCAATCCTCTGGAAATGATAGGCCATCAGGATTCGTTTGTTTCGTTGTAGAGGTGTCATGTGAACCAAATACTTTGTCCAAAAGATCTCCGTCAATGGTTGAGTCGCCTCTCGGATATGATTCTCGAGACCTATCCTGGAGATACTGGATGCTATGGGAGCACTTGAGGAGGAAGGTGGATCCAACATGGATAATGTTGTATAGTTGGGATCGTTAATATCTCCTGCTCCTGCTCCTGCTCCTGCTCCTGCTCCTGCTCCTGCTCCTGCTCCAACTCCTACTTCTGATTCGGTTCGTTGTGAAAAGGATGGCTGTACCGTTGTTGATAAATGTGTGGAACCAGAGGCGTCTGAGGAAGCACCTTGTTGCATGAGCCATCGTTGTTCAATCTCTGACTCGAGCTGCTTCTTTTGAATCATATAGTCCCGAATGAGAGCCTGACAGGTCTCATGCAGATGTCGAATCTCGCGTGTGATGGATCGTACTAATGGGTCATTGTATGGTGGGAAATGATCTATTGTGCGCTTAGTCTCGCGTGCGAGTTTGGAAGCTTCTTCGCCGTACATGGTCAAAAAGAGAGAGTATTATGTGTTCAGACGCGGGGAATCGAAAGATAAATTAAAGATGAAAATATAGCGAAAGGGTTATAGAACGGAAGTTAAAAGACAAAAAAAAACTAAATGGAAATAAATATTATAAATATGTGTATCGGTGGTAAAGATCTTTTGTAGCCAAAGGGGAAGAGAGTATTTGCAAGTTTCCATGATCCATATTTATACATCCTAACATGGACTGCTCTGATGCCCATGTAGAATTGGTGGCAATCAAAAATCTATTCTTCTTTCGAAAGAATGATTTTTATTTTTATTTTTATTTTTGCTTTTTATTTTTTTTTATTTTTTCTTTTTTTCATTTTTTTTTTTTTTTTTTTTTTCCTTTTTTCTTCTTCCTTCTCAAAGCTTTAAAATGCATTGAACTCTATACTGGCTTTGCAAGGTCGTTCAAGCGACTAACAAGTAGTTCATATGTAAGGATCGTCAGTGCACTGGCCGGTACTGTCCTGAGCAAATTAGTCGGCATGCCCTTGTAAAACGCCCGAATCCCTTCCTCATGGTAAATCACCTTGCATGCGTGAATAATTCCACGATACTTTGGTGGATAAGTTGATTGATTCTGAAGTCGTGTCCTGATTACCTCGTGAGGGTAAGTTGCAACACTAGCAGCCATCTTTGATATTGAAGACGCAACGAGAATGTTGGTGCTGCTCACTTGGCCAGATTCCTCAGATTCTACAAGTGATGAGAAATAGTTGGAAAAAATAAAATAAAAAATATAAATCTGGTAAGGATGTTTGATTATCATTGATTCAACATGACTACTGCGATGCTGCCTAAAAATCTCTGGAACTTACTCAACCATTGCCTCAGTTTTTCGTAAAGTGGGAACTGCAATGCCACATGAGAGATACCCATCAGCGACGATCCAAGTCCTTTATAGAATCCGCGGAGACCCTCAACTTTGTAAATGGTAGTAAATGCATGAAGCGTGTTGTTGTAACGATATGGGGTATGTTCATTTTGAGTCTAAAATATCCAAGTTCAATAAAATAAAAGATCAGTTTGTGAATCCATGTTAAAAAGCCCCACTACAGGTCCCATGCTTTCAAAGATGTATGTACAACGCACCATAAAGCGAGTCTTGATCACCCAAAGTGGGTTTGTCATTGTTGTGCTTGTTGCTCCAGCCGACATGGCTGCAACAATATATACAAGCAAGTTGGATTCACTATGTCCTATTGCCCAAGACGAGACAAAAGCGTATAATAGCAATAAAAACATTCAGGTTAAAATCAATTTCACGCCAGAATGGATTTCCACGTCCTTGGAATACGGCATCATAATCCTGTTTTTATATCATCCTTAGTATCCTTAGTATCCTTAGTATTCAACATTTTGCTGACAAAGCTTTCGCACGAATTAGTTTTATAACGGCTTTCCCACGCTCAAACCCTAACTTAATAGTAAGGTCTTTTTTTTTTTTTTTTTTTTGTGAGGCTGACCATTGAAATCATTTCTCTACAACAATGTTATGAGATAATGAAGCAAGATCTTACCAGTTTGCTTCGCCACTAGATCCTTAAAGTAGTCATATGCCGTAAAGTAAATAGCCCATGTTGGCAAATAACCGAATATCGTAGGTCCAAGTCCTCTGTATAACCCACGGATACCTTCCTCTGTCCAGATACGAGTAAGAGTCCCTATAGGCATATACCAAGACAGTTGGAATGGTCAATGAGTAGGTCATACACGTTTTAAAACCATCCGAAGACGCCTCGGAATATCCATATGGAAACCCACCTGCTGTGCCTTTGTATGACTTTCCGGCACGGTTAGTAACACCTTGGTTTTGTAGCCTTGTCTTTACGACGTCCAACGGACAAGTCACCACTGAGGTGACCAGTCCGGCGCCGGCTCCTGCAATAGTATGTTTTAGTTGATCCGATTCTCTGTAAAAATAATTAAGTAAAGAAAAGGAAAAAAGACGTTTTTTTTTAGTACCATTTTAATGTAGGGGCTCAATTAGATTCGTCAGATTGATATTAAAAAGCGGAAAAGGACGGAGCAGAGGATCAAGGAATGTAGGAAAGAAGCGGATAGAGATGTAATTGTTTGCTGTTTGCTGTTTGCGCGCTACTGGCCAATCTATCAGCTGAAGACCAAAAAGTTGACCTGTTTTTCCTGCTTTTTTTTTTTTTTTTTTTTTTTTTTTTTTTGTCGCGATGTGAAAAGAGATATGTACTACAATGCCATGACGCAGTAAGCAGAATTTCCGTCTCTTCAAATCCGTCTTGTTCTGTCTATCTGTCTGCCCAGTGCTTGTTCTATTGTGCATAGAACTTTTATGTTCTTTTTTCTTTTTCTTTTTTTTTATTTGCGATCTGACAACCGCTGAATTCACACGCCTCGAAATCACGTCCTTGGACGTGATTGGAATAAATGCATTCATTATCATTCTAGAACCTTTGCTGCTTCACCAGAGTAAAAAAGAAAGAGCAAAGAGCAAAGAGCAAAGAACAAAGCAAAAGCCAGACCGAGTAAAAGGAGAAGAAGAAAAAAGAGAGAGAGAGAAACAGAGAGGTCCGAGACAGTTGTCCCTTGCCGTCGTCACTGTGCCAAGTCATAGCAGCTATTTCGAGTCCTCTATACTCGAGGGTCTTTGCATTTGTCCAAGAATCACCAAATAAGCTCAAATTGTCCATGTGTCCCTCTCTCCACATTCGCTAAAGTACTGATCAGGTTGATTGGCTATTGATGCCGCGGGAAAGTTTGTTTCATCCTGCATCAAGACAATGTTGAAATGTTGATTCAATTATACCTGAGCTTGATCGCCCACCACTCACGAGCGGACATTGTTCGCGTTTGGAGTGAATGTGCAGAGTCGTAATGTCTGCTTAGTTTAACGACTTAAAAAAAAAGGAAAAAAAAAATGCTCAGACAAGAATGGGCCTAATCTTTATGGTGTTTTTGAATTGATGGTGATCAGGGAAAATGTTGAAGAAAAAAATAAAAAAGGGAGAAAAGAAAAGAAAAAGCAAATGCGTGCAAAGGTAGAATGACTTGAAGATAAGAAAGTAGTAAGCAAGGATGGTGTGGAGGATGCAAAGCAGTAGAAGAGAAGAGGAGAGGAGGAGAGGAGGAGAGTGGGGAGTTCAAAGGAAAAAGTGGCAAATAGCTTTGAAGGACAGGGTACAGGAGAGGAAGGGGTGGAAGATAAGAAGAAAAAAGTGACGTGCAAAAGTTGCAACTGACTCCACTTGGTTTTTTCATTACTCGCTTTCCTTAGATTGGTAACAGTCAGTCCAACGTGCTGTCGATCACATTCTCATTCTTTTTATTGATGCATATATTATTATTATACTTTGGCTTTTCTTTTCATATCTGTCTTTAACCATTTGCCTATGCTTTGAGGGTCTATTCGTCCATTCGATCCAGCATAGCTCCAAATGACATTCTCATTCCATATCGTATAATATGTATATTTGTATAAATGTCTGATAATCTTGTTTTGTTACAGATGAATGTGCATAAGAATGGCATGAACACAATTCGACCAAATAAAGAAAAGTCAGAGTCTAAATTGAGAGGACAGAGCAGAGAGTGGTGTTACAGCATGACACGTCCAGAGGTTCATGTCCATGTTCCCGCCTAACATCTTGAAGAGTAAATGTTGTTGGATATCAGAAGCAAAAAGCAAATGACGCGTTTCACGTGTGCGGAACAACATTCATTAGTACAGACAGGCAATTACGTCAAATACGTCAAGCTAAAGACATGTACAGCAATGGCATTTGTTTGTATATTTATAAACATAAAGTAATAAAATCGAATCAAGAGGATCCAGGCTGGGAGGGATCAACTGACTAATAATAGCCGATAGAAGCCGCTTGCATAGATCTGTGGAGAAGAACATCAAAGACAAAAGCTTAATGATGGGGTGCAAAGTACCTAATCACCTGGACAACACAAAACGGAACATAACGACTCAGCAATCATCCTTTGTGCTACTTACAACTAACTTTCTCTTTGTTTACTCTCTCAACTAGCCCAACTCTTTTTTCTTTCTTTCCTTCTTTCTTTCTCCTTTTCTTCCTCCTTTTCTTCCTTCTTCCTTTCCTCCATCTCTTGTCTTTCAATCTTTCTGTCAAACCCCATTCATTTTTATCCTTATCCTCTTCTCTGGTTATCCTTTTTTTTTTTTTTCCTTGCTTATCATATACCTCTTTCTTTCTTCTTTTCTTTTTATCCATTCTTTTACATTCTTTTCGTCTTTCGATCCAAGGAACTGCAATGTCTTCCCACGAACGTTCAAAGTCCACCTCTTCGGCCAGCTTCGACTTGCCTCCATCTAATGCGGACTCTTCCTTCAAGAGTCAGCGTCCACCTGCCATATCAATCCCTCCAAGACAACGTTCCATGTCCACCTCTGTCGTTTTTGCTACCTCTCCTATTGGACTCAAAAACCCATCTTCCTATCCATTGTTCGGCAACACCAACAACAATACCACGGCCATCTCTCCCACATCTCCTACATTCTCACCCCCTTCCACTTCGAATCCTCCCACATCCTTCGGAACAACCCCGCCAACAGATCTCAAGAGCTTTTCCAACAGTATCCCAGCTTCGTTCGGTAGGCGCTTCTCTGCCGGCTTCACCAATCCTTTGAACAATCATTCTTTTGGAGCCTCTGGATCAACCGGTCCGCAGGTAAAGATGAAATGAAATAGTAAACAATGATGGGGAGTAATTTTTACCCTTTGTCAATGGATTTTTATTTAATTGTTTATTTATTACCTTGTTACGCAAAAAGACACGCGCCATGAATATATTGCATTGTTGCATTAGTCGCGAATGGTTCAAATTAAACACAGTTATTTCTAAAACTAGTTTATTTAACAAACTCTTGCGTCATCCTTGCTTTTTGCTTTTTGCTTTTCCTTTTATTCTTTTTATTTATGTCAATAGCAAGAGGAAAGAACCAGAAGGCGAAGTGTTTTCGGCTCCTCGCCTGTGTCGCTTCAAACAATTAACTTTGAGACCAAGGGATGGTCACCAACAGAGAGTGGTGCTACTACCGCTCATACAGGGTCTGATGGTAATAATGGAGTGACTGGAGGAGGTAATGGTAATGGTCATGGCAATGGCGGCGGTGGCGATGCCGGAGGAGGAGGAAGAGGAGGTATTGGAGGATTGTTCCGCAAGTTCTCCACCAGTCGTGCAAACGGATCACATCATCCTTTTGACACAAACGAATCCAATCCTCCCTTTTCATTGGGTCACCCAGAGATCATCAATAATACAAATGCTCATCAACCACAGAATCAGCAACAACAGCAGCAACAGTTGGGTAAAGACTCGCGTTCAAGCAGTCCAATGCGGAATATGATTCTTAATGGTCAAATGCTGGATTAGCTTTTTCACCCTTAAAAAAAAAATTCCGTCACTCAAACAAGTCTAAGCCTAACAAGTCTAACAAGCCATGCCTATGCAAATGCCCATGCCTATGCCAACGTTATGCTATGCTATGCTATAGCTTCGATTTTTTTTTTTTTTTTTTTTATTGTTCTATTTTATTATCACGTCAATCCCATTGGCTTTGTAAATATCTCACTTTTGTCCATTCCAAATAACGATGAGCAAACAACGCAGCTAACACACAACATGGTTTTATATCATCATCGTAGTATGGTTCCATCCCTTGCTCCTTTACCCTTTGACCCTCAATCCAATGTTGTGTCGTTCTTGATCGCCATATCAGTTGTAGCTCAAAAAATAAAAAATAAAAAAAAATAAAAAAAAAAGAATAAACAAATAAATAAATAGAACGTGCAATTAAATGTTACTACTGAGGTCATGCAACTTTGTTTATTGGCCTATTGTCAGGTTGGTTTTCCCCAGTAAAGTAGTACGACTGTATAAAAAATAAAAAAAGGTTTCAGTTTTATTCCCCTAATTTCTTTTCTTTTCTTTTATTTTCTTTTTCTTCTTATCATGATTGCTGTGCCTGTGAATCTGTATGTGATTGTGATTGTGTATGTGCATGTGCATGAGTATGTGTATCTGTAATTGTATCTGTAGTTGTATCTGTTTGTACATGTGAATGTGAATCTGAACGTGGATGTGGATGTGGATGTTGATGTGAAGAAGAAGAAGAAGAAAAAGTAGAAGGTGGCATGCTTCCATAACAAGCCTGTTCCAATTCCCATATCGTTCGATCCACTTCATCTTTTAATCCCACGATCCGTTGTTTCACAGCTGTCTTTTGAGTCGATAACTCCTTTTGTCGCCTTGTTGAGAGTTCTGCCAAGGTACTGGTATCGTTCAATAACAAGGTCTGCTTCAATTCCGTCACCATCGCCAAAAGGGATTCTGCAGACGTCACAATATTCGTGGCCCTTCCTTGGATCTGATATGATTCCTGTGCAAGCTTGTATTTGTCTTTGGAAATCGAAGATTCATTGTAGGTGATCTATACATACATACACATATGCACGCATATATAAAAACAAAAACAAAAATAAATTATATAAATAAAAAGTTAGTAATGATCCTAATTCAATTGAATAATTGGGTTGTTGAGCCAGATGAAAAGCAAAGAGAAAAAAGAATAAAAAAAGCCTTTTTTTTTCTTTTTTCTTTTTTTTTTTTTTTTTTTTTACCGAAGCAACTTTGACAATATCCCCAAAGGATTCCATCAACTGTGTAATATCCTGATCAAGTCTTTTATTATAAGACTCTTCAATCTCTTGGAGTGCACTTCGGCTGGTGTTTTTAGAAGCAGCAGCAGCGGCAGCGGTGGTAGCAGCAGTACCAGGGGCAGTGGCAGCAGTTCCAGTAGCACCTGCTACTCCTGTCACTGCTGCCCCTGTTGTTGCTGCTGTAGATGTGGTGAGTGCTACACCTGCGCCTCCTCCTACTCCTGTTCCTGTTCCTGTTCCTATTCCTGTTCCTGCTCCTGTTCCTACACCTGCGCTAGACATGATGGGGGTTGAGCCGCCAGCAGCTCCAATGGGTCGTGATGCCATGTATAAAAAAAATAGGCAGGATGTTTTTTTTTTTTTTTTTTTTTTTTTTTGATGTTGATTTGTCTAATTGTATAATGTATAATTCCTTTGTTGGATTGTTCAAGATGCATGCAAACCTTAAATTCCTCAAGAACACTTGTTAAAAGCCACATTTGCAAACCAAGGGAGGAATCTTTTGGTTTTTATCATAGTTTTATTATTCTACAACTAAAAGGAAAGGAAAAAAATAAAAAAGAAAAGAAAAGGAAAGAAAAGAAAAGGAAAGGAAAGTAAAGGAATGGAAACACATCAATCTATGGGGCGATAAATATAAAAATACGATGTGTTTTTTTTTTTTTTTTTTTTTTCTTTTTACTTATTTGTAAAAAAAAAAAAAATTCTATGGTGCTCATTCAAATTCACTAGAAGCAGCTCTATCATATTTGTTGATGTTGCTATGGTGGTGCTGTTGATGATGCGGATGCGGATGCGGATGATGGCGTTGTTGGTGGTGATGATGATGAAAGTCGTGTGGTTGTGAGGATGATCTATAATTATGAACAGCTTCTGTCTCGTCTTCTTCTGCTACTGGCACCATTCGATCTCCACCAGCATATTCATCTCCATAAATGTTTGCAGGATGGATCGGAAGACCATATTCATCATAGTGTTGATGCTGCTGAGGCAGTTCATGATCATTCATCATATGATGCTCCTCATACTCATTAAAATGATGAGAATGTTGTTGTTGCTGTTGTTGATGATGATGATGAAGGTCGTGTACCTCTGAGTAAACTTCTTCAGGATCTGCTCCATGATATTCCTGATGATGGTAATCCTGATGTTGATGTTGCTGTGCCAACGTGGCTTCATCTACTTCTTCCTCCTCATCAAAATCGAAAATCGCACCGTAATTGGCTAATAGCGTTTCAATAATACGACATTGTAGACCCATATCGGCTAGTTCATTGACTGCATCAGTACCACCACTCGAGAGAGTTGGACCAAAGATCAGCCCCAGATTCGAGGGACCCATCATATTGACCGCTGAATTCGCTTGGACTCTGTTATTCGACGGATAAAAAAAAGAAAAAGAAAAAGAAAAAGAAAAAGAAATGTATTGATCAGCACATCAACGACCACAATACTTAGGTTCATAGAGAAAGAGAGAGAAAAGGGCATGAATAATTTTTACCTGTTCAAATGGCACATCAAAAACTTAAGAGTAGCATAATTGGGATCTGGAAGTTGATTAGTGACCTGATGAAGGTTCATCAACTGTAAGTCTGGATCCTCAATACTAGCGGCCTTGATAAAGTCTGGATAAAGTTTCCGTGTCAGCAAAGGATCTGGAAGTTCACGGAACCAGGATTTGAGCACACTTGCCACGCTATTGATATCGCCACAATTCTCTTCAGTACTCAAATCCACAGCAGAGCAATCTATGGAAAGGAATAGGAATGGAAGAAACCAAAAATAAATCAGGTACCCTTTGTTAGTATTTCAATAACAATTGGAGAATCGACTGTTGGAATCAAAAAGTCTATCTATACGTTACCACGGTCGAATGCTGATCGTAGCCTGTTAGTAGCAGAGGTGATTCCTGAAACACGGTAAATTCCTTTTGTGTCCATGCCTATTCATTAGTTTAGAGAAATATTTCGTATTTAGGAACCTGATGGTTGAGGGGAAGTAAAATATATAATATATGTAAATACATGACAAGTGCTTTACCAAACTGCTCGATTGCCTGTGTGCATTTGACTACAATCTCTGGTAAATCTGCTTCGTCTCTAATCAATTGTTCAGCAAGATCAACGCCAAAGATAGGTTTCGGGTTGATGATCGCCTGTGCCTGTGCAGACTATATATATATATATATTTTTTTTTTTAAAAAAAAAAAAAAACAACACACACGAATCTGGGTTAGGACATATAATCTGATCCAACATTTGAATACAGCAGACCAGACCGGACAAAGCTAAACCGAATAAGAATCTGGTGCATCATTGAATTTACCATAAGGTATTCCTGGTATGGAGCTGCAGATCTGACCACAGGGGTTGCCTTTGCTGAATAAGCTTGAATAAACACTTGGAGGTCCGTCTCCCTGTTGATCGTGTTGATACGATCACGCATACCCATATCTAGAGGAGGAAAAGCAAGAAAAAAAAAAAAAAAAAAGTGAAATGGTTGTTTAGTCGTCTGCAATTACTATATTCCCACGATAGATTAAATGTTTTGTAGTAAGGTAATAAGAAGCGTATTTTTTTTTTTTTTTTTTTACCGTTTTCGTTGATTGGATTCAAGATAACAGCGTCCTTCATCATATAGTCCTCGTACATGTATCCATAACGTGTTAAGTAGTATTGAAGTGATAGATCTGACTCGTCAATTGTGTCTTTCAAATTCTATATACATGTATATTTAGGAAACATGGGCGTAAAAGTTGTCAATGTTAATGTCTCTAATAAATACATTCCCGCCTTGCAATTCTTTTTTTTTCCCATCATTTACCCACCTTTAATATACTAGGGAGCATGTTAGAATAGTAGTACTGTCTGGCGTCATTTGTCCGAGCCAGTTGAGCTTTGTATTGTTCATGTGCGGTAGTCGCTTTGTTTTTAGCTTCTTCTTCCTGCTTATTGAGCTATGTGAGAGAGAATGAAAGGAACCAGATGAAGGGGAGAAAGAAAAAGAGTTAATAACCTATCCTTTGCCATTTTGCTCGTGATAAAACCGACAGGATACAATAATGATAATGATAATGATAATGATAATGATTATATATATATATATATATATATATATCCTACCTGGCCAACAGTCTTTGGTTGCCGGAAAATGTTCATGCCCTTGGTCATGGTCTTTTTGGCTGCAGCCGGGTCACCCACTTTTTGAAGAATAGCACGTTCCCATTCCTCGGTGAGGGAGTCATACTTTTGTTTCGCCTATTGACCAAATGCTAATTTGGTTAATGCAAAGACAAATAGATACAAATGTCATATGTATGCAGGATCAACATTCTTCATTTCTTTTGGGTGAGAAAGTTGTGGTTGTTGTTACCTTTTCCAAATTCTGTTCATGTTCTTGAACAATCCTCTCCTGCTTTGAGCCTGCTTCCTTGAACTAAAATAGGATAATGTTTTTAAAATAAATGTGAAAATGGGTCAATTCTGTTATTCAAATCCAAATTGGTTGCCAACCAATGCGTCTAGATTTTTTTTTTTTTTCCCCTGGTATTTTGTGGTTGTTGCAGAATTGGTTTGTTTTTACCTGCTTCCGACTTTTATCTGTTTCCTTGTATATTGCTGACAGTTCATCCGAGAGGTTCTGCAAATCTCTAGAGAACTCGAGTCGGTTGTTTCCTAAACGTTCATGCATTTCCAGAATATGGATCCAACAATCACCAAAGGATCCTTGTTTTGTATGGGCCTGGTTTTCGGCCTGTTGACGATAAGTATCTCGGAATCCGGTGGCCAACTTGAGGATGTTGGTACCATATTCTGCTTCCATGACTGAACGTTTCTTTAGGAACGAAATCATATCCTAAATAAAAGAGGAAAATAAAATAAAATAAAATAAAATAAAATAAAATAAAATAAAATAAAAAAAATAAAAAAAGAGAGTTTGGAATAAGGTTTCTCACACTTCCCGTAATGACATGATTATTCCTTTTCTTCTTTTTTGCTTACCTTGCAGGAGTGAAGGTTTTGCTTGACTCGTTCCAGCAGAATAGGTAGACCAGACTATATGAACAAACATGACAAATATGAAAAGTGATATGACAATGATGAGGATTGTGAACAAGAACCACATACTGCTCATTCATCAAGGCTTTGTTTTGTTTTTTTTTTTTTTTTTTTTTTTTCTTCTTCTTTTGAAAGCAGTAAAGTGGATCGACTCTGCATACACAAGTCTCATCAATCTCATTGCGAAATGATAAAGTAGCAGCACTGAAGAAAAGCCGAAGAAGAAAGAAAAAAAAAAAAAGAAAAAGAGAAAGATAGAGAGAGCAATTGACTTACGTCGAGATCCGTCAAATGTTCAATGAGCTTTCGAGTTTCCGAATCCACATCTTTGAGATCACTTTCTCCATATTCTAATACGACAGAACTAAGTGATTGTCCATCCACGAGTGCGTCTTCATCTGATTCATTGATAGTCTGCTGTTGTTGCTGTTGATAATCCAGATCAAATCCATCATTCAATTGTTGAGGATTCTGTGGTTGTGATTGATATTGTTGTTGTTGTTGTTGTTGAAGTCTAGCTTGTTCATCCTGAGGTTGAAGAAAGAGCATTGAGAAAGGTCTTGATTTCTTTGGTGACTTTAAAGCAGAACTACCCGTGGTATTGAAATTGAAAGGAGACGATGGCTGTTGCTGTTGCTGTTGTTGTTGTTGTTGTCCAGAATATCCATTGGGATTGCTATTGCTGTTGTTATTATTGATATTGTTGCTATTGTTATTATGTGGAAGAAAGGCTGAATGGGCCCCAGTCGTGAGAGTATTGTTGTTGAGGGAATTGGAGGTCGGAGTAGCGATATAGAGCGACTGAGTCTTGGCTGCTCGTCGGTCCGCCCTCTCTGCGGCTGACTTTCCTGATAGCATTTTTTTACTTTTCTCTTCCTCTGTATGTTCTTCTTTTATCAAGAAAGAGATAAAAAAAAAAAAAAAAAAAAAAAAAAAGACACGTTTGAAATGGGAATGGGAATGGGAATGAAACGAATGAATGGGAATCAACTAGAGCAAGTGAAAGAGAGAGAAGAGAGAAAGAAAGAGAAAAAAGTGTTTAATAACCAAGACGTTTTTTTTTTTTTTTTTTTACTTCCAACTGTTTTATGATAACTCCTAATGCTTTTTTTCTTTTATGACAATACCAAGAAGTCGAAGGTTACAAAGGTCAATGAGGTCAATAAAAAAGATGGTGGTTAACTGACAGGAACAAGGGAAAGAAAGAGAAAGAAGAAAAAAGAGAAGAGAAGTATGCACGCCTCCCCTTTCGGTCAAAAACAAACGAATGACTGGTGACCCACGACACAAAAAAAGGGGGAATTGGATTGCTGCATGATGCACAATGCAATATTCACAAATGCTATACACGTCGTTGGTTCATGATTTGAGTAAATGTGGACATTGAAGGTTTACACGTACTTGACTTGGTTGCCATTCTCTGACCTGTGAGGAAGATAATGATGATGTAAAGAAGAAAAAAAGCTATAATAAGATAAAAAAAATAAAGAGTTCCGGCCAGGAACACTTTATGTTACCACCATCATGGTTACTGTACTCGTACTACAGTCAAGTGTAGATTGATCAACTACATGTAGACAATCAGACAACCCAGGCTAAACCCCCAAGCAATCGGTCCCATCAGGATAATGTTTGATCAAAATCAAATGAAAAAAACGACCAAGAGACGTCCATGTTCTCCTTTAATTAAGAAGGATTCATTCATGCATGCACTCTTCCTTCTAGCTTGATCCTCCGCATAAGAATGTTTTTTTTTTTTACTCTTTTTGGGCTTTTTGGGATGTCCAAATCTGTTGAGCAACCAGATAGTTCCATTGACTGCAGCGTGCAACGTGTCACCTTTGACCCGTGCACTCACAACGGTCAATCTATTCTTATTTTGAATCACATCCAATCATTCCTTTTCCATGTCCCCTGGAGTTTATCTACTCCAAGCATCAATTGATATAGTCGTAATCATATTAAAAAAAAAAAAAAATTCTATAAAAATGTTTCTAGCATACAGGTAAAAAAAAAAAAAAAAAAAAAAAACTTGCAACCAACGCTATGATTCTATCTATATAAGAAAATAAAAAATTCCTTCTACTCTCTCTCCTCAAAGCTTTGTCGTTAACAAAGGTGAATCAATTTCAAAACCAATACCCTTGTTTCCTTTGCGTCGTCCCTTTCCACCATCACCATACAATCCATCCCATTTCCGCAACGCTGTCAAACTGTCCATATTCTCTGAACAAGATGGCGTGATCTGTGAAAGAGCCTTTTCGAGATGACTCTTCTTGATAACGCGCTTGGGCCCAGACGAGGATGCAGGCACAGTCCTGTTGGCTACATCGAGAGCCTGCTTTTTGTATTGATTCAACAATGGTGATAAATCAAGTACTTGCTTGTCTTTATCAGATGAAGATTCCAATGATGATGATGCTGACTCGTCCGAGGATGAAGACAAAGCCAAACTCCGAACCTCGTTCTCAACATCCTCACGCACCGAGGCCAATGCAGCAGTGACACACAAGTTTTTAAGATCACTGCCTGAAAAGAAAGAAGTCTTCTTGGCCAATTCCTTCAGATCGATTCCATCCTCCAATTGCTCCTGGCTCAAATACACATTCAGGATCTGCTCCCTTGCTCGTTCGTCTGGAAGATCTACTAGAATTCTTCTTGGCAGTCGTCTCAACACTGCATCATCCAATTCGAACGGACGATTCGTTGAGGCCATCACCACAATCCCTTGATTCTGTCCACTCGAGCGTAATCCATCCCACTCTATCATGAATTGGTTCAAGATCTCACGCTGACTCGAATTACCACCCCCACCTCCAATGCCACCTCCACCACTCGACCCACGGGCTCGGAAGATCGAATCCACTTCATCCAAAAAGACAACACATGGAGACAACTTCCTTGCCAAACTAAAGACAGCAGACACATTCTTTTCACCTTCTCCGACATACATGTCAAAGATGTCGGACGCCTTGATCTCTAACATCCTTGCACCCGACTCCTTCGCCACGGCCTTTGCTAAAAGAGTCTTTCCAGTTCCCGGGGGACCAAAGAGCAACAGACCTGAAAGGAATTCATTCTGGAGTAGGCCATATGAAAAGAGCTGCGGTCGAACCAGTGGAAGAGTAATCATAGTTTGTAGTGTCTGAATGGTTTCTGGAGGGATGATAGTGTTCTGGAAAGTAGTCTTGATCTTGTCTATTGTTTTCATTCATTTGTTCATTAAGGATATAATTACAGCTGTTAGTAGATATCCATGGTTTTTTACCTTTTTTTTTTTTTTTTTTTTTTTTTCCTTTTTTGAAAAAGTTAAAGGAAGGCAACGTAATGATTTACCTGGATCGACAATACTGCCTAGCAATCGGCGTTCATACCGATTACATTCCGTAGGATTGATTAAAGGCTTTGTAGCCTTCTTCTTCTTATCCAAATCAGAAGCGATGATCCTCCGTAGCCTTACATTCTCATTCGAGATTTCCAAAGCACTTTGAACCAGATCTTTTGTAATGATTGAATTCTTATTCGTATTCTTCGTCGTCGTCGTCTTATTGTGACCCTGACTGTCGTTATGAAGGAGACCCTCCTGATTATTTTCACCCAAGTCACTCAGATATAGGGATCCGAGAGCATTAGCAATAACACGGAATACCTTTCCAAACCCCCAAACTTCTGAATCAATCCCACGAAGTCCTCCAAAGACATTCAATGCTGTCTCTGATTCTTCAAGTTGCCCTCCTCTGAAACTTAAAACTGAATGCAGGTTACGACAGTTGATCTCTCGGATCCTCTTTGCTTTATCCCGTTTTAATAGCTGAGCATTCTCATAGGCGTATCGAAGTGGTAAAGGCATGTCCGCTGGATTTGAAGTAGTAATGGCATCAGATAATAGCTCTGCTCCCGTCGCATCCGAATAATTATTGTTACTGTAATTGTTTTTGCGAGTATGGTTATGATGGAACAGGTATGGGGGGATGGAGATATGATGGAACGATTGAGTGGGTCCTGGGAAGGTATCAAAGACGAGTGAAGCGAGCGAAACATGACTGTTCTGAAATGGATTCTGACGATGATGGTGATGTTGATCATCTTCATCTGTAGGCCAACGTGACTTTTGTAAAATGGCAGGCACATTGATAGGAGTCGATTCTTCATCCATGGTTACAGAAACGCCTGTGCCGTCTCCATTACCGTCGTTACCCATGGCTCCCTCTGTTAATTCGTCCTTGTCTATATTATCGTCGTCCTGACTCTCACCTGTGAGAAGTGAAGGAGAGTGTCCTGCAACAACCATGACATTATGTCCTGCCTTGCGAAGTGTGAGTATTGCATTAGTCAAGGATGGGAAAACAATGTGTCCGAAGGGCGTGTGAATAATGTCCGCAATATCTTTCAAGTACAGGATTTTAGGCGATGTCTTTTTGCGATCAGTTGATGGTAATGGCGATGATGGTGATGATGATGGTGATGATGATGGTGATGATGAAATTTCTGATGCGGATATTGATGTTGGTTCTGCCAACAATAGTGCCGTCCAAAACTTTTCAAACTTCTCTTTAAGAGAGATAATGGGTGATACGAATGAATCCTGCCGGCCATCTTGACGAGCACTCTTGGAGGAAAATATCCTAGAGTCCACAAAGACCGCTGTTGTAGCTATTGATGAGCCGCGCAAAGGGTTTTCTTCTTGATCATCATCATCGTCTGCATCATCTTCCATATCATCGTCATCAGAATTTAACATATCTCCTGTGAACTCTATTGGGACCGGCGCAGCCACAAACGGATTGAATCCTCGAGACAAGTGATCAACTGGCCATGGATTGCCTAAGGGAAAATATAAATATGTATATCACTTTTTTGTGAGTCGACAATACACAGATATCTGCCTATCTGATCTGTCCGTACTTGATGAATGCATGCTTCTTACCTGCGCCTTTAGTGTTAAAAATATCTGAAGTGAGCTCCATCATGTCCTGAATATCCAGAACGACAACATCAGCGCCTACCTTCTTTGCTGCAGCCATTGTGAGTGTTTCCAGCATGTATGATGAACCCTCAGATGGTGAACTGAGGATAATATTGTTGTGGCGAGCCGGCATCCTTTGAAGGTGCTGTACCTGTGGTGCATTCGAAGATAGAAGACAGGACGCCATAGTGTTCAATAGCTCATCCAGCACAGTTCCGTGGATATGATATGGAATTGTCTTGATGTCGTGTGGATTGGATGAGGCAGGATGATAATGAGATGAAAGAAAAGATGTAGGGATCGTGGGAACATAAACTTTAGACGTTGAGGGATCTGAGGTCTTTCCAGTAGTCCGGTATATTGATCCTCGAAGATTTTTATACCGCCTTTTTGATGATGATGATATCGTAGAAGATGAAGACGCGGTTTGCCGCGGAGCATTGGAAGGAGGCGTATCTGATCCATCTTTGCCAGGTGATGAGGAAGGTGAGTTTCCAGAGGAAGATGAAGATGACGATGATGATGATGATGATGATGAGGATCCTGTTTCAGATGAAGAGGGAGAGGAAGGAGAAGAAGATACAGAACTGCTACCGGCTGCTGTTGCTTCTGCGTGCATTTTGGAATGGCTACTGAAGTGAAATCTTGAGACGGTTCCTCCTGATCGGATATTTTTACTGGGCGATAACAATAATGACTGACATTGAAGTGGTGGTATTGTTGTTGTCCTTGATACTGTTGAATGTAATCGATATCCACTTCTGCTAGCTCTTATAACATTCATATGCCTTGGAGGACCAGTCCGAGGTGCCGTGATCCTAATGAGCGACAACATCCTTTGTGATGGTTTAATGATGGTGTGTAATGAATGGATCAGATCAATCGAACCTTCGTTTGCATTGTCAGTCTGTGCGCTGAGTGCGTGGGCAAAAGAAAAAGTGAGATCTTTTTTTTGTCCGCAGTCACCGTCACTGCTGTTGTGGCACTGAATGAAACCAGGAACAAGCCGGAGTTTGAATAAAATGACGTATGTATCACATCTTTTAAATGACACGGTTGGTTTTCTTTCGTATTCTCTATGGCTCTATCAGCTTATGATACTATAAAGCAGCAGCAATGATAGAAAGCTGGGTACTGAACTTGTTTACAACGGGCTCTTTTTGTCCGGCATTGGGTTCTGTGTTTAACTGGCTGTAGAAACACTGGTATATATAACTATATATATAGAATAATACATTTGTAAAAGGAATGAACCTTTCTAGTGATGTCTGCACTTATTCATAGGGGGGTATCTCCTCCCTAATCAAACAGCAGCGATAGTTGTAAACAGCTAAAAAGAACCCTGTGCCTGGAATGCAAAGGAGGAACGCATGGACATGGGCTGATATGTTTTAACATGCGTCACAGGAGTGCTCAACAGCTTGGTCATGGTCATCCGCTACATTTTCAGGGGCATCAACCATGAATATAACTCAGACCCAGAATACCATCTTGAAAATAAGTGTATCTTTTAAATAAAGAAAAATAAAATAAAATACCTGTGCTGCTGCTTGCTGCTTTCGATGATGTTTTGATTGTTTACTGTTATTCATTGAATGAAATACAATAAAAAAAATATAAAAAAAAAAAAGAGTTTATGCATTGGGTTGAAGAACAAAATGTAGACAGGGCATGACATGCGGTTCTTCCCCCTTTTTTTCTTATATTTTACTTTATTTTGTTTATTCTATTCCGCTTAATTGGGAGCATGGATCATTTTTTTACATTACATCGTTATCCATTCATGGGCCCAATTGTTGTACCAAGTTCATGTACCTGTAGAAGCGATGGTCATCCACTCCTCCACACGTCTCCTGGTCTTTTTCTTGCTTCCGATTGAGCTCCTGAACGATTCCACCTTCCACCTGACAACTTTTTTTTTTTTATTTTTTTATTTGGATACACACATCATTTATACATATACACATTCATACACCACACTTTCTTTTTTAGTTTGCCCTATTTTGTTCTCCCTTTTCCTCTTTTTCTTTTTCCCTTCAACTTCCTTATCCATTCCTCTTTTCTTTTTTTTTTTTTTTTTTTTTTTTCTTTTTACGACACTCTTTTTTATTTCCTCCTTTTTTTTTTCTCTCTTTCTTCTCTTCATTAACCCATCATACCCCTTTCACCCCACCACTTCACTTTTACGTTTTCTACTATTCTTTACGACTATTGTTAATAGGCTGTATTATTTTAGGTGGTTGAAACAATTTCTACAATTACAACTAAAACTACAACTACGACTACAACTACAACTACAACTACAACGACTGAAACTGAAACTGAAACTGAAAAAAAGAAAATCAATCACGTATTAAAAATAAAATAAAAATAAAAAAAAGATAAAAAATTCAAGACATGGTGGACGCCATCGCTCAACGAGCTCCAGAATACCGCGGCTTGGCCGTAGACGCGGTCGCTCAGGCTGCATTCAACGAAAAGAAATGGGTTTGGGTAGAAGACAAGGAAGAAGGCTATATTGCAGGATGGATTTCAAAAGAAGATGGCGATCAAGTCGAAGTACACTTGAACAACGGCTTGGTAGCGTGAACATGTCTCTTTTTTTTTTTTTTTTTTTATTTCCTACTTTCAACGTCATTTAGGGGGGAGAGAGATTTGATATTCTGATACTAATCTTTATTTTTTAACGAATGCGCGGGTGGAAATATACTTTTTTTTTTTTTTTTTTTTTTTATAGGTCAGGACAGTGAATATCAATCAGACGGGCAAGATGAATCCGCCTAAATTCGACAAGGTCGAGGATATGGCAGATCTGACCTATTTGAACGAAGCATCTGTAGTCCATAATCTTCGTCTACGATATCATTCAAATCTCATCTACGTAAGAGAAGAAGGAAAAGGGAAAAAGAGGACGAAAGCAATTGAGCGATCTCTTTTGCATGGGAAAAAAGAAAAAAGAAAAAAAAAATCATCGTCATTACAACGCAATGCAATTGCTTGCATATAAAATTTCTTTTGATCCCACGCCTCTCTAATTGATGGATGATTATTCATTCCGTTTCTTCTGTAGACATATTCCGGTCTATTCTTGGTCGCAGTGAATCCATATCGTAAGCTTGGCATTTACACAGATGAGGTGGTATCGTCTTATCGGCACAAGAAGAGGCATGAGATGCCACCACATATTTTCGCAATAACCGATGCTGCATATCATGACATGCTACAAGATCGCGATAACCAGTCGATTCTAATCACGTAAGAAAAAAACTTTTTTTTTTTCCTTCTAAGCATATCATCATAATTAGGATTCTTGGGCTTTTTTTTTTATAGGGGAAAAAGATTGCACATGATCTGGCTTGTATAGCGCATAATAGCGAGGAGGGAGAGGGAAAAGGCTCATGGACATGGTCACTTGCTCATAACCACACTTTCTACATTCTTTGTTTTTCTAATAGAGGAGAGTCCGGCGCAGGAAAGACTGAAAATACAAAGAAAGTCATTCAGTACTTGGCCTCTATCGCTACAGACAAGACAAACAAGATCGGGAAACTAGAACAACAGATCTTGCAAGCAAATCCTATCCTAGAATCCTTTGGAAATGCTCAAACCATCCGGAACAATAACTCTTCACGTTTTGTAAGTTAAAAAAAAAAAAAAAAAAATACACCTACTCTTTACTCTCTTGCTTCTATCAATTTTCTTTTCTTTTCTTTTCTTTTCTTTTCCCTTTTTTCAGGCAATTGACCTTTATTTTTTTTCTTTCTCATTTCTGCTCTCTAGGGAAAATTCATCCGTATCGAATTCACATCTGCAGGTCATATTGCTGGAGGAAACATTGAGCGTTATCTCTTTGAAAAGTCCCGTGTGACATACCAGACACCACAGGAGCGAAACTACCACATCTTTTACCAATTGTTGGCAGGAGCTCCAGCGGATGTGAAAAGTAAACTACCAATTTCTCTCCGATCCTGCCTACCTTTCTAGTTTTACACATGCCGTGGGAAAATTATCTGACTCTTTTTTTTTTTTTTTTTTTTTTTTTTCTCCTCCTGTTCTTTTTTACTTATAGAATCGCTCTTGTTGGATGGAGGTCTTGGTGATTACGGCTATGTCAAGAATTCAAACCACGTCATCGCTGGCGTAGACGATGGCGAAGAATTTAAAATGCTGGTGGTAACTAACTTATTATTATTATTATTATTATTATTTAATATCGCTCTCATCGTCACCACTGTCATCAAAAATGTTGCATGTTGTCTAAAAAACTGAATTACATTTGATTTTAGGAATCCATGGACGTCATGGGTTTTACAAAACAAGAACAAATCAACCTTTTCCGTGTCATTGCTTCTATTTTACATCTCGGTAATATCTCGGTCACACAAGACCGATCCGATCAAGCACAGCTCAAAGATACCTCTGTGGCCGAAAAGGTTTGCCATGTCCTAGGGATCCCACTCTCTGATTTTGTCAAGGGGCTGTTGAGACCCAGGGTGAAGGCAGGACGTGAATGGGTTGTTCAGGCCAGGACAGAACAACAGGTCTTGTATTCGATCGAGGCCCTCTCAACTGCGTTGTACGAACGAATGTTTGACTCGATTATCGCCCGCATTAATCATGCAATCGATACCCCCGGCAAAAAGTTCACCACATTCATCGGTGTCCTCGACATTGCTGGTTTTGAGATTTTTGAGGTATACCAAACGCACATGATTTATTTGACTTTTCTTTTATTAGTTCGTTCGAAAGCGAAACTTTTTAGTACCATATTAATTAACTAATTAATTTTTTTTTTTTATTTTTTTTTTTCCTTCTTTACTTTATGAATTATGTAAAAATAGGTCAACAGCTTTGAACAACTCTGTATCAACTATACAAACGAAAAACTGCAACAGTTCTTCAACCATCACATGTTTATCTTGGAGCAGGATGAGTACAAACGTGAAAATATTGAGTGGCAATATGTTGATTTCGGACAAGATTTACAACCAACCATTCAGCTCATCGAAGACTCGAATGTAATGCAAAAAGGAGAAGAAGAAAAAAAAAAAAAAAAAAAAAAAACTCCCTTTCGTTTATCAAAAGAAGAAAAGATTCAAAAAAAAAAAAAAAAAAAAAAAAAAAAAATTTCTAACTTTTTATCGTTGTTGCTCCCATCTTCAAATTAGCCTATCGGTATTCTGTCCTGTTTGGATGAAGAATGTGTTGTCCCCAAAGGAACTGACAAATCCTTCTTACAGAAACTCACAACGCTCTGGAAGGGCAAATCTGATAAATATGAGGCCCCACGGTTCCAGGAAGGTTTCATCCTACACCATTATGCTGGCAAGGTCGAGTACAGGACCGAGGGCTGGCTCGACAAGAACAAAGACCCCTTGAATGAAAACCTTACCCGTTTGTTAGCTCATTCGAGTGAGAAGTTCATCGGATCCCTGTTCGCAGATTATTTGACAGAGGAAGAAGACTTTACTTCGGTCCGGAACCGAGTCAAGAAAGGTGCTGCCTTTAGGACAGTTGCTCAAAGGCATAAAGAGCAGCTTCGGTCATTGATGGATCATCTGTACGAGACTCGACCTCATTTCGTTCGTTGTATTTTACCCAATGAAGAAAAACGAGCTGGCAAGATCAACGTACCTTTAGTATTGGATCAACTTCGTTGCAATGGTGTTCTAGAAGGTATCCGCATTTGCAGAGCTGGATTCCCTAACCGAATCCTATTCGCAGAATTCAGACAACGGTATGAGATCCTATCACCTCCTGGAGTGATCCCAAGTGGGTACATGGATGGCCGTGTTGCAGCCCAGACATTGTTGGAAGCTCTACAAATGGACAAGTCACAGTACCGTATCGGAACTAGCAAAGTCTTTTTCCGATCTGGAGTGGTATGTTTTATTTTTTATTTTTTATTTTACATTGCAAGCATGTATTTGATCCCGGTTTTGTCAATATCATACAACAAAAGGAGGAGTTTTTTTTTTATATATATTCATTTGTTTCTTCTCCTCTCACCCATTCCGTTTTACCTCATAGTTGGCAGAGTTGGAAGATATCCGCGATCAGAAACTGTCTCAAATCTTCACGAAATGTCAAGCAGTCTGCCGAGGTTACCTTGCACGCCGTCATCTGAACCAAAAGATCGATCGAGCCAAAGCAATCAGGATCATCCAACGGAATGCGCGAGTCTATGTCCAGCTCCGAGAATGGTCCTGGTGGAAGATGTATGTCAGGATCAAGCCCCTCTTGAATGTCACTCGTGTTGCTGAGGAATTGCGAGAGAATCAAGAAAAGGTCCGTATCTTGGCTGAAAAACAAGAACAAGAGACTCAGGCCCGCCTTAAACTGGAAGAAGCCAGTCGAGCTTATGAAGCTGAGAAGGCCCGATTGGAAGAGCTATTGGAGACTGAGCGAAACTTGGCGATCGATAATGAACAGATCTTGATCCGAACTCAAGCCAGAGCTTCAGAACTAGAAGACCGTGTCAAGGAAATTGAATCTGAATTGGCTCAAGCAGAGGCTCAACTAGAAGAGTTGTCTATGGCCAAGCAGGAGGCAAGCCTTCATTCCAAACAGCTCGAAGAGAAGGTTGCAGAGTTGACAGAGACTATTGAAAGGATAGAGAAGGAGCGATCTACCAAGGAGATTGAGCTTCGACATGTTCAATCAGCTCGCGAAACTGACACTGCCGCAGTTCGGAAACTGGAAGCAGAGAAACATGCTCTAGAGGTACGCTTAGAAGAACTCCACAAGGAAGTAGATGAGAAGGACCTTGAGCTTGAGCGTGCACGTCTGAGACTCAAGAACACGATCGAAGAGCTCGAGAGCAAGATTGAAACCGTGGAGAGTGAGAAACTCGCCTTCAAGAACAAGCACATGGCTGCAGAGGCAGAGCTGAAGCAGGTTAAAGAGCAAGTCATGGAGCTCGGACGGACATGTACAAACCAAGAGAAACAGATCCAGGATAAATCAAACCGTCTCAGTGCATTAGAAGCAGAGTTAGATCGTGAAAAGGCTGGAGGCGAAAAACTCCGCCGAGATCTTTTGCTGAAGCTACAGCAGAATGAAGATGAGCTCGAGTCTGAGCGACATGAACTTGCTAAGCTAGAAAAGGTCAAAGCAAGACTCGAAGAACAACTGGAGGAGACTAAGCGATCTTTGGAAGCCAAAGGTGATGAGGAGACCAAACACACAGAGCTCCAACGCATGCGCGAGACCGAAATGGCAGGACTCAAGGAGGAAATCGCTTCCTTACAAGCCGAGCTTGAAGAAGGCCGTAAGAAGCTGGCTGCTCAGAGTGAGCAGTATCGTCAGGAGCTTGATGATCTGTCGCAGGAGCATACGGCTGCAGTTACAATCAGGAATTCGTACGAGAAGCAGCTTGCGGAGATTCAGAGTCAGATCGAACGCAACATGCAGGTAGTCGAGACTTACCAAAAATCACTCAAGCAGACCAACAATGAACTCCAAATTTCCCGAAGCCGTGAAGCAGAATTGGAAAGCGCATTAGACCAGGAACGTCTCACCAAGGAGAGCTACTTGCGCCAGCTGAGTACTGCCAACTCAAGGAACGATGACACAAACGATCGTCTGGCCCGCCTCGAGCGCGACAAAGCTTCAAACCAGAAGCAGATTGACATGCTCCGAGAGGAACTCGAAGAGGAAATCCAGCGTCGTAAACAGGCTGAGGCCGGCCGTCGCGAGCTTGAGATGGAGGTGGAGGACCTTCGTCGTCAGCGTGAGGAGGATGAGGTCTGCAAGGCCGAGTTTGTCCGTAAAACTTCCACTCAGGCAGCTGAACTGGATGAGATCAAGTTCAAGTACCAAAGCGAAGCAATGGAACGTACAACCGAACTTGAGGAAGCCAAGAGACGCCTTGAAAAATCTGTTGCAGAGCTTCAGGCTCGTTGTGATGAACTCACATTGACCAACAGTAACATTGAGAAGAGTAAGGCTCGATTGACTGCTGAGGTGGAGGATCTGAGACATGAGGTCGACCGTGATCATGCTGCCACTCGAGCTGCTGAGAAGATTGCCAAGGCTACAGAGATCCAGCTGTCTCAAGCAAAGGAACAAGCGCAAGTCGAACGTCACCATCGCGAACTTGCTGAATCGACGGCAAGGAAGCTGCAGACTAATCTCGATAGCCTCAACCTCGATCTTGAAGCCAAGGACCAGCAGATCCAAAGTCTATCTCGATCCAAAGCTGAGCTGGAAAAGGAGCTCGGGTCGCTAATTAATGAGTTTGGAACCAGTGGAAAGAGTGTACATGAGGTTGAGAAGCTGAGACGAAAGATGGAAGCCCAGCTCCAAGAGCTTCAGAACAAATATGAAGAAGAACAGAGCCTTCGTTATGCTGCTGAGGAGCTCAAACGTCGATTCGAGGAACAGCTCGCAGACTCTCGTCGTGCCATGGCTGCAGACATGGAGGCTAAAGAAGAACAGTATCAGGAGACAAAGAAGATCTTGCTCGTGGAGATCGATGAGCTGGGCCAGCAAGTAACTGAGCACATGACGACCATCAATGAATTGACCAAAGCCAATAAGAAGCTCAAGGAACAGATTGACGAATTCAGCCTGAACCGCGATACTTCCACAAAGTCCAAGACAGACATGGAGAGAACCAGGAAGAAGTTGGAGACCACTTTGCGTGAGTACCAGAGCCGCCTTGAGGCTGAGGAGAGGCTTCGTAAGAACTTTGAAGACCTAGCTGCGAGACATGAACGCAAGTCAAATGCCATCCAGAGCGAGCTCGAGACTGTACTAGATGAGAAGGAGACCTTGGACCGAAACAACAAGCAAATAATGGCTGAGATAGAGGCCCTTCGCCAAGAGCTTCATGGAGGCGATGATTCAAAGGCCAGCTTGACCGAAAGGCTGAGGAAGCTAGAGCGTGAGAACCAGCGTCTACAGGAGCAGGCGGACGAGGAAGCCGATACACGGGAGATGATGGCTGCCGCTAAGAAGGGTGATTCTTCTGAGATCGAATACTTGACCAGCAAGATCCGAGGAGAGATGGAAGATCAACTTCAGGGTCTCGAAGAGTCGCGTAAGGCTGCTGTAGCTGCTCAGAGGATTGCACAGCTCGAGTTGGAGGACAAGTTGGGAGAGATCAACAATTTGGAGAAACAGCGCAAGTCATTGCAGTTAGATCTAGATGACCTCAAATCGCAGCTTGAGGCTGAGATCCTTGCCAAGAATGAAGAGGCTGCCTCGAGACGACGACTGGCAGCTGAACTTCAAGATCTGCAGATCAAGTCTGAGGCAGAGGCTGCCAAGATGAGTGAGCTCCAAGAGTCTCTTCAGATGTACAAGGCGAAGGCCGATAGCGCATTGACCAAGCTTGAGACTGCTGAACTGGTTCGCCTGAAGGCTGAGAAATCAGAAGGTTTGATGCGTCTCCATCTTAAGGATCTTGAAGAATCGCTCCAGGAAGCCATTGCCGAGAGAAAGATTGCAGAGGAGAGGGCCGCGACATACCAGCAACAGATGAGGGAGCTTGAGGATAGTCTGGAGGAGGATCTGATCGCCAATGCAGACTTGGGCATGGCTCGCCGTCGCTTGGATGAGGAACTTGCCTCTGAACGCGAGAAGCACCGAAAGGAGATGGAGGAGAGTCAGCAGGCGATCGAAACGATCAAACGCAAGTACCAGAAGGAGATTCGACAGCTGGTGACGGAGATTGAACTTGAGAAGGCCAACCTTCAAAAGATGCGAGAGACTCATAAGCAGCTAACTGCTGAACTGGAGGAAGTCAATGTGAAGTTTGATCAGGAGCTGAGGAACAATCAATCTTGGAAGAAAGATAAGGAACGCTTGGAAGCCAAGTTCAATGACATGAATCAGCGCTATCAGAATGCGCTTGCAATCCAAGACGAACAACAAGTTCAGATCACGAGCCTGCTCACTCAGGTACGTGAATGCAGAGCTGCGTTGGACGAGGCTCAGGCTGCAAAGGCTGCATTAGAGAAAGCGAAGCGTGGACTGGAACAAAGACTAGATGATGTGGGCGAGCAATTCCATACAATCACGCAGACCAAACAAACTGCAGAGAGGATCAAGCTGGCTCTGGACCAGGAGGCAGGCAATCTCCGAGAACGCTTGGAAGAGGCGCAATACTCAGTAACGCTTGCAAACGAGAGGGTCAGCAAGGCAGAGATGGCTGCTGCCGAGGCTGAGAGCGCATTAGCCAAGGAGCGAGCCATCAGTGAAGAAAATCTGCGTGTAAAGGTATTGTAAAAAGAAAAAGCATATGAACATATGGACATATGGACATTGATATTATGACATACCATTATCAAAAGAAGTCAACTTTTAATCCTTTTACTCTTATTTTATCTTTAGCAATCCTTGGAAAAGCAAGTTTCAGAGTTGAGCCTTCGCATTGCAGACCTAGAGGCGGCCACACAGGCCAGTGGGCCACGGTCTGCTAGCCACTTGCAACAAAAGTTGGATGAGAAGACCGCCCAGTTGGATACTGAGATCAGGAATAGACAGGAGGCCCTTAGAGTTCAGCGTCGATGTGAGAGAATGGTTCGTGATCTTCAGCATCAACTTTTGGAACGTGAGAAGCTGAAGGCTCGCCAAGAAGAAGATGCTGCAAAGATGGAGCAGAAGCTCAAGGCTCTTCGCCAGCGAGTGGAAGAACTGGTAAGGAATAGGAGAGAGTGATCATTCCAATATGTTTCATTCTGGTATAGATCCTCAATATCTTTGAGCAACATATACTTACGTTTTTTTATTTTTATTTTTATTTTTATTTTTATTTTTATTTTTATTTTTATTTTTATTTTTATTTTTATTTATATAATAGGTCATGTCGGAGAATAATCTGACAATTGCCAAGCGAAAAGCAGAAAGAGACTCTATGGAGTGCAAAGAGAAGTCTATTCGGTATGTTTATGGTTTTACCATTTGTATGATCCTCCCTGGTTCTCGTGTTGCCTTTTAACTTATCTTTTCCTTTTTTTTTTTTTTTTTTTTTTTTTTCATAGTCTTGAGCGTGAGATTGAAAAGATGCGAGCTAGAGTGGAAGCAAAGGCGATACCCGTTGCATAAACAAGAGTGCAATCAAACTAATGCTAATTGATAGACCAGACCTTTTAATTGCAGATAAATAGACATGCAAAAAAAAAAAAAAAAAAAAAAAGCATTGCTTCCCAATAAAAAAATTCCACTACCAAAATGGAGAGAAAAATTTTACCTTCCTGAAATGGAAATGGCCCATTTTTGGTTTGACTGGTACCTTGCTAGTCGAACTAGAGCCATGTAAACAGCCTGTCAAATACCATTCGACTGGCAAGACTTTTTGATGGTATATCCTGCCTGTCTGCTGAAAATACAAATTCTTCTCAAGCACATTCAGGCACAACCCACACAGCCATGTTTTTTTTTTTTTTTTTTTTTTTTTTTTTGCCTATCTTCGCCTCCGTCCCCACTGTCAATTCCCCCTCTCCCCTCCTCTTCTTTTCCTCCTCATCTTAGGCCTCCCACATCATTCTTCCTGCTCCTCCGGAGCTGATCTTGTAGATCAATCCCCAAAATATATTGTTTGGCATTTTTTAGGTCGCTTGTCGGTGTAGGATCCACATCATCTGCCTCGATTCCATAGAGTTGATTCACGGAGCACTCGGTCATGCCTTGCGGAACCACAAAAATACATGCGACTTCGTCAGAAGACTTAATCCACTTTTTATCGCCTAGAGTTTTCACAAGCTCCTTGAATTCTTTGCTTTTGATCCCATAATTCTTGTCCACTTTAACCTGGAATAGATATTTCGGTGCCAATATCATATCCACACAAGGAAAAGTCTTGCTCTTTGGCACTCACAATGATCCTTCCATATCGTCCTTCACATACTCATCCAAAGTATGAAAGAAATTAGTCTTCGTGCCTCTTCCGACTTCAATAGTTATTTCAGTGCCGTCATCGATGCTCTTGGCCTTAAAGCTACGACCACCTTCCCGCAGTATGTGCTGTACGTAAGCTTGGAACATTCCTACTTTGGTTGCTGCTCTACTACTATTGACGGACAATTTCAGCATCCTGGCCCAAACACTGTCGTCTGTTAAATCATACATCTTTTGCATGATATGATTAGAAGCCCATCGCAGTTCAAATGTATCATGATCTTTTGTTGGATAACAGTGGAAAAGCTGACTATATCCCTGTAAGTTCTAGTTCAGCGTATAGTGTCCTATTATCTGCGATTTACCTATCAGGAGAGCTTGCTGAACGTGTTCGTATGCTATCGACTTGGCCTTTTCTATTGTCTCACCCATCCCCAATACCTTCATCGGCGCCTCGAGGACATATCTTGGCACACCACCGACCATATCATAGAGCTCTTCTAAAAGGCTCTCACAAGATTTTTCGGCGCCAAAGGCCTCTTTAAAAGCTCGAACCTTGTTTCTGCATTCTTTTAGCTCATCTAGTTCCCATGGAGCCATGTAGTACTTCCATATCACACTCTCCATGACTTCTTGGTATCCATTCAGACCATAAAAGAAAGTCCTTGGTGACACCGAGAAGATAGTCCTGGCAGTCAAGAGCCGTGGTGTTGGTGAGCTGTCGACTAGGAACCAAGTATTAGGTAGTTGTGGGAAGGGTTCGAAATCCTCTATGTTCCCATATCGAATAACAGATCGCCCACCGAAAGCATAGCACTTTGAATTTTCCCTTTTCTGGATGGTGATAATAGGTAGGTCTTCCTCATTGCTAGTGGCAAGCATTCGGATGGCGAAGTATATGAGAAAGGATGATTTTCCTATACCAGCTGTCCCTGTGACAACAATACGATCGCAAGGGCTCCTAAGTTTTCTGTCTTTACGAAACCTCTTGTCGATCGTATCAAAGAGTTCATTGTAAGCTGATCTTACATACAGATCTTCCATGTTGATCACAGGAAGTATTGTCTCCTGAGGGCTGGATATCACCTCCATTTCTTGAAATAATGTGTTTTGGAGGGAAGTGGCTGCTTGGGATATTGAATAGTACAAGTCAGTCCTACCCACCCTGACGCCATTAGTAGCAAGTACTGAAACCAGTTCTTTACTTGTAAGGACGGAGAGATCAGGAACGCCGTTTATTATAGCCTTTTGGGAAAGTCCTGCTTCACTAATTGCCCCCATTAGGCTCATATTTTCTAGCATAGCCTTTTTGAAGGAGCTCCTATCACCTTCATCACCCTCTAGCTGATCTCGGTCTCTTTTCGAAACTGTTTGTTAAAATATAAGCAAATAGAATAATTTTAGAAGGCAGCTTTGACGCCTTAAATCGAAACCATCAGTCCAATAAGAACTAAAAACATACCTTGCTTCGGTACTTCGACAATAACGTAAATGAGATTGTCTGCTGCCTCGTCATGGAAGTAAGTATGGAGTTTTTCAAGTACGTTGTCAAGGACCCTGAGCGACTCTTTAGGAAACTTGCATAATTCCTCCACTGTTGAATCATTAGGGATGAGCTTGAGAATGAGATCTTTGCATCGATACCATTGAGTGTGTTTTCATTCTCTGCTTTGATGGCCTTCTTTAAAGCGTCAATAATTTGGTTGGAAAGAATGTTTATTGGGAAGGCAGCTCTCCTGGGTTACGGCCCCATATCATTGACACCGATCACTATTTTCACCTTGTCTCAATTCAATGTTCCGCTTTGTGAAATCTCCAGGCACCTAGCGGGCTCAATAGGAAGAACAATGTCTTCCTCCGCTTGGAGGATATCAAGGAGCTACAAGAAGACAATAAATCTATTCCAGCGCAAATGACTCGGAAAGTAATCGATCTGTTCTCGTTCTCACCAGAAAAAGATAAACTTTCAATAACCGGCAAATTATTTCTCAAGAGTAATTTCAGATAAAAACATTACAGTCCAAAACAGGATTGATAGGAGAGTTCTTTTATAATAAATGCGCATTATTGAGGCGGCAATTAGTTGTCAAAATCAATGTAGGAGATTCTACCGTCTTTATATACCTGGTCCTCTTCGATGGACACCGTCAACAAAAGGACTGACGAAAATAATCTCACACTCAAGGTGCATGGGAGGGTTGATAGTATGACATGGGAACAATGAAGCAGCAAATGTAGCGAAGACTGAAAAAAAAATAGCCCATGACAAATAAAAACGGAGGAAGATTTAACATCGAAGAATCAGAAGCACTGTCATTTCTTGGCGGCTACAAGCCAGTTGCTGTGCATGCATCTTTCCTAATATCTCTTACAGTCTTGAAATCAAGTAAAATGCAACTTTTCTCTGCCTCTGGGCTGCCAAAGTGCAAAAGGAAAGAGAAATGGCTTATGAAGTCCTAATGGTTGCTGCAATAGGTGATTTATACACAGCTCAAAAGCTGCCTCTATAGCCGTTCCTTTTTCTTTACTTAAAAGCTTAGTCAAGCGTGTACAAATCACAATCGCTACTCAGTTATAAATAATACTATATAGTGCTACTGCGTCGGCGGCCTCGGTAACATCTCCTGCAATGGCGGTCGCTGTAGCAACGCGTTAGCACCCCTGATCATAATCGATGCACCATCATTCGAGAGCACTTTAGTAAGGTCACTTCCCCTGCGGACAACAGTCTCGGATGTATTCTGCACGTTTTTTTTATTTCGACTCTTTGTAACACCAAATGGCGAAGCAGAAAAACGTGGTCGACTGTGTCTCTCTTTCAAAAAGTGAGATGAGATAGCTTTTCTTCATCTTGCCATCATCTCTTGAATCATCACCGAAATGACAGAACCTCAATACCAACAATTCCGATGCAACAGCACCATCGAAGAAGTTTGTGTCAGAACTACTGCGAACACTTCCGCAGACAATGACAGCTCGTCATCCTATGTGAGCTTGCAAGACATTCGAGACGTGTTTCCAGATGCACTACGCTTCAAGTTGGATGGGCATCCCATTCCATTACTTGTAGATTCTAATGGCAACAGGTATGTTACTTTATCATGGTCTTTTATCAATTGCTCTGGAAAGAATATGAAATCCAATTTAGCATTTTTTTTTTTTTTTTGCTCTATTAGAATCGAACCTTTGCGCATTGCATTCTATCCTGATAAGATCCTGGACGTTATTACAGAAGTATCACAAACCAGCAGTAGTAACAACAGCAATGCCGTCGTTCATTTGTCAACAACAAGAGACTCGGTAAATTTGACTCCTCAGGATTCTTCTTTGCCTTCATCAAACTTGATTCAAGCTTACAACCCTCGACTCTTTATCATTCTGCCTGTTGACAGCACCAAATGGGACCCAATGAATGTCTTGAGGAACAAGGTTCGCCTTCACTTCCTATGTGAATGCGAGGATCGCTCTGAAAAGGCAAGCAAGGACAGCCAGAAGAACAAAACCCATCTTGCGAGACATGAAGGATATGAGATCAGGAACAGCACAGAGTTCTTCCAAAAGTATGGGAAATACATGATCATCTTGTTACAAGGACTCAAGTTGGGGATGGAAGCATCTCCAGGTTCTTATCTGACACCTGCCCCAAGCATGATTGATACCGGTATTAAGCATGCGATCGACTATTTGAATGAACTCACAAAGGAAAACCCAGGCTTGAATGACTTCAACACAATGGATGACTATGAAGGACTTGAAGGAGCAGATCTCCGACGACTGAGCACATTCCTTCAAACCAATGATGAAAACAGGCAGCTTGGCAACTTGTACAGGATCACGGCAGAAGCAGGCCATGTCAAATGGGTTTGTGTCGACCACTATCGCTCGACGTATAAAGAGAAAGAACAGAAAGCGTTTGAAGATGTTGTGGCGATGAATGGAGGCAAATATGACTCACAGCTCGGTAAAGTGGTCATTGAGTTGGTATCCAGGATCAGAGCTAGAGAGTTCTTCGAAGCCTTGACCAAAGCTAAACATATTTACGAGTTGGATATCACATTCGATCGCTATTGGGATTGGACCAAGACTGATCTGGAAGCACTGAAGAATGCACTGAGAGTATCGAGTGTATCGATCCTTCGACTTGATCTTGGATCGTGCCGAGAAAGCATAACCAGAGAAGAGCTTTCAGCATACACACGACATGAAAAGCTAGTAGACATCATAGAACTTAACAATATGAAAACGATTCATGTTGTACTTCCTCCGGAAGTCAAACGTCTTTCCAATCTACAAAGCGCAAAATCATCACACCTTCACAAGTTATCCTTTGGGATGAGGCCTCGAAAGATGAGAGCTAATGAATTTCGACTGCTTATGAATTCACTCAAGGCTTTGGTCGCCTTGGACTTGCACTTCAACTCAATTGGGAAAGAAGGAGCTCAGGCACTGTCAGGGGCACTCGAGACAAACACCAGTTTAACCGATTTGGACTTGACGAACAACTCAATTGGGAAAGAAGGAGCTCTGGCGCTGTCAGAGTCACTCAAGACAAACACCAGTCTGACCAATTTGAACTTGAATGTCAACTCAATTGGGGATGAAGGAGCTCTGGCACTGTCAGAGGCACTCAAGACAAACACCAATCTGACCGATTTGAACTTATACAATAACTCAATTGGAGATGAAGGAGCTCAGGGACTGTCAGAAGCACTCAAGTCAAACACCAGTCTGACCAATTTGAACTTGATGGTCAACTCAATTGGGAAAGAAGGAGCTCTGGCGCTGTCAGAGGCACTCATGACCAACACCAGTCTGACCGATTTGGACTTGTGGGGCAACTCAATTGGGGATGAAGGAGCTCTGGCACTGTCAGAGGCACTCAAGACAAACACCAGTCTGACCAATTTGAACTTATACAATAACTCAATTGGAGATGAAGGAGCTCTGGCACTGTCAGAGGCACTCAAGTCAAACACCAGTCTGATCAATTTGGACTTGCAGGGCAATTCCATTGGGGATGAAGGAGCTCTGGCGCTGTCAGAGGCGTCCAAGAAAAACAAGACCTTGTGGTTTTCTGTATGAGAAACGCCTTAATCGATAAGCAAAGAATTCTGGTGCTATCAAAGCCGCCTAATGTTGGCTAGCCGACGTTGAAGCGTTGGCTGGTTTAGTTGACTGGTTTGATCATTGAAGTAGTGGTGGGGTATCTAGGCTAGATAGTAACGGATAATAGTTTGATTTGAATTTAACTGCTGACTTGTCGCTGCTAAGCAGCCGTAGCGACGTTACTATTTTTTTTTTTTTTTTTTTTTTTTTTTGATTCTTCCTCTCCTTGCTCGCTGAATGGTTCTAGCGCGCAAAGATTATTGATAGCTCATCCTTTTTGTAACAGCTCTCTATAAAGGCAAGCCTAATATGGCCATCATACTGCACTATGAAGGCAGAGAAAGATACTGTTTGTGATCTCTCCTTAGAATCGTGTGAGCATCAAGGAGAAGTGTCCAAAGGATTGTGGGATTCCTATATATCAGTCTCAAGGGGAGCTATGAGCAAATATAATGAAGAAGTAGCCCATCATCAAAGGATAGGAATCAAGAGAGCTCCATGCTCTTCAGTATAATCTTAAGAGACCTACAAACTATACAACAAGACCGGACGCTTGTTGAATCAGACGCGAGGAGTGATGAAGAGGATATAGGCGCCGGAGCCATTTATAAGTGTATGTAGCAGCCAAAGCAAGGCCTTAGCAAAGGCGCAGGCCGCTGTGAATGTCGCTTCGATAAGAACCGCCCAAAGTTAGACAGAAGAGGACTAAAAGGTGAAGTTCATTGATGTGACTATAATCGATAGGAGTGAGGCATTTTGGCAAAAAGTTTTATTACAAACGGTGCAAAACAGATGGGCTGGATGGGTGGCCTCCCATTGAGGGGACTACATGCAGCTGTATGTTTTATTATAAATAGTTCATATAGCACCACAAGTCGTTTGTTATTGTTGTCACTATTCGACATTCTCGATTCCTTAAGTTCCCTTTGATCTTATAGTTCCAGCCAGCTGTAAGCTCATCATAAGACGCTCTTTTGGCTTGCAAATGTTGAGGAATACCATTCCACTGCTACTTGGGGGGCAAGCCGTTAGAAAAGGAGCCAGATCTGCTCGAGGTATCCGCAAGATTGGTGTCAAAGGGTCATCAAATGGTCAAAGAATACTATAGGCTCTTTTGTTGACATCTAGAGATCAACTAAGTGATGAACTACAAGGCAGTTTAATAACTGAACAAATTATAGCACTTTGCTAGGGATATTAGTTGGTCGAATCAAGCAGAGGACCCATGTTTATGCGTATGTCCATGTCCAATGCATTCTGGAGCACCTAGAGCAAGAAGGATTGAAGACCTACATTAGATAGAAGCAGTTGTCAGTTCTATAAAAGCCCTTTTGCTTCTCTCTACACATTTGCAAAGGATCACCGGCCTTTCACCGCTTCATATTTGTACAGCTCATGTCCAGGCTGTAAAGGGCGAGCTTTGGTATCTATGATCATCGTTGTGGTCCAACAACACCCATCGCAACTGCGTTTAAGAGCGAGTACAACAGTGATATGCTTGTTTAAATAGCACACCGTTCATTTGACATCACTCTAACCGCAAGCTTCTTGTATTATGACATTGGCATACTTATTTGAGGTCAATAGACTGGGAAGGGTTCAGTTCATAACATTTTGAGTCGTAGTAAACACGATTACAGTCGCAACAGCATTGTTCGAGGGTTTGGTAAGGAAAGGAAGCAGAGCATCCTACTGTTAACATTCACAACGGATTAATTAATACCAACTGCAAATTTGAGAACCAGAGATGAGCAAACCAAAGACCGCTTTTAGATGGTTCTGAGTTTATCCAAAAGTTATCAGTGTTTTACCCTACTGTTCTTTGCCAAGGGTAAAGACAGTACGTATTGTCAATGAGGTTGAAGATGGTCAAGAGGACAAATACAGAGATGGAAGATAGAAGGCACATGTGTATGTCTTTTCTCAGTTTCTAGGCTTGCTGGTTTAAAGTCCGTACTTCTGTGTTGAAGCGAACGGTAAACACGTTGCAATAGTGCAATTAACTGATCTTTTGAGTATTACAGCTGCACGGTTCATATTAATAGCTCAAGGCGTTCTTTTTATATGAGTCGAGTTCTATTAATCTACTTCAATCATAACTTTGACCATTGTGGGCAAGAGAACATCCCTGACCACTATCATCTGAGAGCACTTTAGTAAGGTCACTTCACCTGCGACTGCGGACAATAGTCTCGATGGATGTATTCTGCACGTTTTTTTTATTTCGACTCTTTGTAACACGAAGCAGAAAAATGTGGTCGACTGTGTCTCTCTTTCAAAAAGTGAGATGAGGTTACTTTTCATCATCTCTTGAATCATTACCGAAATGACAAAACCTCAATACCAACAATTCCAAAAAAACGACACCATTGAAGAAGTTTGTGTCAGAACTACTGCGAACACTTCCGCAGACAATGACAGCTCGTCATCCTATGTGAGCTTGCAAGACATTCGAGACGTGTTTCCAGATGCACTACGCTTCAAGTTGGATGGGCATCCCATTCCATTACTTGTAGATTCTAATGGCAACAGGTATGTTACTTTATCATGGTCTTTTATCAATTGCTCTGGAAAGAATATGAAATCCAATTTAGCATTTTTTTTTTTTTTTTGCTCTATTAGAATCGAACCTTTGCGCATTGCATTCTATCCTGATAAGATCCTGGACGTTATTACAGAAGTATCACAGAACGGCAGTAGTAACAACAGCAATGCCGTCGTTCATTTGTCAACAACAAGAGACTCGGGGAATCTGACTCCTCAGGATTCTTCTTTGCCTTCATCAAACTTGGTTCAAGCTTACAACCCATCTCTTACTGCTCACAGCTTGGAAGAGATTAAGGAGTTGGTACTAGAAACTCTTAAAATGCAATCGGAAACAGTTAAACTACAGCATCAAGCTCTTGACAGACTTGCCATCCTCCAACAGAAAGCTGATGCTATCCTTGTCCAGACCTTTGAGCTTCATGAATATCCAATCCCTCGACTCTTTATCATCTGCCTGTTGACAGCACCAAATGGGACCCAATGAATGTCTTGAGGAACAAGGTTCGCCTTCATTTCCTATGTGAATGTGAGGATCGCTCTGAAAAGGCAAGCAAGGACAGCCAGAAGAACAAAACCCATCTTGCGAGACATGAAGGATATGAGATCAGGAACAGCACAGAGTTCTTCCAAAAGTATGGGAAATACATGATCATCTTGTTACAAGGACTCAAGTTGGGGATGGAAGCATCTCCAGGTTCTTATCTGACACCTGCCCCAAGCATGATTGATACCGGTATTAAGCATGCGATCGACTATTTGAATGAACTCACAAAGGAAAACCCAGGCTTGAATGACTTCAACACAATGGATGACTATGAAGGACTTGAAGGAGCAGATCTCCGACGACTGAGCACATTCCTTCAAACCAATGATGAAAACAGGCAGCTTGGCAACTTGTACAGGATCACGGCAGAAGCAGGCCATGTCAAATGGGTTTGTGTCGACCACTATCGCTCGACGTATAAAGAGAAAGAACAGAAAGCGTTTGAAGATGTTGTGGCGATGAATGGAGGCAAATATGACTCACAGCTCGGTAAAGTGGTCATTGAGTTGGTATCCAGGATCAGAGCTAGAGAGTTCTTCGAAGCCTTGACCAGAGCTAAACATGTTTACGAGTTGGATATCAGATTCGACTGGAATTGGGTTTGGACCAAGACTGATCTGGAAGCACTGAGGAATGCACTGAGAGTATCGAGTGTATCGATCCTTCGACTTGATCTTGGAGAATCTCAAGAGAGCATAACCAGGAAAGTGCTTTCAGCATCCACACGACATGAAAAGCTTGTAGGCATCATAGAACTTAACAACATGAAAGTGATTCATGTTGTACTTCCTCCGGAAGTCAAACATCTTTCCAATCTACAAAGCGCAAAATCATCACACCTTCACAAGTTATCCTTTGGGATGAGACCTCAAATGATGAGAAATAGTGATTTCCGACTGCTTATGAATCCGCTCGAGGCTTTGGTCACCCTGGAATTGCAATTCAACTCAATGGGGAATGAAGGGGCTCTCGCACTGTCAGGGGCACTCAAGGTCAACACCAGTCTAACCACTTTGAACTTGTACAACAACTCAATTGGGAAAGAAGGAGCTCTAGCGCTGTCAGAGGCACTCAAGACAAACACCAGTCTAACCACTTTGAACTTGTACAACAACTCAATTGGGAAAGAAGGAACTCTGGCACTGTCAGAAGCACTCAGGATCAACACCAGTCTGACTGGTTTGCGCTTGGCAAGCAACTCAATTGGGAGTGAAGGAGCTCTGGCACTGTCAGAGGCACTCGGGATCAACACCAGTCTGACTGGTTTGCGCTTGACAAGCAACTCAATTGCGGATGAAGGAGCGCTGGCACTGTCAGAGGCACTCAAGACAAACACCGGTCTGGCCAATTTGGACTTGACGATCAACTCAATTGGGAATGAAGGAGCTCTGGCACTGTCAGAGGCACTCAAAACAAACACCAGTCTGACCAATTTGTACTTGGTTCACAACTCAATTGGGAATGAAGGAGCTCTGGCACTGTCAGAGGCACTCAAGACAAACACCAGTATGACCAATTTGGACTTGAGTTTCAACTCAATTGGGAAAGAAAGAGCTCTGGCGCTCTCAGAAGCGTCCAAGAAAAGGATGATCTTGAATGTTTTTGTATGAGAAGCGCCTTAATCGATTTGTAAAGAACTCTGGTACTATTGAAGCCGCTTATTAGTGGCTGGCCGATGTTGAATCATTGTCTGGTTTAGTTGTCTGGTTTAGTTGACTGGTTTGGCCATTGAAGTAGTGATGAGGTGTTTAGGTTAGAAGGTCATGGATATTAGTTTGATTTGAATTAAATAGCTGACTTGTCGCAACTAAGCGTCCGTAACGACGTTGTTTTTTTTTTTTTTTTTATTTGATAGATTCTTCCTCTCCTCCCTTGCTGAATGGTTTTAGCACGCGAGGGTTGTTGAAAGTTCATCCTTTTCTGTAACGGCTCTCTATAAAGGCAAGCCTAATATGCCATCAAACTGTACTATGAAGGCAGAGAAAGATACTTGTTTGTAATCTCTCCTTAGAATCGTGTGGAGAAGTGTCCAGGGAATTTGGGTTTTCTATTTATCAGCCCCAAGGAGAACTAAGAGAAAATAAGATGGAGAAACATTCTATCATCAAAGGATGGGAACCAAGAGTGTTCCATGCTCTTCAGCATGACCTTAAGAAACTTATAGACTGTACAGCAAGACCGGACGCTTACTGAGTCAGGCGCGGGTGGTGCCGAAGAGAATATAAATGCCAAAGATATCTAGAAGTGTGTATAGCAGCCAAAGCGAACTTAACAAAGGAGCAGGTCGTTGTGAGATGTCACTCCGGTAAGGACCGCCCAAAGTTAGACAGAAGAGGACTAAAAGGTGGTGTCTCTGATGAGGCTATAATCGGTAGGAGTGAGGACCTTTAGCCAAAAGCTTTATACAAATGGTCGTAAAATAGATGCGCTGAATGGGTGATCTCATTGAAGGGACTACATATAGCTCTGTGTTGTGTTATAGAAAGCTCATATAGCACCACAAGTCGTTTGCTCTTGTTTCTCACTCGTCGATATTCTCAATTCTTTAGGCATCATTTGATTTTACATTTCCAGCTAGCTATGATAAGGCTTGCGGGTGTTGGACAATACATTTGACTGCTAGAGTCCTCGCCAATAATCAAATATATTTTAATTTGAATAGAATACTTAACGTACAACTCAAAGTTATAATTTTTACGACAGCGTTTTCGATTGATAAGAGGCTCGTCCTCAGACTCGCTATCCTCTATCAAACCAAACGTGTTTCCAGTATCTGGAGCAAGGTCCTCTATCTCAGGCTCCATGGCAACAGCCTCAGCTCGCTCTTGGTTTATTACTCTATCGAGTTCTGTATCCCACTCACTACTGACGACTATGATAATGTCACTAAGGTCCTCAATAGTCTCCTCTTCATCACAGACCTCTTGATAAACCTCATCGTCTAACACTTCTCCTTGTGCCCGACTCCTCTCGTTATAGTACCTCATACCAACCTTCACAGACTTCTTCCATACAGAGTAGAAGGCTCTACACGGAATCTGGGAAAACAAGTCGAGTATCTTTTTCTTCAGTAAAAGGGATGTCATTGTCATCTTTGCCCTTGAAGCAATTATGTTTTTTACGACGGCCCAGATCTTCTCAATAGGTTGAAGCTCGCAATGGTAGGGTGGAGTCTTGAGAGTTTCATGCCCACCGTTTTCCTGGGCTATTTTGCTGATAGAAAAGTATGACTCGTCAGGAAGGGGGTTAACCAATCCCATAAGCTCGTCCTTGTTCAGTGCTTTTCCATTTCCTCTTGTTGGAATAATAATATCTTTGCCCGCGAGCCACTTTGATAGCTTTCACAGTCTTGCTCTTGGTTGGCTTTTTGTTTTTTTTTGTGAAAATGGTATGAGGCGCCATCAAGGTTGATTTGGCAAGGCCCAAGTCCCATCTCATTGAGATTCTTACAAATTCACTCGATGATTTTGCCAAATAAACTGGCATTGAAGTTTCCGTGATAATCGTGATCTTGTTGCTACAACGCCTGCTTGTTTGATTCCCTCTGGCACATCAGCTCACAGCTCAGCTTCCTGTTCTTGATCTTTTTTTTTTTTTATTGAGTCTTTTGTCCTTTAGATGGCCAATCATATACACTGTCCTTAACGAATTTGTCCTCAACCTTTTATTAGCCTCATCGTAGTAAACAGCGAACGCTGCAAATATAACCATTGTTGGTTTTCTTCCTACATCGTTTACTACGCCGCCGCCACTTTAAGCCCAACATCTCGCTGCTGCATGGTCGATGTGGCAGTAAGACTCATCTAGGATGACCTCCGGTATCCTTGGCACCCAATTGCCGTCTACAAATCTCAGATTCTTGATGTGGCGCTAGAGATACGCCGTACGGAACGCGACATTCTCTTTGGATTCGTGCAAGAAGTCCTGCCGGATCCCTTTGCCCCCATAAAACCCCATTTTACAAAGGTCGCGAATAATGGGCCTTGCTGATCTGTCGATATCATAGTCGTCCTTCAGTTGGTTTGCATTTAAAGCTGCCGAATTAGGAGTTCCGCTCTTATTTGATTCAGCTATAATATTCATCACTTTCGAGCTTAGATTTTGATCCGCCTCTTTTTGGGGGTGTCCAGTTCTTCCAAGATCCTGAGGCCTCGAGGATGCCTGTGGTTGCAAATTTAATTGCCGTCACACAAGTATTTTCCCCCGCACCCAATAGAGTCGGTAGGTCCTTTGCTTTATCACATGTCTTCATAAACCACTCTCGAACTGCAGGTGGTGCATTGGATATAGCATTGGATATAGCATTATATGTACGAGCAATCATAATGTATTCGTTGCGAGTAATAGCCGCTTTATTGCGTTTAAATTCATCAGTGTCCTTTCTTTTCCCATCGGTCTGTTCGTGTAGTAAGAATGGGTTTGAATCGAGGGCATTAGGAGGTAGCCCGGAGTGCTGATTTGAGAGAGAAGCCTTCGATCCATTTCTAGGAGGAGTGATCCATTGATACTCTACGGGAGATCCAGTGGAGGCAAGATCGGCTTCGGTGGGCAATTGTAAGGATCTCCGAGGTGGAGTGGAGGGCGTGTCTGAAAACATCTGATGGACAGTTCCTTCGCTATACCAACCACTCAGGCCATTATATGGGGGCAGGTAGCTATCAGTATCAGAATTGAAAGATATTTTCGTGTTGTATACTTGAAGGGGAAAATGAGACTGAAAATGAGAATGAGGTGAATAAATGATCTGAATGTTCTGAATGAATTGATCTGAACAGCAAATTCCTAAACAAAACCATAGCTGAATTGACTTGGTGGCGACTGCATCTAATATATAAAGTTATGGCTTCGTTACGTGAATTTTTCGATTACCAACTTTTAATTCAAATCGAGTATTTTAAAAATATATTTGTTTATGACTTTTTGGCGAGGACTCTATTTAGGAGGCAAATCGTTTGAAAAGGAGCCAGAACTACTCAAGGTATCCTCAAGATAACTGTCATAAATTCATCGAACTGTCAAGAGATACTATGGATTCTTTGTTGACATCTAGAGATCAACTAAGTGATGAACTACAAGGCAGTTTAATAACTGAACAAATTATAGCACTTTGCTAGGGATATTAGTTGGTCGAACCAAGCAGAGGACCCATGTTTATGCGTATGTCCATGTCCAATGCATTCTGGAGCACCTAGAGCAAGAAGGATTGAAGGCCCACATTAGATAGAAGCAGTTGTCAGTTCTATAAAAGCCCTTTTGCTTCTCTCTACACATTTGCAAAGGATCACCGGCCTTTCACCGCTTCATATTTGTACAGCTCATGTCCAGGCTGTAAAGGGCGAGCTTTGGTATCTATGATCATCGTTGTGGGCCAACAACACTCATCGCAACTGCGTTTAAGAGCAAGTACAACAGTGATATGCTTGTTTAAATAGCACACCGTTCACTTGATGACATCACTCTAACCGCAAGCTTCTTGTACAGTATCTTGACCATTGTGGGTAAGGCTTCACCATCGAATAATGGCTGCATTTTTTTTTTTTCTTTCGAAATCTCCAAGATAAAACTTCTTTTCAGCAGTGATCTAAGCTGGAAGCGAAGCAGCAGCGATTTTTGAGAACAAGCACGTGCTGGTTAATTTTTTCAGCATGCTGGTTCAATTTTTCAGCATGCTGGTTCGTTTTTCAGCATGCTGGTTCGTTTTTCCAGCATGCTGGTTCGATATTTCAGCATACTTGTTAAAATTTATTAAAATTTTTAACTTGCTTAACCAAGTGCTCCTCCATGCACTGCTACCTCAGACATCATTCGCATTTATTTTAGAATCTCGAGCATCAATAAAAGCTTGATTACTCACAGCTACAGAATGGATAATCCTCATTCAAACATTTGTCAGTTTTGTATATGCACATGCCTAAAAAAAGATGTCAGCCATAGTTTGGCATCTGTTTTAGAAATTAAGCGTTGCCATAGAAGTCCTTTATTTTAATAAAAAAGTTAGCTGCTACTGCTACAACTCTGTAATTTTTTCAGGGCAGAGACAAAGCTGTGATAAAATATGATGTTACGGAAGTTTTGATTGGTCATTCGGTTTCTGCGTGCAGACAGGATCCATCCGGCTCTGCTGAATAACCTTTCAGAATCATTGGAAGTAGCCTGGACAGAAAGGTATGCTCGTGCAAATGGAGCAATATAATCCATTCCTCTTAATCCCTTGTCCTTTTGCTCCTTCCAGTAAAGCTCAGGAGTAAGAGCAAAACGCGCGATGTCCATCATCGGCGTTCTTGAAATAGACGCATCATAATATACCATATCGACACTAACTATCGAATGGTAATATTCTTGTTCCAAAAGAGGAAGTTGATCCCAACATGCTCCATCTTGGGTGGCGGCAAACTTTTTTGCTGCATCTCTGGTCACCTCTAGAGCTTTCTTCCTGAGAGAGTCACCATTGGTTGTCATTATGTCTTTAATGATACTCAAGGTCACCGGGTTCAGGAATAGCGATATGAGCATAACATCGGGAATGTCATCCACGGCCCACATCGTATTGATAAGCCTGTTAAGGTTTCTCCAGAGCTCCTGTGCCGTCTCGGTGTCGTATGTGCGAGAGTCCGGTAGCAACTCTTTCAACTTCACATACATTTGTGACAGTTTTGGATGGTCGGTACTGCCCACCCATTCAGTGAATTTGACTGCATCTGTCATCATATGAATGATTTCACGGAGAGCTTTGACCTCATCACGATCGAGTAGGTTTGGCTCTAATTCCTTTGCTTTCAACCTTATCTCCCTTTTTTCGGAGGATTCCATGCGATGGTAGGTGCGAGAAATTGCTTGAGAGTAAAGTAGCACTCTATTTGCCATCTTGTACTGGGAGTTCCATCTTGTAATGTTCCTCGACAGCAACTTGGCACCCTTGCCTTCCTGTTCTTCCACTAAGATAGACATCGCCGCGGCATTGCCTCTGAAAAAAACTGAAATATCTTGGCACTTGTCCAATAATTTCTTAGCGGGTTCGCATAGCTCCAAAGACTTATTGATGCAAAGCTGGATCTTATGTGAGGCGCATGCCAACCAGTGCACCCCCTTGTGATCTTCTTGGTAGAGAGCTATCGCTTTTTTTATATTAGCACCTTGGTCTGTTGTTGCGCAAATGAGTCTTTCGCTCATATCCATGCTATCAATAGCCTCAGCTGGTAAATGAATCAAAAGACCACAAAAAAAAAAAAAAAAAAAAAAAAAAACGTTAAGAACGTTAAGAACGTTGCAATACTTATGAAAATATAAAGATAAGGGGCAGATGTATCAGCATTTCACTTACCAAACTTCCGGTGAATATTTTGGGATGTTTGCACCCCATAGACTTGTTCCATCCCTATTGCAATAGATACTGGCTCGAAATTTGGCGTGAAAAAATGCATTGTAGTCCCCAAGAACTTCCTGTGATCGACGCTTGTCCAGCAATCTGTCGTGACGGCAGCGTAAAGCTTATAATAGGTAATGTACTCTTTGATTTCGCGTCTCATCTCTCGAACTCGTCGATCCATCCTGTCTTGCATAGCCATTGTGGTAGGGATATTGAAATAAGGATTGGTCATTTCAATGATTGATCTGAAGATCGTCGAATTAACTGCAGTAAAAGCGTATCCTCGAATGCTTCTTGTTCATGAGGGAGCGGCTTCTTGAGGTTCTCATTAACAATCTCATCTCGTGCGATGTCGAATTTTGCCTTTCTTGGTGGAGCCACGTCAACTTCTTCCGGATCAGGTGGCAGCATGATACCTTTAACCCTGCTCTGACAATTGCGAAATTCTTGGAGGGCACTATATAAATCGCCATGGCACTGAGTTAAGTGAACAGATCTTGAATATCCACTCCCAGTTTTCTTGTATGTAGTACCACAGATTACTCCATCTTTCAGGACCAGACACTGGAATTCTTCCTTGCTTGATTTGAAAAAATGACCAATCACGCTGTTTTTGCGAAAGGATTTTTGATTTGGAATCAGGGCTAATGCTTTTTGAGAGGGAGGGGCGTCAGAGCATTGTTCTGGCGTAGGAATGGTACCAAAATCCAGTAACTCGTACAAATCATACCATCCGTTTGATGCAAAATGACTATCCCTCAGCTCTCTCCGCCGGTTGGCCAATGCTTCAGCATCAATGGCACGTGTAAAGTCAAAAGAGGGAAGATTAATAGATCTTGAACGCGTAAAGTTAATATTGCGCTGTTGCGTGGAGCTCAATGTAGAAATCGAGGAGACTGAAGATGGGCCTGGTTTTGACTCCCGATATTGGGAGAAGCTGTTGGATGAACGGAGAGATGACAGTGGGGCTTGCTGTGCAGCAAGTAGCGTATGATTATAACGTGATGTAGGCAAAGCTGTTGATGATTGAGAACGTCCAAACGTCCTTGGTCTGGCATGATGAACCGATTGCGCAAATCCACCGGGAGGAGAAGAAGTTTTGATGAACCTCCTCTTTTCGCGACCAATGCTTACCATGGGTCTCGTCGTCTGGGATGAAGACGAGATTGGGTTCGCACCAAGATAGGAGTCTAGTACCTCAAGCTCATCACACGGCATATCTTGCGTCTCGAACGATTCGCCATTGTAGGCTGCATCACTAGTTTGGGGAGAATCGATTCTATTTGCTGGAAGACTTTTCTGGAGTTGCATTCTTCGTTCGATTTGATTTCGGCGAGGTATAAGGGTCTCTTCCTCGTCCTCGTCCTCGTCCTCGTCACTGGTGTGCTCCTCCTGATACTCATTCCCCTCCTCGTGTCCATCCTCATACTCATCCTCATCTTCATCCTCATCCTCATACCCCTGTTCTCCATTCTCATCCTGGTGAAGAGGATCATGTGTATGATTTGCCATTATTTCTTAAAGATTTTGTGTGAAAGTAAAACGGGTAACAATGGAAAGAAGATAAAGAAGATAAAGAAGATAAAGGCAACGTTGTAGCATTCAATTGGTGTTTGGTTTTGTGTAGCATGAAAACCTTTCTGTTCCACCAGCTGCCATTTTTGTTTTTTTGTGAAGAGGCAATGAAGGGTGACTACGGCTGACATCTTTTTTTAGGCATGTGCATATACAAAACTGACAAATGTTTGAATGAGGATTATCCATTCTGTAGCTGTGAGTAATCAAGCTTTTATTGATGCTCGAGATTCTAAAATAAATGCGAATGATGTCTGAGGTAGCAGTGCATGGAGGAGCACTTGGTTAAGCAAGTTAAAAATTTTAATAAATTTTAACAAGTATGCTGAAATATCGAACCAGCATGCTGGAAAAACGAACCAGCATGCTGAAAAACGAACCAGCATGCTGAAAAATTGAACCAGCATGCTGAAAAAATTAACCAGCACGTGCTTGTTCTCAAAAATCGCTGCTGCTTCGCTTCCAGCTTAGATCACTGTTTTCAGTAACTTTATTAAGGGTGAAGAACTGAAAGACTTTATTTTCAAATTTCCTTGGTGTACAGCAACAGCAGCACATTCCTGCATATTGTCTAACGCTTATGGGCGCTTCAATCTCCACTTCTCCTTGATTTAGTTGCTTGATTAACTAGAGCGTGTTTACTTGATATACTCGGCATGTCTTGCGTTTTTTTATTTTTTATTTTTTATTTTCTCTTCCTCTCTCATTCTTTGTCCGTTCTCAACCAAATAATATTTAATCATCTCTCTCTCTCTCTCTCTCTTTCTCTCTTTCTCTCTCAAGGCTTACCAAGGTAAAGCTTAATTTACTCTCTCGAAATTAATATCACTTGGGTGACGCATGTTCTTCCATTACAATTACCAATCGCCTTTGCGGTCCCTTTGTCAGTGCACGATAGGACAGGGTCTAATCCATTTCTAGTACTTCTTTAGCGGCTCCTACGACAGCTATCTTTTTGCGACTTACACCCTTACACAGGGAGTTTCGTCTTCGCCCTGTGAAACTACATCGTGGTAAGGCTTAGTGATGAGAGATAAGTGCTCCAGCTTGAAACTACGATTGCTACTTACCAAGCGTAGCCTCGACTTGCTCAATCATGTAACGTTAAACCTATATGGACATGACAACAGAATCAGCTATATTGGCACTGGTAGCCAGGTCTATACTCTTATAAACTCAAGAAGTCTGGTTTTCGTATTCAAGTTTGTTCAGACATGAACAATATTGTGCTGTTTTGCATCCAAGCCAGCACCTTGCCGGGATTATAACGATGGACCATGCTTGTGAAGATGAACATTGTATCGTGCATTCACAAGCTGGACCGTATTGCTCTTGATGGCGGCTACAGTGGATTCGTTATACAGACTGATGAGCCATCAGATGCATTTTCCTATGAGGACTTCTCTTTCCCTGTGCGCAAGACACATAAGAATTACATTGTAATAAAGCGTTTGGTGTATTTCGATCAGGCATTGAAGGGAGACATGCAGTCCACGCTTTCCGAGTTCACACACGACGCTCCTATCCGTTTCTCAGACCCAAAGACGTTTGATCTCCAATTCAAGCTCTGCTGTCTACTTATGGCCATCAAGAATACCGTACCTATCCATAATATCGCTACTCAGACGTATTACATATCCCGGACACAAGATGCATTTGACTTTCCAGACAGAAATGAGTGCCAAGTTGCTTATGAAAAGCTCTCCAATATCAAAGTTAAACTGAACCATGATCGAAGCCTCCTGGGACTACAAGAGGGCATTTTTATCCGTAGCTATTTCGCAGCATAACATATTAGACACTGCAGATGAGACTATGGCAGAGACAATGCAGGAAGGATACGATGTTCCTAGGATTTTAGACTATCGTGGAGAGAATGATGGTATGGATTTTCTGGTTCAATGGAAAGGTCTCGACGCCTCTGAAGCAACATGGGGGACTCTTCAGTTCAACTGCAAATAGTGCGTCCAAGACTATTGGAAGACCAAAATCAGCTTCTAGAGCTGGTCGTAAATGTTTTTAAAAAGCACCATGTTGCGCACGGACCAGATTTGGTGGTGGATAGAGTGTCCATTTTTTATTAGAGAATAAAAATGCAGGTATACCCACCTGATATACTCTCGGATAAATAAATATGAGATGTTGACTAATCGAAGGGACCTCATCACTCATGGATTTATTTTGGGCTGGGTCTATTACAACTATTAAAATTTTAGGGCTATCACTATCTACCCTACTCATCCAAAGGGACAGACTGAATTTGCTCAGGTTGGTAGTTATCTGGGACGGCTAGTATGCCACGCCATGCAAACGTTGGGGAGACACTCCTTAATGCTGAATTTATCAATAAGTAATAGTCTTTTCATTTCTGATATCCTTTCTGTACCAAACTTTTTATTTTGACGAGCGCCTATCGTTTTGGCCGGGCTGTTGTATTCCCTATTCGTAACAACAACAATGACCACATCAAATCCATTCTAGTACTCCTTGGTTGCTTTCTCTATACAATCATACCATTCCTGAGAGTATCATGGTTGAATTTGTCATAGGACGTTGTTAACTCGGAATGTTTCGTTTGTACAAAAATGGCAAGAGGTTTTCCTTCTTTGGACTGCATTATCCACTGGCAGTCAAGACAAGCAGTATTTTTCTTGCACAAAAAACAAGCCGTCCTCTTAGCCATAGGTGTTGCCATCCGATCGAGCGACAAGGCTCCATTTTTTCTGTGAATACATTGCTTCCTCTCCTTAAAAACATCATTGTTACGCAATACTACACGCCGATTGAGAATATCCTTGTTCCCTTTTTGCGTCTCGGAAGACTTTGTATAAATGGCATGCCACACTTGATCTCATTTCAGCAGGGGCATCTTGCTCCTTGTGGACCTTGCCTTCGAGTTTGTCCACCAAATCGCCCCTGAAATCATTTTCGGGCGCCAGTTTTCAGTATCTTTAGTTTGTTAATATTGATCATCCTGGATATAACTGCGACATCAGTGTTGATCAAAGCTTCGATAGGTGCTTTCTGATAATATGGGAGAAGATTTTCAAAGTCTTCCCATTTCCATGGCATCCTCCTTGTTGGGACGTATAGTAGGTCGTTGGGACGTGTAGTAGGTCGTTGGGAATAATAGGTTCATGGGAGGACCTTTGGTTGAAGATCTTCAGCATCGCGAACGGCATTACAACTGTGACACCGAAAGGGTGTTGTTCGACTTGAACAAGAAAAACTAGTCCTTCTATCTCAACTTCTCCAACGGCCTTCCCACTTGGTAAGATAAAGAAAGTTCCGTGTGATAACCATCTTTGTGAGTGCAAGCGAGATTATCACACGATGATCATCTAAGGAGACCAAATCTTCAGGATTGGGAAAATACTTCTGACTTACACTTGAGTAAAGGTTATTCCCCCAGTCGAAGTCTCTTGTAAGGACTGATGGTTCCAGAAGGAGATCGATGTAGTATGGAATGAAGCCTGTATCGTTTAGAGCAATGCGAAGGTGATTTTACTTTCCATCAACCTTAATCAGTTCTAAGTCTGCTTTCCAATATCTGTCTCGGAACATTTAGGTCACCACCTCATAGTTCAATGGCCTTAGCTGGATCAACGATATCCCATAACTCGAGTGTAGGTAGTGCATGTCGATGGTAGATGCCCCAGTACAAACTGGAACAATAAAGTGCTGAGCATTCTTGTTGGGATTTCCCACGCCATGAACGCACCAATGGATCTCAGCATCTCTTTGAAAAAAAAAAAAAAAAAAAAAAAAATGCGAGAGTCTTCCCGGGATCGAGACCCTTTAGATCCAGCGTCTGATATATACTCCTGATATTCATCAACATGAATAATAATAGCCACGAGGAGCTGTCCATTCGCATCGAGGCGGCGTCTTATTATCTCATTAAGTACAAAACCCACTGAGTAGAGTTTGAGAGGATATTGCGTCATGAATTCTAGCCCACAGCCACTGCCAGTCGTGCACCCATTCGAATAGGGCCTCTGTTTTTGAACGTTTCATCAACCGCAAAGTTGTACCTTGATTCATTTTTAAGGTTGACATATAAGTAGTAGGCGTTCTGGAGAGCTGTCCGAAACAAATTAAGATCCTTTTGACCCAATCCAAAATCAATATTCATATTGTCGATATGGTCGATTAAATGTTGTAGCTCATATCCTGCGCGTGTTTTCCCTATACCTGATCCCCCAGGAATCGAGATTGTGGTATATTGTGGCGGGTTTGACTGTGCCTTAAAAAGTTCTCTCTAACGACAGAAAAAAACCTTTTGGGTGAAATTTTCGCGATCGTAAAATGAATGTGGGTAAGTGATATTCTGGGATGTTCACTTTCGACCTTCAAGCTCAGATTCTAATGTGCTGAGTCTTTCTCTCATGGTACCGTTCTCATCATCCATGGCTTCCTTGTTTCACATAACCACAAATTCTTGGGATACCCCTAACTAAAAGATAGCCACAAAAGCCTCAAAGCCATGAAATCTTCCGTCAAGGTGAAGCTTCCTGGAAGCTTCATCAGCTGAAAATATCAACAATCAGTCCACCGAAGCCCTATCAGCTGGAAATATTAACAAGCAAGCTACTCTGCTGCTCTGTATTTTGCCTTTACCTAATGCTGTAGCAGAGAAACAATAAATAAAAGGCGTTTAAAAGTTTATCAAATTTTTAGAACAGAGAGAGAACAAACAGCTAATTTCCTGCCCGCTGATGGCCGTTGAACAATGACGTGAATAGTCTCCTCAGGCAGAGGTGATGTACCAAATATCTTGAGGATCTTGCTTGTTGCTCCAGTGAGTAGCTCCTTTGTTTTAACATTGGCGAGATTGACTGTAGTGCCTTCATAAGGAACCGAGACCTTATGAGGGATGAGTTTGTCAGCGTCAATGTCTTGAAGAGCGTTTTCTTTTTCTTTCTTGATCGCCTTTTTGAGATGGCTGCTAGTTCCTTGAGGATTGATATCCACTGGGAATGCGACAGACTCCCCATGGAGAATGCAAAAGAGTGAAATTTCGTCTGACATTTGGTGTAGTTGAATGCTAAAAAGGGAAAAAGAAAAAAAAGAAATTAATTTAATGCGGCAAAGGGTGAGTTTTATTGGAAGGCGGTGTGAGAGTGCCGGTGTTATTGTAATGAAGAAGAATAAGAGAGTGAAGAGAATAGATAAAGAAAGAAAGATGGGATATGTAGACAATTAGCAAAATAAATAACTAGGCTCCAATCTTCCTCAACATCCATCCAAAACAACGCGATAGCATTGACTACGCTTTTTTTTTTTTTTTTTTTTGAAATTTTCTCTTTAATGGCTCGCTTTTGTTACTTGACTGAGAGATCCTTTGCTGAAAGCAGAAGATAAAAGACACTGAAGAGGCCAAATTGGTGTGATTTGATCAGAAAGTGCTGTGCACCTTTTAATTAAAGAAGAAGTGTGACTGCGATCATTTACGTACAATGAACGAAGAGATTAAATGCAAGCGTACTGAACTATCACACTCCAAGATCACCCACCCACCTTTGCTCTATTACTTTGTCTGCGTTCTTTTTTTACATCTACAGTCATGATAGTACCAAGATGCTCGTGGTTTTTCATTCATCTACATGTACTCGGCCAAAGGGTTTCAAAAACTTAGGTAATTGTATTTACATATTGACCTTGGCGAAGCTAAAAGATTAATAAGATTAGCCTTGGTTGATGGATCTAGTGAAGAATGAGAAGGGGAAAGCAGCCTCTTTTCTTTTGTTTCTTTTTCATACTTTCTCATCAAAACACATGGATCCGATCCGACCGTATAAATATATTATTATAGGTGTATCCATATAAACATGCTTTGTTTATACACAAAAGTGCTTGAATAATAAAATGAATCGCTGACACATGTAAATCAATTAAGTCTGCTCACACTTTTTTTTTTTTTTTTTTTTTTTTACCTTGATGCTGGATGTCTGTGTGCCATAAACATTTGGTTTTGCATATCGACAAAGGTTGGGTAATAAAGCGAGTTGATTAAATGAACGGTTACATCGTTGGTTGTGGAGGGGGGAAATTGTATCTTTATATTGCTTCGTCACTTGTGAAACTCTTTTTATTTATTTTCTCATGATCAAGACGACGTAATATCGTATATATATTAAATACATCTGAAAAGCGATTGACATGCGCGTATAGCATTCATTTATTTTTTTTATTCACAAGACGAATGTTGCACAGGGAGAACTTTGGACAGGGAACACATTCATTCCCTGCAAATTGCATTAATAAATGTGATACATTCATTTTTGTGGCCATGATCAGCGAAAAAGGAGACAAGACTGGCCACTATTGACAAATAAATAAATATATACAAATATTTTTATTTAAAGCAAAATGGACAAACGTCGAGTTAGAGATTTAAATGTGGATAGAGCAATCCATAGTAGAACAGGTGCAAGGCACTAATGCAGCTTGGACGGTCTATAAAAATTAGTGTAGAAATCGTTCAAGGAGAATTTTTTTTTTTTTTTTTTTTTTTGAAGCGTCCATTCGTTCGTTCAGGACGTATTTTCACACTTTACTAAAAAAAAAAAAAATTCCCTAGACCATGAACCCAGGGACAATTCTAGCTTCCTCTCTCTTTCACTCCTTGACGTTTCGTCTGTTGTCTGTGAGTTAAAATGTGGAGCTGGAGTAAAGACAAAACTCCTGTTTTAAAGAATAAAAAGAATAATAAAAAAAGAAAAAAAAGAAAAAGATTTTCCCACCCTATGGGTTGTCTCTCTTTCAATCCTTTCCTTTACACCTTGGTGGCGATACGCGTATAGTCCTATCGTCCGAGCTTAAATAAATAAATAACCGAGAATGTGTGTGATGTGTTTTGTGTGTGCACAGATATTTGATTTGTTATTTGTTTAAAAAGAAAATAATGGGCTCTTCATCATTCCTCCCGAGCGGGAATACGATAAGCAATTGCATTTAGACACAGATGTCCATTTTTCTTTTTCCTTCAGGCATGTGCATGCTTCTTACATGGGGTATATCTTCCTACATGTATAATATATAATATGTACAGCAGAATCTTTTACGTTTTACACACGTACAGACGTGGAGAGTAGACCCTTGGTAAAAACCCAAGTCTATTGGGATTCGCTCTCAGTCTTCTGTTATTTTGACTCTTTTCTAAAGAAAATAATATATAAAAAAAAAAAGAAAAAGAAAATAAAAAAAAACGTTGAGCTGCTCTTGTTTGCCGTGTATAATTTTTTATGTATACGCTGTTTGGTTCACCTCAAAGGTAGTAGACGATCTACCTGTACATGTACAGTCACCTGAAATAAAGTTTGGACAAAATGGATTTTCTTGATTTTTTTTTGAACAACCTGGACAAACAGCTCATATGCAACATACATAAAGACTTCATCAATACACATGAAATTTTACATGCTCACTAAAGAGGTCAATACTGTTATTTATTGGGGTTTTGGAGACGGCATTGTTAGAGTAGCAAAAGTGCCATGTAGGTTCAATAGTGAGTGTTCCTACCATCGACCCCATTCACTTCTTCCAGCCTTTCGGGCATGGTAGCGACAAGGCTGGCCAGCCTCTCTTGCGGTAAATTATTCCACTCTTCGATAAGAGCCCGTGTGAGAGTGGGAAGATCTCTTGGCCCTTTAGCGCGCCTATCGAGTGCATCCGCAAGAAGTGACCATACATGTTCAATAGGGTTCAAATCTGGGGAGCATGAAGGCCAGTCTGGAATCCTCGGGATGCTGTTTTTTTCGCGCCATTCTTTTGCAATCTTACAAGTATGAACTGGAGCATTATCCTCCATAAGTATGCCATCCTCTACCTCAGCCATAAATCTGGCTAGCTCGCCTTGATATACATCTTCCACGAAACACCGTCCATCTTTACGACCTCTTTCAAATACAACCAACCGAGACTTTCTGGTTGCTGTGAACGCCCCCCAGACCATCAGAGTTGTTCTACCACTTTTGAAAGTGGGTGCGAGGCAATCATGATCGTACTTTTCCTCTACTTTACGCCAAACTCTTATTTGACGAAAATGCTCACCAACTTCAAATGATGATTCGTCAGTCCAAACTACCCGATTCCAGTCTTCCATGGACCAACTCATATATTTTTTGACAAACTGCAGCCTCCTTTTTATATGTCCTTCTTTTAAGAATGGTTTTTTTACTGCAATCCGGCTGAAAATACCCAGTGAATGCAATGCCTTCGCAACTGTCCTCTCGCAAACTTTGTTCGGCAATTGGTTAGTGATATCATTAAGAGTACACCTTCTATTCTGCTTAGTATGGCGAACGATGCTCCTGAGGTCCCGTTCACTTAGTACTTTGGGCCGTCCTGGGATCGGAGTGCAAGCAGTGGTGCCTCTTTCTTGGTACACCCTGATAATATTAATAACAGAGGTTCGGGGTACACCGCGTTGCAATGCGATTTCCGCAGCCTTCATGCCCGCGAGGTGCATTCCAACGATGATACCTTTATTCTCAATGTCTAAGTGTCTCGCCATGGTGGTTTACTCAAGCTGTTTGTATGTGAAAAACAGGAAGGAAAGAGATTGAAGGAAACGCTTCCCTACGTAACTATTTCAATATTTTATTTTTTTGTCCAATCTTTGTTTCAGGTGACTGTACAGTACATGCCATGTATACACAGGACAAACAACATTCATAGTTTAACAAAGGTCTAAGCATAAAGTCGTAGCCTTAACCTTACTCTTGAACGTGGTCTAAAAAAAAACAACATTTACTCTTTCTCTCTCCACTTTTTGTACAAGGAGGAAAAGTAAGGTTTGGGGACGAATCTGGGACCGAGGGTTAGATTTCTTTTAAGGTCCCTTTTCCTCTCCTCCACAACACACCCACACTCCGTCCATGTGCTGTATATATTTATTAGATTTATATATATACCTAAGCTTCAACAGCCTTCAACAGATGGGCTCCAAGACTATATCAAGTCAACTTTTTTTATTTTTTTTTTTTTATTTTTTATAAATAATATATTTCTTTCTAATCTAAAGGGTGACGATTGAATTGATTTGGGTGGCTGATTCTGAGCATGCACAAGAATAAAACAACTAATTGAGACCCATAAATTGCGTTGTTTGTGGAAAGAGTAGAGCCAAGTTTCCCAAAAGAATATGATATAAAAAAAAAAACACGAACCCTTACACTCTTTCACGCGTGCACATGCATCTCGACAACATTACTCAAGAGTGTTTTTATATATATGCATATGTTAATATAGCAAGGGGAGAGCAAAAGAGAGAGAGAGAGAGATGGTAATATATATATAATCATAAATGTGATATTCATAAGAAAAACATAGATGCCATTGCATTTCTTTTGCAAAGGGTATTTTGTTTTCTATTTCCGATCATTGCGATGTATATAATAATAATAACAATAACAGTGGTGAAATAGAAAAAAAAAAAAAAAAAAAAAAAAGGCTCTAGGGGTTGAGATATGGGTTTGAGCCTTATTTTTTTTTTAAGAAAAAGGAGGCTAGGTTATATAAACAGTTCATAGACATGGAGATGGACATGGATATGTATATGTAAGATGGGTTAAGTAAGATGATGAGGATTTGAGGGAAATGTGGATAAAAGGTCAAACGTTCTAGGTCCAGATGTGCGATAGATTGTTGTCTATTATGTTTGCACATTCCTCTTCGAAAGCCCATTGTTTTGGTTACGTACTCAATCTCTCTAGCATGTTCGTAGATTATCTTTCTGAAAGCATGGAGCATGGGGGCATGGAGCACGAAGCATGGAACATGAAGCATGAGACATGAAGCATGAAAGAAGGGGCAAAAGAGAAAAAGGAAAGAGAAAAATGAGAGAGAAATGACGATTGCAAACAGCATCAAAGCAACTTGGACAAGCGTGTGAATGCGACTTCTTTTATATCTTTTTCTCATGATAGACAAAAGACGTTGATATCTAGATCCATAAAGGGCAGTTGAGGAAAAAAAAATAAAAAATAAAAAAAATAAAAAAATGAAGCGGCCCATGCTTTTCTTTTTTAAAAAAGAAAAAGGGCGGACAGAGGGGCGGCAATGCTGTTTGAAGACATGTCCAATTAAGATAGAAAGCATTAATAAACATCTAAAAACGGATTAAAATAACACGAAAAGTCTTTTTTCTTTATTTTATTTACAGGGGCGCAACCATTGCCAAGTCCTCCACAGCATAACATCTCCTTTTTCTTTTCAGCAGAAATGCGCATTTAGAAAAGGGAAAAAAAGAATATGCATTGGAAATATGTATAAATATATATATATACATACGTGTGCTTGATCAGTTGAAGAACATGTTGTATAAACTGTACAATATGAAAATAATACAGCAATGCATGCCTTTGGATGAATCTACGATGTGTGTAACTTTGTTGAACAGATGCAATGGACTAGCGCATGTTTTGTTTGTTATTTAGCGTAACGATTGATTTCGGGAGTTGCTGTACGACCATGTCCCCGATGAACAGACAAGAAGGACGAGAAACGAAAAGGAGAGAGAGAAATAGGAACACAAATAGATAAGCACAACCAGGAGGTTTGTCAATGCTACAACCCCCGCTCACAGTCAGTTAATGCAAAATGCAAACAGACAAACAGGCAAAATGCAAACAGACCAGACAGGACAGACCAGACAGACCAGACAGACCAGACAGATGATGATGAATGATGATGATGATGATGGTGATATTGGTATTGATATTGATATTGACATTGATATTGATAGTAAATAATACATAAAATGGACTGCAACGAACCATGACAAGGATTAGAACAAGGCTCCTCACCCGAACGAAAGACAAACAAACAGGCAGAGCAGGGGAACCAACAAAAAAAGAGAGAGGTGGGTAAGGAGATCACCATAGCTCTTTCTGTAAACCGGGGTTGTAATACAGCATTTTCATTCACTCTTGTCCCTCTTCGCTCTGTTTCCCTTTTCTCTCTTTTCTCTCTTTTCTCTCTTTCCCCCTTTATTACTCTTTACTTTATTCAAAACAGTAACAGCCAACTTTCTTCAACCATACCCATACAAACGGCTTTTTTTCTTCTTTCATTCATCACCACCATCTCTTCATTCATTCCATTCCATCCTATTCATTCTCACTCTTATTCTCATGAACAACTCATAGCAGGACTTTTTTTCTTTTCACGTATCTCTATAGATTCCATATCACATTTCATTTTATATCAATCACACATACCATCGCATTGCACCATTGCACCATCGCAACCATTGCATTTAATACCCACAGGGCTAGGCAAACAACCAAGCAACCAACCAATCAACCAGCCAATATCTTCACCTCTCTCTCTCTCTCTCTCTCTCTCTCTCTCTCTCTCTCTCTCTCTCTCTCTCTCTCTCTCTCTCTCTCGCTCTCTCTCTCTCTCTCTCTCTCTCTCTCTCTCTCTCTCTCTCTCTCTCTCTCTCTCTCTCTCTCTCGCTCTCTCTCTCTATTTTCCTCTCTCATTTTTGTACGCCCACTCTTTTTTTTTTTTTTTTTTTTCTTTTTTTTTTCGCGCTCTTTCTCTCTTCGCTCACTTCGCTCTCGTCAATCATTTCCCTCAATTTATATCATCCACTTCCATCCACTTCCCTCTCTCTACTACAAATAACTACAGCTGCAAGCAACAAATAGAACTTTTTTTAATATCTGCATCTGCAGACATCATTAAAAAAAAAAAAAAAAAAAAAAAAAAAAGTGAGAGAGAAAGTGAGAGAATTAGAGAAAGAACCAAAGAGACAAAAATAGTTCTCAAGAGATAGAGCAATAGAAAAAAAAAAAAAAAAAAAAAATTATTTATGTGACGGATGCCAATGGGTGCAGCCATGGAAGTAGAACCTCGCACCAGCATGGAGCGCCATCTCATGGACAGAGACCGCGAGGGTCAACTCTACCTGGAGGCACGTCGTCAACAGGCTGCCCAGGACCTGCTCGGGAATAGATCGTCCTTCCTCTCCACCATCACTCCTCCTTCTTCCAATCCCTCCTCCGTAGCGTCCTCACTCTTTCATGAAACTTTTTCTTCTTCACAAGAAGGCGTTACTATTCATTTCAACAGCACTTCAACATCCTTGCCCGCTACCCCTACCTCGCCCATCACTCCTGTCACCACAAATATGTCCTCTTCAGACCCTACCCCTGTCAGCCTTCCCCTCCCCAACAACAACAACAACAACAACAATAATAATCTCACCCCTACAGGGACAACAACAACAACAACAACAACAACATCCTCCTCATTATCGCCTTTTCGCTCCTTGGGTCCTTCTCTTCAAAACATCGTCCCCATCATTAAAAAGACGCGCCAAAGAGCTGCCACAGCTCAAGAACGATCCCTCACAACACTCCCCCCATCCACCTCCACTTCCAACACAGCAACAGGAACAGTAGAGACCATGGACCGACCCCTCGTCACCATTTCTCCCTCCAGCCTTGAATATCAACTCACCGCCAACTTGCTCAAATACCCAACACCTCCCTCACTCCCACAACAGCCCACCTCCACACGTCGCCATCGTTCAGGGTCACGGCCACGATCGAAATCTAGACCGCGTAAAAGTCGTCGAGGCACAGATATCGGCGATACCTTTGATACCCATCAGGACAATGACAACCCTCCTTCAACCTCCCAAAGCACAGGCCATCATCGACAGCGTGCAGAGCGTTCCAATAGTGGACGAAGAAAGAGGAGGGATTTTGAAGGTCGTAAAAGGGCCCACACCACCCCAACCTCAATCTCTACAGCAGCAGAGAGTAATCAAGTGCCCCCTCTCCCTCAACAGACCTCCTTGCCTTCACTTCCTCCAATCCCACCAAAGAGTCCTCGTACGCTCATCGCCACCTACTTTCCAGGCTCGTTGCCTCCACCTCCATCTAGAGGTCGGGTTCCTTTGAAGAATAAGGAGCCTTTGGTAGTGGCCCCAACACCTTTCAAGACACCTACTTTTGGACCAGCCTTGAGTATGATCAATAACAGCAGTTGTGCACGAGATGGGCCTCCGGTGCCTTCTCCTTCGACCTCACTTCAGTATATACCCTCGACCGATATCTCTCGCTGTTCCACCGCACAACCCCAGCAGAACAACAATGAGGATTCAGATTTGGCACCTCCCTCCACTCAACCTTCGCCCTGCACCTCAGCCTTGGGGCTATCATCCTCAGCTTCGACCAGCCATAACAATACCAGCGACAACAATGGTAATAACAACACCACTCACAGCAATAACAACAAAAGACGAGCACAGCCATTAGGTACGCATCGCCTGCCATCGGATGTGGATCTGTTGGTGGTCAAGAAGAGCTCCCGCACAGGCCGAAGCTTTCATAATCATCCCTATAACCATAATCATAATCTTAATATTCGTAATCAGCACATACCCATCAACAACTTTAGTCTGCTGAGCCATCACTGCACTTTTAACAATCAGCATCATGCAGAGGAGAGTCAACCCTTATCGACCTCAGGTTCCACTAGTCCAACCTCACCCACCTCAGAGTCCTTTATCAATACATCGTCTGTCCTGTCAGGTACAGCAGCATCAGCAGGAGCAGGAGTAGGCGTACATGAAGGTCGACGTAGTTCAAGTGGCACTATTTTTACATCGACAACAACTGTTGTGCCACCTTCAACTACACCTATTTACCCAAGAGGGTTGATGCCAAGCAGCAGTAGCCCTCTGGCGGATTCACATCTGCCATTGGTCATCCGTGTACAACAGAGAGCAACACCCTATATCCGTGAGCTATTTCCTGGTGAAATCCATCCTAATACGCCTAGCAGCACACATACCAGTCAGGACCTTGAGATTGTTTTGGAGGAAATCACAGGTCGGATCCGGACTAACCGCACCAGTGTAGATCCTTGGCCCTATCAAGTTCGTTACAACAATGGTGGTAATAGTGACAGTACTTCACCAACAACAACAGGACTGCGGGATCAGAAACCCTTGCCACGAACTCATCGTGAGAAGGAGCCACGATACTGGGTGTTTAGAGATCATGATGGGGCGATCGTGTTGGGGCCCATCTTCTTCTTGTTGGGCCACCTGCTCCCATTCATGTGGTGGATTGGTTCTGCTTATCCAAGTATTGAGCATCCAGATGAGAAGCGATCAGCAGCTGAACTGGCTCGGGAAGCAGAAATGGAGGCCGATATGGAGGCACGGGTCAGAGCTCGAGCTCGAGCGGAAGCAGAGGCTGTAGCAGCAGCAGCTAGGAGTACGACTATTTCTATTGAAGGAACAGGTGCAGGCGTAGGACCTGGAAGAAGGAATGATGGAGACTTGGAAGCTGGTCTTGGTCTTCGAGGGATGGCTGACGATGATTCTGATACAGAGACCGATGTGGGAGACCTACGAGATCATCCGGTGATTCAATGGTTACAAAAACAACTTCGGACGGTTGGAGCGACGATTGCATCCATCAAGACGAGTGTCTCTACAAACCCCAACAACAAAGATTCGACGATCGCTACATTACAGATTGTCAGGATCTCTGAAGATGGATCCAATGTGAGTGACGATTATTTGAGGCCCCGATACCATCAACATCAACATCAACATCAACATCAACATCCACTTCATTCTTTGGATCTGACGAATGTTAGTACAATTCATGTTCCGATCCCTTCACCCACTGCTGTGGCAGCAGCGGCAGCACAGTCGCGTGCTCGATCGATGGGACAAGATCGATTGTTCGAAACCCGAGGTCCTTGGTCTATTGCAGGGGCGATTGAGGAAGAAGACATGGGGTGTTCTGCCATGATGTTGGCACAACGATTGGAATACGACCGTAAAGTGCTTCGATATGAACTCGATCTTCGATGGAGACGTATTAATTTGATCTGGTCGATTGGATCGTTCGTCCTTGCCATCGCCATCACAGCTTTCATTGTTGGGTTCTCTCTGTAAAGGAAAGGGAAAAATAGGAAAAAAAAAAAAAAATTATTCCTTTTGCCTACTCTTTTGTTTTTACTGTTTTTTATTTTATTACTGTTTATTTTATATCATTTATATACTCTACATGTATTTTTAATATCATTTCCATCGTTCCTTGTACACTAGCCAGAGAGAGTAAAAAAAAAAAAGAAAAAGTTGTTCCAGGTTATTTTACCCCTGATGACCAAATAAAAAATAAAAAGTAAAAAATCAAAATATCCTCCGAACATTTTAAATGAGCTTTTTTTTTTTTTAAGATTTAAAACATTGTCCATTAACACATGGCAACAAAAGGTATATATATATATACAATGCCCAATGCCTTTGTCTATTACACCGGGTCGCCAGTCAATGTCAACTTTTTGAGATGGGCGAGCCCCATTATGACATTCCTCTCCTTATTTGACTAAATTACAGAAATAAAGATGGAAACAGAAAGGAATCTTCCGAGGAGTTCAGCAGCATTGTTTCTGTCACGCTGTTCTTTGCCAGGGATAAAGACAGGCGATCCATTGCCGATCACAGGTTGAGAACACTTAATCTTCATTTCTGAGGTCTTGCTTCTTTTGATATCCCTAAGTGGGCATGTGCTCAAGACGACTCACAATTAGTAAATGGCAAAGATACACAGGTTCATTGATCACTCAAGTGTGGTGCGCTGATGTGGCCGTGCTGTTCATTTCGAAGGCTCAATGCGCGCTTTTTTATAGGTTGACTTGACTTTTATACTCATCACTCCCAATTGTATCATTGGACTTCATTAATGATAAAATTACAGCACTCTGGAATGAAACACAGCCATTGAATTCATGCAACAAACAATTGTTTTTTCAGCCCTGCCACTTCAAGAGGCAAAGCCGAAAAATAATGGACCAACCGGCATCCTTTACTTACAAATAGAGAAATGAGCCAACTTTTTTTCTTTTCTTCATCTTTTCTTCTTCTCTTGAATCACTACCGAAATGACAGAATTTCAATACCAACAATTCCGATGCAACAACATCATTGAGAAAGTCTGTGCCAGAACTGCCCCCATATCCACAAGCAATGGCGACTTGTCGTGCTGGGTGACTTTGCAAGACATTCGACAAGTGTTTCCAGGTGCGTTCCGGTTCAAATTTGATGAGTATCCTGTTCCATTCCTTGCAGACCTTAACGGCAACTGGTAAGTTATTTTATTATGGCGCCTCTGTCAATCGCCCTGAAAATAAACAGAACCCAATTTGACACGTCTTTTTTTCTGATAGGATCCAGCCTCTGCGCATTGCGTTCTATCCTGACAAGATTCTGGATGTCTTCACAGAAGTACCGCAGTCCAGCAACATCAACAGCGAAAGCAACAGTAGTAGCAGCGCTGTCGTCCATTTGCCAACATCGAGAGACTCGGTGAATTTAGTCTCTCAGGATCCTTCTTTGTCTTCATCAAACTTGGTTCAAGCTTACAACCCATCTCTTACCACTCACAGCTTGGAAGAGATTAAGGAGTTGGTACTAGAAACCCTTAAAATGCAATCAGAAACAGTTAAACTACAGCATCAAGCTCTTGACAGACTTGCCATCCTCCAACAGAAAGCTGATGCTATCCTTGTCCAGACCTTTGAGCTTCATGAATATCCAATCCCTCGACTCTTTATCATTCTGCCTGTTGACAGCACCAAATGGGACCCAATGAATGTCTTGAAGAACAAGGTTCGCCTTCATTTCCTATGTGAATGTGAGGATCGCTCTGAAAAGGCAAGCAAGGACAGCCAGAAGAACAAAACCCATCTTGCCAGACATGAAGGATATGAGATCAGGAACAGCACAGAGTTCTTTCAAAAGTATGGGAAATACATGATCATCTTGTTACAAGGACTCAAGTTGGGAATGGGAACAACTCCAGGCTCATCTCTGACACCAGCCCCAAATCTGGTCGATGCCGGTATAAAATATTCGCTCGACTATTTGAACGAACTCACAAAGGAAAACCCAGGCTTGAGTGGCTTTAACACAATGGATGACTATGAAGGACTTGAAGGAGCAGATCTCCGACGACTGAGCACATTCCTTCAAACCAATGATGAAAACAGACAGCTTGGCAATTTGTACAGGACCAGGACAGAAGCAGGCCATGTCAAATGGGTTTGTGTCGATCACTATCGCTCGACGTATAAAGAGAAAGAACAGAAAGCGTTTGAAGATGTTGTGGCGATGAATTGGGGCAAATATGACTCACAGCTCGGTAAAGTGGTCATTCAGTTGCTATCCAGGATCACAGCTAGAGAGTTCTTCGAAGCCTTGACCAGAGCTAAACATATTTACGAGTTGGATATTACATTCCACTACTGGGAGTGGACCAAGAGTGATTTGGAAGCACTGAAGAATGCACTGAGAGTATCGAGTGTATCGATCCTTCGACTTGATCTTGGACGATCCCAAGAAAGCATAACCAGGAAAGTGCTTTCAGGATTCACACGACATGAAAAGCTTGTAGGCATCATAGAACTTAACAACATGAAAGTGATTCATGTTGTACTTCCTCCGGATGTCAAAAATCTATCCAATCTACAAAGCGCAAAATCATCACACCTTCACAAGTTATCCTTTGGGATGAGACCTCAAAGGATGAGAGCTAGTGATTTCCGACTGCTTATGAATTCGCTCGAGGCTTTGGTCATTTTGGATTTAGCATCCAACTCGATTGGAGATAAAGAGGCTCTGGCACTGTCAGAGGCACTCAAGACTAACACCAGTCTGACCAATTTGGACTTGAGTTACAACTCAATTGGGAATGAAGGAGCTCTGGCACTGTCAGAGGCACTCAAGACAAACACGGCCTTGACTAAATTGATCTTATGGAACAACTCAATTGGGAAGGAAGGAGCTCTAGCGCTGTCAGAGGCACTCAAGACAAACACCAGTCTGACCAATTTGAACTTGTACAACAACTCAATTGGGGATGAAGGAGCTCTGGCACTGTCAGAGGCACTCAAGTCAAACACCAGTCTGATCAATTTGGACTTGAGGGACAATTCAATTGGAAATGAAGGAGCTCTGGCACTGTCAGAGGCACTCAAAACAAACATCAGTCTGACCAATTTGGACTTGAGTCACAACTCAATTGGGAAAGAAGGCGCTCTGGCACTATCAGAGGCATTCAAAACAAAGACCAATCTGGACTTGAGTCACAACTCAATTGGGAATGAAGGAGCTCTGGCGCTGTCAGAGGCACTCCAGACAAACACCAGTCTGATCAATTGGAACTTGAGTTACAACTCAATTGGGAAAGAAGGAGCTCTGGCGCTCTCAGAAGCGTCCAAGAAAAACATGACCTTGAATGTTCTTGTATGGGAAGCGCCTTAATCGATTTGCAAAGAACTCTGAGGACCTTTAGCCAAAAGCTTTATACAAATGGTCGTAAAATAGATGCGCTGAATGGGTGATCTCATTGAAGGGACTACATATAGCTCTGTGTTGTGTTATAGAAAGCTCATATAGCACCACAAGTCGTTTGCTCTTGTTTCTCACTCGTCGATATTCTCAATTCTTTAGGCATCATTTGATTTTACATTTCCAGCTAGCTATGATAAGGCTTGCGGGTGTTGGACAATACATTTGACTGCTAGAGTCCTCGCCAATAATCAAATATATTTTAATTTGAATAGAATACTTAACGTACAACTCAAAGTTATAATTTTTACGACAGCGTTTTCGATTGATAAGAGGCTCGTCCTCAGACTCGCTATCCTCTATCAAACCAAACGTGTTTCCAGTATCTGGAGCAAGGTCCTCTATCTCAGGCTCCATGGCAACAGCCTCAGCTCGCTCTTGGTTTATTACTCTATCGAGTTCTGTATCCCACTCACTACTGACGACTATGATAATGTCACTAAGGTCCTCAATAGTCTCCTCTTCATCACAGACCTCTTGATAAACCTCATCGTCTAACACTTCTCCTTGTGCCCGACTCCTCTCGTTATAGTACCTCATACCAACCTTCACAGACTTCTTCCATACAGAGTAGAAGGCTCTACACGGAATCTGGGAAAACAAGTCGAGTATCTTTTTCTTCAGTAAAAGGGATGTCATTGTCATCTTTGCCCTTGAAGCAATTATGTTTTTTACGACGGCCCAGATCTTCTCAATAGGTTGGAGCTCGCAATGGTAGGGTGGAGTCTTGAGAGTTTCATGCCCACCGTTTTCCTGGGCTATTTTACTGATAGAAAAGTACGACTCGTCAGGAAGGGCTTTAGCCAATCCCATAAACTCGTCTTTATTCAGTGCTTTTCCATATTCTCTTGTTGGAATAACAATATCTTTGCCCGCGAGCCACTTTGATAGCTTTCACAGTGTTGCTCTTGGTTGGCTTTTTGTTTTTTTTTGTGAAAATGGTATGAGGCGCCATCAAGGTGGATTTGGCAAGGCCCAAGTCCCATCTCATTGAGATTCTTACAAGTTCGCTTGAAGATTCTGTCAAGTAAACTGGCGTTGAAGTTTCCATGATAATCGTGACCTGTTGCTACAACGCCTGCTTGTTTGATTTCCTCTGGCACATCGACACATAGCTCAGCTTCCTGTTCTCAAACTTTTTTTGATTGAGTCTTTGATCCTTTAGATGGCCAATCATATACACTGTCCTTGACGAATTTGCCGTTGATCTCTTTATTGGCCTCATCGTAGTAAACAACGAACGCCACAAATATAACCATTATTGGTTTTCTTCCTACATCGTTTACTACGCCGCCGCCACTTTGAGCCCAACATCTCGCTGCCGTATGGTCGATGTGCCAGCAAGACTTGCCTAGGAAGACCTCCAGCCTCCTTGGCGCCCAATTGCCGTCTACAAATCTCAGATTCTTGAGGCGGCGCTTGAGATACGCCGTACGGAACGCGACATTCTCTTTGGATTCGTGCAAGAAGTCCTGCCGGATCCCTTTGCCCCCATAAAATCCCATTTTACAAAGGTCGCGAATGATGGACCTTGCTGATCTGTCGATATCATAGTCGTCCTTCAGTTGGTTTGCATTTAAAGCTGCCGAATTAGGAGTTCCGCTCTTATTTGATTCAGCTATAATATTCATCACTTTCGAGCTTAGATTTTGATCCGCCTCTTTTTTGGGGTGTCCAGTTCTTCCAGATCCTGAGGCCTCGAGGATGCTTGTGGTTGCAAATTTAATTGCTATCACACAAGTATTTCCCCCCGCACCCAATAGAGTCGGTAGGTCCTTTGCTTTATCACCTGTCTTCATAAACCACAGGCCATTATATGAGGGCAGGTAGCTATCGGTATCAGAATTGAAAGATATTTTCGTGTTGTATACTTGAAGGGGAAAATGAGACTGAAAATGAGAATGAGGTGAATAAATGATCTGAATGTTCTGAATGAATTGATCTGAACAGCAAATTCCTAAACAAAACCATAGCTGAATTGACTTGGTGGCGACTGCATCTAATATATAAAGTTATGGCTTCGTTACGTGAATTTTTCGATTACCAACTTTTAATTCAAATCGAGTATTTTAAAAATATATTTGTTTATGACTTTTTGGCGAGGACTCTATTTAGGAGGCAAATCGTTTGAAAAGGAGCCAGAACTACTCAAGGTATCCTCAAGATAACTGTCATAAATTCATCGAACTGTCAAGAGATACTATGGATTCTTTGTTGACATCTAGAGATCAACTAAGTGATGAACTACAAGGCAGTTTAATAACTGAACAAATTATAGCACTTTGCTAGGGATATTAGTTGGTCGAACCAAGCAGAGGACCCATGTTTATGCGTATGTCCATGTCCAATGCATTCTGGAGCACCTAGAGCAAGAAGGATTGAAGGCCCACATTAGATAGAAGCAGTTGTCAGTTCTATAAAAGCCCTTTTGCTTCTCTCTACACATTTGCAAAGGATCACCGGCCTTTCACCGCTTCATATTTGTACAGCTCATGTCCAGGCTGTAAAGGGCGAGCTTTGGTATCTATGATCATCGTTGTGGGCCAACAACACTCATCGCAACTGCGTTTAAGAGCAAGTACAACAGTGATATGCTTGTTTAAATAGCACACCGTTCATTTGATGACATCACTCTAACCGCAAGCTTCTTGTATTATGACATTGGCATACTTATTTGAGGTCAATAGACTGGGAAGGATTCAGTTCATAACATTTTGAGTCGTCAGTAAACGCGATTACAGTCGCAGCAGCATTGGTTAAGGTTTTGTTAAGGAAAGGAAGCAGAGCATCCTACCGTTAACATCCACAATGGATTAATCAATACTAGCTGTCAATCTGAGAACCAGAGATGAGCAAATCAAAGACGGGAACAGAGATCAAGGATTGTCTTCAAGATACCTGTCGCAAAGCGGCTATCATATAAAAATCATTCGCACCAATAAGCGCTTTTAGATGGTTCCGAGTTCATCGAAAAACTATCATTATTTTACGCGACTGTTCTTTGCCAGGAGAAAAGACATTATGTGTTGTGAATGAGGTTGAAGATGGTCAGGAGAACAAATACAGAGATAAAAGATATGAAGCACATGTGTATGCCTTTGCTCAGTTCCTAGGCCTGCTGGTTTAAAAGTCTGAACTTCTGTATTGAAGAGAACGGTAAACATGCTGCAGTAATATAATTAGCTGATCTTTTGGGTATTACAGAAGCTCAAGGCGTTCTTTTTTTATGAGTCGAGTTCTATTAATCTACTTCAATCATATCTTTGACCATCTGAGAGCATTTCAGTAAGGTCACTTCACCTGCGGCGGATGTACTGCACCTTTTTTTTATTTCGTCTTTGTAGCACCAAATGGCGAAGCAGAAAAACGTGGTCGACTGTGTCTCTCTTTCAAAAAGTGAGATGAGATAGCTTTTCTTCATTTTGCCATCATCTCTTGAATCATCACCGAAATGACAGAACCTCAATACCAACAATTCCGATGCAACAGCACCATCGAAGAAGTTTGTGTCAGAACTACTGCGAACACTTCCGCAGACAATGACAGCTCGTCATCCTATGTGAGCTTGCAAGACATTCGAGACGTGTTTCCAGATGCATTACGTTTCAAGTTGGATGGGCATCCCATTCCATTACTTGTAGATTCTAATGGCAACAGGTATGTTACTTTATCATGGTCTTTTGTCAATTGCTCTGGAAAGAATATGAAATCCAATTTAGCTTTTTTTTTTTTTTTTTTTTGCTCTACTAGAATCGAACCTTTGCGCATTGCATTCTATCCTGATAAGATCCTGGACGTTATTACAGAAGTAACACAGACCAGCAGTAGTAACAACAGCAATGCCGTCGTTCATTTGTCAACAACAAGAGACTCGGTGAATTTGACTCCTCAGGATTCTTCTTTGCCTTCATCAAACTTGATTCAAGCTTACAACCCATCTCTTACCACTCATAGCTTGGAAGAGATTAAGGAGTTGACACTAGAGGGGATTAAACTGCAGGATCAAGCTCTTGACAGACTTGCCATCCTCCAACAGAAAGCCGATGCTATCCTTGTCCAGACCTTTGAGCTACATGAATATCCAATCCCTCGACTCTTTATCATTCTGCCTGTTGACAGCACCAAATGGGACCCAATGAATGTCTTGAAGAACAAGGTTCGCCTTCATTTCCTATGTGAATGTGAGGATCGCTCTGAAAAGGTAAGCAAGGACAGCCAGAAGAATAAAACCCATCTTGCCAGACATGAAGGATATGAGATCAGGAACAGCACAGAGTTCTTTCAAAAGTATGGAAAATACATGATCATCTTGTTACAAGGACTCAAGTTGGGGATGGGAACATCTCCAGGCTCATCTCTGGCACCAGCCCCAAATCTGGTCGATGCCGGTATAAAATATTCGATCGACTATTTGAACGAACTCGAAAAGGAAAACCCAGACTTGAATGACTTCTACACAGTCGACGACTATGAAGGACTTGAAGGAGCAGATCTCCGACGACTGAGCACATTCCTTCAAACCAACGATGGAAACAGACAGCTTGGCAACTTGTACAGGACCAGGACAGAAGCAGGCCATGTCAAATGGGTCTGTGCCGACCACTATCGCTCAACGTATAAAGAGAAAGAACAGAAAGCGTTTAAAGATGTTGTGAGGGTGAATGGAGGCAAACATGACCCACAGCTCGGTAAAGTGGTCATCGAATTGAGATCCAGGATCACAGCTAGAGAGTTCTTCCAAGTCATGACTAAAGCTAAACATATTTACGAGTTGCATATCACATTCGATTACCATTGGGTTTGGGCCAAGATCGATCTGGAAGCACTGAAGAATGCACTGAGAGTATCAAGTGTATCAATCCTTCGACTTGATCTTGGAGAATCTCAAGAAAGCATAACCTGGAAACTACTTTCAGCATCCACACGATATGAAAATCTTGTAGGCATCATAGAACTTAGCAATATGAAAACAATTCATATTGTGCTTCCTCCGGATGTCAAAAATCTATCCAATCTACAAAGCGTAAAATCGTCACACCTTCACAAGTTATCCTTTGAGATGAGGCCTCGAAAGATGAAAACTAGTGATTTTCGACTGCTTACAAATCCACTCGAGGCTTCGGTCGCTTTGAATTTAGCATCCAGCTCGATTGGGGATGAAGAGGCTCTCGCACTTTCAAATGTACTCAGGACAAGCACCAGTCTGACCGATTTGGACTTGCGTCGCAACTCAATTGGAAATGAAGGTGCTCTTGCGTTGTCAGAGGCACTCAAGACAAACACCAGTCTGACCAATTTGGGCCTGAGTCGCAACTCAATTGGGAAAGAAGGAGCCCTGGCGCTGTCAGAGGCGCTCAAGTCAAATATGGCCTTGAAGGTTTCTGTATGAGGGGCGCCTTAATCGGTAAGCGAAGAACTCTGAAGTTGTTAAGGCCGCTTATTATTGGCTGGAGTCATTGTCTGATTTAGTTGACTGGTTTGGCCAATGAAGTAGTGCTGGTTGACTTGAATTAGATAGCTGACTTGCCGCAGCTAGGCATCCATAGCGACGTCGTTTTTTTTTTTTTTTGATCCTTCAATATCGAATCTTCCTCCCCCCCCTTATTGAAAGTTCATCCTTTTTTGTAATGGCTCTCTATAAAGGCAAGCCTAATACGGCCAAAAAACTGCACTATGAGGACAGAAAGATACTGTTTGTAATCTCTCCTTAGAATCGTGTGAACGTCAAGGAGAAGCATCCAAGGGATTGTGGAATTCCTATATATCAGCCTCAAGGGGAGCTATGAGAAAATATAATGAGGAAGCAATCCATCCTCAAAGGATAGGAATCAAGAGTGCTCCATACTCTTCAGTATAATCTTAAGAGACCTACAAATCACACAACAAGACCGGACGCTTGTTGGATCAGACACAAGGAGTGACGAAGAGAATATAAATGCCAGAGACATCTAGAAGTGTGTGTAGCAGCCAAAGCAGGGCCTTAACAAAGGAGCAGACTGTTGTGGATGTCACTTCGACAAGGGCCGCCCAAAGTTAGACAGAAGAGGACTAAAAAGTGAAGTTCATTGATGAGACTATAATCGGTAAGAGTGAGGCCCTTTGGCCGAAAGTTTATTACAGATGACCGCAAAGACGCGCTGCATGGTAGTCTCTAATTGAACGGACTACACCTAGCTTTGTACTGTATTCTTTTGACAAGCTAATGAGCAAAGTTCATTTTATATTTAGTACATGCCAGCATAATAGCAACGTTCTACTGACTCGCTTTCACACATTTTTTTTTTGTCTTTCTCAGCACTACATCATGCCGCGTCCAAGAGCTATCAACGCATTGATTCCGGTCTTTGTCACAAAATCAGCAGATCCGTCTTTGATGAAGGATTGACTCTCGCCAAGTTTGCTCGTCGTTTTGGGCTCCTCGTACTCTACAATAAAAAACATTGTAAGAAAGTAAAAAAAAAAAAAAAAAAGTGGTAATTGTCATGCAGTCCTTCGAGGAAGAGCACATATCATGGCTACAAGCTAAACTTGAAAAAAAAATTCTAGCCTTACTATCGCTAGTCTTCACCAAACCATTTCACTCGTTTTCAGAGTTGTTCTTAAACAAGTGGACTATCATTCAAACTCATGCGTTATTAGGCAGAGGATTACAAAATCCTAGAGTGGGTCGCTGCTCGCGTCCAATGGACGAGTGATCTGATTATGTGGAGTCAACTTTAAGGAGGTCATGTTCGTTGATGAAGCGGGCTTCAACCTACATCTTACGTATATTTTTGGTCGAGCGCCGCAAGGGAAAAGGGTAATAAAAAATCGTCATACCCAACTAGGACAGAATGTTTCCCTTGTAGCTGCTGTTGTCCAGGAAGGCATTACCGCTTCAGAAGTCTGTTTAGTTGCCTTCAGTGCTCAAGTCTTCGAAGCTTTTTTGGCCGAAAAATCTATAACTGCTCTCTTAATCCCGAGAGTCATCATCATGGATAAGGTCTCTTTCCATAGACTACCAGAGATAAAAGACATTTAGAGTGCCCATTGTCACTTTTACTTGCGATTGCCTTCCTACACCTACCTCAATACGGCCGCATGGGCCTTTGGTAACTTCAAGACAGATGTACGACGTCAATATCCGTAATCATGAAACAGTCAAAGCACATCAATGATGGTATACTCGAGGTTGAAGCAAACATGTGCCAGCGATCCGCAGTCAAAAGAAATTTTTTGCCCGCAAATAGATGTGAATCTCTGCAACAGTGCTCACGAATAAAAAAAAAAATAAAATGGCCAAATTTATGTCAAAAAATGGCCATTCTGTAAGCATTTTCTATGCCAATTTAATTTAAATCTATTAAATATAAAATGAAATTTGCTTATTTAACTTGTCAAAAGAATAATAAATGCCTGTGTTTATCATGCTGGTACTTATTTGGACTACTGGGGATAAAATGGCCACCAATGCTGTCCTTCAGATGCACTAGCAATGGACCTGTCCCTGTAACGTCACTGTGCTTATGATTTAGGACACTTACTGTGGATATATGATTTCATGCTTTAATATCCTCTACACGCTTACCTCCAGGATAAACCCATCCCCAAGTACTCTACAAGTGGTTTCCAACCGCGTGGATACAAATCCTTGGCAGCTATCCATACATACTGCCATTTAAGCGCTAGGGCCCAAAAGAGCTTTGAAAGCTCCTCACTCTGGCAACGTGCATTTTGATAAGGTATGTGGCCCCATCATCAGATACAGTACACTTGCATATGAAAGCGCATTCACTATTAGGAGATTTCCTTTCTCAAACTCGATATTCACTTTCTCCAGAACTGGCAAAGTACAGAATAAAACAGAGAGCAACCCACGACACTCTGCATTGTCATCAAGATGACTAAATGCAAAACACAGCTTCGCTGAGGGGCCTAAAAACCAGGAATTTATGATTGTAAAATCAGCAGATGGTATCAAAGAGTTGATTTTATCTGAACGTGAAAAGAAGTGTTTTTCATGCCCTTTTTTTTTTACAGGCAGAAAACAGATTTTTTCTGTTCTTTTGCTTCTTTTAAGCAGTGCTTGAATGCTTGTTCGTTGCTTTCATAGAGGGTTATTTTGATCAAGAACATGCTAATGGTAAGAATTGGGTTAAGGGTCGCCTTGTTCCATTCTTGAGGATGTTTATTCATCACATATAAACCATTGAATACGTTGCTAGTCCCGCATCATCCTCACTGCTTTTGACGGCTTTCGGGAGAACTCTTTTAAAAGCTGAAAAAAAATAAAAATAAAAAAATAAAAAAAAAAATTACGCGTTCGGAATTCAGGAAAATATAATGGCTGCACCGATATCACCAAGTTGTCTTTGACTGGACTATATATGCTTGTTTGGGCACTAGTCTAATATTACTCAGCGGAAATAGTCCATCAAATAGCAAACCCATCAATACTTACAAAAATGTAAAGCAGCCTCCACGCTCATCCTTCTGACTCCTTCGAAAGCAAAACCAATTATAAACATCGAACCGCATTATCCGTTCCAGACACAAAGCTGGTTTTTAGAGCATGATTCAATTAACGTAATGAAATAGTGCGCGTACTAAAACTATGGAATGAAATACCCTAGGATCCTGACGATTACAGTAGTAGAAGGTATCAAAAAAAAAAAAAAAAAAAAAAAAAAAAACTGCCATTATGGAGGACCTGAAAATGGAGAGAAGAAAGATTAAGATACCGATGGGTGCTGGCTCATATTTCGCCTATGCAGCACAGCTTCTCACTATTTTCTAAAGGCGCTGACCAAGCACTTTTGAGAAACGATACTTTGAAAGCAAATAATCCAAATCATAATCAGGCCTACGTTCAGGAATCTGGGGCCAGGTCGCTTTACATAAGACGACGCTAGTATTTGGCTTTTTAAAATACCCTCTAGGCCCTTACATCAAGAGAGTAGCTGCTGGCATAGAGAGTAATTATGAATAACAGGTAAATATTAAACAGAGGGTCTTACAAGTCAACGAATATCGATTTGCTTTACTAGGATTCATCTGACCGGAATGTAATCAAAAAGTTGAACACTGCAACCACTTCAGCCAAGACAAAATCTATAAGTGACGTCGAGAGAAGTCTGCTCTTTCTCTTCGGGACTTTGCCTGAGTATCTCGAAGCGTTAGGACAAGTGAGAGAGGGCGGCTCAGTAACGAGGTGATCCTAAAGGAAACGCAAATGAAAGGCCATATACTTGAATCAAAGAGTTTGGACAATTTTACCATTTTCTATGAATGGTCGGATGGGACTGTTGGGGCAGAGTAAGAAGCATCCAGCAAGGCGGTAATCGGTATTAACCTTGAGAAGTCTTCTTCATGTCCTTTTCAAAAAAAAAAAAAAAAAAAAAGACTTTTATTTTTACACAGCTCCCTCCAATGAACTGCTATTCAATTGGCATGCACCAACAAGTCCTGCTTTGTTTTTGTGGATCCTGATCTATATTAATAATATTAGCCATCAATTCAATAGCTGTAGCCAAGGTCTAGGGATAAAGCTGTAAATGGATTTAGCGCCTCGAAATAATGATTTTCTTGATCAGGTCGAGATCCGTCGTCTACGTTTTCCAAGAGTGAAAAGCCTGCATGTACCAAGACATCAGGACACAATTGTTCCTAATAAAGACCGTTATGTCTTCAGTCAAAAGACATGAATGGACAGTATCCTTGAGAGGAAATATAATCAATGGATCAAGAAAGACAACTCAATCGAGTATAGCAAATTCATCAAGTCAAGGAAGCTGTAGAAATCAGGTCTAGAAGGATCCATTGTAAAGAGAGCACACACATGTTTGTGTTTTCTCATAAAAAGAAAAAAAAAAAAAGATCGACCTCATCGCCATCTGGGTATCTTTCGAATCATCGCCAAGATGACAGAACTGCAATACCAACAATTCCGAAAGGCCAACAGCGACATCATTGAAGAAGTTTGTGTCAGAACTGCTTCCACTAATGCAAGCTTGTCATATTTTGTGAGTTTGCAAGACATTCGAGATGCGTTTCCAGATGCACTACGATTCAAATTGGATGGACATCCCATCCCAATCATTCCATATGCTGATGGTAACAGGTATGTTGCCTGTATTTTATCTCGATTGCCCCAAGTGAACCCAATTTGACACGCCTTTGTTTTTATTTTGCTCTAATAGGATCGAACCTTTGCGCATTGCATTCTATCCTAACAAGATCCTGGCTGGATGTCATTACAGAGCTGCCGCAGTCCAGCAGCAGTAACGGTAACAGTAATGGCAACAACAATGCCGTCGTCCATTTTCCGACAATAAGAGAGACAGAAAAACCAGTATTTCAGGACCTTCTTTTGTCATTATCAAACTCGGTTCAACCAATCAACTCCTCTCTAACTCTTCGTAATAACGCCCAAATCGAGATTAGCAACTCTAATTATGAGGAGATTAAAGAGAGATGATGAGGTGATCAAGCTGCAATTGGAGATGCTCAAACTCCAATTGGAGGCAAAGGAGAAGGACGACAAGATGCTTGAAATGCAAAGGGAGGCTATTATGTTGCAACATCAAGCCCTCAGCAGACTTGCGCTCCTTCAAAAGCATGCTGAAGCTATCCTCATCCAGAACTTTGAGCTGCACGAGTATTCAATCCCTCGACTCTTTATCATTTTACCGGTCGATCGAACCAAGTGGGACCCAATGAATATCTTGAGGAACAAGTTCCGCCTTCATTTCTTATGTGAATGTGGAGATCATTCTGTAAAAGCGAACAAGAATAGTCTGAACTAAATCCATCTTGCCAGGCATGAGGGCTATGAAGTCCGAAACAACACAGAGTTCTTTCAAAAGTATGGACAGTACATGGTCATCCTTTTGCTGTGGTTCAAGTTGGGAACGAGTATATCCTCGGCTGCTTCTCTGGGATCAGCCCCAAATCTACTGGATGCTGGATTGATTATTCACTCGACTATATGAAAGCACTCTCTGTTGAGCACTCGGTCTTGAACAACGTCAACACACTCGATGACTATGAGGGACTTGAGGGTGCAGATCTCCGACAATTGGGAACATTCCTTCAGACCAACGATGAAGAGAGGCAGCTCAGCAACTTGTACAGGACCACGACAGAAATGGGACATGTCAAATGGGTTTGTATTGACCACTATCGTGCAACATACAGAGAGAAGGATCAGAAGGGATTTGAAAATGTAGTGGAGATGAATGGTGGAAAATATGACTTGCAGCTTGGTAAAGTGGTTATCAAACTGAAATCCAGGACTAGAGCTGGGGAATTCTTCAGTGCCCTGACCAATGCAAGGAATGTTTACGAGTTGAATATCACATTCGATTGGGAATGGACCAAGACTGATCTTGAGACGCTTGAGAATGCATTAAAGATATCGAGTGTGTCGCTTCTTCGACTTGATCTCGGATGGGTTCAAGAAAAGGTTTCTAAGAAAGTGCTTTCGACATCTACGCGATATGACCTACTTGCTCGCTGATCAATCAAAGTTGTATCTTTGGGATGCACTATGGATGGATCCGTATATAAAAGACACGCCATGCTTGCGATGGCTATAGACGATGTGCGCACTCTTTCTTATTGCCCCATTTCATATTTAAACTCTTTGTTGTTGTTTGTTACACCAAATGGCGGAGCTGAATAAAAACGGTCAAACTGCATCTCGTTCATTCGATGGATCATTCATTCTTCTCAGCATCCTTATAGCATCTGCGAAATGACAAAGCTTCATTACCAACAATTCCGGAAGGACACCAAAATTGAAAAAGTTTGTGTCAGAGCTAGCAATGACAAAAATGACAAATTGTCATTTGTGGGTTTGCAAGACATTCGAGCCGTGTTTCCAGATGCATTGCGATTCAAATTGAATCATTTCCCCATCCCATTCCTTGAAGATTCTAATGGCAATAGGTATTTTTATTTATCTCTTATTTTTATTTTTATTTAGTATGGTGCATTGTCAATTGTCCTAGAAAGGAAACAGGGGGATCCAACTGACATGTCTTTTGCTTTTGTTTATTTATTTGTTTTGTTCCACACAAGAATCGAACCTCCGTGCATTGCATTCTATCCTGGCAAGATCCTGGACGTCATTGCAGAGGCACCGCGACCCAGCAGCATTAACAACAACAACAACAACAACAACAACAACAACAACAACAACAGCAACACCGTTGTCCATTTACCAACATTCAAAGCATCGGAAAATCAGGACTCTCTTTTGCTATTATCAAACCTGGCTCAATCTCTCAACTCTTTTCTTACCACCTACACTCGCACACAATCCGACAATGTCAATTCCATTCCCAATCCTAAAGCTATTAAAAACTTGAAAGTGACCCAAGGAGAGGACCAAAAGGTGATCAAAGTGCAATTGAAACCTAAAGAGAAGGATGAGAAGGATGAAATGATCACTGATCTGCAACATCAAACCCTCGAAAGACTTGCTATCCTCCAAAAATATGCTCAAGCTATCTTCATCCAGAACTCTGAGCTACAAAAGTACCCAATCCCCCGATTGTTTATCATCTTGCCTATCGACAGTACAAAGTGGGACCCAATAAATATCTTGAAGAACAAGGTCCGTCTTCACTTCCTATGCGAACGTGAAGATCACTCCCTAGAGTCAAAAAAGTGTAGCCAGAACGGAATCCACATTACCAAACATGACGGATATGAAATACAAAACATTACAGAGTTCTTTCGAAAATATGGGAAATACATACTCATCCTTTTAGAATGGCTCAAGCTGGGGATGGGAACGGGAACGGGAACAACAGTCCCAAACCTGCTTAATGTTGGTATCGACTATTCAATTGACTATATCAAAGCGCTCTCTCTCGAGTATCCGGATCTGAGTAACATCAACGCAATCGATAATTATGAGGCACTTGAAGGACCTGATCTTCAAAAATTAGGAACGTTCCTTCAAACCAACGACGAGGACAGACAACTTGGCAATTTGTACAGGATCATAATCAAAGTGGGCCATGTCGAATGGGTGTGTGTGGACCACTACCGTTCGACTTGTTGCAGCAAAGGTCAGAAAAGGCTTGAAATTGCGGTGGAAATGAATAATGGGAAATATGACTTGCACCTTGGTAAAGTAGTCATCGAATTGGAATCTGAAGACAGCGCTGATGAATTCTTTGCTGCTCTGGCCAGGGCAGGAAACGTTTACGAATTGGATATCGCACTGAAGTGGGACTGGACCAAGGATGATCTTGAGGCACTTGAAAATGCATTAAAGGTGTCGAGTGTATCGATTCTTCGACTTGATCTTGGGTGGTCTCGAGAAAGCATCAATAAGAAACTACTTCCAGCATCTATACGATATGAACCACTTGTTCGTATCATAGAACTCCACAATATGAAAACGATACATATTCTACTGTGTCCGGATCTCATCGAGCTTTCCAAATTTCAGCCTAAAAACTCATCACACCTTCAAGAGTTATCCTTTGAGATGAGGCCTCGATGGATTGAAGCTAACGAATCTCAAGTTATTGCAGCCTCACTCAAGACCGCTACGAATTTGACCCGTTTAGACTTGTACGACAACTCAATTGGGGCTAAAGGAGCTCTGGCACTGTCCAAGGCCCTCAGGACTAACACCACTTTGACATATTTGGACTTGGAGGCAAACCCAATTGGGAATAAAGGAGCTCTGGCACTCTCAAAGGCACTCAAATCTAACACGGCATTAACCACCTTGAAACTGGAGGCAAACTCAATTGAGAATAACGGGGTCCTTGCATTATCAAAAGCACTCAAAATCAACACAACTTTGATCACTTTGAGTTTGAGTTACAACTCAATCGGGGACGAAGGGGCTCTGGCAATCTCAGACGCACTTAAGGCCAACACTAGTTTAAAGATCCTGGACTTGAGTATCAACGAAATTGGAAAGGATGGAGCTCGGGCACTGTCAGAAGCGCTCAAGGTCAACACGACTTTGACTGCTTTGGACTTGGAAAACAACAAAATCAGGAATGGAGGAGCTTTGGCGCTATCAGAGGCGCTCAAAGCCAACCCGACTTTAACTAATTTAAGTGTGAAGTGGAACTCGATTGAGGACGAAGGAGCTCTTGCGCTGATAGAGGCGCTCAAGGGTAACATGGTTTTGGCCAATTTGGACTTGAGGGACAACTCAATTAACAAGGAAAGGGTCCTAGCGCTGCTGGATGTGTTCGGGAACAGCTCAGCTTTGACCACTTTGGGCTTGTGGGCCGACTTGGTTGCGGAGGAACTGTCAGGACCACTCAAGGGCAACGCGGTATCGACCACTTTAGATTTGAGTGGCAGCTCAATTGGAGATGAAATAGTTCTTGTACTCTCAAAGGCCCTCAAGACCAACACGACCTTGGCCGGCTTGGGCTTGCGGAACCACGCAAACGGAAATGAAGGAGCTCTAGTATTGTCAGAGGCACTCAAGGCTAACACGACTTTGGCATATTTGGACTTGTACAACAACACAATTGGGAAAGAAGGAGTCCTTGCACTGTCAGAGACATTAAAGGTCAACACGATTTTGGTCACTTTGGGATTAATAGACAACAAATTTGGGCATGAAGGAACTCTTGCACTGACAGAGGCACTAAAGATCAACACAACGTTGACAGTTTTGAACTTGCAGGGCAATTGTATTGGGGACAGAGGAGCTATGGCACTGTCAGAGGCACTTAAAGTCAACTCAACTTTGAACACCCTAATCTTGAAAAACAACTCGATTCAGAAGGAAGGAGCCCTTGCACTCTCGGAGGCTCTCAAGACAAATACGGCGTTGGGTGCTCTTGCACTCTCGAAGGTGCTCAAGACTAATAAGGCTTTGACCGGTTTGGACTTGAGTATCAACTTTTTAGGAAGTAGTGGGGCTCAGGCGTTATCAGGGATGCTCAAGATCAATAGGACTTTGAAGACTTTGAAATTGAGTAGCAACTCAATTGGGAGTACAGGTGCTCTGGCGCTCTCGAATGCAATATTCATGTTTCTGTTCTGCAGCATTCTTTTTATTTTTTTTTTTATTATAATAAGATCGAGATAGTTTACAATTAATCCTGTCTAAACTAACAGAGTGAGGAAACCGATGGGAGGATTGCAACGCTTTATGTACCGTCCAATATATAAATATATATGTATATCTTTTTATTCTTTTCCCGCTTTATAATCAATAAACAGCTCCTTAGTATAAAATTCTTTCCTCCATCTCTATGCTACTTGTATGAAAGAACAGCTGTTATCTTCCTTGGGTGGCCGAAGGAGGTTGTTGTTATCGTTACTTGTGTTCCCTCAATGGAGAAACTTCCGGATTGGTGCTGAACGAAAATGGATAGGAGCGACGCTTCCTTTCCTTACACTGATTACTATTATAGTCATCGGACCATCAGCGATGATGGTGTCGGTACCTGCGACTGTTATAGTTACTTGTGGTACTATATAATCCGTTGTCGCTCATACTGGGACTGTCATCATCGTTTTCATCAATACACCGGACATGGGGCCCTCCGCTCTTCCTTGTAGGCTCTCCTATCGTAAAGACACATCTAGTGAGTCGACACCAGTACCTATGCACATATTTACTCTATCCTCGGCTCTTGCTACGCCTGCTGCGCTCAACTTTGTTGTCTGCTCTTATATCTCCTCCCCTTGACCTTGTGTCATGGTATTCGCTATACTCTTCGTATTTATCGCATGTGTTACTTTGTTTATCAGCTCCGGACAAGGTGTCCACTGAGATTGGAGCTGATGAGCTGTATGAAGTGTTTAGTGATAAGCTTCGCTCTGTTTTAGCAAAGGATGTTGCAGATGGAGTGATTGGTGATGCCACTATGAGTCCTTGTGTTTTAATACCGGATGATACTGATGCAGATCTCGATATATCAATAAATGATAGCGACTGTTGTGGCGGACTAACGATGGATCTGTTGAATCGGGAGATAGCAGTGATGGATTTCATAAAAGGGTTACGTTGGCGCGTTAAGGATGGCGGGCGATGCGTGGGTCTACGGATCTGCTGAAGGTTCTCTTGAGAAACATTGGTCTGTCTGAAGAAGTGCAGGGCACTGATACTGATGTTGCTCATGTCAACCAAGCTCAAGGAGACGCACTTAATCACCTCAATCATATCTTCAACCATTGCAGGCAAGGCATCATCGCTGACCATAATCGATGCACCATCATCCGAGTGCATTTCCGTTCTCAATAAAGGCCACTTCATTGAGGCGGAATGAGATGCAAATTTACAACAACTTGGATCCGTGCATTATCTGATTTTTACACCCCTGCGACACCAAGAGGCGAAGTTGAAAATGGATCAACCAGCATCTTTTACAAGAGAGAAATGAGTGAATATTTTCCATCTCGCCATCATCTCTTGAATCATCACCGAAATGACAGAACCTCAGTACCAACAATTCCGAAAAAACGGCATCATTGAGGAAGTTTGTGTCAGAACTGCTTCCACCAATGCGAGCATTGGCAACCCGCTCTGCTATGTGAGTTTGGAGGACATTCGAGATGTGTTTCCAGATGCACTACGCTTCAAGTTGAATGGACATCCCATTCCATTCCTTTTAGACGCCAATGACAACAGGTATATTGCTTTACCATGGTGCTCTTTTAAATGCTCCTAGAAGAAAAGGAGAACCTGATCTGACACATCATTTTTGTCTATGTTCTATTAGGATCGAACCTCTGCGTATTGCATTCTACCCTGACAAGATCCTGGACGTCATAACAGACGCACCACAGTCCAGCAACAGTAACAAATCTCTTACTGTCCATAATAATAAGGATTTCAGCTCCCACTCTGACGAGATTAAGGAGTGGATGGTTAAGGTCGAGGATAAGGGCGACATGATGCTTACACTAGAAGACAAGATGGGCAAGGCGTTTGAACTACAAGTAGAGATGTATAAAATGCAACTGGAGCTAAAGGATGAGGTGGTTAAATTGCAATCGGAGGTTAAGGAGATGAATGCTAAGGTGCATAAACTGCAATTGGAGGTAAAGGAGGAGAACGACAAGGTGCTTGAAATGGAGAAGGAGAATCATAGTTTGCTACAGCAAGCACTCAACAGACTTGCGATCCTTCAACAAAAAGCTGAAGCTATCCTCGTCCAGACCTTTGAGCTACACGAGTATCCAATCCCTCGACTCTTTATCATTTTGCCTGAAGACCGGACCGAATGGGACCCAATGAATATCTTGAGGAAGAAGTTCCGCCTTCATTTCCTATGTGAATGCGGGGATCACACTGTAGAGACAGGCAAGAGCAGCCAAAATCAAACCCATTTTGCCAAACATGAAGGATATATAGTCCGAAACAGCACAGAGTTCTTTCAAAAATATGGGAAATACATGGCCATCCTTTTACAGTGCCTCAGTGTAGGAGTGCCCTTGGCTGCCCCACTTGGGCCAGTCCCGGATCTCAAAGCCGGTATTGATTATTCACTCGACTATATGAAAGCACTCTCTGCTGAGTTTCCGGCTCTGAACAGTATCAATACAATCGAAGACTATGCGACACTTGAAGGAGCAGATCTCCGAGGACTGAGCAAATTCCTTCAAATCAACGATGAAGATGGCAAGCTTGGTAACTTGTACAGGATCAGAACAGAAGCAGGTCATGTCAAATGGGTTTGTATCGGCCATTTCAGTTCAACATATAAAGAGGAAGAGCAGAAAGCCTTTGAAGATGTTGTGGAGATGAACGGTGGCGAGTATGACTCACAGCTTGGTAAAGTGGTCATTGAATTGGGATCCAAAATCACAGCCAGAGGATTCTTTGGTGCCATGGCCAAAGCGAAACGTGTTTACGAGCTGGATATTACGTTCAAGAGCGGCTGGGATTGGACCAAGACTGATCTTGAAACACTTGAGAATGCACTAAGAGTCTCGAGTGTATCGGTTCTTCGGCTTGATCTTGGTAGTCCTCAAGAAGGTATTACTAGGAAACTACGTTTAACTACAATATATGAAAAACTCGTTCGTATTATAGAGGTCAACACTATGAAAGTGGTCCGTATTGTACTGTCTCCAGATCTCACCAAGCTTTCCAGCTTACCAAACCAAAAGTTGCGACATCATCATGAGTTAACCTTTGAGATGAGGCTACGAGATATCAGACGAGATGATTTTCAAGAGCTTGTAAATTCACTCGCGACCAACATGACTTTGGCCAGCTTGGATTTGAAGCACAATTCAATTAGGAATGAAGGAGCCTTCGCACTGTCAGAGGCACTCAAGACAAACATGAAATTGACTACTATAGACTTGAGACACAACTTAATTGGGGATGAAGGTGCTCTAGCACTGTCAAAGGCGCTCAAGGCTAATACAACTTTGGCTGTTTTGGATTTGAGGGCCAATCCAATTACGAAGGAAGGAGTCCTGGAGCTTTTAGGCGCGCTCAAGACTAGTCCAACTTTGGCTACTTTGGGCTTGCGGCACAGCATAGTAACGGAAGAACTGTCGGAGGCACTGAAGGGCAACGCGACATCAGCCACTTTGAATTCGAGCCACAGCTCGATTCGGGATGAAATAGTTCTGGCACTCGTAGAGGCACTCAAGACAAACATGATCTTGACTAATTTAAACTTGGGTCACAACTCAATTGAGAGGGAAGGAGCACTAGCACTCTCAAGGGCACTCAAGACTAACATGACCTTGACCAATTTGAGCTTGAAGGGCAGCTCAATTGGGAAAGAAGGAGCTCTGGCGTTGTCAGAAGCACTCAGGACCAACACTAGTCTAACCAATTTGGATTTGCACGGCAACTCAATTGGAGATAAAGGAGCTCAGGGACTGTCAGAGGCACTCGAGACAAATATGACCTTGGCCAATCTGGACTTGGAGAACAACTCAATTAGGAAGGAAGGAGCTCTGGCACTGTCGGAGGCACTCAAGACAAACACCAGTCTGACCGATTTGGACTTGAGTTGGAACTCAATTGGGAAAGAAGGAGCTCTGGCACTGTCAGAGGCACTCAAGACAAATACCAGTCTGGCTAATGTGAATCTGACAAGCAACTCAATTGGGAAAGAGGGAGCCCTGGCACTGTCAGAGGCACTCAAGACTAACATGACCTTGACCAATTTGAACTTACGATACAACTCAATTGGGAAAGAAGGAGCTCTGGCACTGTCAGAGGCACTCAAGACAAACACCAGTCTGACCAATTTGGACTTGGGAAACAACTCAATTGGGAATGAAGGAGCTCTAGTACTGTCAGAGGCACTCAAGATCAATACCAGTCTGACCAATTTGGACTTGTGGGCCAACTCAATTGGGGATAAAGGAGCTCTGGCACTATCAGGGGCACTCAAGGTCAACACCAGTCTGACCAATTTAGACTTGAGGGGCAACTTAATTAGGAATGAAAGAGCTTTGACACTATCAGAGGCGCTCAAGACGAACATGGTGTTGAATTATTTGGATTTGGGAAGCAATCCAATCATGAGGAGATGAAAAGCTGGCACTGTCTGAGATGCTCAGATGGAAAACTGAACAGGACAGGACAGAACACGTATATTTAAATTGTTTTATTGAGGGGAGAAATGAATACAACCTGTAACAGAACTGTATCTCTCACATGCTAAGCAGGATTCCTCCTATCCCATGCATTATCTTTGCACTTTTACAACGTCCATGTTATATAAAGTTGACACCAACAAGCATTTCTGCTCGGAAACAATTTCCTTTATTTTATTTTCTTTATTTCTTTCTTCTCTTTTCTTGTTAATAATGACAATAATAAATGAATAAATAAATATATATTACATTTGAACCTGTTTACATCAAGAGTTAAGAATATCATCTTTAACATCCCCATCAACTCTTTTCTTCTTTTTTTTTTTTTTTAGATGATAGGATCATTTCTCACTTTGTAATCACTATATTGGTAATGAAACAAATAAAATAAAAAGCAGTTCGTTAGTAACTTACATGGCACCACTGTATAGAAAAGATATTTTTATATATATAAAACGCGGATGCATATAATCCTTTCCATCACTTGTATGCTTTCTTGCTTGCTTACATGAATGAAATGCTGTTGTCTACAGTCTGAGAGATCAGCACATTCTTGGTTGGATGGAATGCTGCACAAATCACTAGCTTCCCTCCTACTTCCAAAATCTGAGTCGGTCCTCCTGGTCGATTTCGAATAGATTGACCTTTCAAAATGGCTGCTTCACGGAAGATCGGGTGCTGGTGCTGTTGTTGTTGTTGCTGCTGTCCATTGGTACTAATATTATCATTGTTGTTATTGTTATATCCACTACCGCTTCGGGTTTTGCTGCCATTGTTGTTATTGATGCTGCTACTGTTGCTGCTACTGTTGCTGCTACTAAAGGTAGTCTCATTATCAAATCGGATATCGCCTGTAACGACTCCTGATCCTGGTCGTTGACTCTCAATACAGTTGATCTTATTCCATCGGACATCCCAGATATTAATGATCCCTTCTTCAGTCCCTCCAAAGGATAAAAGCCCTCCTTCTGGATGCCATGAAGGAATAGGGATCTTGAAAGTCTTTGTCGAGCCTGCATATCCCAACTTGAGAACTGGAGTCACAGGAATTCGCTCGTCCATCAATATCAACTGCGTCATATGGCTATATAGTCTGATGGTCCCAAAAAAGGAAAAAGGAAAAAGAAGAAAAAGTAAGATACCGCTCAAGTAGACATTAGGCCAAGGCAGTATTCTATTTCAAGTTGCTATCATTCTCTGCTTCCACATTAGCATTGCTCCTATCATCATCGAACCAACGACTCTTTCTTCAATTTAATATCATCCTCTCAACTTGGAGAGATTCAACTGTACAAGGAGTATTTCACGATGTAATAGTACCCAGAAGAAAAACAAGAAAAGAAGAGTTGGGAGAAAAAATGATATTATAAAAAAAAAAATAAAAAAAAAAAAAACTAGACAAGAGACTTACGTTAATGCATTGATCCGATGATCCATGGGATTCTGAACGATATTCAGCGTTCGACCGACTTTATCCTCATAGATCTTCTTCTCATGTGCCATATCGTAGCTAATATATCGACCATCCTCTCCTCCTGAGAACAATATCTTGGAAGGGTGAGAGTAGCTGAGACATTTGACAGCGTTTGTATGTAAAGTGTGGACATCTCCCAATCCTTCTGCTTTCGTGTCTCCTGAATCATCTGCTGGACAAAATCGCCAATGCATCTGCATGTGCGAATTTCAAAATCATATAGGAGAAGAAAAAGAGGATGATGATGATGATGATTATGATGAAGAGGAAGAAGAAGATAAACAAAAAAGAGCTGTTAGAACGTTTTGAAGTAAAACACGAGTACATATATTTCCTCATCAATCTTCTTACCAAAGTCTTGTCTCCTCCTGCTGTGACATAGGACATTCCATGATCCTCTCTCATCACTGCAGTTACACAGTTGATGATGGCTCTGTGAGTCATGGTCGAGATAGTTGTTACTTTGTAGCCTAGCTTGCCCTTGTCATTAAAATAAATCGAGATCAAGTTGGTCTGGGTCTCTGGCAAAGATGAATAGGTTGGATCTGCATTGAGTGTTTCTGTTGGAACGATGTTGTTCACCGACGCCGTCTCGGGTGGCCATGGTGTGCCGCGTTTTAAATGGCTCACTGCCACAATCATATCCTCTCTAACCCATGTCAGCGCCTCTGTATACGGAATCACTCGACTTTCTTTGGCTGGAAGTGATAACAGAAGTAGCTGTGCGTTGATATCCCAAAAGTGGATGTTTCTGATGCATCAATCGAAAAACAAAAAAAATAATAATAAAAGGTTAGTAAAAAAAAACTCTTTTGACCTTTCACAAGCAAGGATATATATGTATGGACGGATGGATATATAATCTTACCCATCATATGAACTTGAGGCAGCAATCCCTTCAAAGCGTGTCTGGAAGGAGAAAGGGTTGAGGACCAATGGTCGGCCTCGTTTGCCTGTAAATGGATTATCTGGAACCTTTCTGGTCCCTAAAGAAAGGACTGTCATCGTGGGGTGTCCTCCAATTGGGAGGTAATAGTTGGACTTTTCAAACACTCTCATGTATCCTGATGCACGTGGGCTAGGATATGCTTGATGGACTATCCGGCTTTGATGTGTAGGTGGCACACGGATTGTCACAATCCCACTCGTCTCCACTGCTACCTCAGATTTGACACCTCTCGATTTGTCTCCTGAGGCTGGCTTAAGTGATGGAGGTGGTGAGAGTGCTCCTCGTTGTTGTTGTTGCTGTTGCCATGCACCACCAGTATCTGCTACTCCGTTTTGATTAGAGCCGATCGTCTGAGGTTTTACTGCGTTAGAAGGGTATGATTGTTGTTGGACTGTGCTGGTAGGATCAGAAGGCAGTGGTGACTCGGGAGTGCCTTGTCCAGGAATCTGTTGTGGAGGAGAGATTCGAAGAAGGTTGCTGGTACTGTTGCTGCTCTTCTGAGTTTGGATGCCAGCCAGGTAGTGTTCCTTAATGATCTCCATCTTCTTTTGCATTTCCTTCTTGAGCTGATCCATTTTATGGCTAAAATCTCGCGTCACAATGTCGATCTAGGAACAAGAACAGACCATAAACGGTCAGGATCAACATGAACGGCAGACATCTTTAATAACATTACAAACTGCTTACATATACATGTATATGACATACCTCAGCCATCATATGAACCATTGGATCTGTTAGGGCAACTTGAGAATGACCAGAAAGGCTAGACCTTGCTTTTCGTATGGCAAGAGGTGTGTCGCTATTGTTGTCCATGCTCTCTGCCAATACAGGGACTTCTGGACTGGTGTCAGATGAAAATGAATAGTAACGACGCTTTCTTTTCTTACGACTGCTACTGCTGTAGTCATCGGACCGTCGGCGACGACGCTGTCGGTACCTGGGACTATCATATTCACTTGTACTGCTGTATATATCGCTGTCGCTCATACTAGGGATGTCATCACTCTCGTCACTATATCGGACATGAGATCTTCCACGCTTTCTTGTAGCCTCACCCATTGCAAGGACACGTCTAGCGGGCCGACTCCTGCTCCTGTGCACACTTTTACTCCGTCCTCGACTTTTGCTACGACTACTGCGTCCACGATCTTCTCGACTTCTACTTCTGTGTCGACTCTTGCTTCGATGTCTGCTCTTGCTTCTTCCTCTTGATCTTTCGTCAAGATATTCACTACGCTCGTTGTATCCGTTGTCCATGTTGGTTTTTACATCGGCTGCAGGCAAAGTGTCCGTTAAGATTGGAGCTGAGGAGTCGTATGAAGTCTTTAGTGGAGAGGTTCGCTCTGCTTTTGCCGCCGCGTGTAATCCCATGGATGAGGATGTTGCAGACGGGGTGATTGGTGATGCCACTATAGGTCCTTGTGTGATGGTACCTGGGACCGATGAAGACCTGGACGTATTAATGAATGGTAACGACTGCTGTGGTTGGCCAATGGCAGGTCTCAGCGCATTTGTTGAATCGGGAGATGGTTGTTGTCCTGGAGTGATGGGTTTCATAAAGGGGTTGCGGTATCGCGTTCCTTGTTGTGCGGATATTGGGTCAGATGATTGGATGTTCTCATTTCTCGGAGTAGATACAAAAGTGCTATCCTGACTATCCCTCCGTGGATCTCGAGATGATTGAAGACTAGGATCGATGGAGGATTGTGTCCGATGATGGCGTGCAGGGGGTGGACTCTTTCCTCGAGCTGTAGGTGAGGAATATCTTCGAGGCTGTGGTGGACTCCTTCCACGTTCTTTGTATGGGTAGGGTTGTGAATAGGTTTGATCTGGATATTGAGATTGGCGGTTGATGCGTGGGTCTGGTGGAGGTTCTCTTGAGTAACGGGCCGGATTGGGCAATCTGTTTGAAGAGGTACCCTCTCGTGGGGACGCACTGTTGACTGAATCATCAGTAGATAAATCGGATGCCTTGCGACGACGGTCACGGTCCTCTCGTCCTCGTTCTGGCCCACGTACATGCCTGTCCCGGTCACGTTCACGCTCAGCTTCACGTCTTTCTTCTCTTGGACGGTAATTATTAGCGTTTGAAAAGTTGTAGGAATGAATTCTGCTGGGGACAGAAGTGTTGGCTTGGTGGGCCGAGTGAGTTTGGGGAGCAGACTGGACTGAGGTGTTGGAGCTGGATCGAGAATGAAGAGGGGATGGCGCGGTATTTAAGGGAGCTGTAGAGTTGCCTGGTGTCTGTTGCGGTAAAGACGGTTGAGGATGAGCCTGGAATGGAGGGGACGCAGCGGAGGGGTTGGCAGGAGGCAGCTTTGTAGACTGGGCTGTATTAGAGCGAGAACGAAGACGAGGGTCCGTTGGAGGGGGAGCACCAGAGGGAACCATGACGATTACTGCTTTTTAGTGCAAGTTGTAATGATTTGAACTGTCTTGTTTTAGTCTTTCGTAATGTGTTTATATACATGTATAAATGTATAAATATATAATTAGCAGTAAAAGTCAATCGAGATTGAAAAGAGAAAAAGGATGGGTTGCGTATAGATTGAAAGGGAGTAATCCCCAAGAATGCGATGAAGAGAGAGATGTAAAAGAAGAAAAAAGGGATAAAGACCAATGTGATGGAGAGAGAGAGAGGGTGAGAAAATAAATAAACAAAAAAAAAAAAAAAAAAAAAAAAACGATCAACCGAAACAATTGGAAAAATAAATTTTAAATTCACAATCAAAAAAAGGCTTTTTTTCATTTTATTTTATTTTATTTTATTTTATTTTCTCTTGCTTTTTGCTTTTGTCAACCATGGCATTCACAGACTCTTGGGGACCTGTGTAAAGAGATAAGAGATACTCTCTCCATTGTGTGTACGCCTGATGGCCTCTGCAAGTGTGGCGCTGATATCCAACACCCTGAGCTTTGTGCTCAACGCTCGTTTCTCTGCCGGAAGGGGGTAGGTGTTGGTGACCACGATTCGGTGCACATTCGGACACTCCTCGATCTGGCGCAACGAATTCCCGCTGAGGATACCGTGTGTAGCAATGATGAGCACCTGTTTCGCCCCATGATCCACCAACAGATCTGCTGCCTCCAAAAACGAATGGCATCCATCAATCATGTCGTCCTATATATGTATATATATATATATGTATTATATTATAAAACGAACCAAAAGTTTAGCTCCTTTGGTTGCTTCGTTTCATTCTGACCATACCCATTTACACTATATTAAAAACAGAAAAAGAATCGGTTTTTTTGCTTACAATAATAAAGCACACCTTGTCCTGGACATCGCCCACGAGGGTGAGGAGCGATGTTTCATCGACGGTAACACGCTGGACTTCGTGTCCTGTTTCAGCATCGACCATCTGATCATCATAGTCATCATCCTCGTCTTCCAGTCGGTTGTAAATGTTTTCAGGCTCGGACAGGGAATGATCAGGATCATGGCCAGATCTTGTCCTGTCCTTGTGGATCAATGCAAAATCAATGTTGAGTCGATCAGCCAATGAGGTTACCCTAAAAAAAATAAATAAATAAATAAATAAATAAATAAATAAATAAATAAATAAATAAATAAATATGCAAACAAAAAGGTCAACAATCGAAAAAAATCCATCTACTACCGAGGATTGTGAATGAATATATATATATATATAAGTGTTACCTCTTGGCACCTCCAGCGTTTTTACTGACAACGACACCATTTTGCCAGTCCTGAACATGTTCCTGGATCCAATGGGCGATGGTGGGTTCAGCATAGAGATTGTCGACAGGACGATCAAAGAATCCCTGCATCTGCGAGGCATGCAAGTCCATGGTGATAACATGGTCAACACCTGAAATGGACAGGATGTTGGCCACCACTACAGGTTATTTTGAACAAGCATTAGAGACAAGATCGGAAGAAAGGAAGAGAGAGAGAGAGAGAGAGATTGCATTCCTGAGCACAGCAAAGCAAAGGAAAAAAAAAAAAAAAAAAAAAAAAAAAAGACAGTGATTACACTTTGCGGCAATAGCACCACGATGCTTCTTTTTCTTGCTCTGCTTAGAGTAGGGGAAATATGGGATGACGGCAGTAACGCGCTGAGCAGAAGCACCTTTGCAGGCATTGATCATGATCAAGAGTTCCATGAGCGAATCATTGATCTTGGACGAGCCAGACTGGATGATGAAGACATCTTCATTACGTACAGACACGCCTATGTATAAATTTATATAAATATTAATGTGAATATGAATATGAATATGGATATGAAAGAGAAAGAAAAGAAAAGAAAAGTAAGGAAAAGAAAGGGAGTTTTTTTTGTTTCTTTTACCAATCTCGACCGAGGTCTCCTTGTTCTTAAACTGGGAGAGGGTGGTCTTGCCAAGCTGGATTCCGAGACGGTTGGTGACGAGAGTAGCCAGCTCGGGGTGTGAGCTTCCAGCAAAGACCTTTGTGCGTCTCACTAGCAAAGGGAAAGAAGAAGAAGAAGAAGAAGAAGAAGGAGAAAAGGGAAGAGAAGAAGAAGGAGAAAAGGGAAAGACGAAGGAGAATGAGTAAATGAGAATGAAAAAAGAAAAAAAAGAAATGAATAAAAGTAATTAGTGATCAGATCCAATCAAGAAAGAAAAAAAAAAATAAAAATAAAAAAATAGTTTTAAAGGAGAGAGAGAGAGAGACATACTAGTGTAGTGAACCTAGGGAATGGATGGCAGGATAGAGTAGCGCACTCTGAGGCACAGGATCATAAGGAGAGAGGATGGAGAAAGAGACGGCGGAAGAGAGGAAAGAAAAGAGGGAAGAGGGAAGAGAGAAAAGAAGAAGAAGAAGAAAGAGGAGGAGGAGGAAGAAGAGGAAGAAGAAGAAGTAAAAGAGGGAAGAAATGGGCAATGAGTGACACATTGGAAATAAATAAAATAAGAAATAAAAATACAAAATAAAAAGTAAAATGCGGGGATAACCTTAAAATGCAGGCACACACATACATCTCACACACACATTTATGATTTCCAAATTATTTTACACACCACACGGATTAAAAAATTATTCTGGAAATGCTTTCCTCCATTCCATTGGTGCAAACATGCCTGTCTTCCTCATACTTCATTTCACATTTCTCATTTGCAAGGGTGTGCCATTCCTTTATTACATGCTCTCTCACACTTCTCTATTCCTTCCCTCTTTTCCTCTTTTCGCTTCACCTTCACAAAGACAATCTAATCATTCACTCTTCTCTTTGCTCCATTCCTTCCTCTTCCTGCCTCTTCATTCCACCTTCTACTTCTCTCTCCACACCTGAGCTTCCTTCTATCCTTCTCTCCAGTCTTTTTCTATCTCTCTCTTCCTTCTTTTTATTTATTTGAAAACACACTTAAACCGTTCGTTCGTAGCATTGTCCACCATGTCTGACAGGAAACTACCCACCGAAAAGAGTGAACGTATCCTTGCTGAACTGCTAAAGATCCCCGTCAACACCATCTGCTGCGACTGCGGAGCTGCCAGTACGTCCTCTTTTTTCTTTTCTCTTTTCTCTCCTTTTTCCTTTCTCCAAAAGACAAAAAGACAAGCCAAAAAGACAAGCTGGCATATCTTCTTCTTGGGCTTTTGACACTGACGACATCAAAAATCTGTCTTGCATTGCAATTCGACTTTGGATAGATCCGAAATGGGCCTCTTACTCTCTCGGCTGTTTCCTCTGTGTACGATGTGTCAGCATCCATCGGAAGATGGGTACCCATATCTCCAAAGTCAGATCCGTCACCTTGGACGCATGGACTCAGGAAGATATCGATGTAAAGACAATAAAAAGCCTTCTTCCTTTTCATTTCTTTTTTTTTTTTTTTTTTTTTTTTTCTCCCTTCCTTCCTTTCTTTACAAAACTTTTCTCATCTTGAAAACTTATATACATGTATATATTATATATATTTTTTTTAAAAAAAAAAAAACCTACGTCTAACAGCATATGAAAAACTGGGGTAACGGTAAAGTCAATGCCCTGTACATGCCTCAGCCAGAACGTCATCCACCACCCATTAGCATGGAAGGAAGGTACCGTAGATAATACATTCGCCTTTTATTTCTTCTTCTTCTTCTTCTTCTTTCCTCCAACACAACAATCAAAAACTCTTCTCAATCCTTTGATTTTATCATACCTCTTTTTGTTTGTTGTTGTTGTTATTATTATTACTAACGCTTTTCTTCTCTTTATTTACTAAATAGTGCTATGGAACAGTATATTCGAGCAAAATACGAACGCAAAGAGTTTATGGAGGGCGGTGGCGGTGGTAGTAACTACCAGGTAAAGAATCTTTGTAACAGCCCTTTGTCCACCGTTAATGAACTGCATTGAAAAAGAGTTATTTATATTGTTTTTTTAACCTTGGCTCTTTTCTCTTTCTTTTTTATTTAAAAAAAAAAAAAAAAAAAAAAAAAAAAGCCTGCACGCTCTGCTTATGGCAACACGTTTTCAGGAGGAAGAGGCAGCAGTTACAACAACGATGTGGTCAACACAAACTCCTATACCACTCAAATGTCTGCGCTCCGTGCCATGGGCTTCACCGACAATGCCAAGAACCTTCAGGTGCTTCAGTCCACCAATGGAGATGTACCCAACGCTGTGGAGATCCTGTGTCGTATCGGCTCTGGTCCCGTCACCTCCTCCGCCAATCTCTCTGCCTCCAACACCAACAGTCCATCCTCAAGACCCGCACGACGCAGTCCCTCAACCAATAGCACTCACAACAACACCAGTGGCACGGCCTCCGATCCAAAGGAGGCCATTCTCTGGAACATGGGCTTCCATGATGCTGCACTGAATAAGGAGGCTCTTCGTCGTGCTGGAGGCAATCCCGAAGTGGCTGCTGGTATCCTCATTGATGAAAAGGATAAATTAGCAAGAGCCGTACGCGAAAAATCCTCTACATCCTCACCACTTCCTTCACGACTCGATCCCCCAGGCAGCAAATCTTCAAAGAATGACTCCAATCTCTTGATAGATCTCTCCGATGATAGTGAACAACAACAACAACAACAACAAAGATTACGAATGCAACAACAGATGTTTCAACAACAGATGAATATGCAAAACGCCTTTGGTAACTCAAACCCGAATCAACCCTGGTCTAACTCGAATCTGGATCAGTTTGGTCAAACCCAGAGTCAACTTCAATCGATCATGGACAATAACGCCAATTTCCTTGCCATGTTCAACTCTGAACAAAATTCCACCAACAACAACAACAACAACAACAATATGAATAATATGAATAATATGAACAACATGAGCAACATGAACAATATGTTTGGAAACACCAATAATAATAATAACAATAATAATAATAATAATAATCTGAACACCATGGGCATGAGTAGTCCTTTTGGTCTCAATCAACAACCAACAGGGAACTTTGGCAACGATATGAGCTCTTGGGCTATGAACAACAATACCAACAACAACAGTATGAGCAACATGAACAACGCTTTTGGTTTGCAAACAAGTATGGCCACAGGCACCAGCAACATGTTTGCCAATAATAATAATAACAACAACAACAGCTTTATGAGCATGGGAATGAACAATCAACAGCAACAGACGCTCAACCCTTTTGGCACTCTCAGCAGTCAACCTACAGGTCTATCTGGACTCAGCAGTGGTGGTGGTAGCGCAATAGGATCACCCATGACTCCATTCACTAGCTTATCATCTGCTGGGAACACGAACCCTCTTTTGACTGGGACTGGTCAGATGGGCAACATGGGGATGAATAATATGAGCAGCATGGGCAACATGGGCATGAATAACATGAATAACATGAACAATATGAACAACATGAACAACAACAACGGCAACTTTAACTCTGCATTTGGGATGAATCAGAGTAACCAGAATAACCAGAACAACCAAAATAACAGCTTCAACTCTTTTAATAATAACAATAGCAATAACAACCTCTGGGGAAATAGCAATACTAATTTATTCTAAAGGAAAATGAATAAAAAAATAAATAAATAAATAAATTATGTTATAAAAATAAGAAGCGAATAAAAACAATACGATTTCTTTTTCTTTTATTTCTTTCTTTTTTTATTCCAAAATTGCTGTGCAGAGAATAGAATGGAAACAGTTGTGTTGTATTGTGTTGTGTTGTGTTGTTGTGCTGGACTGTATCATTCATGGTCATGGAATCACGGAAAGATATCGTATCGTCTATGGTTCATGACTGGCATCTCGGAGCGGATTCGTTCCAAGACTGAAAGGTCTACGGGCGCAACAGCAATGCCTTCCTCCTGTCCATCGCACTCTGCAATCACTTTACCCCATGGATCTACAATCTAGCAATAAAATAAAATATGAAAAGAATTACTCACTGAGGATTTGCAATAATAACAAAAGAAAGAAGAAAACAAAAATAAAAATAAAAATAAAACCAAGTGCATATCTTACCATAGAGTGACCATAACTGGAGCGCTTCTCATTATGTTTTCCTACTTGTGCAGCAGCAACAACAAACGATTGTGTCTCAATGGCTCTGCTTCGCAAAAGGACCTCTAAGCGAAGAAGAAGAAGAAAAAGAAAAAGAAAAAAGAAGAGAAGAGGAGAAAAGAGAGAAGGAGGCATTATGTCAACATGAAGATCAGCTTTTTTTTTTTTTTTTTTTTTTTTGGTCCACGTTATCATTTTTCAAAAAAGACAAATATACAAATATATTACCCCAATGGGCTTCACCGGTCTCGGTAGTGAATGCAGATGGGTAGGTCAAGATCTCAGCACCCTGTTTCCTCAGCTGTAAAGCCAGTTCTGCAAACCTGAGATCATAACAGATCCCCAACCCGACTTTGCCAGCAGGTGTTTGGACCGGTGGGATCAATCGATCGCCCGCCACCGTGCTTTTACTTTCAAGTAATTGTGGTCCATTCTGAATATCCACATCAAACAGATGAAGCTTTCTGTACGAACTCACGATCGATCCTTGATCGTTGATCAAAACATGTGTGTTGTACAACCGATCTGGAAACGGACTCTACTTTAGGAGGGGGAAGAATTTTTTTTTTTTTTTTTTTTTTTAGTTAATTGTTGCAGATTGATATTAATTTTCCACATTCAGGAATAATTTTTTGTTTCCGCAGATAAAATTTAAAGATTAAAAATCATAAAAATTAAAATTAAAACTAAAACGAACCTGTTCATGAATTCCAATTGAACACCACATGCCAAGCTGTTTAGCCTCTGCGCACACACCCTCCAGGAATGGTCCCGGGTCCGTCAATGGATGAGACAGCTTAATGGCCTCTTCGCCTGCATTACCGAGAAAGTCGGATGCCTCTGGGAAGAATATCATCTATTTGGCAGGCAGCATACCATTTATATTTACATTTACATTTACATTTACATTTAGATTGACATTTTACATTTGCAACATATTTAACATACCCACACATGTATATATAATATATGAATTCCAATGGGTGTCTCAATATGCCGTGCTTCTTTTTTCTCCAATATCCCCTTCAACTGTTTACCTTTGCAGCTTGCTCGGATGCTTGGCTCATCAAACGGAGACAAGTATTCAAGTTTGTAGAGACAGACTGTCCTCCACAGAACTGCGCTACTGCAATCTTGACTATTTGCATGGTTCGAAATGTAAAGGAATGTGAAAAAGGAAAAAGGAAAAATAAAAAATGAGAATGAATTGAATTGAATTGAATTGAATTGAGAAAAAAAAAAAAAAACGATCAAGTGAGCAAAATACAAGGCTCAGATAAAAGTGTGTGCATGTATGCCATGATGTTGTTCCTGAACGTCATTTTTTTTTTTTTTTTTTTTTTCTCAAATGATGTATTGTATTTTTTGTTAACAACTTATTCTCTTTTATTGTTGCATTAATAATGCTCATGTTCCCTTTCGACGCTTCGATTTGCGAAGACCATTCGTCTCTGTTGTTGTTTCTGTTGCTGTTTCTAACACGGATGAGAATGATAATGATGATGATGGTGATGATGACATGTCCAATATGGAATCTGATACATCTTCTAGCTTGACCTTCTCCATACTTTCACTCACTGCATTAGAAGATTCTTCTTCTTCTCCTTCTCCTTCTTCTTTTTCTTCTTCTTCATTCTTGATTTTTGCCAACAATAATGCCTTTTCCTCCCCTTCTCCTTCTCCTTCTCCTCCTTCTTTCTTGACTTTGATCAATAGATCTGTAACCCCTTCCTCCTGCTTGACCCTCCCTTCGATCGTCCTGAGATCAGCTGCAAACAAAACCGAGTGTGCCCATCCAGAGTACTTCCCAAAGAGATCCACAAAATGTTTACCCACAGCTTTATAGATCGCAGGCGAGATCGTCTTGGGGACCTTGCCCTCAAATCGGAACTGATAATCACGTACTGCTATCTGCCAGACGTGCGTGTCCACCGGTATACTCTCATGTTTGTCAAGCGACATTAAACACTATTTGTGTATGGATCGGGAGGATCGGAACGATCGAGGGTTTAAAGGATCAAGAGATTGGTTTTTTTTTTTTTTTTTTTTTTTTTTGATAATTAATTCGTTAGTTCTATACGAACTTGGAGTTGTATGTAAATGAGATAAGAAAAAAAAAAAGGAACGAATCAACTTACAACACAATCAGCAACTTTTGGACCAACACCCTGCAACGCCAATAACGCAGCATGGGCTTCCTCATACGGCACTTTTCTTAATCCTCGAAGCCATGCTTCACCATCCTCCATTGCATGGATCATCTTTGCTGAACTGGCGATATATTTTGCTCTGTATCCAAACCCTGCCTTCCGTAACGTGTCCTCCACACCCTCCTGTGCTAATGCATCGATCGTAGGAAAACCATAGTATGTCTTGGAAGTTGATTCGCCCGATACTTGAGGTGGTATTGTGATTGGTGCTCCGTACTCTTGGCATAATTTCGTAGCCTATTGTGGCGTTAAAATATAAAATTAAACATTAAAAAAAAAAAGAGAATAAAAATGCATGCATTGAGATTCCCCACGCACAAAGAACCTTTCAAATGGCTTTTTTCTTTTTCTTTTTTTACCATCTGGCTAATCCTGCCAATGTTGTTGTTAGAGCTGCAGATAAAGCACATCAAGTTCTCTACAGGATCCTGACGCAATATCCGCACACCTGGGAAAAGAGGTGCTTTGGCCTTAAAGTTGGCATCGGTTTCCGACCATTTCGCATAGAGTTCTGTCAATGGTACATCCAATTGAAAATAATCTCTCAAAAACGCCGTATCTTGATCCTTCTCCCTCGCTTCTTCTTCTTCTTTTGATGTTTTTGACTCTGTTTCTTGATCTGATGATAGCAAAGGATCCGGTGTTGTCGAGCCTTTAAAGGTCCTGTATCGAAATCCATCCTCGGTCTCCTGGAGGCACCATACCCGATGGTCTAGGACACATGAATAAATAGGAAGGGATATCTCTCCCGATTCCAGTTCCTGATGCTCTCGTTGCCATCGAAAGGACTGTCCACATTTCAATGTTGTCGAAAGATCCAATTCAGACCGGGGCAACTTGACAGAGACCCAAGGAGTGGCTCTAACATGTTTTGGTGCAGCTAGTTTGTTTTTCTGCTTTGCAGTCTTGACTGCCGGTGTTGGATTCGCTTCATCTTTTGTGACAGCACTGGGACTTTTAGCCCTTCTTGATGATGACGGTGGTGATGGGGATGTTGTTGCTGTTGCTGTTGCTGTTGCTGTTGCTCTTGTGGCTCTTGTGGCTCTTGTGGCTCTTGAAGTAACAGTGGTGGTAGTGGTTGTTGAAGAAGAAGAAGAAGAAGAAGAAGAAGAAGAAGAAGAAGACTTTGACCTTCTTGCGACAGTTGCAACCGTTGCTGTTGGAGCACTACCTTGCGCCGTTAATACGGATCCCTTTACCAACGACAGTGCCCTTTTCCGAGTACTCCTGGTCAGACTGGTCATCATATGTTTTTCTTTTTCTTTTTTTTGTTGTTGTTGTTGTTGTTGTTGTTGTTGTTGTTGTTATGTTGCAGAAAAATAAACAATAGAAGAGAAAAGGTAGGCTCGTCACCAGCCTGAAGACGAAGTTCATGTGCACATGCACGTGCTGAAAGGCAAATGTGGCTTGCTCTTGCAGACACCACACTTGACATTTTGGCTGGAGGTCTCTTTTTTTTTTAAATTTGAAAAAATTTCAAAGTCAAACACACCGCTAGGAAAGGCTCTTTTTTTTCTGCCATTCTCGCCGCAGAAAATGGCTTTTTTTTTTTTTTTTTTTCAAAGTCCAGACTAGGATATTGATTTGATTGAGAACGAACGAGGAATGAGAAAAAAGGATGGTATATTTTGCGTAAAAAGAGTCATCATGCTCTAATTAATCAATTAATTACCTTTAATTAAGATAGTGTGCTTAAATAAGGTCAGAGAGATGGAAACGAGAATTGTTGAGTAGATTCAAATGCTAGAATAATAAAATGTTCGAATAATAGATGGCAATGCAGATGATGGAAACAAGAGATGATTGGTAAAAATGAGGCTAGTGATTTGGATGTGTGTGTAGGACCGATTAAAAAGCACCATCCCGTTTGTCTAAAGGGTAAGTGGATAGTGATGGCTTCGTTCATAAAGGATGAACGATTGTAAAGAATACTCAATAGATATGGTATTTTCATTAAAAGACAAAATTCCTTTCACTTGATTGACATTCGACTCTTTTCTTCATGCTTGAACCTCGGCGATCCTCCTGCATATGCGGTATTGATGCGAGTTTTTATGACATGCTGTCCCGCGTGTTTTAAATATCTAGGTGTTGCCTTAACATTCTGATCGTTGTTGATAACGAGCTTCTAAAGCTTAAGCTTGACGTGTATGTCGCCTGGGACCATGGAACGGAGGAATATGATATTGTCACTTTTCTCCGAGGTTTGATCGGTTTCTCTTCAAGCAGGATCCATGCAAAAGTCAAGGTAGTGTTCTAGGGGGATCTAAGGGTGCAATAAAGGTATCTTTATTCAGGGGGAACTATGCTACAGGACTAGATAGAAAAGTAGACCTATTTATACTAGTTAATGTCCTGTTGCAAGGAATGCTCTAGAAATATGGGCGAAATACTATGTTGCACAAAATTATTATAGTGATTTCGCTTGCAGTGGTGGTGAGCGGTCGCCGAATTCACGAGGTGACTCAATATAGGGGCGAAGCAGATCAGCATTAAAGACTGGATGCTGATGCATGTCAGGCGGTAGTTCCAGCTTGTAGGCATTTTTATTGACCTTCGAAATGATCTTGTAAGGGCCTATGTACTCAGGTTCCAGTTTCTGCGACGGCCTATTTTTATGTCCCGCGACAGAGATGTTTTCCGAGCTTAAGAGCACCATGTCACCCACAGCAAACGTAGCAGGCCTGCGAGTTTTGTCCGCTTGGGCCTTTTGCCTATTCTGCGCTTCGATGATGGCATCCTGAGCTAGCGCCAAATTCATCGACTGGGTTCGAACAAAATCACTGACAGCCGGAACATTGGTATCAGGTGGCTTTAAAAGAGATCCAGGGACTAGTGGATGGTGACCATAGTTCAGAAAGAATGGGGAGAAGCCTGTCGTAGGATTGACAGAGTTGTTGTATGCGAACTCCATCATAGGCAGTAAAAGATCCCAGTCGTTTTGCTTGTACGATATGTAAGAGCGGAGCATTTCTTCTAATGTTCTGTTGGCGCGCTCTGTTTGTCCGTCTGATTGTGGATGGAAGGCAGTAGACATGTTAAGTTTGGTGCCCATGAGCTTCATCAACGTTGTCCAGAACTTGCCGGTGAATCGTGAATCTCTGTCTGACACAATTGTCCGAGGCATGCCGTGCAGTCTAAAAACATTGTCGAAAAAGAGTCGTGCAACATCAGAGGCAGTGTCGGTAGTTCGGCTAGCGCAGAAATGAACTTGCTTGGACAGTTTGTCCACAAAGACCGTGATCGCGTCAAAACCTCTGGCTGTCTTCGGAAGCTTGACAATGAAGTCCATTGTTACAGTATCCCATCGTTGGCTTGGAATTGCCAAAGGTTGGAAAAGCCCTGCAGGAGGCTTTAGTGAAGGCTTGTTACGCTGGCATTGCTCACAGGAAGTAATGTATTTTTTTATATCCCTCGCCATGCGTGGCCAAAAATATGTTCGTCGCATGCTACTGTACGTTTTATCGAATCCCAAGTGGCCTGATATAGGAGCGTCGTGAGCGTCATGCAAGAGTTGTGAACGGAGTCCGTCGTCCTTGGGTATGCAGAGGCGAGGGCCTTGTCCAGCGTTGATCCAGAGTAGACCATCCACCACGAAGTAACGATCCGAGGTGGAGGCATCCTTATACTGATGCACGAGGGGACCTAGAATTGGATCGTGTAGGTAGCAACTGGCTAGTTGTTTTCGAATACCAGGGTCTAGATTGATATCCAAGGAGTTCAAAGTAGTAGGTGTAGCCTCCAAGTCCTTGAGGTCCGGTCTTCGTGAAAGAGCATCAGGGACGACGTTATCTTTACCAGGTTTATACTTGAATACGAAATCATACTCTTGAAGCAACTCCATCCATCTTGCTTGTCTGCGAGTCAAGTTCGGCTGGCTAGGAAAATGTTGTAGAGTGGCATGGTCGGTATAAACGACAAAGTGAGAACCATCAAGGTAGTATCGCCATGTCTTCAGAGCATGCACCACAGCCAGCAGTTCTTGTTCGTGTGTAGGATAGTTGCGTTCCGCTGGGTTGAGCTTGCGTGAAGTAAAAGCTACTGGTCGTGATTCACCATTTTGGTCCGTCTGGAACAGGACAGCACCAATTGCAAAACCTGAAGCGTCTGTTTCGACTGCTGTAGAGAGGGCAGGATCGAATATCCTAAGAACTGGTGCTGAGCTCACTGCTCTTTTCAAAGTCTCAAAGGCGTCTTGTTGAGATTTTCCCCAGTGGAATTCCTTATTGGAGCCTAACAATTGTGTGAGGGGAAGAGCAATATCAGCGTAATGAGAAATGTACTGATGGTAAAAATTAGTCAAACCAAGGAATTGCATCACATGTCGTTGGGTTGTTGGTACTGGCCATTCCCTTATTGCCTTGACAAGTCCGCCATTCGTCTTGAGTCCATCCTTGGAGATGACATGGCCTAGGAACTCAGTCTCTTCCTGCATGAAGGAACACTTGGATAATTTACAATAAAGCCCAGCTTGACGCAAGAGGGAGAGTACTTGTCGGATGTGCTCTAAGTGATCTTTCTCGTTATCGGAGTAAATTAAAATATCATCGAGATACACAACAACACATTTATCAAGAAGTGGATCAAGTACGTTACGCATCATAGTCGAGAACGCTGCAGGTGCATTTGTAAGACCGAAAGGTACGACGTTAAACTCGTAGTGGCCATAGCGAGTTCGGAACGCGGTCTTGTGTTTATCATCAGGATGGACACGCATTTGATGATAGCCCGAGAGTAGATCCAGCTTGGTAAAACATTTAGCTGTTCTGAATCTGTCGATCAATTCATCGATCCGTGGTAAGGGGTACCTGTTTTTCTTTGTGATCTTGTTCAGGCCCCGATAATCAACACACATTCGAAGCGAGCCATCCTTTTTCTTCACAAAGAGGACTGGAGCACCGTATGGTGAGGTGCTCGGTGAGATTAATCCTTTTTGTAAAAGATCAGTTAGCTGCTTCTTCAGTTCATCAAGCTCAGCGATCGACAATCTGATGACAGGTCGGACAGGTGGGTCAGCATAAGGGTCAGTCTCTATACGCATGCTATCACCTCTGTCAGGGGGAAGGCCATCGGGAAGCGTTGTAGGAAAGACATCAGGGAATTCGACTTGAACGATTTGCTTGATAGAGTCCGGTAGTTCAGAACTACTGCTAGAGACAGGTACTGGAACTCGAACTTGGGCGAGGAATACAGAGGCATCAGGTTCCGAGGCAACGGTAAGGAAGTTAAGAGCAGATATGACGGAAGATCGCTGTCTAGGCTTCCTGTCGATGCCAGTGCAAGGCCACAAGACCGGGGTACCTTGGTATTCAAAATGCAGATCATTTGTTCGCCAATTGATGCGAGGGTTGATATCCGTCAGCCATGGTTTACCCAAAATTAGGTCGTATTTGGATAGAGGATAAACAATGGCGTTGATTTTATCCTGATACGCGTTGCGGGCGAGGGTGAACGTGGCTGTGTGCTGAGCAATTGTCTCGGTACCGTTGGGAAGAATGACAGGAATGGGTCTACCCTCAATTAGCGGAACATGTGTGTTCTCGCAGAAAGAGGAACTTATGACATTGCCTTCGGCCCCTCCATCTACAAGAATGCGCGCAGGTCGACCATTCACTGCTCCAATGAAAGTAAGGAGTCGGCGAGAGTTTTTATGTTTGTCATAGGTAAGGCTGAAGGATTGAAGGCGAATTTCGTTACGACAATGGGAGTGGCGATTGGATGAACTAGGGGTAGATGAATGAGTGGAAGTGAGTGAAGTGGAAACAGTGAAAGGATCAGTGGAGGGGAAAATAGGGTCGGAGAGGGGATTGTTTTTTAGCAATGAGGAATGAGTAGGGGAATGGGGATCAGGATGAGGTGAATACTTAGAGAGTAGATGTAAGGAAGTAGATGCAGTGGGAGCAATAGAGTGATCAGAAAGGGGCATGGATGTTATATTTGTGCACAAAGGATTTTTATTTGTAGTCATCAACTGTAACTGACCATGCCCTCTATTATCCAGGGCTTGAAGGCTGGGGCTAGAGGGGGCGAGGCAGGCCTGGTTTACTGCTCGCCCTCCTCTTTTCCCGACTCAGAAAGCGTATGGTCATTGTTTTCTATATTAAAGACAGAGGTGCGTTGGCATTGTTCGGCTCTATGACCTCGGTTCCGGCATCTGAAACAACGCCCCTCACGAACGCAACGTTCTCGTTCAGCTGCTGTGAGCTTGGGTAGCGAGCTTGGCTTGGAGTGGTTTCTGTTTGGTCGTTGCTGATGGAGAGAGGTGTACAGGTTGGCAACCAACATTCTCATGCTATCGAGATCCATTGGTGTAGGGCCAGAATTATTCTCATGATGGGGTGATAAGGCGTTCGGGGTAGCGGATACAGGGGTGGCATCGATGGGATGTAGAATACTGTGGACAATGGTCGCCTGCTCAATGGCATCGTCCAACGTCTCTGGCTGTCTAAGTCTTACCTGCTTGCTTGTTTCGGGCTCAAGGCCTAGCATGTATTTTTGCAAAGCAGAGTCTTTGTCGAGATTTGTAGCCAGACGTAGGTGGCTTCTAAACTTGCTCGTATATTCTGCCACACTCATCCTTCCCTGACGAAGTTTATCCAACGCTCGGCGAGCTGCATTCGCAGAATCTGGAGGGGTGAACTGACGGAGGAATGCTTTACGGAAGTCAGCCCAAGGTGTATCGAGATTCAACCCGGAATCTCTCCACCATGCCTTGGCTTCGCCATTGAGACTGAGGACAGCGTATCGAACCCATTTGGATGGCGTGAGTGTGACAATAGTGTAATACTCCTCCAGGCTGTCGACAAAGTTTAAGGCTGCAACAGCGTTAATAGCTCCTTCGTAAGGCGTAGGCTTCTGTGGCTTTAGGACCGTGGCGAGGGTTCTGGCTAGGTCATTCTCAGCGGCTTCGTTGGCTTTAGCAGTAGAGAGGGCCTGATTAAAAGCAGTAGCTATGGCTTCGCGAATGTTCAGAGGAAGATCGATGGACGAAAGGGCGTTATTCAAGTGTTCCATGGCGAGGGGTGAAATTCAATGGTAATTGTAGTTCTCTGGGTGTGGTCGTGGTTTCCTTTGCTACCAATGCAAAAGTCAAGGTAGTGTTCTAGGGGGATCTAAGGGTGCAATAAAGGTATCTTTATTCAGGGGGAACTATGCTACAGAACTAGATAGAAAAGTAGACCTATTTATACTAGTTAATATCCTGTTGCAAGGAATGCTCTAGAAATATGGGCGAAATACTATGTTGCACAAAATTATTATAGTGATTTCGCTTGCAACTGAGGTGACCTTGAAAGGAAACTGACATGTTTCCAGGTCACACTTCAAGATAGAGAGGGCTGGGTCGAGCCTAGGATACACTGAGTCTGATCGCGAACTCCAAAAAGAATACTTGCGAGAAAATTTTGAAAAAAGAGAGCGTTTGAGAGAAAAAGAGCGCGAAGCTAACGAGAGGCATAGGCTGTGGAAAGATCCTCAAGGAAGGAAAATGTTACAATTTCGCGACCGTTTGGAAAGAGGGAAGAGGGAGCAATGGTTGCTAAGAAAAATAGAGCAAGAGAGGAAAAAAGAAGAGGCGGAGAGAAGGAGAGTGTGGCGACGTGAACAGTGGGTGCAAGCCAAGCAAGAAGCCGCACACTCGAAGGCTATCGAAAGAGCTCGCCGTCAAGAACGCCTACGGTTACAGGCTAGGTTTCAAAGGCTCGATGAACAAGGAAGAAGAGAACAGCGACGACGAGCGGCTTTCAACCGAGCAAGATGTAGAGCACAAGAGCGAAACAAGATACGTGGACGCCATGAACTCGATGAACAAGCTCTCGATAGGAGGCTCAGGACGAAAGCGCAAGAAGAGATGGACTCCTCAAGAACAAGGAATAATAAAATCCCTGAGGGTCATCATCGGTGGTTTGGCTCCTCTGAGTGCCTAGGTGTAGAGATCCCACAGGTTGACATGGACAATATACTGCGTCAAAGAGAGAAACTATCAACGATGAGTCAGCTAACACTTTACTCCGATGGGTCCCTTGAAGAGGCAGGAAGAAGGGCGGCGCGGATGGCTTTCGGAGTGGTGGCTCAGATAGGCCCAGAAAGGTTCTCAAATGTAGTTTCAGGTAGAGTCGATGGGTATGCTTCATCCACCAAGCCAGAGCTAGTAGGACTGTACGTAGCCATCCTAGTCAGTCCCCGTAACGTTCCAACGACTGTCTACATAGACAACATGGCGGTAGTGGTTCAGTTCAAGGACCTTGCTCAAAAGCGAGAAGCAAGCACTGAACGGCAGCGATTGCGATCCAAGTACGCAGTGTGGTGGGCAGCCATTTCGAGAGCGCTCTTTAAGCAGGGCGGGAAGGTAACTGTGAAATGGATCAAGAGCCATGCTGGGAATAGAGGCAATATAAGGGCAGACCAAGCCGCCAAAGATGCTCATTTTAGCGAAATGTGGACAATCAAAGGACTGGAACACAACGATCTGCGCTGTCACGCTATTTTCGAGAACGAGGTGGTGGAGGATGATCTTAGACACTTGCTAAAGCTCCAATCAGCAGTGAGAACACATTACTTGTGGGCGTCTCAGAACAGAGTCAGGAATTATATTGCAGACTGGCGAGAAGTAGAATGGAAAGCAAGCCTGCATATTCTTCACGATGGCAACACGCCTAGAGGCCTCTTCACCAGCCCAGCAGATTGTCACAAGAGAGCGCACAGAATAAAAAAGGTCCATGGTATGCTTCCTACACTCATATGAGGCAGTGGCGACCGGACCTGTATGAGACTGACATCTGCAGGATGTGTGAACAGGAGCAGGAGGACATAGAACACCTCTGGCGATGTCCCATGACACTGGACGAGCAATTGAAAGGTTGGAAGCAGGCCATAGAACTCATCACGAAGGATGGCAAAAGAGCATTAGTGAAGGAGAAGAAGCTCTGGGAAGACAAACAAGGGAAAACACAGGAGCCAAACCTGAATAAAGGAGGTCCCTCGTTTACACCTGTAGCCGACAACGTGATTTGGGGCTCTTTGGAAGCGATGTTCAAGGGCGTCAGAGAGATTCGACATGCAAGCACTCTGTTTGGTGAGGAAGATGTGGATATGGGACGGAGGAACGAGGGTGAGGATGCCCACTGGACTGTCCAAGACTTGTACCACGGTTTGGTGCCGAAGGAACTGATACAAAAATGGAAGACGATCTTCAGAACCACAGCATCGATCTCAAGGTACATTGTTTGCCGCTTTGTCAAGTCAATCGAGGAACTCGGCAGGACTGAAATCTGGAACAGACGCTGCAAAGTCACCGTCAACTGGGAAAGAGACAATGGTATCACCTCTGTGAGCAAACGCGCCAGGGGACGCAACTGTGTTGGGAGGCACAGACGTAGCAGAGGTGAATTCTTTGGCTCTCGCCAGGGACAACGACGAACAGTAGATGTGAAGGCGATCAGGACTGAGGCAGACCGGCGAGTGGCGGCAAGCTACCGGCAGCAGGTGGAATTGGCGATTATGGAGCGCCTGGAAAGCTGTAAATTTTTGATGATTGAGGACAGCGGCTAAAGGATGACCTTCGCGCACAACAGGCCAAGTAGGGAGTAGAGCCGTGCCACAGGTCCTCTGGGACCAAGGAAGTCTACTCAATGCTGACGTGGTTTATGAACAGGATGTAGTACTATGGCAGTATGACGATGCGGCTTCGGTCGATTATTGGATACCGCTTTATTTGCGACCCCAGTAATGAGGCAACCCATTTATAGAGCTAACATCTAAATAAATCCTACATGACCTCGTGGGTACTTGTTATCAAAAAAAAAAAAAAAAAAAAAAAAAAAAATTGAGAGTTTCGCTTGTTTCATAGTTGAGGGCGATATCATTACTTTAGAGCGAGATTATGAAATAAAATTCCTCACCTCTGTGGGTTCTTGTTAACAGGAAAAAAAAAAGAAAAAAAAAAAAAAAAGGAAAAAAAAAATTGTTAACACGAAAAAAAAAAAAAAAAAAAAAAAAAGATCCTAAATAATACCTTCCCATGACCCTGAGGATCCTTCGTGATGGAGCGGCTAGGTGGAATGAAGTTTTTGATGACTATGGATAGCGGATAATTTGTCGTGTTGCGCAACAGGCCACGTCGGAAAGGTGGACTTTGAGTACCAACCACGGCGGTCAGGGTTTATGAAATCATGGATACAGCGGTTCTTGTCGTTTGCGCAGTAATAGCTGTTTATTGACTATAGTTTCTGGAGCATTTTGTTCATAGAGTGTAGAAAATAAATCCCATCACCCTGAGGGCCCTTGTTGTCAAAAAAAGGTAACCTTTGAATTGCTTGATTCTACACTTGGCATAAAAAAATTCAGAGAGGCATAGTGTTCACTTCAGAAAAAATCGTTATCTTGTTTTGTTGACTGATTTTTATGGTTGTATGACTAGCTACTCTTTACAACCGCAGTCGCTCTTCCACTGTGCATACTTGCATATAGCTTTTTCACAAGAAGGACAGAGAAAGGCCGAAAATTGTGTAAGAGTGGGGATTGTATTGATCTGAGGTAGCATACCGCTGCAACATCGTGTATTAAATTTTTCATGGCCCAGAATAAAGTTTGAGTTAGAGGACAAATCTGCACTTTAAATCTGACAGTTGAGTAAAAATCTTTTTGTACTGCTCACTTTCTTCCCCTTTTTCTAATGTCCTCCATTCGTCAACGAACTGCATTTCGTCCCTGCATTGACTTACATTCAGGTCAGGTTAAGCAGATCGTCGGTGGCTCACTGAACGACAAGGACGAATCACTGCTTAAAACTAACTTTGTCTCAAGGTACAATATCCATTGTCAACCATCAAAAAATTGTATCAATACTCCATTTTCTTGATTTACCTTATCTCATTTCTCGTTACATTCTCATTCTGGGACAATGAATTAGCAAACCGCCAAGCTACTATGCCAAACTTTACAGAGACAACTGTTTGGCTGGAGCTCATGTTATCAAGCTAGGTCCAGGCAACGATGAGGCAGCGAAGGAATGCCTTCGTACATGGCCTGGTACGTCGTTATGGATCATTCATCTGGAATAAGTGGACAGTACATTTCATTTTTAAGCAAATTTTCAGTTTGGTCTGTAAGCATTGATTCAGTCCTTCTTGGTTCTGATTATCAAAAAAGATGGCCTTCAAATTGGTGGCGGCATCACCTTAGAAAATGCTCAAACATGGATTGATGCTGGGGCGGCAAAGGTAAAAATCTTTATCCAAAATTCAATAAATACAAATCATAGTCAGGGCTTCAACACTAACATAACTTGCGCTTTTTGTAATTTCTTGGTTGGCGGATCAGGTTATTGTTACATCCTATCTCTTTCCTGATGCCAAATTTTCTTTAGAGAGACTGAAAGCATTGTCCAATGCTATTGGCGTAAAAAGACTCGTAGTTGACGTGAGTTGTCGGAAACGCGGCTCTGAGTGGGTTGTGGCCATGGACAAATGGCAAACTATGACTGATATGAAGGTCAGCAAGGAGTTTTTAGATATTCTTGCAGATTATTGTTCCGAATTTCTGGTCCATGCAGCCGATGTTGAAGGTCTTTGCAAAGGGATCGATGAGGAACTAGTCAGAGGTGAGATATCTCAGCCCACTACCAATCTTTCTTTGTTTCTTTCTTCTTTTTCTAAGCGAATAACCTGTGAGCAATATATGGATCATAACTTATATGCGGCTTACTTTAACGACTCTGATAATAGTTCTTGGTGAATGGACAAGGATCCCGACGACATATGCAGGCGGTGGAAATTCGCTCAGTGACCTTGAACTTGTTAATCAACTCTCGCATGGAAAGGTTGATCTTACATTCGGTAGCGCTCTGGATATATTTGGCGGTAAAACTGTCAAATTTGAAGAATGTGTGGCATGGAACAACCAGAATGCGAATATCTTGTAGAATGTGTCATAAATTAATTTGATCCCTCAGGATCTTGTGGCTTGTTAATAAAGATAAATGGTAGCATCCATCATCTCTACCTTCATTCTCTCTCATTCACACATCCTTCCCACTTTCTGCATACGTATTGAGCTTGCGATAGAATAAGACGCACCATGTCTCAACCAGAACGTCGTCGTCCGGCTGATACTGCAGATGAGACTGCAGCTCATACCAGCAGTCAGCCTGTAAATAGAACAGTACCTGCCCCTCGTAATGACCAGGATTCCTCAGGACAACAGCAGCAACAAACTCTCTCGCAGACCCTCATGCAGATGCTTAGTCGTGCTATGATAGCCTATCTCGTCTTGAGTTTCTTTAATGGTGTGTTTCAGTGTATATATATTTCTCTTTGATTCTGTGCATTGCTTACTGTCAGGGCTCGCATATTAAACTATTCTCATTTTTTTCTCTTATGTTGTAGGATTTGGAGGAAAGAATCGGGCGCCCTCCACACAGCCCTCACCTGACTCGATTATGAACGGCCCTGACGGTGTTCAACAGATCAAATTTAACGCCGCAAGTGGGCCATTCCCAGATAAACTTTATCCCCTTTGGACACCTGGCATTAAGGCTGTGCGTTTATTTTACATTCATATATCCTTTCGTTGATGAAGTTAATACGGCTGTTTACGCTAAATTATGCTATTCCACTTTATTATATCATCTATAGGATATGTTTGTTTACCTCTCAGAAGAACCCAATTTTTCAGACTTCAACAACAAGGATAGCCTTGTCTGGCGATCGAATGATATTGAGCTTGGTGATTGGAGCGAAGACCGTGTTGTGGACCTTTCGATCATTCCATCCAAGGTATTACAAAATTTATTTTAAGTTTTACGTGTGCACACAATTATTACAAACACACTGATTGATCTTCGGTTTATCAACAGCATGTTCAAAACAATGGGACATTGTTCGCACACATTTACTTCGCAAAGCAACCTGCTATTTTGGATCCTACTGCTCCTGGTTTTAGTGTTGACAACCGTGTATATACTCGTAAAAGTAAGAGACTACAGCACACCAAAAAAAAAAAAAAAAAAAAGTCAGCCTGTTTGCTGTAGAACAGTTAAACTTATTGGTTCCCCATACCTAATGCTAAAAATTAGTGTTGACTCGATATTTCACCAAGAAAAAGGAGCTTAAGGTCAAGAAATTAATTGGTGGCAATAACCAAGAGACTGAGCCTGAGAAATCTGCAGTTGAGGAAGAGGTATGAGAATTTATGGATGACATTTTGTTCAAACATTGTTTTTCTATTTCTTAATACCTTAAATATATGTTGTTATCGGCTACAGACACCTGCTTCTGGTACAGCGATTGTATCGTACTGGCATCAGAACCTCACTCTCACTGTCCTATCGGATCGCTCCGTAATTCCTTACTCGGCTGTCCCACCAGAGCTGAGAGATATATACCAGTTGGAAAGCACAGGATTGCGCGATCAACATGGAAATGGCTTTGTTCTTCCTGCTCTCTGGGTTAATGACTTTTGGCTTTTGAAAGAACAAATGTTTCCCATCAACGAGACCGTCAAGTAAGAGCCCTCTCATTCATGGCTACCCAGCTCATTTCTATCAATGAATCCAATAGATTTAAGGCAGTACCAGGCTCATGGAAGTTTTTTTTTTCTTTCTTTTTTTTCTTTTTATGGTATAGGGAGTTGCCTCTTAGAATCAACTTTTATCCTATTAGCTACATGAAACTTCAGATGTATGCTTCCATGGATGTCGGCATGAAGAGGCAGTCAGGAATGATGGGCAGTACTGGTTCAGAGTTGGATGAATTTAAGCGCATGTTGATCGAGACCAACCCATGGTTGCTGCTCTTGACTGTTGTCGTTAGTGTTCTTCACAGTGCTTTCGAGATGCTCGCTTTCAAGAATGGTAGAGAACAACTGTTATATTTTTATGATATAGAGATTATGAGATCATCATCACAGACTAACACTGAATGATTTTGGTGATCTAGATATTGCATTCTGGAAAGACAAGAAGGGCACAGCTGGTCTGTCTGTTCGCGCCATTTTCTTGGATATTGCTCAGCAGATTATTGTCTTTGCATACCTCATGGATAATAATCAGGACACTAGCTACATGATCTTAATCGGACAGGGTGTTGGATTGGCGATTGAGCTTTGGAAGGTCAAAAAAGCACTCAAAGTCGACATCGTGCCTGCCACTACTGGTATCCTTCCGTATCGTCTTCATTTCAACACTTCGGAGCCTCTTACAGATCTGGAGTCGAAGACCAAAGAGTATGATCAAGAAGCCTTCAAATATTTGTCCTGGGCTGCCTTCCCATTGTTAGCTTGCTATGCAATCTATTCACTGTTGTATCAGGAGCACAAATCATGGTACTCGTTTGTCGTCTCGACACTTGTTGGTTTTGTGTATACGTTTGGATTTATTAAGATGACACCCCAGTTGTTCATCAACTACAAACTCAAGAGTGTGGCCCACATGCCTTTCAGAACCATGATGTATAAATCGCTAAACACCTTTATTGATGATTTATTTTCATTTATCATCAAGATGCCAATGATGCATCGATTGGCATGTCTGAGAGATGATGTGGTATTCTTTGTGTACCTGTATCAGAGATGGATTTACAGAACAGACCACAGTCGTGCCAATGAGTTTGGTCAAGTGGGAGAGGAGGAGACTCCGAAGGAAGCAACAGAAATCGAAGCGAAAGAGGAATCCAAGAAAGACAAGTAGTTTATTACTCAGGCGACTGATAATCACTAAATAAAAATATAAACAAATGCTAATAAGCACGATCTTTGCGATAGACTTGAGTCCACTTGCTGACAATGTAGTCTCCAAAGTTAATATCACCATTCAATAGTTTGGTTGCGACAGACTTTGCGTCCTGTCTCTCAGCCCCCATTACAGAAGTCCTTGATGAGTCTTCGCCCTCCTCTGCACGTTGATCTCGGAGTAGACTATAATTTCCTGACACAGCTTGACCTTTAACTTCTTGATCCTGAACCAGAAGTGGGATCTTAGCATCGTAGTCTGGGTAGTAGAAGCAACACATGGAGTATCTCTCCTCTTGCCCATTACTGACTACGCGATGTAAGGGGCTGATCAATTTTCCACCAGTTAAAAGAGAGAGATAATCGCCCCCATTGACGACAAGTGTGTTCTCAAGAGAAGGGACATCGTGCCACTCGTTTCCGTAGAAGAGCTGAAGACCTACAGTCTTGCATGGAGAAAGGATCAATGTGAGGAAACCCCAGTCGGTGTGAGCGCTTTTTTTTTTTTTTTTTTTTTGAGAAGAGAAATATGCATAGCACTTAGAAATGCATAAAAAGGTTGTAAAAGATAACAGCCAATCTTGGTAGCCATATATATATATATTTTTCTTTTTCCTCACCTAGATCCAATCTGCGAAGTATGTTGATGGTCAGCATAGGGTAGATAATGGAATAGCCGCATGAAAGAGATCGTCTCGCTCGTTGTACAATGTTTGGCGAGCTCGTCCTCAGGCAATCCAAGTGCCAAGGATATACCCTTTAATAACCCCTTCGCAACCTCACAAACATTTAAATAAAACTCTTGTAGAATGTGCTTGAATGTACCTTCGTGTAAGCCTTGGTCAAGCTGATCTAATATCGGCTTATTTGGCCAGGCATTAGGACCCTGCAATCCATTCATTCCGGTCTTTGCGACTGCTTCGAGCTCGTCTGGCTTCCACTCATAGCCATACGAAAACCCCTCCTTCAGCTCCTTCGTTGCTGACCCCGACTCACCGCCTACAGGAACATATCCACGGGTAAATCCACCAGGCTGAATCTTGGGAATCTGAGATTTTTGAGTAGGATCGAGAGCAAAGAGACGAGTTGTGGCGTCCAGTATTTGCTTACTTTTTTTAGAGGAAAAAACTGGATGCGTTGATGAGGTGATATAGAAAACACCAAATGTTGCGAATGAGTTGAGCAGCTCGGTAGCAACCTCCTGACGCTGTTGCTTAGAGGAGGAATAAGTAAGGAGAGCAGAGATGTCAATAGTTGGAATGGCAAGTGAGGTGGACATGATGGACGATTGATTACTAAAAAAAAGCGTGGGATAATTATACAATTTGGGCTCATCATTCGCCTGCGGACCAAGCGCACGTGTTTATACACGTGAATAAGGCAGTCGTGCCTAAAAAGGCAACTGGGTGGCTTGCTCTTGCAGATGCTTCTCTCGCAGGCTGGAATCAAAAGTCGATTATTAGCTGGCGACTCCTTTTTTTAATTTTTAATTTTTTTCAAAGTCGAAAATCATGTGGAGGAGTGTACAAAACACATGTAACCTACAATCATGCTGAGATATATGAGGACACATAAATTGGACAAACAAACACCCTATACTCCATAATAATCAGGTCTCGTTTCGTTAAAGCTCTTTTCTTCTAACCCTCCAGCATACTCTAATTTCACAATCACCACCATCTAATACTGCTAGCTCTAAGACACCAGCAAAGCAAAAATGATATTGATCGTGAATGAGGTTAATATTTGTGAAATGAGAGTAAGAATGAGTTTACAAAGGCGTTGGGAGAGTTTTCCGACCAAACGAGGCCTGATATTATGGAGTATGGGGTGTTTGTATGTCCAATTTATGTGTCCTCATATATCTCAGCATGATTGTAGGTTACATGTGTTTTGTACACTCCTCCACATGATTTTCGACTTTGAAAAAAATTAAAAATAAAAAAAAAGGAGTCGCCACCCAGTTGCCTTTTTAGGCTTTTAATCAATGACGTTGCAGGGAAGGTCATGGAGGAGTAAGGAACAAGAATGGAACAGAGCTTTAATGGGAGTTGAAGAGAGAGAGAGGAGGTATTGATAGTTAAAGTTGAACAGAAAGAAGGAAGGCTTACTTTCGATAGAGCTACATGATTCGCCGGGGTTTTGGACCATGATCCATGCAGTCCTGGCACCAGTGATCTAAGCTGGAAGCGAAGCAGCAGCGATTTTTGAGAACAAGCACGTGCTGGTTAATTTTTTTCAGCATGCTGGTTTATTTTTCCAGCATACTTGTTAAAATTTAACTTGCTTAACCAAGTGCTCCTCCATGCACTGCTACCTCAGACATCATTCGCATTTATTTTAGAATCTCGAGCATCAATAAAAGCTTGATTACTCACAGCTACAGAATGGATAATCCTCATTCAAACATTTGTCAGTTTTGTATATGCACATGCCTAAAAAAAGATGTCAGCCATAGTCACCCTTCATTGCCTCTTCACAAAAAAACAAAAATGGCGTGCTAACTGCAGCTGGTGGAACAGAAAGGTTTTCATGCTACACAAAACCAAACATCAATTGAATGCTACAACGTTGCCTTTATCTTCTTTATCTTCTTTACCTTCTTTATCTTCTTTACCTTCTTTATCTTCTTTATCTTCTTTCCATTGTTACCCGTTTTACTTTCACACAAAATCTTTAAGAAATAATGGCAAATCATACACATGATCCTCTTCACCAGGATGAGAATGGAGAACAGGGGTATGAGGATGAGGATGAAGATGAGGATGAGTATGGGGACGGACACGAGGAGGGGAATGAGTATCAGGAGGAGCACCAGTGACGAGGACGAGGACGAGGACGAGGAAGAGACCCTTATACCTCGCCGAAATCAAATCGAACGAAGAATGCAACTCCAGAAAAGTCTTCCAGCAAATAGAATCGATTCTCCCCAAACTAGTGATGCAGCCTACAATGGCGAATCGTTCGAGACGCAAGATATGCCGTGTGATGAGCTTGAGGTACTAGACTCCTATCTTGGTGCGAACCCAATCTCGTCTTCATCCCAGATGATGAGACCCATGGTAAGCATTGGTCGCGAAAAGAGGAGGTTCATCAAAACTTCTTCTCCTCCCGGTGGATTTACGCAATCGGTTCATCATGCCAGACCAAGGACGTTTGGACGTTCTCAATCATCAAAAGCTTTGCCTACATCACGTTATAATCATACGCTACTTGCTGCACAGCAAGCCCCACTGTCATCTCTCCGTTCATCCAACAGCTTCTCCCAATATCGGGAGTCAAAACCAGGCCCATCTTCAGTCTCCTCGATTTCTACATTGAGCTCCACGCAACAGCGCAATATTAACTTTACGCGTTCAAGATCTATTAATCTTCCCTCTTTTGACTTTACACGTGCCATTGATGCTGAAGCATTGGCCAACCGGCGGAGAGAGCTGAGGGATAGTCATTTTGCATCAAACGGATGGTATGATTTGTACGAGTTACTGGATTTTGGTACCATTCCTACGCCAGAACAATGCTCTGACGCCCCTCCCTCTCAAAAAGCATTAGCCCTGATTCCAAATCAAAAATCCTTTCGCAAAAACAGCGTGATTGGTCATTTTTTCAAATCAAGCAAGGAAGAATTCCAGTGTCTGGTCTTGAAAGATGGAGTAATCTGTGGTACTACGGAGTGGATATTCAAGATCTGTTCACTTAACTCAGTGCCATGGCGATTTATATAGTGCCCTCCAAGAATTTCGCAATTACCAGAGCAGGGTTAAAGGTATCATGCTGCCACCTGATCCGGAAGAAGTTGACGTGGCTCCACCAAGAAAGGCAAAATTCGACATCGCACGAGATGAGATTGTTAATGAGAGCCTCAAGAAGCCGCTCCCTCATGAACAAGAAGCATTCGAGGATACACTTTTACTGCACATAGCCTCCAATGGAGTGGCATTCGATGCAGTTAATTCGACGATCTTCAGATCAATCATTGAAATGACCAATCCTTATTTCAATATCCCTACCACAATGGCTATGCAAGACAGGATGGATCGACGAGTTCGAGAGATGAGACGCGAAATCAAAGAGTACATTACCTATTATAAGCTTTACGCTGCCGTCACGACAGATTGCTGGACAAGCGTCGATCACAGGAAGTTCTTGGGGACTACAATGCATTTTTTCACGCCAAATTTCGAGCCAGTATCTATTGCAATAGGGATGGAACAAGTCTATGGGGTGCAAACATCCCAAAATATTCACCGGAAGTTTGGTAAGTGAAATGCTGATACATCTGCCCCTTATCTTTATATTTTCATAAGTATTGCAACGTTCTTAACGTTTTTTTTTTTTTTTTTTTTTTTTTTTTGTGGTCTTTTGATTCATTTACCAGCTGAGGCTATTGATAGCATGGATATGAGCGAAAGACTCATTTGCGCAACAACAGACCAAGGTGTTAATATAAAAAAAGCGATAGCTCTCTACCAAGAAGATCACAAGGGGGTGCACTGGTTGGCATGCGCCTCACATAAGATCCAGCTTTGCATCAATAAGTCTTTGGAGCTATGCGAGCCCGCTAAGAAATTATTGGACAAGTGCCAAGATATTTCAGTTTTTTTCAGAGGCAATGCCGCGGCGATGTCTATCTTAGTGGAAGAACAGGAAGGCAAGGGTGCCAAGTTGCTGTCGAGGAACATTACAAGATGGAACTCCCAGTACAAGATGGCAAATAGAGTGCTACTTTACTCTCAAGCAATTTCTCGCACCTACCATCGCATGGAATCCTCCGAAAAAAGGGAGATAAGGTTGAAAGCAAAGGAATTAGAGCCAAACCTACTCGATCGTGATGAGGTCAAAGCTCTCCGTGAAATCATTCATATGATGACAGATGCAGTCAAATTCACTGAATGGGTGGGCAGTACCGACCATCCAAAACTGTCACAAATGTATGTGAAGTTGAAGGAGTTGCTACCGGACTCTCGCACATACGACACCGAGACGGCACAGGAGCTCTGGAGAAACCTTAACAGGCTTATCAATACGATGTGGGCCGTGGATGACATTCCCGATGTTATGCTCATATCGCTATTCCTGAACCCGGTGACCTTGAGTATCATTAAAGACATAATGACAACCAATGGTGACTCTCTCAGGAAGAAAGCTCTAGAGGTGACCAGAGATACAGCAAAAAAGTTTGCCGCCACCCAAGATGGAGCATGTTGGGATCAACTTCCTCTTTTGGAACAAGAATATTACCATTCGATAGTTAGTGTCGATATGGTATATTATGATGCGTCTATTTCAAGAACGCCGATGATGGACATCGCGCGTTTTGCTTTTACTCCTGAGCTTTACTGGAAGGAGCAAAAGGACAAGGGATTAAGAGGAATGGATTATATTGCTCCATTTGCACGAGCATACCTTTCTGTCCAGGCTACTTCCAATGATTCTGAAAGGTTATTCAGCAGAGCCGGATGGATCCTGTCTGCACGCAGAAACCGAATGACCAATCAAAACTTCCGTAACATCATATTTTATCACAGCTTTGTCTCTGCCCTGAAAAAATTACAGAGTTGTAGCAGTAGCAGCTAACTTTTTTATTAAAATAAAGGACTTCTATGGCAACGCTTAATTTCTAAAACAGATGCCAAACTATGGCTGACATCTTTTTTTAGGCATGTGCATATACAAAACTGACAAATGTTTGAATGAGGATTATCCATTCTGTAGCTGTGAGTAATCAAGCTTTTATTGATGCTCGAGATTCTAAAATAAATGCGAATGATGTCTGAGGTAGCAGTGCATGGAGGAGCACTTGGTTAAGCAAGTTAAATTTTAACAAGTATGCTGGAAAAATAAACCAGCATGCTGAAAAAAATTAACCAGCACGTGCTTGTTCTCAAAAATCGCTGCTGCTTCGCTTCCAGCTTAGATCACTGCTGGCACAAGTTCACAACCAACTGCCACCCCGTAAATGAGGAAAAGTTCAACATATTTCGGTCCTTTGTCCCTTCTGTGTACAGGAGCCATTGCGTGTATCTTTATCTTGATTTGGTTTCTTTTGAAGGATCTTCCTATTTTATTATAATAGCTGAAAATGTTCTGCTTCGATCAACCACCAAAGGACTGGCTTCTCTCTCAGCTTCAACCCTAAAACCTCAACCATTGATGACTGTCAGAATACCGTTGATATCAACGTTAGTCATTTTCGTGGAAAGGACCTAGACATTCTGGATTTGGAAGTTTCACCATCTTGGTAATCTGCTATCACTTTCAATAAGCAAGTCCCGATAGGTGATACTGACACGTCTATCACGTACGATTTCCAGTCCGTTGACATATTCGACTAGGTCTTTTGAAATACTATGCTTATAATCGTACCGACTCGAGCCGTTCATCACCACAAGCGAGCGACGAGCTACAGAAAGGCCGTTACAGGAAAATAAAAAAGTTAGTATGCAAGGGATATATAAGCTTTCGTGCTAAATGAAAGTTTTTTTTTTTTTTTTTTTTTTTTTTTTTCATACGCAGGTGAATTCGGTAAATATGGTTTTGTTCCTTTACGTGCTGGAATGTCATGACACAGTCAGATAACAACGATAATGCTGAAATAGTTGGTCCAAATATTCTGGGTGCATCCACATGGGGCATAATGCCTTGTCCTGCTTCATACTCGTTTACAATAATACTATTAGGACTTTTAGTATAAATCTGGTGGTCCAACAGTCGTTGTGTCAGGAAATTAAACATGGATGGCAATGCTTCCATGTCACCTACTACCCTTCTTTTATGCGAAATCATTAGGGTACAGGATTAGTTTCCTTCTTCAAGTTTGGAAAAATAACAAATAAATGCAAGTCTTATTACCGGAAGCGATAGCTAAATACACCACCGTAGTGCTGATGCCTACGCTTCATCTCTGGATTGGGTTCTACGCCCTGGCCTCCCCAAAGCCGAGCATCAAGTTGTTGAATCAGTAATGATTCTTCTTCCGTAGTAACAAACTCATGCAGCAGGTCTAAACCCTGTGGCATCTGTGTTGGATTGTCATTTGCCGGCATTTCTGAAATAGCTTTTCTTGTGTCTACTGCACTCTCATCTGCCTCCACATAATTGTTAGGTATTATAATGTGTGAATTGTCCATGAATAAGCAATTCAATTATGACACAAGTGATCAGTTTACAAAATTATAAAAAAGATAAGAAATTTTATATTTTATTCTTGATTTTCTTGATCAGATGAAGCTTCTACAAATCTCGTACACTAAGCAGCTCTGATGGCCCGTTATTGTCCAACATGTCTACTTTGTTGCTCCTGCAGCATCTGAATGAGTTTCTGGCAAATGTCCTAGTGCGCTCTTATCATCCTGATTTTGATGAGAATTGGCTGTAAAAAGCACACTTTTGAGCACCTGGGAGATCAAGCCATGGGTAGCCTCCACCGAGATCTTGTTGCTATCTCGTGTGATTTTGCCAAGCTGACTTTCCTCTTGCTTCTTCTTCTTATCCTTGGAGAATGAGGCTGCACCCCCCATTGCCATAGGCCCAAACCCTCCAGCACCCGTCCGCGACGCCATCGAAGCAGTCATCTGTAACTTTTCTGCTAGGTCTGACATTTGACGGGCAGCGTACTCGCGATTCTTTACAAAAAAAAAAAAAAAAAAAAAAAATACATCGGATTCAGAGATTCTTAATTTGTAAAAACAAGAAAAAGGCCAAAAAAAATCACTCCATCTTTTCCTGTGTGAACTTCATACCGACAGAAGAGGTGACTGTGAAAGTGTGTTGACCCAATATTTATTCCAGAGTTGGTCCAGAAGGTGCGTATCCAATGTCGACTTGAAGTGCGAAACTTCCAGAGGATAGTACTGTTTGCAATGAACTCCAAAATCTTCAATTTTATTCAAAGGGATTGTCTGGTACTCAGACGGACCTTCATCAGGAGCTTTATATCCCTCAGGGTAGGTGCGGAAGGCTCCGATTTCAACTTTGCCAGCAGAGATGGTTCTGTTAGGATCAATCTACGGTGATAATAGTGATGGCCATGTCAAAGCGAGAAAAATATTAAGTGTATTTGTGATAACAAATAGTATGTGCGGACAAAGTAAGTTCAGGTTGTGTAGGAAAATACTTACAACTACAGCCACGAAAGGGTCCTGAAACTTCTGGTTTTGCATCTGTGTGTTTACGTCAATTCCAGACAACCAGCAACCATACCCTGGATGTGAATGATACCAGCCGATAGCGTTCTCGAGACGGCCAACCTTGCAGTTCGAAAATAAGTATCGCGTTAAATGAACACACTCAAAACCATTTTGTGCATCATCTGTGGCCATATTTATAACTAAATGTATCAAAGTATAGGCTTACCTCCTTCATCTGTGTCACGTATTGGACCATGTACTCGTAACCTTCTACAGCAGCATTTACTCGAGTTTCTGTCCCTTCGACAGGCAAGGCAAAGGCATCCATGATGATTATGGTATTACCATGCACTTTACCCTGCATCATCCCCATGACCTCGATACTGCCTCCGGATCGTGCATGCATAACCTGTATATAATGAGATATGATATTGTGACTCAATAGAGTGCAGTGAAATACATATGCAGGGCAAACAGGCACGATCATAATGCTTCTCTTCCTACCATCTTAATCAAGGCAACTGCAGAGATTTTGATGTGTGTGAAATAGTGAGGACTATATCGGAAAATATCGATATTAGTCACTCTCTGTTTGATTCCATCAGTTTTGCTGCGCCAGCTAATTGCATGACGCGTCAAAATGTACATCGCAGGTTGAATTATATGTGAGCATGATTATTTAATAGTGACCTACTCCTCCTTCCACGGCGATTCATTGAGGATGCGCTTCTGCTCGGCCTCATCAAAATAATAAATCTGGTCCTGCTCTGGGTTGATGGAACGGATATTGTTGATGAACTCAAAGTTCTTTCGAGCATTGATGGCGTCCATAATAGCTAATGAATGGTGCAAGCCTAGCAGAGTAGGCGTTATTCCTTAGTATCCTTGTACTGAATGAAGAAAGAAGCTAGCGATGCACTGAGTTTATGAGTGTATCGGCGATTGAGACGTGTGCGTGTTTGTTTGAAAGAGCAAGAGCAAGAGCAAAGAAAGAAACGCAATGGTGGCAAAAGAACTTTCAGCAGATGGTCACATTTTTTTTTTTTTTTTTTTTTTGCATCTGCAAGCAATGGTCATGTCCGCACCACACTCATTTTCATTTCGTCAAACCTCACTCTTTTAAAACACATACTTAACATTTCTTTTCTACCTAGTCGCCAATTCTACTTTCAAGCTCCCTCCATATCTCAAGGTCTACAATCATCATCTCGCATTTCCTGTCACGTTTAATTTCCATAGCTGCATGTCTACAGATTCCAACACAGCATCGCTGTCTACAGGCCATTTGGAGGAAAAGAAGCCTCCAAATCACCCAATGTTGATTTTGGACACTAAGCTTGTTGAGACTAGCATGCCTGCTTCCCCTTCACCAACTTCGCCTGTCCCTGCGCCTGTTTTCACATCTGATTTTACCCAGGGTACAGCGACAATTAATGACGCTGGTGGGAGCGTGCAGATAGCGAACGGTGAGACGTCAGTCTTGCAGATTGAGCTGACAGAGACATCTCAGGTTGATAATGTTAATGATGGTAGCGAAGCAAGGTCACAACTAGTGTTAGAGCAAGTACTAGGCACCAGTACAGTAACAGCGGACACATCAATGAAATCAGCATCTTCTTCTACTCCCGGTGCTGCTGCTTCTGTTACCTCTGACAATGCTGTAATCAGATCTGGTCAGCAAGGACCTGTGCCGACTACTCTTTCCACCTATGCTCATTCAGAGTCGACGCCGATTCAGCATGGAGCTGATGAATGGCCTGAGACGCCACGTCAGTTCCTCGGTCGTCTTAAAGAAACAGTCTCCAAGGCAGAGCTGGGTAATATTCTGTCCAAAGGGTCAGATGCATTCCATCAAGCGGTGCTACGGCTTCATATGGAATCCTTTGACTTTCGGCGTGATCCAATAGACCTCGCCCTTCGGTATAAAGCTTCTTTCCTTTTCATAAAGATCTTCACTATGTCATTATGATTTTCAGCGGAGAAGAATCGCAGTTGAAAAGACGAAATCCAGTTTTATACTCATATTTTTTTTTTTTAAACGCATGGTGTTTCGTTTCTATCTAGGAAATTTCTCCTAGACTTCCATTTCCCAAAGGAAGCTCAACAAATTGATCGAGTTCTGGAAGCGTTTGCAAGCCGATACCATGCCTGCAATCAACATCTCTTCCGATCTTCTGGTAAAGCCCCGCAGCATCAGCGACAGATTTTATTCACTTCAAAACAACTACAAGCTGCGTTCTAATCTCATTTCCTCTTACTTCTAGATGTTGTATATACCATTGCCTTCTCATTAATGCTCCTTCATACCGACGCACACAATAATAATGTGCGCTATAAAATGACCAAGGAACAATACGTAAGACAAGCTAAAAGCATTGATGGAGTCAACACCATACCCGCTGACATCCTAGAGGTAAATCGCCTTTTATTGCTCAGATCGCTCAACTTTATTTATTTATTTATGTGATAGGGCAATCAACTTGCTCACTCTGCAGCTTCACTTTATTATATCTTATGCAGATCCTATACGATAATATAACGTATCTCAAGTTTGTTTATGCAGAGGACGATATGGATGTGGATGGACAGAGAATTGCAGAAGTACAATCAACGTCATCGAGCTCATGGTTTCCACGGCGTCGTACTGCAAGCACTCACCGAACAGACTCTTACAGCATGATTCGACATGTATGTGATCATCAATTCAACTCAGTTGCAAAATATCACTATTCTTGAAATGCAACCCTGTATTGAGTGCTTTAGAAGCTATGGGCAAAAACATCTAGTGAATGAGATAGTTTTTCAGCATAACTAAAATTTGCATTGTCCATTTATTCTCTCTTTTTTTTTTTTTTTTTTTTTTTTCAGGGGAGTATTGCACATCTTGCGCCAGATCTGAGTGATATTATTCCGTTTCGGTGGCCGTATTATTGGAAGGGAACAGTAGAAATGGTTGATAATGTGCAGATCAACAATCAGTTCACGCGGGCGCCACTTGTCACTGTTCCCGGCCTTCGCCTCAGGCTTCGAAGTCAAACACAACAACAGCAGCAACAGCACTTACACCTACAGTTTACTAACGCAGGATATGAAGGCACATACCCGCCTTTAGGATCTCGGTCTGCCGCACGACCAGATATTAAAGGCCATATGGACGACAGCGATATCAAGGAACAAATTCTACGATCAGATACAACCCTTAAGAGTGGAAACGAGATTACGAATTGGAGTGGAAAGGAGGATGAAGATACTGACGGATGTGCACAGCTTAGGATTGTCAAAAGCGGTATCCTTACGCGCAAGATTGATATTGAGAATGGCAAGAAGAGTTCTGTACGTGGTTGGAGAGATCTAGGCGTTATTCTTAGCGGATCTCAACTTTTGTTCTTTACAGACACTGCATGGTTTTATCAGCAACGGGCAACACAAGTGGGATTCAATCCTCAGGCACCACCTGAAGAGGATGGATATTTTGCACCTGAAGTTAATAGCACTAATCTTCCTCCTACGCCCCAAGCTCTGATATCAACATTCGATTCGATTGCTGTTGTGGATAGTAGCTATCAGAAATATCCTCATGTTTTTCGACTGGCTTGTCCAAATGGTAAACAATACCTATTTAGAGCGGAATCAGAGCACGAAATGAATGACTGGATGGCGAAAATCAACTATGCATCTGCATTTAAAACCGCAGGCGTGCGGCTCAGGAGCTATCGCGTCGCATGGGCGAAAGATGTCTACTGGATCAAGGATGAGCAAGGACGACACCAACTCAGGAGGAAGCAGAAGGATCCTTCAACTCCTAACACGCCTACTACACCTATGGAGCCGCTGGATGGAAGAGCACAATTGATCCAGGCGAAGATGAAGGATGTTGATAGGATGATCAATACATGTTCTGCTTCTTTAGCATCAGAACTCCGGCTCGCTAGGGGACTCGAGGTTATGATCCCTCTTCAGAATTCGACACGGCAAAAGATCGTACAGAGCGCTACTGTGGTTGGGAAAAGGTTGCGGCATTTAATGCTGGAGAGGACAAAGCTTGACTGCTTCCGAACCATTCTAGAGCGCGACTTGGCTGTTGTTCCTTCGATATATCATTCTCCTTGTGATAGTGATATAACAACGGGTGAACATCGAATGAACGACGACATGTTGGCCAGTTCAAGTGCACTTGGCGAAGCATCAGAATTTATTGAGCAGGGCTTAGGGAAATTCAGTAATCCTCTGTCGTTCAAACAACAGCAACAAAGTTGGTATCAGTCCGTTTCAGGGCTTGATGACAATATGGACCATGCTAAAGATGCTAAAGAAGAGGAGTACATTCTAGACACAAAAAACACCAGCCAGAGAAGCAACCACAGTTCCAAAAGCAGCTCGCGTCCCAGACTCAATCTTCCAGAAATCCAGAGATCTGTTAGCGAGGACACATTAGATGAACGTCATCGAGCTTGCACTATTAAAAATGTTGATATTCCTATGAGGCCTTCAGAGATACAAGCTGCTATCATTAATGCCGCGCGGGGGCATCATCGCCATCACCTTCATCACCACTATAATAACAATCTATCAAATCCGGACCTCAACCAGCTTCATGGAGAGGAAGACTCCAATAGTAGTGCATATTTATCTCCAGATCACATTAATTCTCAGCACACAACGAGCAGTCATACCAATATCTCCCCTTCTAGTCCAGCTTCAAGTATCAGCGGAGGCCATTCTTCGCATCTCTCACCCGAAAGTTCGATACCTCGATCGCGTGCACTTTCCATGCCCGGGCAACGGCCCAGTATGATGCCACGCACCGTCTCAATCTACTCGAGTAGTTCTCAAACAGCCAACAGATTGCGTCGTATTTTCGAGCAGGGGTTGGGACACTTTAAACTTAATTCTTCAACCAAGTCAACGTCAAGTTCAGCGCCTTCGCCTGTTGGTGGTGGATCATCATTGAAGACAAGTACCGCTTATCAATCTGATACGGATGAAGACTGATGATGTAGTCGTTATCACGTCAATGATTGCAAATTCGGATTATTCGAATAGGATAGATTTTAATGACCATCAAAGAATAACTTTTTTTTTCTCCTTCCTTATTCTCAATTACATCTATTTCCCTTCAGGGCCGCTTTCATCTATAGTATGATGTTTTCTGCTATGGCATATCCTATCTTTAAAGCATATCGAATATGATTTTGGAAGTCCAAAAAAAATAAAAAATTACCAGAGAGCAGATCTTTTTAGTGTGGTTTCTTAAGCTTGGTCTTGCTAGACCTCCATAAAACTTGGTGATACTTTGTTGAGGTGGCTAAAAGCTGTCACTAGACACTAGATGTAGTGAGCCTTTTATCTTCATTATTGATGCTTCGGATGTTTGCCACTGTAGTCAAATTAAGTATGAAATAAGGTGTACGCGAACGGACTCATGCCATTCATGAATGGTGGTAACATGCTTTGGTAATATGCTTATCGGCGGCTCTTCTGACATAAATATTGCATGTATTCATGAATAGGCGTTGGAAAAAAACTGAAGTACTATGACTTCGCAATTGAGTTTCACGTAGACTGTAAAAGGAAAGTTTGGGATTGCCGAATGAACTGGACACTCCCATTCTATCCTTCTTCTATAGCCCATCAAGGTCACCCGATTGCCCTTCAAAATATTGCAATTGGTATATTTATTCGAGAAAAACCATATTATTTTTATTTATGCTTCGAAAAGCACATTGTGCAGCAATGTCCAGTTAAAAGACGTCTCCACTATCCTATATGGCCTACCAGCCAAGCACCTTTAGCAAGAGCTTCTGACCAATCGCTCTTTTTTTATGTTGCCAATCAGCTCCTTGGAATCTCCACGAGTGACAAACAATTGATTCAAAAGTACAAAAAAAAAGTCATACATGATTCATGATACGAAATTTAGAAACACAGAAAAGAAAGCACACAATAATCGTACGACAAGAAGACACATTGTTACAGAATTTAAACACGTAGAGCGAGCGAGAAAGACGGTGAATCAGGATCAGAATCATAAAGCATTGGTAAACAAAAGTAAAGAAAAAAGAAAGAAAAAGAAAAAGAGAGGAAGCGAAAGAGAAGACACCGCTAGTGTGCTGAAGGGGCAGGCAGACCAGAATGCTGGGCAAAGGCTAAAGATGATAAACGTAACATAGTTGCCCTTCGGCTCCTGCATCCAGGGCATCCTTTAGTCCAGTGAGATACGAGTTGCACTGAGTGGAATCGGTACAAAGTTGTGGATATCAATTCCGCGAGAACTGAACTCGGCCTCAGCGTGGCGAGGAACTAGCATTGGGATAAGATCTGGACGGATCGATAGCTCTATAAACAGAGAAGAAGAAAATGTGACACGTATTCAAGTTAGTTATCAATCGAAGATAGACAGTGATAGGCACAACTATATCAACGACGATAGCCATCAATAAAAGAGTCGTACCAAGAGGAGTAAAGTTGAACAGAGGTGGAAGCTCTTTGCCATTCGGCAGCCTTGTTTCTGGGTTTCTGAGCTCGTCAAAGAAGGGATGAACCATAGCCTCAACGGGTGTAAATCTCCTAGTAGGGGTGTATTCAAGCAATCGCGAAATAAGCTCTAATGCCTCTGGAGGCGTCCTGGACCTGAAAATCTTGTTAAAAGGATGAGGTTTGATTTGAGGAAACTTGTGTTCCATATAGTTGGGATTCATAGTCTTGATCTGTTCCCTTGTAGGTGTCCCAAGTACTTTGATGATTTCGACTAGTTGATCGATGCCACTTTCACCAGGAAAAAGAGGCTGTCCTAACATCAACTCAGCCATGACACACCCTGTTGACCAAATATCTGTAATGTTAAATATGCAGAGAAATGTTAATAAACAAAAGCGAATATAGTTAGTGAGTTAACTGAAGGAAATAAATAAAATAAAATATGATAAAAGAGACCCTACGACATTGCCAACACATCCAGCTTTCTGCATGCTGTTTTGCTGATGGGTCTCTTTTTTTTTTTTTTTTTTTTTTTAAAAAAAAAAAAAAAAAAAAAAAAAGCATGAAAAGAAACGATATGCTACCGATGTTAGTTGTGTAGTTGGTTGCGCCAAAGATGAGCTCTGGAGCACGGTAGTAGCGCGAGCAAATGTACGACACGTTTGGTTCTCCGGCAACTAAGATCTTGGCACTAAACAAACGTCGAGTGAAATTTAAACATACATTAAGAGGGTTATTAGCTTGCTGAGTTGTAAATGGGAAACGCGGACAGGTGACACAACTCAATGCAACACAAACAGACAAACTATTCATTTTCCCCTTCTTTCTCCCGCATTAACAATCATCAATAAAAGAAGGATGGAAGGTGGGGTTTGAAAAATAAATAAATAAATAAATATTCATTTTGGCCTTTTGCTCTTCTGTACGGCTATGTGTGTGTTTATGTGCCAATGACATTTAGTAGATTCAACTTCAATCCCAGCCAGATCATGTGGCACATAAAAGAAAAATGGAGTGATGGACAGAAGACAGAAGAGAAAGGATCCTGCAATTCAAGGCGAATAATATACACAAACACAATTCCCGTACTCACGCCTCTCCCATGGTAACCCCATCACTGTCATATGCCGCATGATAACACCGGTGTCACACTACTCTCTCTTTTCCACCCACGCCTATTTATCAATATGTCTATTAATACTAGTATAATGACTCCAAGCATTATTAGGTATCCATACCTTCCGAAATCACAAAGCTTCAAAATGCCGGTTGTGGGATTTAGAAGCAAGTTTTGAGGCTTAATGTCACGGTGGCAAATGCCGAGAGTGTGAATGTATGCGAGACTCCGGAACAGCTGATACATATAGAGCTTGATCTGAAGCATCGGCATTGTCTGCTTACTCTTGGAGTAATGGCGTGACGCTCTGTATACCGTCTCAGGAATATACTCAAGCACAAGGTTGAGGAAAACCTCGTCCTTCTATTGAGTGAGATGAACAGGTAGCTTTAGGAATGCAGTCGGTCTCAATGACGATAAGATATCCATTTTTAAATTAACTTAAGTGTAATAATACCTTTTCTCCATTAGAATAAAAGAAAGCTTTAAGGTCAACAATATTTGGGTGTGAGACCAGTCTCATGATTTGAAGTTCGCGATTCTATCAAACGACATGATATGGTAGCATTGGATGCAATTTACGTTAAACTCATCAATCCGTACTGAAAAAAAGAATCCGACCCAACCAGGGAAAGGAAAAAAGTACCTTGAAGCGTTTGTCCTGAAGAACCTTTTTGATAGCAGCATCTTCGCTGCTGTTGCTGACCAGTTTTGCTTGAAAGACAACGCCAAAGGATCCATTTCCAATAACCTTGCAGTTTGTGTAAACAAGCTCCTGCGGTTCCCCAGACTTGCCATCATTGGCCATAACCTTGATAATCTTTGAAGGATCTGACTCGCCTGAGTCCATGTTATAAAAAAAAACGAGTCAGTCGTTTTGACCGATGGGAAAGCGCGTCGGACATGCATCATTCTCATCTCCTTTTGCACCAATATCTCTTACCACTAATCTTTACGCCATTGATGGGAGATGTTGAAGCCATAATTGAGTTGATTACGGAATATAAGATTTGAGTTGCGTGATTTCAGGAGTTGTTTGAAGGGTTGGTACGCGGGCAGAAGCACTTGAAGCAATAGACTGCTGACTGACTCTTATTTCAATTATTACGAGTGTAAAAAAGACAGAGAGGCGAGTTATAAAAAAAAAAAGGAGACAGAGGATGAGCGTATGTAGAGGAGAGAAGAAGGGGTGCGGGTGGGATGCGGTGCAGGAAGCCAAGCGCAGAGTGAAAATGATCGTTCAACTGATGAGAAATTGTTATTCGGGCGATAGATGAAATGAATAAAGTAATGGAGAAACAGGAGAGCTCAAAAAAAAAAAAAAAAAAAAAAAAAAAAAAAAAAAGACGTGTGTTGTGACGACAAAATAAGGGTAAAAGTATACATCATCCATATTTTTGGCCATCCATGAATCCAAGGTACATATGAGACAGCCATCCGAGCTGTAACCGTCAACCTTACATCACTCCCAACAATATTACTTTGCATCCCATTGTTACAGAGGGAAGAGAAAAAATCCGCACAAGAGAAAGCTGGACATGGCTGCAGCATAAAAACAAGATGCCCAATATTCAGTTTGACTTGACAAACAATCGAGCCACCCATGAATTTACAATAGCAATCATGAACAAAAATATAGCTTGATGTAGTGGCGTGCTTGCGATTCGCTCTATAAATGAATTCTCGAAGACAACTTCACGGATGCTGCAAGTGTGGCGTGTTATTGATCTTTCTGTGAAATGACTTACATGGGAATCCTTGTGAAGTAACGTGGTGTGAGTGAGTTGTAAAAGGAAGGAAACTTGTAAGGCGAAAGCTACTCACGTTTCATCATGGGGTCACATTTAAAATTATCACTCTTATGGTTATGTGCAGCCACCTAAACCCGGACCAAGTCTTCAAGGTCTCTAGATTGAAGAAAGTCATTATCCGAGCCAATTAGTCGAAGGGATACAACAGACAAATATTTCTTCCATCCTGTATGGCATACAGTTCGACACTTATGTTTCTATAAAAACGCGACGAAATTTCCCCTCAAACACTCCTTGTGGTGCACGCTGTAGCGTCCCAAAGCACACATCAGTAAGCATTCAGACATAAAGACTAACTCCAGACAAAACGCTGTCGCACAGGATCCATGGCTGGCAAAAGTTTTTTCTAAACTATGATCAGATGACGTTCTTCATCCCAGTGTAGTGTAAGTTCAAGTTCTCCGCGCGTCATTTTGGTATAATGGTTAGTTCAGATTAAGTTAAAAATATTGGTTAAAATGGCTGTGAGAATGTTCTGAAAATGCGGTACTGGCTAGTGCTGGCACTGTCTTTCCAAATACAAAGATATACGAGCTGTTGGCTTGTTTTTAGATAAAGCGTCTTAATCACACTTAATATGAGCAATATGAGCCAGCCATTTCATATCAGTTGCTGACATTTTTGACACGAGGGTGTGTCTGATGGCAATTCGTTTGAACAGTGAGATTTACTCGGGCGCTCAAGTATATACCTATTCATACACTCATTCAAACAGATGGAGCCTGAGAAATATTTTGCACAAGCTCTCCTCGCACACGACGCAGTAAGGAAGAAGAAAAAAAAGATTGACGCTGGAGTGCAAATGGATGGACAGATACCTTAATCTTTTAGGTCGGGCTAGGCGTTACGTATGAACTTCACGCTTTCCCCATTTTTAGAACATCTTTAATATTACAATGGTCAAGACTTGGACAAGAGAAGAGTATATTGAAGTTTCTGATATCCATAACTCACTGCAGTGATTTTCACTGGTGAATCTTGTACCGTGGCGCAAGGCTTTTTTTCAGTGACCGTCACTTAGAAAATTCACCATCGATGGTTTCTGGTATGGTGTGCCAAGGATGCACCACGATATTCTTGTATTAGAGTACATCGTACTACTATTTGTAGATCAGCGGTGCTTCGCACCAGTCAAGTTCACTGGTGAAAAAAAAAAAAAAAAAAAAAAAAAAGCACTGGCAAAACCACTGTTCCTGAGTATCTGCTGAAACGACAAAGGACAACTTCCACGAAATCTCTTTACCAAAACTTCCAGTCTCATTGAATACTACACCCTATGGTTCACTTTTTACGATGCGTGCATTAATAAAGAGGAGCTTAGAAAAACAGGCTCAACTGTTACCAAGCGGGGCTTGTTAAATCACCTAGCCGAGGCAAAAGTGTGGTAAAGCGATGGTTGAGCGATCAGCGGAGGCGAGAAAACACAACCAATGAAAGGGTGGTGATACAGGAGACCCACGCGATCCTCGTAGATTTAAAGCATCCATTCAGCGCAGACTCAGATGATATGATATCCTCTATTTCAGCCTTATAGTTCAGTACTTTCAAGAAGTGCTACACCATATCCTAATGCCAACTACGTGACAATCAGCTTCGGTGGACTTGAAGTAATCGAGCCAGAACTTGTAGAGGATCACCAAACTCTGTGCTCAGTACGTGTTGGACAACATCTTCAACGGGCATTTATCTGAAACACAGGATCAGAATCCTATATAGCACAGATGTTTGAAGCTTACATGAAAGTGAGCAGGAGCTCGTGTCTCTATTCTTATCTATATCAATGTACCTGATAGGTTTCTGCTTATGGTAAAGACTATGGCCGCATTGAAAGCGCTGAAGTATTGAAAGATCTATAAGAATGAACACACAGCTACGCAAAGTTAAATCAATGGCTCCTACCAGTTAACGCTTCTTTTTGCTTCCTAGTAACTATTTATGCATCTTCAGTTTACTTCATGATTGCATTTTTTTTTTTTCGAGCAGGTCTTCAACACAGTTTCGGAGGTGGCCGAAATTATGCCTATGGAGCAGGCAGTTTGGCTGTTACAATTTTTCAGCGGCGTTTTGTATCCTTTCTGAAAAAAAGATTTTTGGTTATTGTCCTCCAGAGCATGTTGCTAGTACGAGCTGGAAGGATTGTTGCCTGTGTAACAGCAAATCCTAATATGGTGCACAGCACAATGAATGTTAGACCTTGTCAGTGGATTCATAAATAAAATTTTCACCTTTTTTTTGTCAATTCTTGGCACCATGACAAACTACATTTCGTCCACGAATCCATTCCATCCAGATAACATGTCACGCTCATCAACTCTGTCAAGGGTTCTTATCCAATCGAATGTGCTGCACGTTTTACTCGCACATGCTCTCTCTACAGAAAAGGTAACTTTAAAGTAGGAGAAGTCATGCTCAGCAATCGCTTGGCATTATGTTAATGCTACAATTGTGAAATTATCGACGATATTAATGTTAATTACTGAATTCGATAGGAAGAGATTATGGGGATGCTTATGGGAGATTGGATAGTACGTTATGATGTATTAGTAGTTGAAAGCGAACGCGCTGTATGATGGTTGAAAGCTTAAGAAACTAAATTGATCATATTATAGAAGGAGGGCGCGACCGAAATAGCACGGGTAGAAGGAGTCTCACTTTTAACTCGATCCGAGAAACGCAAAGACCGAGTCGAGATCGGACCCGAGCAGCTTACTATGGCTGCTATTGAAGCAGAGGTAACAGCAGCCGTAGGTTTTTAAGATAGGCCGAAGTCGGTTTATTATTCGTTATTAACAACCTACTGCCTTGACATTTGATGCGCTACAGGAAATCACAAAGACAACTGGGAAAACTACACGTGTTATTGGATGGGTAAGTTTCGGTTGTGCTGTGTATGGCATTCTACAAAGGCTGGACACATTGAATGGTAAAGGCTCACATGGATCGGCTTAATCAATTCATGAGTAGTATCACAGCCACCCTCACATTACAGTATTCCCCTCTCATGTCGGTAAGGAGCATGGCCCTGTAGCATGTGCCACAATAATGTCAATCTATCGGAATATCAAATAGATGCTGAATCCCAGAATGCTGTACACTTTCGCTGTAGATCTTAGGACCCAGCTGTCGCAGCAACTCATGGACCAGAGGTTTATTGGCATGATTGTGTCTTGCTTCAACACAGATAGTGAGCTTGTAAGGATTGATTGAATTGTTGAATGCATCAGAATAGTACCTGCCAATAGGTACAACCAAAGACTATCAAACCAACTAAATATTGATGGATAATCATTTATGCTCCCCAAAGTCCAATAAGCTCCAAGTAACATGTTTTCAGTCGCGACCGGCAGATGGTAGCTCGTAAGTTTTAATCCTTCTCGCAAGTCCCATCAAAAGGGCCCATTAATAATTAATCGTCAGATAGAAAGCATACTCAGGCCGCGTCCTCCATATTTTCTAGTTGTCATCACATCAAGCTTCCATTTAGCATTCTCAACGAAAATCCACTCGAATCGCTTACTCTTCCTAAACTTCTTGAAATCTCAGAACGAATTTATGATGAGCAACGTCAATCGTTTTACAAATCAATACCGATGTCGACAATACCTTCCACGACTGCAAAGACGTCCTCGACCATGTCTTCTATAGTTAGATCCAATAGCAGCGTCACTAGTGGAGGCGGGAAGAGCAGTTCTGGGCGTGAAAAGGGTGCGAGAAGTTTCTTTTCTCTGTCCCCCACACGAACCTTCTCATTTTCATCACAATCATCACAGAAAGATCATGAGGGCGATACAGTCATGTCGCCATCGAGCGAGCACGAGTCGGATGACTTGGACTCAAAAAGGAACAGGAGTGACCGCGGCTCCATGGATGACATTCCGCAAGAGGAGTTGAGCACAAAGTAAATTTGATTTTCTTTTTACTTTTGTTTTATTGTCTGTGTTATGTTTTATATGTACTCAAACGAAGAACCCATATACATTTTAGATATATTCACAAGGCAATGTCATTACCAGAGCGTATGACCTTGATCCGGAATTCCGGTGTATATGTTCAATCGCTTGCTAGCCTTGTTGATAATCTTGTTGGCCCGACATTACAGATGCTTGTTGACCGTGAGCAGTACAATCAGTCTTTGGTATGGTTGTTTATTTTTATTGTCTATTGATTAGTAGCCATATTCTAGATTAAAGTCCTCACCCCGAAATATTTCTGCTAATATCTAGCTCGAATCCCTTCAGCTCCAGAAACAGGCACTTCTGCACCAGCTTAAGGCTCTTGGGCAGTTCCCCACCGGAAGCCAGAATCTCGTAGATCTTTCTGATACTTAAATAAAGCAGTATCATGATGTCATTCACCCATTTATTTTTTATTTTTTATTGGCGGTAAACCAATATTAATCTAAAACATTTTTCTGAATGTTCACACTGTTTCTTTGATTACACTTGGATTTACGTTTGTGCTCAAAGCTGAACCATTATCTTCGCCATTTGGCTTTACTGTAGTGGTTGACTCTAGTTCCTCGGCCCATGGATTTATGCTTGCAGCAATCGCACTAGCAGCTAATGACCTCGGGTCCGCTACTGAGAATCTAGAAGGTGTCGATCCTACTGTCGAGGACTTTGGGATAACGCCAGTGCTGTTTCTAGAAGACAAATTGGGCTTATTACCATCTTTTGGCTTTACTGAAGTAGGAGGAGCTGAAGATGAATCGGTACTTGATATTGAGTTGGCCAAAATAGGCGATAAGGAACCGTTGATGGTTGGTGGCAAAGAGATAGTATCAACGGATGCGAACCCAGAGGGTTCTGAGAACGATGCGGGTGAAGATGAGGAGCCGGGTTGAGAGGAAGAAGAAGAGGGAACGTACGATTGGTACAGCGTGAGAGTAGACATATTGCCAGACTGAGCACTGGAAGGTCGGGTTTCTTCGATTTGTTGACGCTCGAATTGGTAGATCTGTAATACGATCAAGGCTTCACTCTTTTCCAACGTCTTGGCAAGATCCAATGCCGTCTAAAGACATAAGTTTTGTTTAGCCATTACTGTCAAAGAATTTATGCTGATGTGCACCAGAAAGTCGTCACATACCTGATGGTTCTTGTTCCTAACATCATATCTGGCATGCTTCTTGATCAAATTGTTTAAGACTTTCTGATTATCGTTCGCGACCGCATGGTGCAATGCGGCCCAGCCCTCTCGATCGGTTGCGTTGATATCGCAATACCATTGAAACAAAAATTCTACTGCAACGTCGTCTCGCCTAATGATAGCTCGATGAAGGGCAGTCATCGATCCATGGTCCTCGTTGTGATGATCAATATTTGCACCCATCGCCAAGCATCTCAAAGCCTCACAGTAGTCTGACACATCCATGGCTTCCCAGAAAGCCTCATGTACAGACCGTGTCAGGAATTCCTTCGTGTCTGTCAAAAGGAACTCTTTTTTAATGTATTTTGCAATGATAAAACGCTCCTTCTCAGCCCTGGTGTACATGTATAAGACATAGCACAAGTATTGCATTAGAAAGCGTATTGCGGTTATTCCAGAGGTATTCGTAAATTGGTCAGGTCTTACCTATCTGAGTTGACAGAAACATAACGCTCTTCAATTCCGTTCAGAATTTCTGCTTCAAAGATGTTATTAGTCTTTTCATTTCCGAGTTTAAGCATGATCTATTGCGGAGGTTCAGAAGGGTTAAAACTACAGGTGACTATAGATGCAACAATTCGTACTGGAAATACCGATGGCTTAAAACTTACGCCCACAGTCTCCGTCTCCCACTTGTCCAGATTAAGAGAGCGTACTTTACTAACATGGACGCCTAGACTACGATGAATTCCAGAGCATTCAATGCACAGTACAGTTCCGTGGTTCACACTCGCCCACATTGGACCTAGTTGTCATGGAGCAATAATTATTTTATAAGCTCAAAAGGAAATAGCAATGATAAAAAAGAAAAAAGAAAAAAGAAAATAAACCACTAGGTCGACTCAGTATACTATTTTGCTTACTTAAAGATTTGCAGTCTGCACAGACTTCATTTCCTGGGATTTTGCGAACCTGCAGTAGCAATTGCTTATCTTGATCTGTATTCCCGTTTAAGTTGGGTGATCCATGCTGCGTGAAAAGAGATTCGCCACCTTCTTTGTAATTACCGAACCCTCGCACCTCGGGGGCCTGATCTGAATTATGTGCTGCTGTAATCGCATTTTGAAGGCAGCATACCCATTCCATCATTTCTTCCGCATTTTCCGCCTGGAAGTAATGAATGCTAAAAAGTGCGATCAGACAGTCGTGTTAATTCCTATAATAGTTTATAACAACTTTAAAATCAAGACGTCAAGCCTTACCGCATGGGCGAGATCACTTCGAATAAATGTGGCCGATCCCCGTTTTCGATAGTTTTAACAGTACAAACTCGCAAATTGATGGCCATACTTGCATCACTGTCGGATTTATTGACAGGGGCCCGGGTTGTCCATGTCAAAAGTTCACCTTCAATTTCGACATAGCGCCTACTCCACGATGCCATGACTCTTTGCGGTCCACGTTTATATAGATATCCTGACTTTGTAGTAGCATGTGTCCTAACCTCTGCGCTATTTCCGAATGGGCGAAGCGGGTAATAAATCTCATTCCCAACCTTATGAGCATATGCCATGTTAGTGTATGGATTGCCTCTCATCCTTTCATTTATGTATCTTATTTTTAATCAAATAACTAGTAGATGTCTTACATTCAAAGTCTCTTCTCTTAGGGCTTTAACAATTGGCTTTTCCTCCATAAACCGTGATCGAGCCTAATTTTCAACGAAACATGTTACAAAATTGTCACCTTACACAGGAGTATCAATGAACAGGTTCTACGGGTGGATAGTCAACTTACACTTTGAATATTCTCAGTGATAGTTGACATGGACGGCTCAGCGTTGCTTAAGACATCATGTCCTCGATGGTAGAAGGAGCTAAGGGTATACATGTAGGTGACAATCTAAGAGAGGTTCAGTATGGTAATCAAAATTGAATCGGATTCCACATGAAGTTCCTTTGCTGCCATCTCTTTTCTGATTACAAAGGTTTTGCTGAAGTATCCTTACATGTTCCGTAAACTCAAACTTTTCTTTGGCTTGAAGTTCGTTGAGTTTAATACAGTATTCCACGTATTCAACATGTAGCTTTTTTCTCGCATCGGCTACATCTTTAGATGCCTGGATTAAATGTAATATGCAGCTGTAAGATATCAAACTCAAGATAAATCAAAGTCCTCTACATTAGGAGCGAAGTAAATCGTATACCTCTGGGATTGACTGATCGCGCGTTTTCCTGGTCATGTAACGGTGAAGTGCCAGATCCACATCGTCACTGGCTTTGTGGAATGCCTTTCTGGCTTCCTTTTCGTTTTCCGTAAGGTTTGCGGTAAGGAAATATAGGATTAGAGAGACTTCGTCGCAACTAAAAGGTTGAGCGGATATGTAAGAAATCTAACTTGACTTACTCTAACAGGAAGTACCTCTTGGTTGAGAAATGTCTCCAGTGGCTCAATAAACATTTGTGATATTTGAGTGTTCTAAAGGAGCCATTATAAAAAAAACTTAGATTGTCTTGTCTACCTCTTTTTTAATGAGTCCCGATCATGTTGCATACCATCATTGATCTGTTTCTCTCCAAATCTTGAATAGCGCGGGAGAACGTCTCAATCGATTGGGCTAATGAAGTAAAGGCCAAAAGAATAAAATGAGATTGCTGTCACACAAGAAAAATAGCAGTTGACTGTCACATTAAATTAGATCTACGACGGGTTTGGCGGTATTGAGGGAAGAACTTACTAACAAGAAAGTCATGGCCCCGTCGAGACTGAGCGATGGCCATCATCTCCTCAGCTATCTGCAGTTGCTTGGTGCTGTATTCTATGCGGCGATAGGCGTGTAACACAGTTATAAAGAGTCAAGATGAATGAAGTTCCTGGCGCTTGAAACCAAATGCTAACAGCTATGGTGACCAAAATGGAGCTTTATTTTTACCTTCAGCCAGTTCAACACTCGTTTTGGAAAGTTTTAATAATGACCTGACAGTAGTCTCGAGTGCAAGCACAGCATCTTCATGGTCTATGACCTGCTTGCGGAAACTAGGTGTGTCCTCTCTGCACGCCTTCAGTTCCAGTACATTCATGTTGGTTGTGGTGGATGATGACAGTGGACAATGATGGGTTCTCGAGAAAAAGGGTTTTTGGCGGAAAGAAAGGAAAGAGTTCAGCTCTAAAGGTTTCGCTGAGGTCGAAGATGGAATGTTTACTATATGTCAGTGTAAAATGTGTGTAGAAAAAAATGATGCTCGTCCCTATACAACCGCTCACAGGGACCAATTTGATTGAGTACTTTTTCATGCATCTTCCTGCATACTCTGAATTGCTCTCAAGCCACTTTGGTAACACTTGCTATTTGTAAGATCTCTTGTTTGCACATCATCCTTCCCATCACTGTCCGTGGCGGTTCATTTTCATCGCGCCATAGAACCATAGAGTACATTCAGCAATAGTATCGGAAGAAGCAAGACAAATGGGCTTGCTCAGTCGCCTCTCAAAGGCGAAGAGACGGCAAATGTTTGGTCATTTTGTCCTTTACACCATGCCAATACTCAGGTCAGACATTACATCATTAAAAAGAAGAATGGAAGAGCATACACTCTGCACGCAGCGTGTGAATATCGTAATCTTCAAAAGTAACACGGCCGTCTGACTCTCTATCGACAATGTGGATCGTGTCGATCTCCTAGCTATGCAATGGTGGCAGTATCGTTTTTGTGGTTGCTTGCCCTGCCACACCGGAGCTATAGTAAAGTGACATATATTTCAGAGAACGCCTTGCAACCAGGAGCTGTAAGTATGCTATGACTATTCAATTTATCTACAAGGCTCTCGAACTTCAAGGTTATTCAATAATAATTAATGTCCATCCACGATCTTTCTGTCGTATTAGGCAAACGTTCAATTTGATTGGAATGATTTTGTAGTTGCCGAAGCATATCGTCAGACTGTTAACATTATATCTGAATTGCCGCCTCTAGAGTATGTTTGCAACTTCACGTCCTCTGTATTGCTTCGGGCTTCAGGAAACCTCTATAGTTATCTTTATGGATCTTTTATTGACTAGGTTGTATTCTTCGAATATGGTATATTATAATAGACGTGCAGAGGCGCTACGAAGAGAGTTCGCGCAGGTTGGACTCAAGTCGGCAACGCAAAATTACACATTGCATACTAGCACTGTCACTAGAGTATGTCACGAGTATTGGGGTGCTACGGCTAACCAGACTGACTTTTACATCCATGTGATAAGGGTTGGTTCTGATTAATTTTAACTAAACATCGTTATCCCAAACACAGCATGGTGTCAACACATATGCTATCTTTTACGCACCTAGATCAGATGGTACTGAGGCCTTGATTCTGAGTGCGCCATGGAAATCTAGAAATCCAAAATGTAAGCACCGCCCTGCAGGGTTTCTGAAGATGTGTCCAGTTTTGTTAAGGAGGGAGAACTAATCTGTTAATCTGTTATACTTTTCTGTAGTCACAGCAAATACCAATGGTGTCGCTATGTTGCTCGCTCTTGCAAAAGTATTCAAACGTATGTTATCAACGTGATCTATCAATATTGTCTATTTGGTCTCGGTATGAATTTGCGTGTATCCAACCCTAACATTGATGATGGATTTCAACTCTTTAAAACTTGCAGGTGGCTCTCACTTTTCCAAGGATATCATTTTTGTTATATCGGATGGCGATACAGAGGGGCTCCAGGCATGGCTCAAAGCATATCACGGAAATGAGGAGAGGACAAAGAGTAAGTCATTGCCTATGAGATTTGTAAAATTTCGTAATGCTTTATTAGGAAGGGCATTTGCTCATGGACCAGCCGTATCAATGTCTATAGCCCGTTTTGAGGAAACACTGCACATCAGAAGTGGGGCCATCCAGGCAGCACTAAATCTTGACTTTGCTGGTACCGGGGATTATAATGTCCTAGGCATCTTTTTCGGTAAGTTATTTGTAGTAGGAGCCAAACGGGATGGTTTCTTCCCATGCTAAAATTTTGACTATTTTCTTCTGATATCACCCTTTTGTATGGCATTTTTAGAGGGTGTAAATGGCCAGTTACCGAACCTGGATATGATCAATACAGTTGTAGAGATTGCAAGAGGAAAAGCCCCTGTAGAAATAACTTTGCACGATGATATTATGCCTTACACTGAGAGTATGCCAAGGAACTACACGAATTCGCTCAATAAGATGTTTTACATGATGAAGTATCAAGCTGCAGGAACTCCCACAGGCAATCATGGAGTCTATTTAAAGTATGTGTTAAGGACAAACACGAAATGCGGTTTCAAGCAAGACTAGCAATAGGCTTTGTTTTATCGAATTGACGGGAATGACTAAACTGTGTTGTAGGTATAAGATTGATGCAATCACCTTGTATGGTTTCGACAAGCCAGGATGGCCTTCTCCGCGATACAATCTTTTCCGCCTTGGCGCGTAAGCTCATATCTTCGTATTGCATAAGGCTTCTAATTTGGTATATATTATCAATGTATTCTAACTACTACCTCTTCCTGATCTTCATTAAAAAAAAAAAAAAAAAAAAAACTTTGATCACATTTAGTGTTGTCGAATCCACTGTCAGAAGCTTAAATAACTTATTGGAGCATCTTCATCAGTCTTTCTTCTTTTATCTTCTCAGTGGAGTGCGGCGTTACACATCGATTGGGTTATATATGCCTCCCATTATTATCCTTGGCGTCAGCTTCATTTTGCAAGCGCTCTCACTTTGGGGCATATCGAGTGATCTTCCATTGGAGCTTAAGGTCCTGTCAGAGGCTAAGGCTACTGCAATTGTATTGCCATATTCACGTAGAAGCAGGAATCTGAGGGTTGCTACAACTGTAGTGAATCTATCCTTCATTACGGGGTACGGCACCTTCTATTTGTTAACCACGAATTTGGGGTTCCCTGGAGAGGTAGACAAACAGCGAGTGCTCATGAGAATGGTGGTTCAACTTGATTTTAGGAAATCATTTTATAAAATAATTTTACCTACTCACTCATTTAATAATTCCTTTAATATAGACACCTTTGATCAAGCTTATCGCAAGCGTGGGTATTTGTAGTACGCTTGTTTTCTCAGCTGTGTCAACTGCTCATATCCGTCACCGTGTTCTTAAAGAAAGGCAGATCAAAGCAAACAGTGCAGATAAAACTCCAGAGAAGAATATAGCTGAGCTTATCCCTGCAGCAGACTGGATCATACTCAAAACATTCATCCTAGCGCTCTCTGCCTTGTTCGTTACCACTTTGTCTGCCTTGAACTTCAGTCTTGCTGTCTTTATCGGCACCACCATCGTTCTGCCTTACAAATTTTTCAGACCTTGCAGCAAAAGATTCCTTTCTGCTGTCCAAGCAGCTGTATTAGTGATGATATCGCCTCCAGGATTGTTATTCGCAACTGCTTGGTGGTTCTCCAAGGATGTGGGGCTGATTCTGAGTTGGGCAATAGAGGGATATGAGGTGTTAGGTACGTGGTTACTTCCAACGCTTTGCTGCATTTATTGGCCCATCAATCTAGCGGCCATCGTCATGGTCCTGTTACCAGTGTCCTAGGAACCAAGACAAGCTCTCAAATAAAGCATTGGCAGGAAAAGAAAGAAAATTATGGCAATGCATTGTTGATAAAGTTGTATTTAATGCCATGACACTGTTTATAAGGAATATTTTAAAACAATGCAATCTTGGTCAAGCCAGATCGAATCCTCTCATCCAGAACCTTCAATCCCAGCATTTTGAACAGATCAACGCGAATTTCATGAATATCTAGTAACGTGCGTCTCTTGGCATCTTTATGACAATCTAGTAGCACGAGCTCTAGCCTATCGAGGTGAAGTGCTCCTAAAAATTGATTGTAATATCGTAGTAATAATTTTTTTTTTTTTTTTTTTTTTTTCACAAAATAAAAAAATAAAAAAAAAGGGTCAGCATTGCACAGCCATAGCTCGAAGTATAGACAAAATCAATCTTTATGTATAGAGAGGAAGATGGAAGCTTCATTTTACCATCCGAAATCAGCTTATCGATACGATTTGGCGTGCCCACACAAATATGTGTGCAAGTGTTCTTCAAGAAATTCACCTGCTCAGGGACCTTGAAGTGCTTTGCGAACAGCTTACCCACTTTAGCAGCCTCAGTAAATAATGGTAGTGCTCTGATAACATCTACTGATCTAATGCCACTTGCAGATACAATCAATACGACGGGAGAGCCCTTCGGCAAGTCTTTAGAGGTCTCCAGGGGCTTCTTGTTCTTGGTGTCTGTCTTTTTGCTTTTACTGTTATCCTTTTGTTTCCCATCTTTTCCGATCTTGCCATGTATATTATCCTTGGTAAAAGCTGTATTAGCATCCTTAATAAGGAGTTTGGATTTCCAGTCCGCGACTGCAAATTTGAGAAATGACTCTAAGTGAACAAGAGTGTGATCCAACGCAAAGCGTGAAGTGTCTTTGATTGAAGACTCCGGTATTCTGCGTTCCTCGAGTTCAAAAGATGACAGATTCTCAAGCGCTTGCTTCTGACTATCGTTCAAGATTTCGAACTGAGAGGCATGGGGTCGTTTTCCCAGAGGAATATTGTTCTCTTCAATCCTTGCCTTCTTTAGCTATTTATGCGGACGTAGAAATAATCAATAGAAATCTTTATAGTTAAGATATCTATCAAACAGACAACGAGTGAATCAATAGGACATGGCCCTACAAAATATGTATACCTTGTTCTTTTTCTTCTCTGGAGTACCACCAACTTTGCGTTTTGATCCAGCACTAAGCGACTTGTTACCACCATCATAATCTTCTATTTCTGAGTCGTCAAATCGCTCCCCTGCACCCTCACCATCGCTCAGATACTCGAAGTCATCCTCAAGAGTGTCGCCTGATTCCATGTGCTTGGATTTTGACATTGTTACTTGAAATGAAGTTGTGAAAGAGAAAAAAAGAATGCGAGTGATTGTTTTTTTTTTTTTTTTTTTTTTTTTTTTCGAGCAGTCATTCACAACATGGCAAAACATTTTTAATGACGATCTTTTAATTTTATTGAATTTCATAATCTATAAATATAGTATGTACTGTTCTTTTCGCATTCGTACAATATCGACACTCCATACACACTCTCCTAATGCCCTAAACAAAAATATAAAATTGGCGTCAGTTTGGTGCATCCTTTTCTCGCTTACATTAATACATATCACAATATTCATAAGGTGTTATTGCTGATATTGCTCAGACAGCATCCAAAAGGGCGCGTATTGATACCATTGCCATTGGTGTGCACGAGGTGGGTCGGTCCGCATGAAAACGGATACCTCTGCGTTCACCGACCAACGGTAATTCAAGCTTTACATCAGTGCAAGGATAAGCAACGACATATAAAATATCAGATAAAGGAGAAGCGCCTTACCTTTAAATTGAATGAACAAGATGAGGAGGTGGAAGAGATCAGTGATCAAGAATTAAATAGAAGAAAACTTATACTCATGAGATTGTGGCTTGGCATATAGCATAGACTGCGGAGTATCATTTGAAATATTTTTTTTTATTCAACAAAAATAAAATCGTGCATTGGACAGAGCTGTGTATGATAATGGTTATTCTAAATGTGATCTTCCTGGTTGTTCTCTGTCATTATCATTACAAGACAAACAAGAAGTGATTTTCTCTCAAATTTAAGCCTGGGCGGCGATCTTAAACTCAGATTCCTCGGGGCGATGTGTTCCCTTGCTAAACGCAACTGAACATTTAGCCATTGTTGAAGATGCACGTGTAATCGAATCAGTCATGTAGTAATCAGTAATAACAGGCGTAAATGCGGTCCTGGCAGACTTGAGATTCGATTTGTTCAATGTAGAGAGACCAAGGGAGGCGACAGCCACGGAGCTAGGCTCCACGACATTATAATTGGCAAATGATGGTGCGATATCTCGGAGACGGTCACGAACCTGATGAATATCATCATATGGCAAAGTAACACCAGCAACTTCCGAGATCGCACGAATAATTTTCCAATCCTCGCGAGCAGCGCCGGGTGGGGATACAGCGGCGCGCGTCATCTGAGGACGGCCTTCTGTGTTAACATATGTGGCACTTTTCTCAGTATAGGTAGCGCCTGGCAAGATCACATCGGCATATTGAGCGCCAACGTCTCCATGGTGGCCTTGATAAATGACAAAGGCGTCCTTGGGGATATCGCTTGGAGAGATCTCATCGGCCTCTAGTAGGTAAACAACAGAGGCCTTGCTAGCTTCCTTGGCCTTGGGAGCAAATCCGATATCATAAGCAGCAGCTCTGCTGGCAGCCTATATTTTTTTTTAAAAAAAAAAAAAAAAAAAAAAAAAAATCAACGCCATATTCAACTCCTGCGTTGTTTGGTTTAGGGTAGAACTTACTCGCTGAAGAACATTGTAGCCATTCCAGTTGTCTTGGAAGAACTTGTCCTTATGTTGTTGAACAATCTTGGAAACAGAAGAGAAGACATATTCGCTATCAGGCAAGTCTGTGACGCCACTGCCGACAATGATCATAGGATTCTTGGCGGCACCAAGAATAGCTGAAAAAGGATGGTTGCCTGAAACAAGGGCCTCGAGAGAAGAGGTATCAGAGCCAATGTGATCATAGTCATAGGTGAGATCAACGGGGGTTCCGACAAGGCCAATGTTCAGGCCGTTGTAAACAAAGGATTTGCGGATACGAGCATTCATAACAGTAGCTTCATGACGGGGATTGGTACCAATCAACAAGAGTGCATCGGCTCGCTCAATGCCAGAGATGGTGGAATTAAGTAGATAGTTAGAACGGAAATCGGTACCATGGGCAAGGTTATCTTGGCAGCGATTATCGACTGTGACATTTTCGGAACCAAGCGTGTTGACAAGGTCCTTGAGGGCAACGAGAGACTCGGCATCAGCCAACTGACCAGCAACAGCTCTGATACTTGGGCCAGCAGCCTTAAGTTCTGAGGCAACTTTCTGAAGAGCATCAGCCCAGTTGACACTAACGAATGTATTGCCCTTGCGAACCATCGGCGTGGTCAAGCGCTGGGTCTTGAGACCATCATAAGCAGAACGAGTTCTATCCGAGATCCACTCTTCGTTGATATCCTCGTTCAAGCGGGGAAGAATACGCATGACTTCAACACCTCGGGAATCGACACGAATGCTAGATCCAAGGGCATCAAGGACATCGATTGACTCTGTATTCTTGAGCTCCCAGGGACGAGCATTGAAGGTATATGGCTTGGAAAGAAGAGCGCCGACAGGACAGACATCTGCTAAATTTCCAGAAAGCTGTTGAATGATTCAAAAATCCATGGTCCAGTCAAGAAATCAAAAGTTATAGACCGAGAGTTGACGATTTTCAAAGTAGTATATAGTATAAATACGTTGAAATATGGTCAGTCATCTCCTTTAAGCTTTTTACTAATTCACACACCCGAGGCACAATGCATTACCTCGGAATTCATGGTCTTCTCAATATAAGTTCCGATCTGCATATCATTTCCACGTCCGGATGTACCGAGATCCTGGAAGCCAGCAACCTCGTTGGCAAAGCGAACGCAGCGAGTGCAGTGAATGCAGCGAGTCATAGTGGTCTTGATCAGTGGTCCCAATTCCTTATCTTCAACAGCACGCTTGCCAACAATCTCTGAGAAACGACCACGATCCGAACCGTAACGGACCGACTGATCCTGGAGATCGCACTCTCCTCCTTGGTCGCAAATAGGGCAGTCCAAAGGGTGATTAGCCAGCAAGAACTCCATGACACCCTCACGAGCCTTCTTGACCAAGGTAGAATCAGTCTTGACCCTCATTCCAGGCATCACAGGGAAAGCGCAGGAGGCAACAGGCTTTGGGGACTTTTCCACCTCAACCAAGCACATACGACAGTTTCCTGCAACAGACAAACGCTCGTGATAACAGAAGCGAGGAATATGAACACCGGCCTTCTCACAAGCCTGAATAACGGCAGATCCAGCTTCTACCTTAACAGGCTTGCCATCAATAAAGACTTCAACCTCATTCTTGACGACAGCAGTGGTACGGAAGTGTCGAGGGGCTACAAGATCAAATGGTGTAAAAAATGCATTATGCAAAAATCATGAGTACCCTTGAATATCAGCGGTTAAGATAAGCACATGAATATTTCCAACATTTTGTATACAGTTTCGAGTGTCATAAAACATTTCCAAAAAGGATGATATGCTATAGACGATCTGCGTAAAAAACTGAACATGAGAGTCGTGTCGTATTTGCCATGTCTAAGTCCGGAGTTACGTTCCACCAGCTCGGACTTTTTGGTGAAAGCTAGATCGAACGTCCCGATTTTAAAGACGTAGTTGTTAACAATTCAACTAATCCTACTAGAAACATTTAGTGTTGTCATTGTTTTCCTATGACCATTTCTCTGTTTATGGATAAATCATTCAAATAAATAGGAGTCGGGTTTATGTGATCGAGTGTGTTTCCGCATTCGATGTCCAAACAGAAGTAGTTGAGGAGAGCGGAAATTCTGTGCGAATTCAGGTGTGATTACCTCCAGCTTGGCGCAGGGCAGCCCTACTGGTCTTTGATAATGCGCGCAGCATGATGGCGGAATGTGTGGAGAGTGGGGAGTATATGATGTGAAGAAATAAATTGGATGACAATAATCAGCGCAATTCTGTCCCTGCGAGGCGCACAAGTAGCGGAGGTGGAGACCGAATGTTTTCCGAAATCCTATGCCACATTCAAAGCTCAAAATATGTCACCGTATTTTACTCGCTGATGTTTCCTCGAAGAGATAATGGAGTTTTGTTACTCAGTTCTATGCGGAACCAGTGCACAGCCAGCCAAGTTCTTTATTTCTAATCACACGGAACCCTTACAGGTGTTTCATTGTACGTCTCCTTGCTCAAACAACAAGAATCCTTCGCCTTGCGTATTACTTCACGTTCATTAGACCTTAATAGATCATTCATGTCCCGCAGTATTCCATCCAGTGGAGAGGGCTCACATTACACTGCCGCAACGCCCACTTCCACGCTATGCAACGACAACAGCGGAAATAAGAGCTACGCTCGCGCTCCATATGGGTCACGTCTTTTGCCCATGGATTCTTCAGCGTTTCTTCCTGAAGAGCCACTGCCAGGGGGGTCTATGATACGCCACCACAACGAATATGAGAATAACGATGAGGAGGATAGTGACGAAGATGACGGTGACAGTGACTATGACCATGATCCAGAGGTAGAGGACCAAGATTATGATGAGACAGCGACTGAAGAACCAACGGCCCTTATTCAACCGGCTCCTGACCCTCTACCTGAGCCCTACATCATCAATCGACCCACAAACCATAATATTCCACCTTTTGCTTTTGGACCCAGATTGGATCTGATTTCTCCCAAGCTACTTCATGATACAGTTATGTCGTATGTATCGCCTTAGTAACAGCCCCATTTCCATCTGTGATGAAAGTATTTTTCACTGCTGTCACTAAATCAACTATTACTAAATTTTGATTTATGAGTTAGACCAGTACCCCAAGGAAAGAAGTTTATGTGCAGAATTGTCCGTAAAAACGAGGGAATGGACAGGCGAATGTACCCAACGTATGAGCTTTCATTAGAAGAGCCTGCTCGGTCGCCTGATGAGTCCATGCGGCAACGATGTGTCTTTTTGTTACGCGCTACAAAAAAGAAGCGTAGCCGAGGTTCTTATTATGCTATTACAAGCGATATGGACAATATCCACGGATATGATCGCAAAGCCACTGATGAAAATTATGGCGTTTTGGGCAAATTGAGGTCCAACTTTTTGGGTACTGTATTCAACGTCTATTCGAACGGACGAAACCCATTTTCGGGAGCGGAGCAGGATGGAAAAGGACAGGATCGAACTTTGTCTGGCACAGAGAAAGGAAAAGGCAAGATGAAAAAAGAAAACAAGAGTCATGACTTGCCTGTGCGACAAGAGCTCGGTGCAGTGATATATGTAAACTATTGTTAATGTTTTTTTTTGACGAATCATTATGAATGACTGTGTAAGAGTCCGAAGAGTACTCAAACTTGCTATGTGACTCCTTAGAATCCAAATGTGCTTGGGCTGAAAGGGCCTAGAAAGATGACAATCTTGATGAACACCATGACAACTGATGGGTGTATGATGGAAAAGCGACCCACACAAGCCAAAGATACATTGATTGGTCGCATGACGGACGGAGACATGTCTGATTTATTGGTCTTACGGAACAAGAGCCCACAGTGGAATGATGGTACGCGATACGCAATTATGTCTAATACCGTTGGCTTTTTTTTTACTACACACTAGTATTGATTTTTTTTTTTTTTTTTTTTTTTTTTTGATTTAGAAACCAATTCATTTGTCTTGAATTTTGGAGGACGTGTCTCTCTGGCGTCAGTGAAAAACTTCCAGATCATCCACGATAATGACTGTATGTATTCAAATTGATCGTAAGATGTTATTATAACGAAGCACAGTCTTTGTAACCTCCTGTAACATTCGCATTTAATTGTCTTGCCGATGTACATAGTGGACTACATTATCATGCAGTTCGGAAGAACATCTCAGGACAACTTTACAATGGATTGTCAATACCCGATGACTCCTTTCCAAGCATTTGCCTTTGCGCTAACTAGCTTTGATGCCAAGTTGGCTTGCGAATAAACACTCATTAAAAAAGTATTGTATATAGTTAGATGATAGTTTGTTATAGCATTTGTACAGTACAATCCTATCCTAATCACTATCGTAGACATCAGGAGCACGGACATTCTTGGAGTACATTTTATGATTAGCCATTTCGAGCAAAGCCACAGCATCAGCATGAGCATCCATTGCTGAACGTTTTGGCCCTTCCTCTCGCTCAACCAATGATGGATGGACTTGCCAAACTATGTTCAGAAGCATCAAGCGAATTTAAATGTCAGTAATGATCTGAAAAAATTAAAATTAATAGCTGAGGGCTAAAGTAATATGTACCTTCCATTTCATCCAATTTGAAGTCCTGATATTTAGACAGTCTAGGGGACTGATAAGTTGAACACAATGGTTCTGCTGCAGACTGACCACTTTGAAAGTCGCTTGCCAGCCATAGTCCAAAATACCGTAGCTGCCCTCCAAACCCCATACCTGTGGTTCCGAATTAACAAAAAGTTAAATCAAAAAAGGTCGAACGAAAAGCGTAACGATGTTGAAAAAACCTGTCTACATGAGCCGAATATTGATGTCATACCATTAGGAAGTGTCTTGGTACCGTAATCCATATATTGGAAGTGGTTGTTTACACTACTAGGCCTGTAGATTCTGAATTTGGGTCGAATAGTGAACAAAAAGTTTCTGTCGTTGCCATAGAACTTGGGTCTTTGTTCCCAGTCTTGGTCTGCATACCCTCCAAAAATATACCCATCCTCATCTTTCATCACAACTACAGTTGGGCCTTGATATGTGATTTTCTGTAGAAGTGTTGAGAACGAAGCGCCTGAGGTTTTTGATGAAAATAATAGTCTTAGCGGAGGCGTTAGACGAGTTTCAGAAAGCGGACCTCTTCTGGCCTCATGACCCTTGGAATATCCAAACGAGGACGAAACATTGCGATATGCAGGTGTAGGTAGCGCATAAAGTAACTGAAAAAAGTCCCCAACAGTTAGCAGCCTAGAAAAGTGTGGGGCAACGTCAATACCGCCTTTAATCCTAGGTGCAATGTAGTTCTTTTCACACAGCTTGTTCTCCTGTTCTACCGTAAGTTTAATTCTCCTTCCTGATGTCCTAGGGCCTTCAATGTTCACGAGGGTTGACTGTCCCAAAAACAGATTCTGGATTAAGATTTTAACCATAAGTTGGAACTCAACGGAATGTTGGTACCAATTTATAAATGCGGATATGCTAGGACGGCTATTAACATCTTGCTTTTGAGTCGCTTTTAACCAATCCTGTGCTGTCTCTCCACTCGAGCCTTTTGCATTCTGTACATCGCCATCCTCAACGCTTAATATGCTTTCTTTCATAATCCCCAAATCATCTCCAAATTCATTATCCTCACTTGGTGATTCCAGGTTAAGGTGCCTCGTCAATAAGAATTCTGTTGTAGCCTCTAGGCCTTCCTCAGGGATGTTCATCCAAGAGCCTATTTCGCCAGCTAACCAAAAGGGCATCACAGCTCTCGTAACATTTGTAATAAAGCTTTCCAAAGATTTTTCGTGCATCTGGAGCATGAAGCAGAGACCCGCCTGTTCCTCAATATTAGTTTTGGAAAGCCGATGTATGGTCACTACCCAACCATATTTAGAGATGCGTGTTGTCGAGTCAGCGGAGATAGAGTGCGTGAGAACACTGAGACGATCCCTGCTGTTGTCGGCAGCCTGATTTTTGCTATTCACATGGGTATCACCATTACTAGACCCTCTGACGACTTCGTCGTCAATTTTGTTGCGAGGTATTGAGTGCGCCTGCATCACCATGCGGAAACAAGTCAGTAGTGCTGGAGGAAGCAATGAGCTAAAGTAAGAATTGAAATGTTGAGGATCAATAGCCTCTTCGTTTTCAACAGAAGCTGACGGCTCATATTGCTCCTTCTTGTGGCTATTATCGTTATCAGCACTGCAATGGATCTGACCCTTGCGAAGCTTCTCAAAAAGATCGAGAATATATGCCCGCTCCAGGTCCGAGAAGTCAGCGAGGCATGTCTCAATGACTGTATCTTGCTTGCTCGCCTGTGACCCTAAGTTGGGCAAAAGGTAGATAAGACAGGGGCTTAAGAATGTGTTTTTTACAGGCTTTGTTAATTGCATCTATGTATGTCCTTACCCATAATACTGTTTTCAAGCAATGTTTTCTTTTTGATTGATTTTTTTTTTTTTTTTTTTTTTTTTTTGGATGGTAAGAAATGAAATGCCAAATGTTAATTCTGCTCCCTCAAGAGTTCAGGAGATAGAAATAATGCCCCTTAACTATCCGAGAAGAGAGAGGGGTGGGAACCGGTTATTGCTGTTAGAGTACCAGCTATCAGGGTATCAATCAATGGACGTTGCCGGATCAATCCAAGCATTAGCTTACATCAATTCGAGTAATTTGTTAAAGGGAAAACGGATAAAGTGTTTCTTTGCTCTCCAGGATAAAAAGGTGGCACCGCAGCCGGCTATATTTATCCACTTGTATTTCTTTCTTTCTGTTTCCCTCTCTTTCTCTCTCTTTCTCTCTCTCACACTCTCTCACACTCTTACTCTCACTCTCACTCTCACAATCATTCTGCAGGATCTGACATCAGCCATGCCATCCACCAGTCTCAAAACCACTCTCGATTCCAATAACGATGACAGCACCACTAACGCTGCTAACACCAACACTATCAACACAGCCTATGGACCTTCCACACTTGATATAAATTGTCCTCCTGGACAAGAAGAGCTTGGAAAATCCATTAACAGATCAATTACACCCAATCACGAGCCTCGCGTCTTCTTCTTTGACATCGACAACTGTTTATATTCAAAGCATTGCGGTATTGCCGAGCTGATGCGTGCAAAGTATGCAAAGTTGGATCGAGAATAATTCGGTACATTCGGTATAGCTATTTCACGTTGTTTGACTTATTTATTCTCCCTTTCTCCAATTGCTTGACAATTTAGGATCGAGCAATATTTCAGGGATGTTGGCTTCGAAAGCGACCATGGTAAATATCCATAATAATGAATGGTGCTTGCCCCTGACCACAATTAGGTTTATTAAATTATTAAATGACGTCGTTTTCTTTTCTTGGTTTGTCCATTACGCCATCAATTCTATTGATCAGTCCAAACTATCTCATACCGTTATTACATTGATTATGGCCTTGCTATTCGGGGGCTTGTTCTACATCATCCTGGTAAGCTACGTTGAACACAATGTCGACATTGATGCTTTTGTTCTAAGATTAAGGACTATCTAGGCGCTATGAATGATCACTTTAAAAAACAAAAAGTTGACATAGTTCATTGTTTAATTTGTTACAATACCTATTTAGAGGTAACAAGGACACACATACACGACGACAAGACTGCCGATTTAGGCTTCTCTTGGCAGTCGCCAGCTTGCATATTTGTGTTTCTTTTTAGCTTGATGTTAACCCATGCTTTCCTTTTAATCCCATTCATCTATAATTACGCTTATCTTTAACTTATCACAGATCGATATCAAAGATTATGGTAAGTATCCACTATTTACCCCGCTTTCCGTCCCAAATCTCATGGATCAAGAGTATTGTGAAAAGCAAGTCTCTTACACTGATATTAATTTCCATTCGAACTACTGTAATATACACAATAGATGACAAAGTCGATGGTGCTTTGCCATTACAAGATATCTTGAAAGAGAACATCCCTTTAAGAAATATGATAAAGTCCCTCAACATTGAAAAAAAGTGGCTGTTCACTAATGCAGGAAAGAATGTAAGAATTTATTTTCAACTATGTATATCATGCTTTAATTCAAGAATATTGTGTATAGGGGATACGTTGTTATCTAACCAAGTCGTTCATTACTTTATTTCACAACCTCATAAAAAGCATGCTTTGCGGGTGATCAAGATTCTGGGCTTAGAAGGATGCTTTGACGGGCTAACGTACTGTGATTACCTAAAGCCGGACTTTAACTGCAAACCAGAGCCAGAGGCTTTCTATAGAGCAATGAAAGACGCAGGGGTTGTTCATCCCTCTAATTGCTACTTGGTAGATGATTCTGCGGCTAATGTGGATAAAGCACTTGACATTGGTTGGACCGCGGTCCATGTGGCAGATGATCCTGAAGTTTCCCAGTTTGGTCACTTCCAAATTGGCGACATTTTAGAACTACCCAAGGCTCTCCCAGAATTCTGGTCTAAAGAAGATGCTGCTGCTGCTCTTTCTGCCGTAAATGCAGTCGCATCGGAAAAGGCGCCGGGAACGGGTAAGGCCAGATTGTCAGCATGAGCTTTGGGATCTGGTCGTCTGATCTTCTGGCTATATATTTTTCAATCTTCATAGACATTTGTAAAGTAAATTTTAAATTCAAAGCACATATTCAACCGCTTTTTGAAACGCTACCTCTACAGGAGAGAACATGTATCTTAATAAATGACCAACCACGTTAGTTGTGTGTGCTGCGACCATCTCTATCACGTGTAACATCTTTCTGTTTAGTACCTTTGCCACTCCAACTTGTCTACCTCTTGCAATTCATTACCTAGAAAGCAATACACACAGACACGTCTGCCTCTTGAATATTACTTCCTCAACAAGTAACACAGGACAATCAATTCAAATAGGACAGAGCAATGAAGACCTGGAAGGCCCGTGAGCGCTGTCAAAAAATTATAGCATGGACACCCATCGGCATTTGTAAGAGAGAGGATTCACCTGTTCATGGCAACATAAAAACATTGCTCCTATCCAATTCTTTTGTTCGATGACAGTACAGAACTACATCATTCTTTCTTTGTGCAAACGGCTAATAGGCCTAGGTCTAGTTGGATGGAGCTACTACGTATTTGCATTTTCTGTATGTGGCTATCTACTTAATCATGGTCATACTTTTCAAGGTAAACATGTCAAAAACAAATAAAATTTAATTGGTCATTCTACTTTTCATTGGCGTGACTACAATCGGCGCAAAGGAGAAAGAGTAAAAACACACTTGTTTTTTCTTGTCAATAGGGGTAGCGTTTTTAGTCATGGTTACAGTAATTGTAGTACTCCTTATCTGGAGTTATTGCATTGCCACTTTCACATCACCTGGCTATCCTAATGAGGTAACATGTTTTAAATTGAATCAAAGAGGAAGGAAGGTCATTCATGGATCGTCAAGTTGACTCGGATAAATCATTTTGCTTAGATCCTTCAAAAATATTCCGGATATCACAGTGCCATACAGGGCGATATCAGTATGGTAGATCATGAGGACACTGTCCGTGTCGGTCTTTTGGAGCCAGAGCAGTTTTATCTCTCTTCATCACTAAATGCCCACAGCTCGCCTTTACCTGACACAAGAGCTATCGCAGCTACATCCACCACAACAGGCGCTAATATCAGAGATCGAGATGTAGGAAGAGTGCCGACTTCGTCTATGGGGCATGTAGAAAGGTTATCGGAAGAAACCGATGGTATGAATCAAAGTCACACCTGTCAAGCGGCACAATTTACAGCCATTGCAGAGAGCAGTGGCAGCGGCACTGGGGTTGTGCAGTACAATTGTCATGTTTCCTCTTCAATCCTTGTGCCACCGCCTCCACCTCTACAATCTGCGCAGGGACTCACGCAGGATCACACCGTTGTGCAGATGGTGGGCGCGAGATCAAATGTAAGACATGATGGGTATGAGGGTGACAGCGAAGACACAGCGGATAATATGCCTCTAGGCCGGTCGATCAGGCGTTTTACAGTCAAGCGTGATGGCAAGATGAGATACTGTCAAAAATGCCAGTATGTGAATTGGATCGTTTTCTACAGTTCTAGACACGTTGTGTTCGGGTTTCCGTGCCACTTATTCTTCTTCTTTATTTTTTTATGCTAGCTTCGAAAAGCCAGATCGGACGCACCATTGGTATGCAAAGCACAGGTTGAAAATTTAATAGACAATAGTCTATTTCTCTGGCGATGCTAAGGACGTCCTTTTATATTTTCTTTCTTTTAAAAATTCAGCTCATCATGTAAGCGATGTGTCCTCAAGATGGATCAGTACGTAATACTTCCTTAATTCATAATGATTTGATAAGCTATGTATTCACTTGTCGGAATACACGTCTTAATTTATTAATGGCGTTTCTTTATTTTACTTTTTTTCTTTTTACAGCCACTGTCCCTGGCTAAATAACTGTGTTGGGCATAGGAATTACAAAGCGTTTTTCGTATGTTACTTCTCAGTCGTGTTAATTGAAAGAGTTTTTATTCTAGATTTTGTAAAACTATATTCAATCCCCTAACTCTTTTATTCCCATATACTTTGTAATTACAGCTTTTTGTCCTTTGGACGGCAATATACTGTGTGACGCTTGTTGCATGCACAATACCCGTTGCCGCTGGAGTCGCAAGTCTTCCTAATGTAACTTTTTTTTTTTTTTTTTATTTTTTTTTTAGCGATCTTGAAACAAAGGGTTTGACACTTCTAATCCTTGACTTTTCGTAATATTCTATGATTAGGATGAAAACGCATTTGATCCGCAGTGGGTGTTTATGATTTTAATCGGTATGATCTTTGGATTGTGTCTAGTCCCGTTTGCAATTCATCATCTATTGCTGATCAAATCCAACAGGACCACAATCGAGAGTTTCGAGAAGCACAGATATCGTGTGGGCAACACCGGTGAGGTCATGCAGAGTCGTGTTTTAAATGTATTTGATCTTGGGCGAAAGTAAGTGAATTAAAAATAAAAAAAGTCGATGGATTGTAATCTGCAGAATATTAATTTAATATTTAATGTGACCCATAGGAAAAACTTTATTCAGGTCCTTGGCCCTACGTGGTATCTCTGGCTTGTACCCGTTCGCAACTCTATCGGCGATGGTTGGAGCTTCCCTGCAAATGATTATGGGAAGAGCGTACTTTACCAAGGAGATAATGATACTAATATACGAAATAGCCAGAACCGCTGGATGCAGAATGATGCATCGCCAGCAAAGCCATATTACCACAACACCCATGGTCCGTATGACGGCGTAGGTAACTCTGGTTATGAGTCATATGACATGAATGACACTTCTGATCTGGATCAGGAGCATTACCGCCGTGATAGTGATGAGAGCGATGAGGACGGTCGTAGAGGCCGACGTTATCCTCAACCACCACCAAGACGTCTACGTCAGCAGCATGGAGCATTTGCTACAGTTCAGCATGATTCTGATGAAGAGGCAGAAGAGTATTTGTACGACAGCGACGAACCTGCCACAATCCGGTTCACAGATACGGAACGATGATTTCCTTTTTCTTTCTTTCCAATTGTATTATAACATCACAATATATCTCAATTTTAACAAACCAAATTAATAAAGATGGTGGAAGTAAATGGTAGAACGGTTTTTTTTGTAACAAATTGCCTTTAATTTCATTCCTTCGTTCATATTCCCGCATACTTTTAATGTAATATTGTAATGATTGCTTAATTCTTGGTGAGGTGGATGAAGCCATCTCCCTTGTAGTTTTCGGAGGAAATACCAGTGATGGGGTTGATCTTGTTGGCACGAGCATACTCGTTCGAGGCCTCTTGCCACTCCTTGGTAGTAGTGGTAGGCTTTTCGCTACCTTAAAAGAGGAAGAATAACGAAATGACAACAATGTTAATAGAGGTAATGTATAAACTATTAAAACCTTGGAATGATCAGTGAGCGCGTGCTGTGTTAGGAGTATATCCTTATGTCTTTGATGATTCCCATTCCCTTCCTATCATCCAGTTCGGGATTTCCATGTATGGGGGCACACCATTGATGATTGTATAAACTGAGGTAAATTTAAACAGTTTCTGAGCCTGTATTTCTCCTGTTCCATTGCAGAACCTCAAAACACGTACCCTTAGAGCGAATCCAGAGGAAGAGAGCAGTGGCGGCGGCGAGAACACCAGCAGTACCAGCAGCAACCTTGAGACCATGGTTAGGGCCGGTGAGAGGTGTACGGGCACCATGAGGGCCGAAGGCGACCCAGTAGGCTATCAAGAGCAATTGACGTATGTATGTTAAAATTTGTGTCAAATCAATTCTCACGTTCCTAAGATACTCCATGACTTTTTTTTTTTTTTTTTTTTTTTCCAGAATTTGTGAAAGTTATTCTAACAAGAGACCGATCAAAGAAGGAATGATGTTTCGATCATTGGTGCTGGGGATTTTTTATAGGAGGAATTGT